GACTGGGCCCGCCGCAACTACCGCGCACTGGCGGGTTGCGTAATCCCGCTGGCAAACAAACGCCGCCAATTCCAACCTCGCTGCCTCTTCTCGACAACAACAACAACGTTCGGCGCAGCAACAAGCTGCCATCGATCACCATGCCGTCGGCTGACGCGACACATATGAAGGACATCCTTGGTCGGCTGGCTGGCGTCAACTTGCGTGACTCGAACCCGAAAGACGAAGACTCCGGCGGTGCACCGATCGACTTCCTGACCTTCAAGCGCTCGTTGACCGCCTCTGCGTCTCCATCACTGGCAGCGTCCTCCTCTGGTGAATCCTCTAGTGACCTGTCCGTCCAAGGCAATGTTTATTTTACAACTGCGAGACCCAGCTTGGTCTACATTCAGTCCGAGACCTCTTCCGAGATCGGCTCACCGCAGGAGAAGTGAGTGCCTCCCAGCAAGATCGACTGTCGCATTACTGACACGCGCAGCTTCTCAAGTGCATCGCCTCTCGCTCGCTCTACTGAGCAGGTCGTGCCCTCAGATGTTCCGGCCTGTCTGGATGTCAAGTTCAGCCCGATCCTGCATCCGCCGCGCTATGGCCTGGTCATACAGAACCATGGGGTGGATATTGGTGGCGGCTTCATCAACGTGACATTCGTCAATTGCCGCTTCGACCCTCATCAGCCGACTATATTCGACAATTGCTCAATCAGAAACACTACCTTCAAGAATTGTGATTTTCGTGAAGTCGCGCTAGAGAACGTGGCTATGGATGGCAATACGTTCACCGATTGTAGCTTCAACTGCACCTGGAAGAACCGCAAACTTGCTGTGAACTATCCTTGGACAGACGAAACGTTCAAAGACATCTCAGTCCACGATGACATAGCAGCAGAGATTGTGGCGATGAACAAAACTCGAAAAGAAGCTGAAGAAGCAAAGATTGCGAATCCGCCTCCAGAAGAGCGTCATCGCAGCGGGTGGGGCAACATCAAAGGGTTTGAGAGCGCTGCAAACGACAGCGAGAATTATAACTTTGTGGAGCCCATCGCGATGAGCAACGAGCCGTACAGGATACCACTGGCATTGGGAAAGGGCTTGACCTTCGACAACACCCCAGCTGCTGGCTTGTTTATCACGGACGGGTCCGGTTGCAGAATCGAGAACGTGCAGTTCATCCGTTGCACCTTCAAGAATACTACATTCGACACTTGTCACCTCGTCATTGTTATCTTCCAGGACTGCCAGTTTGACAACGCAAGCTTCAAAGAGGTCGTCATCACAGACCGGACATATCAAAAAGCATGGTTCGATGGCTGTGATTGGAAGTGGCGAGAGCTGCAGTCCAACAATGCTCCCATTTCTGGTACATATCGACAAGGAGGACTGAACGGAGTCCGTTTCCCAGAGATTATGCTCCAGTGGGCAAAGGCCCAGAAGAAGAAGGCTGCATCCCGTGATCGACAGGCACTTGTCATACGCCCTCCGACGAAGTACCAGAAGAACAAAGAGCGTCGAGATATCAGTGTGAAGAACGCTGCAGAAGTCATGCGTGAGCAGTTGGGTGCGGGTGAGATGAAGAAGACACTGGTACAGCCCCGTGCCGTGGGGAGGCGAAAGGGAGATGTCGGCACCACTTTCGTTACGGTGTCCTTTGACTAATGTCGGCGATCGTCATATGAGATCTGGATGGCTCTACTCGGTGGGACGGAATGCAATGCATTGAGAGGCAGGATACGAGCGCGAGCTCGCTCATGTGGAAGCAACACACTTTCATTGGAAGTCGGGAATTCTGCCATGATGGAAGTTGCCGATATTAGCGTGAACGAGGCTACATGAGTCTGTCGACGTTGAATTGTAGACACTCCAATAGGCTGTCAAAGACTTGTCGGTACTATACAATACGTGCATACATAAACCTCTCGATTGAGTCGCAGTCCACGTTTTCCATCATATTACATACACTTAATGGCGTCGTCCCCTGCTCTGGCTCCGAGCTCTGCCATCGGAGAGTGCTTGCACAAAAGAAACTGGCGCGGTGCCATCACTGTAGATCTCTGACTTTTTCTCGTCTTCACTGCTGCTTCCGCTACTATCACTGCGAGCCTTTTCGGGCCTCACTCCGGAAGCCGGACCCAAAGTCGTAACATCACCTTCGGAGTCTTCAACTTCATTCGAGAAGCGGACATGTCGCTGATGCCATTCCGAAGCCTCGTAATCGTACGGAGTCTCTTCATCCCCAGCACCATACCAAAGTGGAAGATCCGCAGCGGCTTTCCTAACGTCTAACCAAGGTCTCGGAGAAGAATTGGCTGTGAAGAAAATGTAATCGACTTCTTCCAAACAACGCATACTAGTCTCGGGATAGAGGAAGTAAATCATCGGTAAGATCGCAGCGTTGGTCGCGATGAAGATTATGTAGGATCTCCAGGTACTGGTTGCGAATGCCACGGGACCGACAATGACGACCATGAAATTGCCAAGCCAGTTGGCGCCTGTAGAGAGGGCGTTTGCTGGGCCACGGATTCGGAGAGGGACGATTTCGACTTGGTAGAGCCAGGAGATACCTTGCCAGCCGATTGCCCAGGCGCAGCAGAAGAGCCAGATGAAGGCTGTGCCTGCGTCGAGGGAAGGGCGGGTGTGGATTTTGAGCATGATGCAGAGGACGATCATCTGGGAGTAATAGGTGTAAGCGATAGTCACTGTCTCACAGGTGGTGGCTTGGGTAGGGGTTCCACCTATAACTTTACTCACGCAGAAGAGCATTCCGGCTGTGCCGAACATAAGAAGGGCTCGACGGCCACAAATGCGATCTATGCAGAAGACTGCGATGAACGAGGCGAGGAAGAAGGCTGTTCCGGCTCCGGCGGCGAGGAGACGGGCTTCCCAGTCGCCCCAGAGGTATTGTTGTTGGAACATAGCGGCATAATATTGCGTCATCTGGCGCGATAGGTGTAAGCAATAGTCACTGTCTCACATATGGTGGCACGGTAGGGTTTCCACCTATGACTTTACTCACGAAGACTATGCCGCAGAGTTGGGAGCTGAATTGGAGGACGACGGCGAGGACTACACGATGGAAGTCGCGATAGTCGCCCATTTTGAAGAGGTTGGAGAAACTGGCTCCGGCCATTTCGATAACAGCGTCTTTGATTTGGAGGAATTCTTGGTGGACGTCGCGGGTGTTGGAGTCAGTATTGTTCAGAGCTCCGAGGATCTTGAGTGCCTGAGCTTCGCGACCTTGGAGGATGAGCCATCGTGGTGACTCAGGCATGAAGGCGACTATTCCAGCGGCGAGGAAGATGAGACCGACTTGGAGGGCGATGGGTACTCGCCAGGCTGCTGAGCTGGGCTCTAGCCATGCGAAAGCAAAGTCCACCCAGTAGGCCATGGTCATGCCGGCAGCAGTGGTGGCACCGGCAGAGATCATGAGAAGAGTACCTCTTCGGTGAGCTTTGGTGCATTCGGCTTGCCATGCGGGCATAGTTGCACAATTGAACCCGTTTCCGATTCCAGCGATCAGTCTTCCGGCCAGGAATTGTCCCCAAACGAAAGAAGCACATTGCATGACTTCACCGATGAGAAGAAGTGCCAACCCAATAATGACCATTTTCCTGCGCCCCACGCTGTCGCCAATGAAGACTGCAATCATTGCGGAGACGAAACAACCCAGATTCCAGGCTGCCACAGTGAAGCTGATCATTCGGACCTTGGAGAGGTCTGTCGGACTGTCGGCCAAGTCGATCCTGGGGAACTGACGGAAGAAGCCCGGCATTGTGAGAAACCCTCCCATCAGGCCTTGGTCATAGCCATAGAGGAAGAAAATGAGGCCAGTGACGAGGGCGATGGCGTGGGAGAGGCTTTGGCCTCGCAGGCCTAGGAATTCCTGCATCTTGGGGAGTTGGAAGAGAAAGCTACAAGATGAGTAGCTGGAGGGGAATGGCAGGGCGTATTTCATATGTGCAGAGTGGCACCCCGGATTGTCGGGCTGCTAGCACGGAGATCGACATCGTTGGTGGCCGCGTTGCTGCAATGTGAACCGCAACGGGCCTTGCAGAGGATGGAGTGACGCCTGCGCCAGTGAAAGTCTCCTGCCCCATGGATGAGAGAGCGCTGTAGCAGCTGGCTTGGCTACCCGAACGGGCTGGCGTCGATGGCTTTTCCTGGCTTGCGGCATGCTGTGCCTGGTCTTCGGCTGCCGGACAGCAATTCCACTGTGAGATGGGAATCGAGCGCGAAGACATGTGACATGGAGGGAGGTGGTGTGAAGTGGTTCGCTACCGCGCGGAAGGCGGTGCCTGCAGCCGGTCCGAGAAGTTCGGCGTCGATCATCACGCCCGCCTAACTAGCGGAGGCAGGAAGGTCCATTCGAGCACACTCAAATCGCTTCCTGCACCTCCACTCTGCCATCACGAATCTTCTGCGTGCTGCTTCTGCTACCGCCGATGATGGCTCCGACGCGCAAACCAAGACTCCAGGATGGCCTCTGCGTGGCGGGACGTGGTATTTCAGACCCTGTCTGCACAATCTACCTGCCAGCCGTTGGAAACAGTCTCTGCTCTGGAGAGCACCCTGGCGATCTGTCTCACTCCCGCCTTCCAAAATGGCCTTGAAGGTGTGTGTGACACGAAAACGCGTCAATTCTTTCTCTCTTCACTGTCGGTGCACAACCATCCGGGCTGCGATGGTGGCTCATTAGGTGATGAGCCAGATCGCGGCAATGAGAGCGTTGCCGCATGCGTTGCGGAGTCAGGATTGTGCGAGCTGCTCATGCCGTGGGAGGTCTCTCGGCTCCAGACGGATCGGCAAGCGTACCTGTGCGATTCGAGTTGGGTGATGTACTGCTCTGACTGGTACCTTAGTTGGCTGCGCTGGAGTACTGCCCTTGGCGTTCCCCTGAATTGTATCAGAGAGCAATGCTCGTTCGATAACAAGTGGCCCATGGCCGTGCAAGCAAAGGTAATCTGCTGTCAGTGACGACCTTCAAACATCGCGAAGGGTCATTGAAGTCAATAACAAAGGCGATCAACGATCGTGGAGAGAAATGGAAAGTCGACAGCAGAGAGCAATATGCTTACCATCAGAGACCTACGAGCAATCCAGTAGTTGACCAGGCAGATACACCAACGGCGTATCTGCCTAGTCAACTAAACCACCGAACGCCAAATGTCACACGACTCGTAGGGAAACAGCAAGAAGCTCAAGACGTACCTACCGAAGCTTTTTATCCTCGAAGCGCACGAAGAGAGTCAATTACACGCTTCCACCTCGTCGACACCGCTGGCGCCGCCAAAACCTCGGGGCCGAGCCTCAAACGAAGCATGGCTTTCTCCGGAGCATCCAGTATGTCCGTAAGCTCTCGCGGGGCTACGCTCTCACAGGCTTTATTGCTCTCCTCCACAGTTGCACGAGGGCTTGCCACGTTTCTGACCCGAAATGTTGGGATGCAGCCAGCGGACATTGTTGCTCCGTTTCAACAATGCCTGTACTTATAAAGCCTAGAAAGGACGAAAGCATGAACCCAAGACCCTCCACAAAATGCCTAGGAATACCTGGACTTGATGCAGGCACAATCAGCACCACGGATTGCGCCAAGGCACAGAGGACAAGCGATCCCTGACTCATAGAACACTGAACGAAGGAAAAGAAGCTTCGCGGATGCGGGCGCAGTTCTCGAACGATTCCCGTCAGATTGGTAAGACCCTGCGCACAACAAGGCTTACTGTGTGATGCAGGTGAAGTCTCGTGTGAAGTATGCTTGGCTATTCGTCGGTTAAGTGTCGGCTTATATTCGTGCGCTCGAATATAGCCTCGAAATCATTGTCTTCGCACTTGTACGAACTACAGACGAACCCAACGTCTCCTATCGAGGAGCCTGGTTCTCCCTCATAACGCGCTCCACCTCCTCCACAGCCTGCCCGTCTTCGCCCGCGTCCAGGTTGTCGTCTGTGATCCCGGTGACCTTTGCCATCTGGGAAGTGTAAGCGGTAGCCACTTTCTCACATGTGGTGGCTTAGGCAGTGCTTCCACCTATCATTGTACTTACAATTCTTGCAGCGAAAATGTCGCTGCTCACATTGAGTGCCGTTCTGAAACGATCGATGAACCAATCGATAGCCACAACTACGGCGTACATTCCGGTGATCTGCGCTAGTCAATATCTCACGTTTGGTGGCTTGGATAAGGTTTCTACGCATCGCTTTACTTACAGGAATTCCAACGCTGTCCGCGATAATGACCGTCAAGACGAGCGAAGAGGAAGGAATAGGCGTGGTTGCAATCGAGGAAAGAACGCTCAGTATCACGATAAGAGCGTAATCGCCGGCATTCTGTTGTGTGCGCTCACAGTCAGCTAGCTCTCCATTTCCGAGACTCTGGGAATTTTGCTTACCAGGGTCATGCCCTGAGTGATGGCTAGGAAGACGACTACGACAGGGAAGTAGATTGCCGTGCCCTGTGACCTTGCATGTTAGTTCCGTTCAACGAGCAATCGAGGAGAAACGTCTTCTCAACAGATGTTGTTGTTGTTGTGGTGACAACTTACGTCCATGTTGATCAGACATCCAAGCGGAGCGGTGAATTTGTACACGTTACTGGGTACTTTGTTCTTGCCCAAGCAGCGCCTAGTTGTAGTAAGTCAAGAGGTCAGCAGACGTTCCAGGCGTATCCTTTCGCGTTTGTTGACTAAGAGCGTTGTGCCCTATGATTAATCAAGCGGGGAAGAGGGCTTCTGCTTACATGGTTACCGGCAAAGTTGCGGCGGAAGATGCTGAACCCCAAGCAAGAATCCAAGCGGGTGCATGTTTGAGCCACCTGCACGGGAGGAGATTAGCCCGTGGGCCCGATAAGTTTTCTCGATCCCATGTAGACTTACCAGGTGAAGGGGTTCTGTCTTGTGAAAATCCAGAAGATTGCGGGGAGGAAGATCAGGAGGTGGATAAACTATCCAAGAAGCAGTCAGTAGAAGTTCCGCGATGTCTGAGGCAAGTTCCTCGTAAGTTGAAGATGTCTTGTGGTGATTTGATCTTACCATTCCCGCAAGGGATGCACCGATGAGGACACCCAAGTTCTGGCCGATTGTTGCGACGTCCAAAGTCATCAAATTGCTGACGATCAAGAAGAAGACACCGATTGGCGCCAGTTTGATCAGGAATTCGATGATGACATAGACGATTCGGTCGATTTCCTTGATTGCTCGCAGCAGAGAGGAGTTGGGCTTGAGCAGGCAGCCGACTACCACCGCTGTGACCAGCACGGCGAGTAGCTGGTCCTCTGCCAGAGCCTGGAAGACGTTCTGAGGGATAAAGCTGGTGAAGACAGTTACGACGATGTCGTGAGGTTGTTGGCTGGCGCGCTCGTCGATGGTCTCTTGATCCTCTTCCGCTACTTCCAGGCTACCGGCATCCGCTTGCACCATGAGGTTCGACCATACTAAGTCCATCAAAATCATCTTTTTCGTGGTTAGTGAGCATCCCATGCGATTGAGGCTGGTCGACTGTAAAGTCGGTGGATGCAGGAATTGAGCGTGTTCGACCACGACTGTGGCAAGTACTTACGGAATGAACGACGGCTAACACGGTGGTTAAAACGTAGTACCCGATAGTCCATTTTGCTAATTTGGACCCTCCCTTTGTCATCGCTTTCAGATTCTGTACTGCTTCGTGTCAGCTTGATAACTGCGCGAACGCCCATGGCAAGGTGTCGATTCTTTGCGCATACCAGCAAGGACGATTGCCGTAATAATGAGAGGAAGTACAGTTGCTCGCAGCGCACGAAGCCATAGGGTGCCTGGAATTTGGAGCACCACCGGGGCGGCTTCAGGAATATCATCCACAGTGAACGACACCGCCAGCCCAATGCCCACCGCGACAAGAGCTGCGATCACGATCTGTAGAGCCGAGCCGGGGGTTTTCAGGTTGCGCAGTACCCTTGCGCCGAATTTCTCCTTCACGACCTCGCCATCTTGTCCATGTTGTGGTGTCGGACTTGTCTGCGAAGACTCCCTGGTGATATTCTCTTCAACTGGCGCGCCTTTCTCGTAGGTATCAACGGCCGTCATCTGAGAGTAACATGTGTAAGCGATGGTTACTGTCTCACATGTGGTGGCTTGGGTAGGGCTTCCACCTATGACTTTACTCACGTTGGGCGTTCGGTCGAGAAAGTGAGCCTTGGCAAGATAGGAAAAACAGGCGTGAAGTGGAGGAGACAACTAAGAACATATACTTATCACGAGCAATTGCGAAAGACCGCACCTAGCCGTACCCGAAATGCGACCTCAGGCGAAGGATCTATCAGCCCAGAACTCAAGAGCGTCGAAGAACAGTGGCAATGATAAGTCTTGCGCACGCGCGTGGTACCAAGTCCGAGGGCCAACCCAGAGCACTATGCTTGGGATTCGCTAAAGCACCTCGAGACAAGACCCCAGACGGTGAGCATGCCTCTTAGAGGCAGCTGGATGTCAACTTAAGCTCATCAATCTGGCGTAGGTGGCACCTCGCCCAGCGCCATTGGCTCAGCATCGCGCAATGGAGAGCAAATCTTTTTGCATTTCTCGCACGCGACGCCGTTCCTTTGACAGCATCCAAGATAACGTGCTTGGCCGGTGCACGCGGTCTATGGGTCTTGCTCGCATGTCGGTGCCGTCCAAGACGGACTCCAGGCTTGGTAAATCTGGGAGGAGGCTCGGCGTTTTCGAAGCACGTCGAAGTGGGCAAGTCTGCTGCTGGAAGAGAAGGCGCTTCTGCACTTTGAGAGCCGTTCAGGAACAGCCAACAGCTAGGCCGCCGACCTAGAGACGAGTTGCTGATGGTGATGTTAGTGATGTTGGTGTGGCAGGAGTGGTGTCGTCTTAGCGCACCCTAGCGCCTGTGCTGAATAAGCACTTGGCATTCAAAAATGGTGGGAATAGACATGGGAATTGGAAGGAGAGGACAGCGATTTCTTTGCTATGTGTACATGATCTTACACTGCATGCAAACTCTTACACCGTACAGACATAGTCGGTGATGAACAGACACCCCGCAGCTCCGTCTCACGCACTGGACTAGCTTTCCCGGCTTGCCGAGCCTCTCAGGCAAGCACTTGAACGCTCAGCTACTTGCAGTCTGATGCTCTAGGTACAATTTATTGGAAGCCGTGATCGATATCATGACAGACGGAAGACCTTAAGGGCCCACGGCGTTATTGCTCCAGCGCTGACTCGGGATTATCATTCACGGGATCGCCTGTGCAGTATCGACCATTGGAAAGGTACTTGAATTGTTGATCAAGGCTTGGGTTGTCTTTCTACTTCTGTATCTCTCTATCCTGATCCACAGCTTTGAAAAGCATGTTCAGCTTGCTTCATATCTACACCATTATTCCTCCTTTGGCTCTCCAAGAAGCTTCATAACCCTCACAGCCTCGGACTGGCACTTCTTCGTCTGGCCCTGGATTTCCGGCGCATATGGGTTGGTCAGAGGGTACGCTGCATCGAGCACAGAGCTGTTCGTCAAGACGGTCTTGTTGACAATCTTTCCAAGATCCTTGTTGGGCCGGAAGACATCTGCCTTCTCCTGTGCGGCTGCGATGAGTTTGTTCGAGGCGATAACGACCTGTTATTACAAGGGGAGTCAGTTTACCGAAGAAAGAAAGACGTGGAAAGCGGCACAGGAACAACGGACATCGTTCGCGGCATTCTTCAGGTCAGCCTGCGCAGACTCATCGTCGACATCGACAACATCTGTCGGCAGCTTCTTCGATTCCTTCAGAAGCTCGTCGTGGGCTTCCTTGATTTCCTGCAAGTGAGAAAGCCACCATGTTAGCATTCGGAAGCTCTGTACTCCCCGCATTATCTCTTCTCCAAAATGGTAGTCTCTCGGACTGTCCGGGTCGGATTCAGACGTACCTTCAAGGTCTCGCTCAAATCATCCCCCTCATTTGCATTCTGAAGTGCCTGAGCAATGGTATAGGTCTTCTCGCCGAAGCCCTTGAAAGCCTGTTCCCACTGTTCTGCCATATTGAATCTATCCGTTGTGAACGCAGTACTGGAAATGTAAGTGTCGAAGTTGGTAGTGACGCAGATCGATGAGAAGATGAATTCGGAGAAGAGAAGAGGACACGCGAGAACTAATTTATCTCTGTGCTGTCAGCTTGCGTGCTACCACTTGCTGATCTTCCAAGCTTCCAGACCATGAATGGGCCACAATCGTCATGCAAGGGAGGGGTGAAGATCTCCTGCCATATCGGGCTTGAGGAGCCATAAAGTTTGGTACTACTGCAGGAGCGTGGAATCGTGCTTGGCTTGTGAGAGATATGGACATGTGAAAAATGAACCTGGAATCGGTGTGCAAAGCTTTGAGTAGTGAGGACATCTTACAGTTCCAAAATGCTGATGCTGTACAGAACACCACTGATCCTTCAAAACGAATGCCGACAAACAACGCTGCTGTGCTCAAGTAATGCCTCAAGCGGCCAATCAATGTCATCGTAGCATCGCTCACAACATTCATGCCTTACTCAAATCCGCTGATTCGTCAAATACTTTGCAAGACCAGAAGTGCCTGGAGGAGTTCTCCTACTTGCGACCTCCTCGCTTCTTGCTCTGCTTGATAGCAAATCCACTACCAGTGAGATCTTCCTTCGGTGTCTCCTTGCCTGACTTCTTCGCGACCTCGCTCCAGCCTCCAGCACTAGCACCATTAGCGGGACTGGCGCTCTTGGGAATAGCAGTGTCGATAAGTCCCTTGTCGGCCAGGCGCTTGCGGCGAATGAATTCTTCAGCGAAGTGGCGCGAGTCGATTGTGCTAGACACGGCGTGGACTGCTTCGGTGATGATCTCGTTGTCTGGCGGCAGATTAAAGAGACCAGAGACGAAGTCCTCAACTGTACACGAGTTAGCAAATTTCGCAGTGAAATGTGTAAGGATGCATGACTTACCACTAATACCCTTGGCAAGGTCAGGACGAAGCTCGTTGGTTGCCCACTTCTTGAACTCATCTTGGGCATTGATGGCGGCTGCTCCCGAAGTCGTGCTCCTAACAGGCTGTCTTCGAGATGCTGCAGGCGGCTGTACAGTGGGCACGACGCCGGCACTGACAGTGCGAGCCGTCGGCGTCACAGGAGCTGGAGTCTTGACCTTGCCACTAGCTCCGACAGTAGTCCAGGCACTGTTGCCGGTGCTGATTTGAGGAGGTTGGGCATTCACTTTTCCAGCTAGGTTCGCGTAACTCTTTCCACCAGCTGGCGCAGCGACACCGGACATTGCGTTCGCGAGGGCTGCTTGCTGTTGAGCTTGAGCAGCATTCCTGCGCTTGCGGGACTCCTCCTCCTTCTGAATTTGGGCGAGTGTCTTCGAACCCGCTGCGCCGCTTGGCTTTTGAGCGGTTTTCGCCCACGCCGCGGGCGCGCCGCCAGTTGGAGTGGCGGGGGAAGGAGCGCCCCAAGTAGCTGATGTCGGGATGCCAAGAGCTGGAGCTGCGACTTGCGCCTGCGCCTCCATCTCTTTCTGGAAAGCAGCACGGCGGGCGGCAGAAGCGAGCGCCTCTTGTTGCTCCGCCTGCCTCGCTTCAGCTTCCTGGATCTCGCGCAAGGATGGTCCCTTGGGCGCCTCTGCGGGTTCTTTTGCCCATGGCGCAACGGTGGCGCTGGGCGTGTCGACTGATGGGCTTTGTGAGAGACCACGCGAATCAGTCTGCAGCTGATCGGCGACGCTCTGCCTACCGGCACGCTGAGCAGCTGGAGCTGGAAGTGGGGACTGAGATGGTGCGGGTGGGAATGGCTGGGGCAGGCCAGGCTGCTGTGGCTGTGGGGAGTGTTTGGCAGAAGCTGCCTTTTGCACTTGCTCTGTGAGCGAGAGAGGCTCCTGTTGGCGGTCCTGTGGCGCCTGGGGCTCCGCGATTTCAGCGGCATCCTCCTCATCGGACTGAGCAGATGCAGCTGCAGCCTTGGCCTGATTCACCTGTGCTTGCTGAGCTGACTGCTGAAGTGCCTGGCCCTGCAGTTGCTGGAATTGCTCAAGACGTTCTTGTGTGGCCTGAGCCTGCTCCATCTCGTTTGCCTCATCTTTGGCATCATGCTCGGCCTGCTCCTGTTGCAATTTCGCACGATCCTGCATCAATTGCTGGACCTTGCCCTCGTGCTGCTCAGCTTGCTGCCTCGGCTGTTGCTGCAGCTGACCGGTAAACGGTTGTCCTGGTGCACCAAATTGGCCAGACTGTTGGCGATTGTCATTGACATTCATACGGTTGAGAAGATTTGGAATCTCTTCCTCTCTGATATGGCCAAGTGAAGGCGCGCCTACAGCACCAAGGCCAGCCGCCTGTGGTCTGTTGAAGGTGTTGTCAAAGAAGCCAGCCCCGCCAGCAGCACCAGTCGTTGGTCCTTGACTGGGACTTGGTTGGTAGTTTGCAGGGCTCTGGATGCTGCCGAAGCTTGGCTGAGACTGCAAGCTATGAGCGCTGCTGTGGTGGTGCAATTGACCAGGGAGGCCGACTGCGCCTTGAGCTCCCATGTGTGACATACGCACTGACATTTGAGCTTGCGCGAGATGTTCCTTCTGTCGTGCCATGAGATACTGTTCCTCCTGCTTCCTGCGCTCAAGCGCATTCTGCTGCTCCGCAGTGAGAGTAGTACCGAAGCTTGGGAAGCTGTTTGCGAAAGGCGGCTGCGCACTGCCAGTGGCCGGATTGCCACCGGCACCTCCGCCAATCGCTCCTGCCCATGCGTTGGGACCAGATTGTGCTGCCGAGCCGTGCGGAATGCCAATTTGAGGAACCAGGAAAGGCTCACGAGAATTGCCGATGCGCCGTATAAGCTGCGCAAGTGGCTCGTAATCCTGATCTTCATACTTCTTGACGAGGAGCTCAGGTGAGAAAAAGCCAGCCTTGTACCAGTCATGCATCTCGAGACCTGACCAAGGACCCTGCGTCTGACCCTGAGGATCGCGATAAATCCAGCGCATTCGATCAGGCATGACCATTGTGCGTTGTTGAGGTGCGGGTGGCTGGTTTGAAGCAGAGCTACCAGGCGGCTGATTCTGGCCCTGCTGCTGCGCTTGATCGTGCAATTGATGCTGGCTTTGTTGGTGATGTAGGTCCGCAGTATCATGCTGCAATTTGCCTGGCTGGCCATCGTTGAAGCCTTGATTTGCGAATGGACTCTCTGAGGATCGCCCAAAGTCACCAAGCCCGGTGAACTGCGCTGTTCGGTCGTGACTGCCATCCCGATCATGGTGACCATCGTTATGACGCATTTGATCTTGCATCTGAGGCGGGAACATGCTGGCCATTCTGCCGCCACCGAAGCCCCCTTGCGCGCCAAACCCACCGAGACCCGCTAGACCTGGCGAACCCATATCACCCAAGGAGTTTGCGAAAATGCCTGGTCCGAAGGCGTTCATCGCTGCGTTGTGCCTCCCAGGCGTACCAAGCCCGCCTTGCGAAGCGGGCCATGCCGATGCGCCTGGAAGTCCTCCCAATTGGCCAAGCCCACCAAACCCACCAGAGAAGCCACGCTGCGGTCCTGTACTGGAAGTCTGACTCCTGTCACTTGCGGGTCCCTGAGTCAGCGGACGGCCGAGGTTTGGCAATGGTCCTAGGCCGCCCAAACCGCCAAGTGGTGGTTGCGAGTGCTGCTGCGTTGGATCTGCTCCAAAATGGCCCAGTCCAGGTAGATGTGTATTGGGCACATCGCTATTATCCCCCTCGTTATTCTCGCCAGGGCGATCTGCGCCATGTTGTTCGGGGGACTTGTAAGGGTTCGTATCAGTGGGACTCATTGGTTCGTGTCCGCTAGCTTGCTGCAGACCCATACGCTGATGCGCAGGGGTCTGCTGGAATCCGTCTCGAGATCCAGCGTAGTTTTGACCGAAGCCGTGCGTATTGTCAGTAGTCATGCCAAACGCTCCGAATCCGAAATCGCCATGTGCGGCTTGGCGGCTGGGGGTGCCGAAGCCCTGGTACCCTTGTCTAGGCTGAGAATCACTGATGTCTTCATCGGCCGCGAGCGCAGCGCTGCCAGTGGGCAAGTCATCATCGTTCTGTTCTTGACTGTCGTCTGCGTGCTCGCCTCGATTTGCCGCGCGCCACGACTCATTTTCGACGACTCTGCCCAGACCGGGAATGCTAGGTTTCGGCTCCACACTTTTCGCGCCTCCATCTTCGCCTCCATCTTTGCTCAAAAGATTCTTGAACCTGCTCTCAGACCTTCCGCCCAGACCCGCTCCACCCTTGCTTCCTGGCGCAGCTTGCTGAGCAGTACTACTACTCACGCCAAAACTGCCAAAGGAGCCCATCGGAGCGAGGCCCGCGCCTTGTGGGCCAGGACCAGTGGACCAGGGAGAAGGGGAAGAGGGGCCATTGAGTCCAGCAGAGTGCGGCGCGATCGGGTTACGTCTGACCGAGCCGTATTGGGAGGCGGCAGGTTTATCGTCAGCATCCTTGTCCTCAGCTTTGTTCAAATTCTGTTCGGTCCTACGCCGCGTCAACGCCGAGGGAGGCGAAGGTGCTCGATGCTCAGTGAAGCCGCCAGGAGAAGATACATTTTGCGGGAAGGGATATGACTCGCTCGTCTCTCTACGACGGCCTGCCGCTCTCGCAACGCTTGGCGACATAGGTCCAAAGCCGCCGGGAGTGGTTGCACCAGTCGAGATACTAATCTTTCGTCCTGTTGCACCGTTCGTTTGTTGGCCGTCTTTACTCGTGGGTTTGATGGGGTTATTGACGGAGGTCTTGAAGAGCTGTTTGCCCTGGTTAGTATGTGACGTTATTTCCCCCACACGCAATGCTCGTCTACACACCTCTCGCTCTTCGTCGTCCATCTCGACCAGTCCCAAAGGTTCGCTCGTGCCCTCTCTGTCCCACGCAAGATCTGGACCGGGTAGTGTGTCGCGGTGGTTGTCGCCTCTACCCCACCCCGCTGCGGCACCGTTTGTGATGTCGGGCTGCCAGCCACCGACCAGATGCGTAGCCAGCCCGTCAGTTAACGCGCCCTGCTTGGACTGCAACACCTCGTATATGCCGAGCATTTCTTCCTTGGTATATTTCGTGCTCGGTGTAGTGCCGTTGGTGCGGAAGGGAGGGACATATGGCGCTGTTCGGACTGCGGCCGGGTTCTGATTCGAGTTGGGGCCATTGGTAGCGCCTGAAGGTCGCCGGAAGGTCTGCGTCGCGCCGTTCGTTCTCGGTAGTCTGTGCATTTGTATATGTCAGTACGTGGGCCTTGTTGGCAGTGTTTGGCGCATCGTGGTGGTTGGAGAGAGCACGCGCCGGCGCATCTGCTGTGGCACTCTTCCTCCCGCCCGTCTGGGGACTGCGTACCTGTCGCTGGCGGAGTCACGTGTGGAGGAGGAATTGCCAGCCGCGGCTGATGCGAAAGAAGACGGCGGCGCCATTTGAAGGTGTAAATGTCGATGAGCAGTGCTTTACGCGAGATGCCAAATTCGTCGCTCGATGCAAGAATGTCCACGAGAGATGTTGGAGTGAGCTGAAAGGATGGAGCGAGCTGAAGGTAGCGGTCGTGAATCGTAGGCGGTGTCGATGCAAGCGGAGGTGGTGGCGTATGGTGCGTGGACTCTTTGGACGAAGTGGTCGTGAGGGTCGCGTGCGAGGTGTGTGCAAATGCAAGAAGCGACACTGCCAAATTGGGCCTGCACGGGTACTCCTGCGCTCCCAGCCTTGTCGCTAGTGCCTGCCGTGACGTTCCTGCATCATTCAGCAGAAAACCATTTTCTACGTTGATGCTCTGCCAGCAACATGTTCTCGGCTACTACCATCATACTCTCTCCTCTCCTTCACCTTCTACTCGCCTCGATACGCCTCCATCTCGCGCAGAAGCCGCCACAATCGCGCGAAGACACGTCCGAACGCGTGCTCAGAGAGCTATGGCCCTAGCCCAGCTGTCAAACCAGTACCACCACCAACCCTCCTGACACCTTTCACAAAGGAAGCCACCATATGCGACAGCACCTGCGAATGCTACTCTTCGCCCAAATTCCCACCGCTGATGACCAAATGGCACTCTTTCGCCTTGTCTCACCTCGTTTATTCTACCTCGGCCAAGGCGGGCACACTCAAGCCTTCGGCCGCGCCTGAGGCATGACGGGTGCTGCCGATAGAACGTGGCGCAGATCAGTGATAGTGCCACGCTCCAGGTTGCTCTGTTGACTTCTGCTGAACACGACGTTCCTAGAGTCGTGACTCCCGGCTCCAGAACCCGTGTGAACGGCACAGCGGTGAGTATTCGTGCATGCGTCGCTCTATTTGAGATGCTTGAGATGTCCAGAAATCGGAGACAGCCCAACTTCCAGGCATCTGGAAGAAGTCGCCTTGGAGCAATGGCAAGAAGGTCATGCTGCGCCGGCTAGCATTACAATTTGCTTGATAAAAGATGGAATTGCTTGAACTCCCACGCAATGCGTAACATGAAACCCCCCCGTGCGTACGACACATCACATCTTGACCTAAGCAAACATCCCACGGCATCTAGATCAACAAGTACTTGCAGCTTCCGATGTTCCATGGTAGAGCTCGACGGCTTCTTCATATTCCATTCGCCAAAAATCATCGAGCCGGCCCTGTAGCACCTTTTGAGCAAGCTGGTGCTGTCCATCCCGCGTTATGGGTCAAGTGAATTCATGGATAAGCTACACGAACCAAGATGTCCAATCTGCGATGCGGCGACCGTTTGACAAGCAGCTCGAGCTCACCGATGATCGCGAAAACATCCAGCAATGATCAGAAAACTGCTGTCATATACTCCACGGGCCGCTCTCATGCGTTCTGAGTTCGCCCATACACCCACAGCCTCCGCGTTTCGCTTTCGACTCCAACATCCACCTTTAGTGCATCGAAGGCTGATAAATTAGGCGAAAACTTCTGATCGGCTCTCAAATCTGGCTTGCCTCAGCATGGCCATACCAAATCATCCGTCGAACATCAAGCCTTACATGGCCGCCATGCTATTCGACCAGACTCACATGCCAACACTAGGCAGAAGAAATATGGGCCTTGGTACACGCAGTCAAATCCATAATCCTTTCAGCTACGACACTAACGAGTCACAGGCAGTGCCTTCTTCCCGAGTGGCTCAAGACCGCCCATGCACATGATGAACCGCTTATATCCCAGCATGGCCGCTCACGGGGCATCGAACTCTCCGTTCGGCGCTGGGCAATATCCCTATCCTCACGATCCCGTCGTCCCCAGCCCTTGGGCGATGCAACCACCACCCATGATGGGTCCTGGCTTCCCCGGGCCAAGTCCCGGAGGAATGCCGCCTCTACCACCTCCACCGCCATTCATGCCCGGTCCTACAATGGGCCCACCAGGAGCGGGCATGTTTCCACCTGGCATGATGGGTGGAGGCGGACCCGGTTTTGGAGGCCCTATGGCACCTCCAATGGGTGGACTACCAATGGGCGGACTACCACCTGGAATGGGCGGCACACCTGATTTCGGCAGTATGTCGTTTCCAACGCCATCCTACGCCGGCAGCAGCGTCTTTAGTTCTTCCGATGGCGACTACGATGACGACGACAGTAGCAGCGGCCTCTGGGGTCCCGATCCAGACGAAGACGATCCGCTCGTGTACTTCCACCGTGCATCGAAGAAGGGGACAAGGAAAGGCAAGAATAAAGGTAAGCTTTATTGTTCCGTTAGAGGCTCCCTCTACCTGCATTTGCTGAACGCCGCCTCCAAGCTCATCCCATGAGATATGGCTGGCAGGTCGACTTACCCTTCGACTTCACCTTCGGTCGACTACCAGATAAGAGTTGGAAGAAGACTTGGGGGTGGTAGCTTTTAAGAATGTGCTGACCGTGTGCTGTCTGTTGAGCTAGATCATCCCAAGAACACATTTAAGATGAACACAGCAATGTTTAGACTTCCAGGCGCGCCAATATTTATGCCGACGGGAATGGGTATGGATATGGGAATGAATATGGGCATGGGCATGGGATGTCTATAAGGTCCTTCAGAACTGCATAACGTCTAATGACTTTTCGGTTTGTCAGTTACATGAGCTTTGACGCATCTGAGGCATTGTGTTTTGCGGTATCCGAGAGGCTGCACTGCTGTGTCTGTATCAGTGCTGGAAAGCAAGTCTTGGCACATAAAGAAGCAGCTAGTTACTGTACATGTATTTCGCACAACCGCAATCTGCCCTCTATGCTCTCACGCTGCAAGCAGTCGCATTTAAGACTTTAACCCTCATCAACAAATCGCTCGTTGTCAGCACAGCGACCTGCCTCGGCGAAGACCCTCAACCCTCCGTTGGGCACCAACAACCACAAAGATCGACACAAGTTCTCCACCTCACCTCACAACTTCATGCGCGAAACAAACGTGCACTGTCACTGACTCAATCAATTTGAGTGGCCGCAGCGCATTTTCATTGTTGCCCAAAGTCGGCGTAATTCTGTACCAGAAAACTGTTTAGCACAAGCGGCGACGGTGCGGCCCAGTTGATCAGTGCCGTCCACCACGTGGATCGCCGGAAGTAAAATAGAGTAGATGATTATGTGGATGATTTGCACAACCATCAACTTCGAAACTTCGTCATCGTTATGGCGTTTGATATTCATACATAGGCGTAAGTCATGTTTGCAAACATACAGGTTGCGTAGAAGAATGGGTGGTGGAGACAACCTAAAATCCGTGCCTCTATGTTTCGAGACCCTGGAAATCTTGAACTCCGATGCTCCAACTCCATTTTGTTCGATAACAGCCCAGCCAAAGTTCCCCAACGCCTCGCCAACGTGAAGTCATCAATTCAGAAAGAATGCGTGGTAGCCGAGTGGCTCACTCCTTGGCTATCGGCTCTGCACCTCCATCTGCACTTGCGGCAATCACAGCCGCCGGAGTGTGCTGCGGAACGGAAGTCGCTGGTGGGCTGGCCAGTGGTGAGTGTTGATGAGCATGATTCTGCCCACCAGCGCCCGTGCCACCCAGGGCTGCAATTTGATGTTCTGTGAAGTTTATCAGCATGGACGGTTCCTCTGCGATATTTGCAATCAACCTACCGAGCTCCCTGATTCTCAACTTCAGCATTTGGTTTTCTCTTGTCAAGTTCTGCGTCTCAGCCTGATAGAATGCCGTCTCGTCTCTTGTCCCTCCCAGCAAGAAGTCTTCCGTCAAAGGCCCGAGATTACTAGACTGAGGTCGCAGAGCTGGTGAGGTTCCTCGGCTGCCTGGGGTGGAGATCAAGGCCGAGGATCTACGAGAGAGCGAGTGTGGGCGGTTGAAATGTTGTTGCGTTGGATGTGCCGGGGTCGCGTGAGACTGTGCGGGGCTCGATGCTTCAGTGACTGCTGTGCTCGTTGGCGCTGCCAGGCCGGAGGGCGGTGTGGGGAATCGAGTGTGCTCGGCAGACGAGGGAGAGACCTCTGTTGCTTGCGACTGTTGCCTGTGGATGGCAGCTAGCTGATCTTGCTGAATTCTAATCACTGTAGAAGTTAGTGGAATGTAAGCATGTGTTTCACGCATTTCTCTCGGTCGGGCACTGTTGATTGTCCAGGAGCAACTCTTCAGAGGGACACTCACTATGCAGCAATCGATTGACCTGAGCTTCCTGTTCATTCTCAAGCTCTTGATGCAATTCTCCCAGACTGGGTTGTCTGTGGTGATGTGGATCTGCAGTGTGCAACACAAAAGACCTTCTCCCAAGTCGCGGACTGCCGGCATTGCTCCCTTGACCGGCGTGGTTCTGCTGGAGTTCTCCTGGGCCAGGCACAGCCGGATCGTTGAGCAGTAGATTGTTCATGAGGGACGATCTGCGGCGTTCGACGCTCGGCGAGGCACGAGAGGGCGATCTATGTAGTCCTGCGTTGATTGTGGCTGCAGCTTGCAGCGAAGAAAGAGATGGCGATCGTGGAGACGGCGGGCTTGGTCGAGCAGCTTCCTGCGTGCTGATGGAGATTCTGCGTGGGCGAGCTGCAATTGGTGATCCGGGCCCGGAAGGCGGCCTCGAAGTCGGGAGGGTGTTCAGGTCGGGCGGCATGATGCTTTTACGGTGCCACGTGTGCAGGCGGCAAGAGGTGAGTGCTAGGAAAAGATATAGGCCTTACTGCTGGGGATACCGCGTGGTGGTATGACGTGCCGCGTCGTCTGCGAGCACATGCACAGAGAGGTGACTGGTGGTGAGACCGTGTGGAGTGAGCACCGAGCGCGCCGCCGTGCTTGCCCATGCAGCCTTCCGGAAGAGGCAGGCTCGGCCCGTCGGGGTCGTTTCGTGTCCTTCGTCTCGTCTCGTCTCTCCTGCAGCAGCGTGCAGCAACATGGCACCGCCCGCTCACGCAAATCTCTCAGGCCGACATTTGCGCAGAACGGCGGGGGGCAGGGCGGATGCGACATGCAACGCTCCTCCGCATTTCGCTGCGCGGACGAGGGGACGCTGGCCCTTTTGTTCCATCTTCGCCGCACCGCGTGCGCACGCTGCAGGATGGGCCAACAGGCTCGCTTGTTGACATCCAGGCCCCTGGAGCTGGCGTGCGCGCCAGGCGGCCGTTGGATGTGACCATCACATCCCCAGCGACGCGGCTCTCTCGCAGCGACCCTTTCTGGACAGGCAGACATCTTGCACCGACGCCACGCGTGGACGTACTGCAGCCAGTGCTGTCACGACCACGCCGGTACGAGCTTGTGTGGACAGGCTCATCTGCGCAATTCTACAGCTCTACTGTTCCAGACGGCCTGCCAAGTCGACTGCTGATGAGAGTGCGGGCAGCTGAGGCCAACGCCTTGCTTTCGCCTTATAGTCGCCGTCTGCTATACACGCTGCGGTTGCGCGCGCAATCGATCACAATCAACACCCACGACGCTTGAATCATGAAGCTATTGTTACTAACGATTGCGGGACCAGAGCCATAGCTCTCCCCGACGCCGCCCACCTACGCTGCCGTCTGCCACGGAAGTCTATTTCTTGCCTCTTTGGCATTGGCGCTGCACCAGCAGGCGATCCGCTAACCTGAGCTATATGTCACGATTGGACAGTTGGGATCCAATCTTCCGCGAGTCCACCGTGCATACCCAAAAGCACTCAAAGAGCACTCGCCGGCGCGCACCCATTCTCCTCCATGGACCTGACGTTACAGACTCGCGCACTCTCTGACAACCCAGCGCGCTTCAGCACCAACCCCCAGCGCGTGCTCAATGCCCTGCCGTGCAACGCGCCATCAGCACTCATTCTGAGGCAGGCGAGGCCCGGATCTTCGTTCCGGACAGGGTACCGGACCTGCCGAGACAGCGACTGGACTTCATCCGAATCGCTAAGACCGTCCTGAATCTGCGAACTTGCTGCACTGTCGTGCCAGAGTTTTCGCTTTGCCCGATCACATGGATCTCCTTGCAGAGTGCCCTGTGCAGTCGTCCGACACTTCAACCCAAGATGCCGACTACAAGCTCCCGGCATTATCACGATCGCAGACCACTCTCCATGTCACAGAATACCCTTCACCTGACGGCCCGCCGCTGCCCAGTCCCACGGCCTCGATTCCTGTTTCTCCTTCAATAGCCTCCCCAACGACGGACAAACGAAAAAGTCTTCGATTGCGTCCCACTGAGAGTCTTGATCGTCAACATGCAGAACCTCTCCCACTAAGCACCAGTCCGAAGACAACAACACCCCCGGAACTGCGTCCAAGAACATCCAAGATGTCGCTCTTCCACCTTTTCAGCAAACCCAAAGTCGAAAAGCTTCGTGGTTACGCGGAGACTGGCCTGGACGCCCCACCTCGCGGGATCTCCAACAGTGATATCAAGAGGCCTGTGCGGCCCAGCAGGCCTGATGCTCATAATGGCAAACTGCAACCCTCGCCCTCGAGAACTGTCGATACTCCGAAGATTGCAAAGCCAATGCCCGAAGTGTCAGCACTACCAGCACCAAGCGAACGATCACCAAAGATGCGTACTTTCGAGCCACCGCCATTGTTCCAAGTATGGCCCCAGGCTATCAAGTCTGCATCGTTTGAGGTCTCTACTGTCACATCAGATAACAACGCTCCAAGGTCCAAGAACCGCATGCTCGGCGCGACCCTGTTCGTACCCGGAAGCGATTTACAATCACTGCAGATGGGTTCGCCCAAAGACGGTGCTGAACCGCGAGCATCGACATCTACCAGAGTAGCAACGCGACAATCATCTATTACGGCAAGCAGCCTACCCACTAAGCTCATCGTCCTTGTGACCTCTGGATACCTGTTGCAATATGCTGCGACCGGACCCAACGATCGATATCCCGAGAAGATGTTGCAACTACAGAAGGAAAGTGCCGCTTTTGCGTCGGACTTGATTCCAGGTAAACATCACGTTCTACAAGTCGTGCAATCCGTCAACGAACAAGGTGTCATGGCAGCACCATCGACGGGCTTGCTTTCGAGGCTCGGACTGCGCAGTCAAACGGCACGCCGAACGACTACCACTTTTCTATTGGTCATGCCGGGGCCCGAGGAGATGAAGAATTGGATGACTACGATCAGGCAAGAGATTGAAAGACAGGGAGGCAAACACATTAGGTCGGACTCGTCGACCAACCGCGCTGATGTGAACGCGTCGGCAAAAAACGATCTGAAAAAGGCACTCAGTCTTACGCATCGGTACAAGGTCGTGCGGGCAAGCTCTATTCCCAATCTGGCGCTGGCTCAACAGCAAGCAGCCGACGCGTCTTCACCATCAAAATTGGCAGCTGAAGAGCATCCCGCTGCTGAGCCCGAGAGAAAAGTTGATGAGCATCAACAATCGCCAGTTACCAACGATGTACCGTCGCCGAGGCCACGCGCCAATTCAGACACGCCATCCACAAGTTCCTCGGTTGCCCCATCAGAGAATCAGAAGCAGCTCGACAAGCTACGTGATAGCACAAGATCGTCACATGCTTCGACTATGGCGACCACAGTGGGGTCACTGGCTTCTCGTACGAACTCCATGTCATCAACGCCGCCAGTTGAGTTGTTAGCAAGGGACAGTCATGAGCCACAACAGGACTATTGGTCATCCAAAGGTCCTTACCGCAACCTCGCGTCCTACTCCCTGCCCAAGAGACGCTCCAACGTGCCTCTGCCACTTCTCTCTGAGCCTCTGAGTCCCAAGGCGCAAGCATTGCGCAGAGTAGAGAAGTCACTGGACTCAACAGTATTGCCCGCTGCTCAGGATAAACAAGCCACCGAGAGACAGAATGTGCCACAACTGCAGCATTTGAGCAAATCTGATGGCGACGTACGGCCAGAATCATTTCTGGGCGACTTGCCAGATCGCAGCAAATGGGCAAGCACGAACTTGCCCGGGCATAAGTTTGTGGCCCAGCATGCCTCGACAAGCAACCCGACGCTTTCTGGGCGTGCGCTTCACTCTGGACAAACAAGACCGCTGAGAAATAGCTCCCAGTCCTTCAGCCTCCCTCTCAGAGTCAATCCAAGTGATGGTGTCTCGCAGCGAAGTGTCTCATCACGAAGTCCCAGACCGACAGAGGCGGATCCAGATTTACGTTCTCCAGTACCAGCTGCGACGACCTTGATTGCGAAGGTGGATCCATCGCAACGCACGCCCAGCCCAAGCTACGGAGCTGCTCAAAGAATGTCGCTGACAACACCTGCAGTGGCCTCTGCAGGCCAATACAGGCGTGTGTCTCCTGCAAGGTACTCGCTTGTTCCTACTGGGGTGTCAGCCCTCCCGACTATCTCGACCTCATCTGCAGATGCTTTACGTCGCTCGCCATCAATGGCTTCCGTGCCAATAGGCATGTCCCCAGCACAGCAATCTGGCCCTCTTCGCCGACCCGCCTCCCTACAAGTACGAACAGATCACGCACCATTTCTGTCATCCATGCGATCTTCGCCGGGTTCACCAGATACACAGCTACGAGTTTCCACGACACCTCCTATTCGATCTTTGAAACCATCTCGATCAGCCAATCTTGTTCCGAACCGATCATCTAGCATTGCAGTTGTACCAACCTACGAAGAAGAAGGCGATCAAGCTATGCCTTTACCAGTCAGATCTGACTCCCCACCCAAAGTTCCACTCGTTCGAAAGGTCAGGACATCGACTTCGCTGCCCATGCTCGATCTGGGTATCCCGTTAGTTGGCCTAGGGCCTCCTGCGCCTCCACCTCAGGCACCCCTTCCTGAACTTCCTCCAGCGAGTCGACCTGGCAGCAGAGCCTCAGTGAGGCCTGAAAGCAGATCCGCGAGCAGGCAAGATTCGCACTCCATCCGCTGCTGCACACCCATCGGCGTAGCTATCAGTGATGCGCGGACGACTTCACCAATCGACCCTACCTCTCCCATCGGACGCACGAGTTTAGCCCTTCAAATCCCAGCATGAACGAACGAAACTTCACAAAAATTACGACCAAAACCTGTTTAAGACGACCGTCTCACGACGATTTCGATTCAACGACAAATGTGTGATTAATCAAAAATTTCTATTTCTTATGAAAAGCATGCACCGGGCAACTGGAAGGCATTGCTGACGGATTTACCTGTTATGCTGGGATTTTGTTATTCCTTTGGAGCAGTGCTACGCTATCGAAGGGCGTGAAACTGCATTGAATGCTTCTTACGAGCTCAGATCGAACCATCTCTCTTAGTTCTTAATGATACCCCCAATAGTACGCGCGAAAGTTGCGCCAGACGAAAGCAAGGCCAACAGTAGTGGCACCAATAGTCATAATGCGAGACATTGTATCAATATCGAAAGAATACCACGACTCATTCAAAGCATCACAACGAACATACTTTTCTCGCCCAAGATAACCAAGTTGGAAGGAATGAAAAATAACATTTCGTGGGGCGTGCGCTGTTCCTTGTTCGTCTTTTCATCGAAAGAGCGCAAACCATATTGACTACACTCGCTCTGATCAGGCAGGTAGCCTTCGGCACATATCCTCGGGATACAATTCTGCAAAATGAGCTATTATATGGCACGCAGGAAGAAAAGATACAAAGAACTTTCGAACTTTTGCCTGTCGCAAGCCAGGAACTTAAATGTCGGCAGGTCATTGTCACGAACATGCAGCTAGGAGGTAGCTGGTTGTTTTTACACCAGGTGTATGTATGCAGTATGCAGTATGCAAAGGCAAGGTGAATTCGTTAGTGCAATGCGAGTTCGTGGAGCTATGAGCTGTGAGGTTATACTGACATGTATACTTCATCGCAGCTCTCCTCTCCAAGAATGTACTCGTGATGTGGGAGGATACTTTTGTTGCTACAGTATCGTATAAGTATACCAAAGCAAGGCGGCGAGCGTATGGCCGGCGGCGGCAGGTGACATGACGCAAGTCATTGCCACTGTTGAGTGCGGAAGATGATTGTGTTTTGAGTTTTGCCTGCTATTGGGTTGCGGGAGGGGGCTTCACCTATAACGCGCCGGCGTTATACATACACCTGGTTGTCGATGGTTGTCGCTGCTTGGCTGAACTGGAGATCCCGGTTGCCCAACCTAGAAGAATTGTGAGCTATGACGTTGGCGGCAGTTGCAAATGGTTCGTGAGTCGTGGTTGAGGAAGGGCTGGAGGGCTGGTCACAAGGTCGGTCCGTGATGGATTGGGTTGTTATTGTTTTCAGGCTCGCCGAGTTGGCGCCGGGAAGTTCAGTGGCGTATAGGTGTCGTGCGTTTTGTGGTTGATGGTGGACAGGTTTTGCGGCTTGACGGTGGAGCGGTCTCGAGAGAGGGAGTATGCCTGATTGTAGGGAAGGTGGCGTCTTTGGTACCTCAAGGGCTTGTTGACAGTCATCGTTCGCGGATGACGAGGTTTCGCGCCGGTGCTGTAACTCCACACTGTCAACGCATTGGGCTCACAACGTCGATCTAGATTCTAGATCACACTTGACACAGGCGATATATCGGAGCTTTTGAGGCGGCCGGGTTCCAGCATGTTTACTGCCTCTTGAGAATGCTTGTCTATAAGACCAGGTTACTGATCCTCTATCACATCGACCATTCTCGGTCCGCCTCTTCTAAACAATACGACCGGAGGTGTCTCGTGGTTGGCAGTCTTTAACTTACGGCATTCGTCCGAGTGCCGTGCCGTACGTGCTCAGATCCAGATCGTTCTCGACGAAGGCACAGACAACGACGCCAACGCTCGTTCACCCGATCCAGGCTCTCCCCAGACATTGTTGAAGCCTCTTTTGAGGGCCCACAACAGACGTTCTGGAGCAAATCGTGGAGTGACTTTTTTCATTGCCGAGAAAGGTACATATACCAGTAATGTCTCGATTCGATCCGACGATCTAAAAGATGCTGATGTTCCACGTTTGAGCATGTACTTGGTTTCGTTCCGATAGCTGGAGACGGACTGATCAGACGCTCGAGCGCTGCAGCCAATCGCCTCTGCTCGACTTACATCTACTAGCAAGCTGAAGCCAAATGGCTAGCATTGAGAGGACAATACATGCATGCCGAGAGCAGTGGTATTCAGTGGTATACAGTGGTATTCCAAAACCTGCAGATTTCAATCCATTGATGCGTCTTATCCAGCTTCCCATATTCCACACGTGCTGTCACGCGGCTCGCATCGTAGACTTCGTTTTTCTGGTTGGGCGCCCTGGGCCTTCTGCTCCATTGGGTGGTCTTGTGTGTCGCCTGCACATACCTCTGTTGGGAACACACTGCATAAACTGAGATGAGGTCAACGAACCTGATCATATCATGCGCACGGATTGAGATGTCTTGGTCGCAGGGTGCCTGAAAGACAGGAGCTTGGGACATATTGAGGTCCCGATGGCAGGAGGAAACATGGATGCTTGCGACGCACAATGAATGATTCTCGCTCAGCTCTCAGCGTGTATATGATCTCACTTCAGTGCCGTGGTTGTATGCAGAAGTCGAGATGCCGCACGCTGAGCAGAGGCGGGTCAGTGGTACTTTGTCGAAGTCTCAGGCGTCAGGTGCTCTGTCGATGCCGGCACTGCCTTCGGTCTGTACAGAGTCACGACAGAAAGAAGTCGTTGCTTCCAGCGACACTCCGTTGCCGCTTAGTCTTGCCTCATTGTCGCTCGAATGCTCTTGTGAAATTGCTCATTGTCGCCCTCAGTTTGGAAGGAGTCACGCGGTCAACAATAGGCAGTCATGCCAGCTCCGTCTTCATAAGTCAGTTGCAATCGTGATGCCTACCCACACCACTTCTTGAACTCCAATACTTATCAAACACGCCATCATCAGTATAAGCTCGGCTTCGGGCGTTGATCGACTCTCCACAAAGCGCTCACGCCGGGAGGCATCGGATTCGTGCAGCTGTCTCGGTCGATGGCTCGCAAGCAGCACAATGGCATCCTGAATCTTGCTGCCCCGCTGGCAGCGTCTGGGCGATGCACTTGGAACAGGATTGCTACCACGCCCCATGATGCGGAGAGCAGTGACGCCGGCTCCATCACGATCGCGGAACGGACAGGTGGTGGCAGCGCGGTGGTACGGACCATTCCCAGGCACGAACCACGACCGAGCGGAGAATTGCATTGCTCGGCAGTGCCGCTGGGCTGACTGGACTCGAGCTGATGCGCGTGTATATGATGCGAAAAGACCAGAATATATGTCACCGCCCGCGCAGCTTCGTGCCGTGGCAGACGCGATCGAGCCAATGTACGCGAAAAGCTGGTGTCGCTCGCCTGTCCCAGCCTCAAAAACGCGTGAAGCAAACGCCAATGTCACGCAAAGCGGGCGATGCCGCGCATTTGAGCGGGGCTCTAGTCAAAGCCTACCCAAAGTTGCTGTACCACCGACTCTCAGGTAGATGAGATCTCGACAGATGTGGTTCAGGAGAGTGGCATGCGACACTTGTGCATACGGACTCCAGCAAGACACGTCGGTCTGCCACTGTACGCGTGACTGAGCGTGTCGAAAAGCGCGTTGGCCAAAGTGTCGATGCTTTCAATGCCGCCGAGCTGGTGATCTTCGGGCCACACGCGAAGCTGCTTGACGCACAGTCCTTCGCGTTCGTTGGCTCTTAACCGCGATCCTACTCTGCATTCCAACTTCGACACGGCCACCACTGCACGACCTTTCTCGACCTCATCACCCTCCTACCATCTTACCTTGTACCATGGACACGCTCACTCACCAATAGTCACTCTCTACAACACACTGTACGACTAGTTACGCGTCGATATCAAGCGGGGCACGCTCGCACCTCAGCCTCGAAAATCTGCACCATCTGCACGCCCGACGTGTCGAGGCATCGCGTGCCTACATACTGCAGACACCATGGACACTCCGCTGGGTGCCAGGCAGTCTGCACTGCCTTCACAAGAGAAGAAAGAATCACAACCGCCGCGTCCAACGCTGCTGCCGGCCTTTGAGCCCTTCTCACCTTTCTCATCCTCACCAGGCCTTCCCAGGCCGGCCAAACGCAAGTTTGACGAGACTTTCGACAACCGCCAACAGCATTATCCTACTCCAGTACCTACCTCATCAACAGGTATCCTCACATCATCGTCGCCGGCGCGTCAGACGCGTCCGGGACTCCAACGCACGGTCTCGGCTCTTTCTGAACGCGCTCCCTTGGGCGACGTGCCATGCCTCACCCTCTCACGTAACGGTGAACCATTGCTCATGGGACGTTCGAGCAACTCGTCCGACTACCAATTTCCTGCCAATCGTCACATTTCGCGTACACACGTGAGCGCCATATATCACGCTCCAGATATGGAATATCCGCGGGGAAGGATCACAATTGAGTGCCTCGGCTGGAATGGAGCAAAAGTACACTGCGGTGATGAAGTCAGGGACCTGGCAAAGGGTGACACGTTCGAATCGAGCAACGTGACAGCGCAAATCATGGTCGACGTGCAAAGTACGCGTGTAATGCTCGCGTGGCCGAAGGGTGATTCTCGGGATCCAGCATCGGTCGAGCCCAGGTCACCATGGGCCCAAGACTCTCCAACTCAACCACGCCTTGGTTCAGGTCACATTGCTTCAAGTCCGCCTATCATGCTGCCGTCGCCGCGTCCAGCCTCACCAATCTCACCAACACCCAATCACAACCTTGGTGCCTCGTTCACTGAAACGTTCCGCGTGGATGAGCCCGTCCAAGTCTATCAAGACAATGACTCCGAGGAGGACGCGCCTTTTGACGCCGAGGCAACTCCAGAACCGATTGCTCCTCTCTCTGAAGGCTCGCCAACTCCAACGCGTGCCGTCTCTGCATCGCAGGAGCTCCAAAGCTTCGCGTCAGAGCAAGAAGAGTTCTCTGAGCATGATGAAGAGAATGATCCAGTTGTGCATTCGTTCGGGCCCTTCGGTGCTAACCTGCTTGACAAGCTCGACTCCTTCCACGCGAAATCTCCTGAGCGCAAGCGTAAACCATTGAAGGCCACCACCAACTCACCAAGTCGCCATGCTTCTGCGCCTCCAGTCAACACAAGTCCGGTGAAGAATCATGTCATCAACCAGTTGGCATTCTCTCGTATTCACGCTCTGCCATTGTCGACGATCCATAGCCAGCTGCCTCCAGAGTACCGTGGTGCCATGGCTAAACCGTCCGATCGTGAAGCACGAGATATCCTGACCACCGCGGACCTGAAGACCATTCTCGATGGCATCCCGTGTGTTGGAGAGATCAGTCGCGAGGGTAAAGATGCTGCCGGCAAACTGCTTGAGAGCGAATTTTACTACGTCCCAGAGATGGACACAGATGTGCATCGTCGCGATGCCGTCGCAAATAGCCTGGGTAAGACCAGCATTCGCGCTGCACGAAAGCAGCACAAGGTATGTTCCCGCACTCATCATATCCTCATCCACAATACTTACGATCGCCCAGCAATATTACTGGAAGCGCCCACGCTTTTAAGCACGAGGCCCCAGTGCGCATCATGATCGCTATGGTAACGACATGTCGGCGCCTTTCCATGAGCATAGTTATGCCTGTTCTTTTTTCTGTTCTGGTACTATCGCGCAGATTCCCCAGCATAGCGACGTGTTTGGTTACAATGACGACCAACTATTAAGAGACGGTGGAGTGTGGTTCTGCATGGAGGGCGTTCTCGAGGCGCATACTGTTCGCTCGTTATGGTGTTCGCGTCGCAATGAATCGTGGACGGCGCGGGGATTCGAGCGGTGTGGGGTATCCGACGACGGGTTCCGGCGTCTCGTCGTGCAATGCGAATCAAAAGATGAGAAGAAAAGTGTTAGAGAATGCAGGTGTAGAAGACATGCGGGAGACAAGAAATGAAAGTCATGTTTGTTTTGATGATCTCGAGTTCCATGTTGTTCGGTGCGGTTATCGAGGGGAAGTGGACTGACGTGATGTCCCTCCGCGCACTAGCGTTTCGGCGGAAGCCGAACCAATTGTAGGTCGATCGCAAGACCAGGGTCCATCGAGCTTACCTTTGGTGTCTCCAGGCTTCAATAATGTTCATTCCCATCTTCTGCTGACAACACACATACGCTCCACCGCCAGCGTCGTGCATCGACCATACACCACAATGTGGTCCCTCCTATCCCTCCCCACCGTCCTCTCAACCCTCGCATATACCACATCCGCCTCCGTCCTCCAACAACACCCTCTCGAAGCTCCCTCCCCACAAAAGCCCTTGCCACTCCTCATCTGGCACGGCCTCGGAGACCAATACGACAACGATGGCCTCCACACCGTCGGCGACCTCGCCAAAGAAGTCCACCCAGGCACACACGTCTACTACATTCGTATCGACGACGACGGCTCCCAAGACCGTCAAGCCACTTTCCTAGGAAATCTCACCGAACACATTGAGAAAGTCTGCACCGACATTCGAAACAATAAACATTTATGGAACTCTCACAAAAACGAAAGCGTAAAAGTCGACGCTCTGGGATTTTCTCAAGGAGGTCAATTCCTTCGAGGACTGGTCCAAAGATGTGAAGGATTAAATGTGCGGAGCTTGGTCACATACGGTTCACAACATAATGGAATCTCCGAAATCAAAGCTTGCGGAACATGGGATTTCCTCTGTAAAGGCGCTTTAGCATTAATGAAAGGAAATGCTTATACGGAATATGTTCAGAGTCGCGTTGTACCAGCACAATACTATCGCACAATAAACGAGACCACCGGGGAGCCTGTGGATGCGTATTTAGAGCATTCGAATTTTCTGGCGGATGTTAATAATGAGAGGAAAGAGAAGAATGAAGTGTATAAAGAACGATTAGCGAAGTTGGAGAAGTTTGTTATGGTTTTGTTTGAGGATGATACGACTGTGATTCCGAAGGAGAGTGGGTGGTTTGCGGAGGTCAATGGTACGACGGGGAAGGTTACGCCGCTGAGGGAGAGGAGGATATATAAAGAGGATTGGATTGGGTTGAAGAGGTTGGATGAGAAGAAGGGGTTGGTGTTTGAGACGACGAAGGGGGATCATATGCAGCTTGATGATGAGGTGCTGGCGAGGACGTTTGAGAGGTTTTTTGGGCCGGAGAGGGAGTTTGGATTGATTGAGGAGGAGGGGAGAAGGGTTGCTGCTAGGCCTTGTAGTGGGAAGAAGAAGAGTTGGGAGAGGAAGATTGAGGAGTGGAGGAGTGGGTTTGATAAGCCGATCAAGGAGTACCTGTAGATGATTGTGTATACGAGTTACGAGTTCATGTTTTGTGAAGGGATGACGCCTGATCGATCAGTCTCGACATTGCTGCTCTGTCGAATGCTACGCGTGTCCGGGTGACGTTATGGCGCGTTGAAGACGTATACATCAAAACCACGAAGTCATTGCGGGCTCGACGGGCACACGCTTTGACGATCTGGCATTTCCCAGATCATGCACGACTGCACGATGGAGAGGAAAATCACAGCAAGCCAGGATGAGCGAAAGCAAAACCAACAGGTCCAACACATCTTTCTTCGAAGTCCCAGTTGTCATTTCAGAGCGTATCGAGGTCATATGCAGGAGTCAAGTTGACGCCATGATATCATGCGTCCATAGCCGTCCTTCTCGCACTACAATTCCTCTTGCCATTTGCCCACGTTTTCCATGCAAGCAGCAGCAGCAATAGAAGACACCACTCCATCTGATTGTTGTGAAATTGCCAACCAACGAACTCCTCCATGCATTCCGCGAAATCGTGAGGGGCGAGTCGTCTACTTCAGCTTCTTCTTTGGGCGGAGCTGGTTGGTGTGACCGCACTTCTTCTTGCGGCAGTTGGTAGCACGCGGGGGAAGACGGGCCTATTTGTTGAAGTCTCGAGTTAGTATTTGATGTCAGGATGTTCCGAAGCGGAGGGGAGCTCGCAGAGGTCAAGACGTACGTAGCACTTTCGGCAGATCATCTTGTCGCAGTTGTACTTGGAGGCAAGGGCCTTGAGCGAAGGCTCAATGATACCACCACGGAGACGGAGGACCAAGTGGAGAGTCGACTCCTGTTATCGCACACAATCAGTACACATCCTTCTCATGCTTGTCGCTTCTTCCACCGCGGTTCAAATGCGCACCTTCTGGATGTTGTAGTCGGACAGAGTGCGGCCATCCTCCAATTGCTTTCCAGCGAAGATCAAACGCTGCTGATCCGGGGGAATTCCCTCCTTGTCCTGGATCTTGCTCTTGACATTGTCGATGGTATCTGAAGACTCCACCTCAAGGGTGATAGTCTTGCCGGTGAGGGTCTTGACGAAGCTGTTGTGGAAATGCGGTCAGTATCGTGGCGGAGGAGGAGAGAAGAATCGAGTCGCTCGGCGGTTCGTGGGTGGTACATACATCTGCACTGCACAATTGTTAGTATAATGAGCTCAGATACATTGGACTGGGATTTCCCGGGCGTGCACTTACTCTTGTCGGTGTTGTTCTGTGACTTGCGGCGGTCTTGTGCAGAAGATGATGTCTTCAAAGTGCGCCCGACCAGAATTGACCGAATTGGTCTTGGCACCCGAGACGTGACTGCCTGAGGCAGTAACGACGGCCTTAGCCACTTCCACTTCCACTTCCACTTTCAACGCGTCCACAAGCGCGACCAAGTCTCGTCACGCGCCACTCAACGTGATCAAGTCACCACTCAGCTACTCTGCACAAATGATCGATGCACCTGATCCACCAACACACTTTAGTCGGCACACGAGACTTCGACAAATTGACTTCAACGAGGATCTGTAAAGGTCACGCGCAGCGTGCACAGCATCGAGCAAGGCGCAAACGCAGATATATTCATCTATTTGTAGTCGTCATCCGGACGACATCAGACCTCCTTCGCAGTCGCTCGTCGCACTGTTCGATTAAGCGAGAGCGCAAAGCCATGTGAGAATTAATGCGATGGGAAAATGCTGTCGCTAACCTCTTCCTCCTCTTCCAATTGTGTTGCCTTCTCTCCTCTCATCTTCTCTCGAATGCTCCTCCGAGGATGCAAATGCGATAATCCGAAATTCCAAAAAACAACTTGGCGCCGTGTAGTGGGTATCTTTCCCGTGAAGGTAGAGTCTATGCTAAATATGCTGATCGTGATGAAAACGCCTGTCGCAATGCTGGCGTTTTTCAAATGAGAGAGAAAACTGTCAAGTATGAAAAAATTTGTGGGCTTTGCTCCTTGGTGTGATCCTCTCGGTGGCTGAGTTGGATCATCTGCCTTGGAACAAAGACAGTGGTGGGTCAGATGAAACTGGGTTTGCGGTGAAAGTGGTGTGTGAAGAGTGTCGAAAGCTTCCGATGCGGCTAGCGCGTGAGAGCTGGTTGATCAGCTGTCGCTCCCAGTGATGCGACTCAAACGCAACCACACACCCATACGCCTCAAGCCGTCGAGGTCTGGTGGCCCTCGTAATCTTGCAAGGGCACGAACCTGGCTTCGGCTGGAATGGTCGTGGGTCCTGTCAGTGACGGGATGCGCTGCTGATAAGCGTACGACTGTTGCGCAGTGCCTGGCAGTCCAGTCGCTGGGGACGCCAGGTAGCTGAAGTTGGAATATCCAAGCTCCGAACTGTAGTGCATCGGCTGTGCGCCAGCGGATGTAGGAACAGAGAGGCGTGGATCTGGATGTCCTGACGGCCCGATGCCGAGTCCTGCTGGCATCCCGTGATAGACATTATGCGACATCTGTGGCGGGGCATATGCGTGATGCGAAGCGGCAGAACTTGAGGCGGAACGTGGTGAAGCCGCGGTTCGCTGATCGATGCCAACATCAGACGGGCGACTCACCGCGTAGGCTGATGAGCCCGGTGCGTGCAACACACCGGCCGTTGACGAGTAGCTTGCGGACTGTGAAGCGGTTAGCTTGGATTCAAACATCAAGTGCATTGCATATGCACGCGGGGATGACTTGCATATTTGCCAATGATCTTCTTCAAAGCCGTCGCCAGGATGCGCCATGGGAACACCTTGACATCTTTCTCGATATTCCGTGGTTTGGGGTTCGGGAATGCCATGATCGCCTTGAAAAAAGCCTCAGAGTCTGCCTTGGTCTTCGAGACCGTTGCCGGACGGAACCCCTCAAGGTTTCGGCGGATTCGGTTCTTCTCCTCGACCGTGAAGCGCACTGCGACCAGAGACTCCAGTAGTGAGATCGTATCGACCGATGTCACGTAGCATTCCTGCTTTTCCTCCCACCAGATGCAGCTGACACAAATGCTGTTGGGCAGGCGGTCCTCCAACGTGACGGGTTCGAATGTGGCTGAGATCACGCTGCCAGATTGGCTGCGTCTGAATTGCACTAGGCGACGCCCTGCTTCCCACTCTGCAGCAGTCCACCCGTCTGCCATCTTATTGAGGTCGCCTTCGATCTTGAGCATAGCCTTCGTGTTCGACGGGTAAACGGTGTAGGGATTAAACACTGGTGTGCTCGTCATCGACGCGCCTGGTGTTGTTGGCGATCCGTGTAGTGTGGAGGTGCGTATCAAAGGCGGCGCAACTCCTCCGGCTGGTGAAGGCAGGAGATGCGAACTCTTGCTGTGAGCTGACAGAGAGTTCATGGAAGGACTGCGAGTCGTCTGCACGCCTGGCGCATACGAGGACCATGAAGGGCTTTGTGATGTTGTGAGCGAAGGCGTGGCACTCGCGGACTGGCCGTAATACTGATGCGACGGCATGCGCGACATCGACGGATTGTATGCATTCTGGTATTCCGATGTTCCACTGCTGTATCTTCTCCCGTGCTGATACACGTCCTGAGCGCTTGGGCGCTTGTACTGAGCACTGGGCGATTGCGCGTACGATTGTGGAAACTGCTGCATCGATGGTTTCTTGGCTGGCGAGCGTCGCGGAGACGCGTCCGACGACAACTTGCGTTTGCGAGGAGCCTGAAGCGGCGCGGCAGTCATTTGAGGCGAATCGAGGGCGTAGTAAGTCGGTGGATCGAGGTATGTGAAATTTCCAATGTCGATGTTCGGCGGCGAATCCCAGCTAACGGCGCTGTCGTCCATGATGAGGCGAATTGGCACTTCGGGCGTTGGGGAATGAGTATCAGTCAAGGAAGGCGTTGTCGATTGGAGCGAATATTGGAAGCCTTGCTCGTGCGGTGTTTTCGTCAAGACGCTTTCGCATCGCTTGGTGCCGAACATGATGATTGGTGTGACTCGCGGTGCATCAAAGTCGTACGGGCTGTAGAAGTAGATCGTCACTTGCGTTCCTGGCGGACCTGAGTTCGGAGTGTAGCTCTGTATCGTGGGAACTTGACGGGCGGGCTGTTCGAGATATGCAGGGTACTGAGCCACCTGCTGACCATAATAGGCTGGATCATGCGTCGCGTACTGTTGAGCAGGAGGCACCAGACCGATAGTGGTGGATGATTGGGGAAGACCAGATGGTACCTGCGCCTGAGCAGCTACATAATCGGCGGCGTAGGAAGGGTGTGCAGCGAAAGCGCCGTAGGCATGTTGCCCCTGCTCGGGTCGTGTGGCTGTTTGGTAGTCTGTGATGCGCGTCACGTCAGTCATCTGCCCTGCTGCCTTTCCACATGCCCATGCTCCCACGCTTGCGGGACAAGGCGGTAGGAACACATCTTGCCGCCCTTTTGCCGTAGCTACTCGTAAGCTAAGTTACGAGCTAATGTATTGCGAGGCACACCACTCCAACCTCAGGCATCGTCGAGCATAATCGCGCAAAGTGATTCGGAACGACATACCGTACACATCGTAACTCTGCGTTTTGTCGTAATCCGACATCGACAGCAGATAGCTCCTGGGATCTTGTTGGGCCCGCGGCCCAGTTTCGGTTCGTGATCGATAGCTTTCGACGAGTGAAGATGGGATGCCGCAGTCTTCATCAACGACCAGACACTGCTTGCTGTCTCGTCGTTCGACCTGCAGAATGACCAATCAGCACTTTCATCAATGACATTGTCGACCGATGCTCATCGATCGAAAGGGTGGTCGCGAGCAATGCGCGCATTCGAATGCATGTTCCAAAATGCGAATGAGACGTACCTGGTGACGCATACGTCTACGCAGTTCCAACTTCGGCGAATGACCTGGATGTCGAACAGAAGACAGAATGCACAGAGGGGGCAGTCTGCTGCAACTTGTACGACGCAGGGCTTGTGCGCGCGGGCACTCTTTACGATCCCAATGCGCGCTCGGTAGGCTGAATGAACTGGTGGGGCGAGTTTGCAGCAGCTATCCGCAGCAGAGACATGCAGGAAATAGACCGCTTCGCTCTTTGACGTGAGTGTCAGAATGCGACTCCCGTCCTGTCGGCAGCGTCAATCGGTTCAAAGGATGACGCTCCGCTCGTGCAAAGGCAATCTAGATGTTCGTGCAGTCGTTCGCAGGAGATTGCAGGGTAGTTCCCGAAGCTGGTACCAAGGACCTGGCGTTCCGCTACTGTGCGTACCCGACGCGGATTGCCAGCGCGGTATCAAAGCGACAGCGCTGTAGCGACTGTGTTTTGGCTGACACAATCACGATACCTGCTCTGGAATTAGCCTCCGATGCGGTTCGCCAAGATCGATGCAGGTCGTGGTAATTTGCAATTTTCGCTCATACCAGGTTGAAAAAAGGGAAAGCTGACGACGGGACGCCTCTCGCGACGCACGTTGTGGGGTCCGTGGCTGTGGTCGCAGTCAGATAGAACGATCGAATGAGTTCTCGCTCGTCCTCTGCGTGCATCGACCAGCGACTAGTTCCGGCGCATCAAGCGAACAACGATGATGGCAGATCACCCACGTCGGCTTTTTGGGGGGTTGGAGGGTGAACAGGTGTTCGCGCCGTGACGTGTGGAATGTTCTCTTGTTTAGAGCTGGCACCAGGAACCGCGGCGGCAAAGGAGCAAGTAGTTCATGCAAGGAAGTTGGGGAAAGAACGAACCTCTCTTTGCAAGCTGAAGATGTATGGCGTGGAGCGCTTCGGCTTTTGCGTTAGCGATGCTGGAACCAAACAATTGACGGATGGCTGGTTGCCAACACAGCGGTATCGCGGCAAGCGACGATTGATTGAGGATCGATCAATGGTGCTTTCAGGAATGCCTGGCGATTACGGCAGGTGGTTGTCAAGTCACCTGACGTTGTTGGGGCGTGTCGCGTCAGTCGGGCCTGGGAGCTACGGCGCGAGCTACCAGAGTCTGCAGAGGGTCGAACGGTTGATCTGCTTGCAGCGTACCACAGATTGTTACCAGAGTTCTGTAACGCGGGTCTGTGGCCACAAGATGCGGCTGGTGTCAAGGACGGGTCACCGTCCTCTGCTGATCGGAGGGCTTGGCGCTGCGGTCGGTGTGGATGCAAGCCAGGTCGGTGGAGCAGTTCTTGGAATGCCACCGCTGCGCCGGTGCAGGTGAATCACCAGCGTGGAGGGCCCGAATAGTGTTTCAGAATGTCTTGAGCGGATCCCGACGGCCGAGCGTGCGTATGCGTTGATCGGGAGGAGCAGCAAGGCGGCAGGTCAGACGTGGATCTGCTGAGGGACAGTAGGTGAGGTGCAGAGCAGTGACGAGCGGAGAGTGCTGTGTATGGCAAGTAGCGCAGCCCACGAGAAAACAATAGTGCACAGTCGGAGCAGCTGGCCGGCGATCAGTATCTGCACAGACGGTAAGCAGTCAACGTTTTGAGCGGCGACGTCGAGGCGTGCCTGGAGGGGTGGCTCGTCTGGCAGAGCGTGGCATGTCAGGCATCTTACTGGCCTAATGACGCCAGCGCGACCTCCCATGGCAGCGCCAGATTGCGTCGGTGTAGAGGCTTGGGAGGCGATGCCATATCGTCGCCTGGCAGATCACGGGCAGACACTGGCCCTACCCGGGGAAAAGGGCAGTGCGGTGCAGTACAGTAGCAGTCGGCCTATCTTTAGGACAATCACCGAGCTGGTAGGTCCTGGTGGTGATGCTGGAGGAGTAGTGTTGCTGCTGCCGTCGTGCAGACCAGAGCACTGCCAGATCGCACCGACCCGATCGCCGTCGTGCGCGCTGCTCAACGGTCGCGCCTCCGGTCTCTCGTGTGGAATGGCTCGCCATCGGCCTTCTTCGGGTGGCTTCCTGTCAGCTGCACAAAGGGGCCATGCGGGCGCGATGGGCCATAATGGGAGCGCAGAGAGGCTACACAAGGAGCAGTCAATGCATCCCTTGCGCGCAGCGCCAGCGCCCGATATTCCAGCGGGGTCCGCGTCAGAAGTCGCATCGACTAGCAGCAGCACCGAAGGGCGCGTGCCGGCCTCCGCCAGCGCGCTGTCGTCCATACCGCAGGCGACTAGTGGGCAGACTGCACCTACAGATGCTGCCCGTTCGTGCGGCAAAGCCAAGGCTGAAGTGCGAAAAGATTGGGCGTGGGAAAACCTAAAATAACCAACCCAACGGGCGCGTGCACGTCAAGATGCAGCCCGCGCGCAGGCACTCCCGCCGCCTCGCTCCTCCGTTTGGGGAAATATTGGACCCCAAAAGGCGATCGCGCTGTGCCGTGTCGTTTGCGCTCGTCCAACGACCTGCCAACGGCGGCGTGGAGAGGGAAAATGAAGCCTCGCTGAGCTAGCGACGATCGTCCGCCGACCCCATCACCGCTCGCACCCGCTCTCCTCCGTCACTGGTCGGCTAGCTTGCTACTCTATATGCACTGCGTCCTGCCACCGTCTCGAATGGGTGCAGTAAAGTGACGATTTCAACCGCCTGATGANNNNATAGACAATAATCTCTATTCATCCTCTCCCGGCCGAGCGAGCCGAGCTCGAATCTCGAAGCACTCCTGGTCCTGGTGCTTCGCGTGCTGTCCGCCTCGCCGGCGGCCGCCCAGTGGTTGTTTGCACCTAGGGTCTGGCCAGGACCTACCTGGCAGGCCATGCGCTGTCACTCGAAGCGCGCGGTGACATGGGATCGCGGCGACTTCGGCCTGCGATGCGCGATCCACGACTAGCATGGTTTGCAGATTAATAGACGAGCGCGGGAGAAGTGGCCGCCAGCGCGACCACCCAGTCCGCCGTTTTGCGCGAAATCGAATTTGTCGGGACGACTTTGGACTGCTGCCCTATGCCCTGGATTGGTGAGAAAGAGAGCCGCAAGCCGTTTCCTTCCGTTCGCGGCAAGCAAGGACGTTGCGCGCTTGCCATGGATGTGAACTCAATGGCGAGATTGAACAAGGCTGTATGCGACGCCCGGCTCTCATCATCACGAGAGCATGGAAACCTCTTCCACAGCGCTAGCACAGCCTGCCTCTCGAATTTTCCGATTTTGGCATTGCGCTGCACGCTTTACACGATTCCCGTTCGCCCAATTTCATGGCTCCATTCCAAATGTCGTTGATTGGCGAAAAAATCCTCGTTTGGTGAAGACGCGAGGAGCACTCTGTAACAGCATGGATCGCCCGTTGATGGCCCACTCTGAACCATGGCGACATAAGGCGGTGGCAGGAGGGTTCATTGAAAGATGGCCGCAGGAGCAGGATCGGCCACGCTGCTAAAGAAGCGGTGGAAGCTTTGCACACCAGTGCGCGTGGCATGCCCAAGCTGTGGAGATATCAGAGACATGGGGAAACACAAGGCCATACACACGGCGAGAAGTCGATGAGAGGTTTTGCTGCTACCACACATCTGAGGAAGCCTCGCCTTCAAGATGACATTCATGATTCTTCCTGGTCTTGTTGCTTCTTCAGGTCCTTCTCGAGTAGGAGCAGTCTGCGCTCGATCGCAAACACTGCCCTCAGCAGGCCGTGCAGTGGGTACCCGGCCAATTGGGCGGCCTTTTCATGGAAGGTCTTGGTGGCACCATCCAGTTCTTCCACTGCTCTGTACTGAATATACGAGCTGCCTGTGCGTGGCACATCATCGGCTTGCTGTTCCGCGACTATGCGCTGTGGACGGAGTGCTGCTTGGACCTGGATCACTTTCTCCGCCGAAGTGGTGCCAGCATCGGTAATCTCGGCCCACGCACGTGGTTCTTTGGACTCTCCTTCGCGCTCGTTGTGCGCTGGAAACATTCTGAACAACGTCCTCCGGAACTCTGCGTCGCGACCAGCTCGTCCTCGCTCACGGATTTCCTCCGAAGCGATATTGCCCTCGTACCAGTCGAGATATTCGTCCAAACGGTCATCTGCCAGATCCAGACTTTGTGACTCCGTCATGGTAAAGGCGTCCTGATAGGTGAGGTGGCTGGACTCATCTCGCAACACGATGGAACTCCCGTGGCCGTTGTCATCGTTCGCATCGCTTCCAAACTGTTGAACCTGCTGCCATGCATCCCAATCCATCCTAAGCGCGCTCGCGTCGCTTGCGGACGTAGGATACCGGTTCGCATCATCGAAAGGGAACAATAACTTGGTCGCGATGACGACCAACGCCATCAATCGCACCTCTGGATATCGAAGGCTGACACTCGACCACGCCTTCGCATCAACACTATACCGAAAGTCGAGCTGGAGGAGCCGAGCCAGTCGCTGCACAATGACATAGACCTCGAGCGGCAATTGCAGAGCCTTTACCCAACGATACAGCACCAATGGGTGGTTCAGTGGCGGCGCTTGCATGCCAAAGTCCGCATCGAGACTTGTCAATAAATCAAGAACCCTACGATGAACACTCTCTGAGCGTAGTAGGTCCTGCGGCTCCAGTGGTTCCTGCAGATGCCCTGGTAGACGATCCCGCATTGAGAGCGGAACTTCTCGTGCAGCTCGATAGTAGAGCAGATCGCCATCATTGACCCACTTATGCATATCTGCAGCGGTCATGGGTATTCTCAACAGCAGTATACCGACATAGATCAGAGACAAAAGCTCGGTGAGTTTTGGGTTTTGTGGTTGCTTGCGCAAGACTGCGCTTCGGCGTGATGTTACGGTATCAGCGTCGGTCCCGGACTCACCTTCTGACTGTGAGCTGAACATGCGTGAGGACTGTGCGTCTGTGTCGATGTCGTGATCGTTCGAGACCTGCAGCATGTCAGGCACTGAGCCAAATTCTTCCATGTATGCTTCCACTTTGAAGCTGCAGCTTCCCGTTCACAGAGCCCTTGCACAGCGTACAACGAGCGGTGTGACTTGTCTTACCTTGTGCTCTAACTTTTGTAGTCGCAGAGCGAAGAGGTCTCTTACCACCGTCTCCAGCTCTGCGGGCAGTTTTCTGACGTCGATCAGCCATCGAAGTTGTTTTCGTAGAATCAGCTGTATGCAAAGCAGGTAGTGCTCGAATGCTTTGGTGCCAGTGAAACCGGAGACTAGAAAAGTGTCAGCTCGATCTGTACCTTGCAGCTAGGTTATCTTCATTTTGCCTAATGAGGGGAAAGTATCATTTCATGTGAAAAGGTGGCATTGGATGAATGCTACACTTACCCCTCGTGATACCGCTCTCGGCATCACTGTCGGCCTTCCTCCTCGTCCTTCTTCCCTCGATAATCAGCTCTCCTGTGTCCTGACTCACGACCAGTCCAGCATCTTGTTGATGCCCTTGATCGCAATATGTGAAGCCATCGTCGCCGACGTGGAAGCGGCGGGATCCGCAGTTGTCTTGAGAGCAGGAGGGTCGGTTGTGGCGATGATGTCGTTGAGACATGTCGCAAGAACGAGTTGATTGCAGCAATGCCTGGTTGAGGTGCCGCGCGTAATTTCTTGGTGTCGGAAGTGGTGCTTGCAGTTGCTTTGCTTGTCTCGGTTCGTGGGTCCCTTGAAGAAAGTACTGCTTTTGTTATGGCAGGCACGACCGACCAGAAGCTCCGTGCAGAAACTTAGCAGATCGTGTCTGCTGCAGCATTTTCATTTTGTGCGCCACCGGAATTTGGTCTCTGGACGAATTCGCCTTTCAAGTCGCTTTCTAATCACAGCTGTCGGGTCTGTCGCCCGTTGTCTGCATCGTTCACTTTGACGTTGGTGCGAAGCTGAAGTCGGCAAGTTTTCCTGGAATTTCCGTTCGGAAAAGTGGAGGACATGACAGCGCACGCATTCCAGGCACAGAACAACCACGTCGAGGTACAATTTCACAACGTGCAGGAACTGGGATAAGAGCACTTGGTTCAGGCACAGCGACCTCGTCCATTGTCATGTCTACTCATAAATACGTTCGACCGAAGCGCCAAGGCGTTCAGCCAAAGCACGACTATCCCTAGCGAATCTTCTTCGCTTTTACAACACCGTTCATGCTACATCACATAACACGTGTGAGTAATGCTTGACTTTTTCAAATCCCAGCAGCGCGTGCATTTCAGACAGGTCGCTGCGCGTCTCCAACTCTGGTCTCTCAATCATTTAACCCTTTGGAGCCTGCGAGGGATGTCAGTTCTGTACTTTCACAAGCTATCTGCGCACGATTACTGACCTCCTTGGCATCGATGCAAGCCTCCTCACCCATGGCAGTGAGAATGATGACGTTGACATCCTTGCCCTCCTCGTTGAAGAGCTTGTTAATCTTCTCGCCAGCCTCTCCGTCTGGGACCTTGACGTCGTCCTTGGTGCTACCATCATCAGACATGAGGGAGAGGAAGCCATCGTCAGTGACGTCGAGCTGCACATTCATGTCAGCCACATATCCCTGTCTCTGAATCATTTTTGCTACTCCTTACAAGCTGGAACTCGCGACGGCTGACGTTTGGCACGTCCATGTTGTGGGTAGATGGAGACAGATCTTCCAACTTCTTGCCGGTGAAGATATCAATGGCGACCAAGTGGACCTTGGCGTGACCGTGCTTGCCGGTCTTGGAGGTGGACATGTCGACGATCTTGCATGGGCGGTTCTTGATGACAACGTGGCCGTTCTTCCTCAAAGCAGAGCACTGCATTGGGAAGGTGGCCGAGGAGCCAGCATCGGCGCTCTCGAAGGTGTGCTCATGCTGTGTGGAGACGGTGGTCAGCTCGAAGTTGCGCATGTGCGTGCAGCGCTTCGTGGTCGCGAGCCGGCTATTTCGCGTTCGTGCGTGCCCCGCCGCGACTGCAGCGGTGAAGGTGCGGCGTAGGCGGCCGGTGCAATAGGGAGGTGCAGACGTACCTGGGCATCGTTGTCCGCCATTTTGGTCTAGAGATTGTCGGTGGTGTTGGATAAGTGTGTGGGAATCGAGGGAAAGTGGGTGACCAAAGGTTGAAAATCGTCGGGTCCTCTGTCAAGATTCGGCGCGGGGCTCGGAGTGGCGGCAGCGATTTCTGATAGGCTGTGTCAAGCGTGCAGATGAGCATGTGACTTCGCGAACTAGACGCGGTTAGGTTCCAGCTGCCAGCTTGCATGCACCTTACTTCCGTCCAACGCAGGACTGACCGATTGCACCTCTGCTGGCAGAATGAGTTTGTGGCTCAACAGGTTCACCGATTCCTCCTCGTCCCGCGAGCCCACACCCGCCCCGCCCGCCAACAGAACATCGTCTCCCGTTCCGCGACGTGGCATACAGCTAGGCCCCAGCACCAGCCTGCCCCGACGACCTGGTATTCAACCGAGATCATCCTCACTTTCAGTCTCCTCGCTCGCAGGATCGACAGACAGTCTTCCAGCGGCGGCGAGAGTACCCAATGGCACAAATCTGAAGAGTCAGCTTGCAGCAGGACCGTCTCCGGATGTGTCTGATACCATAGATGTGCTGGCACGAATTCTGGGGTCCATCGAGGATGTTGGGGAGGACGATAGCAACGACTACCAAGCGACCGCGGCGGAGATCGAATTTGGCGACTTGAGTCTAGAGGACTTTGCTAGTGTCCAGACAGGTTCGGTGCCTGCTCGAGACAATGGCGCAAAGGAGCATGCTGTGGTACTGGACGTCGAGAAGGTGAAGGAGCGATTTGAAGATCTACACAAATCCATTGTAGCCTGCGATGAAGTTCTGAAATCTGTCGAGTCCTACCTTACCAGCTTTCAAGCAGAGTTGGCCTCCGTATCCGCCGAAATCGAAACATTACAGAACCGTTCCATGTCATTGAACAATAAGCTCAACAACAGGAAGGCAGTAGAAAAAGTGCTGGGACCAGAAGTTGAAGCGTTCAGCATACCACCCGGAGTCGTTAGGAAGATCACAGAAGGTGCCGTGGATGACCAATGGCTTAAAGCATTGCAGGAGCTCGAGAAGCGGTCCAAGGCTATTGACGCGAAACTCAAGGAGGGCAAAGATATCAAAGCCGCGCAAGATATCAGACCATTCCTCAATGACGTCTCTACAAAAGCAGTCGAGCGAATACGAGATTACGTGGTTGCGCAAATCAAGGCCCTTCGGTCGCCCAGCATCAACGCTCAAGTCATACAACAAAACAGCTTTCTCAAATACAAAGACGTGTTCGCGTTTCTGACTCGGCAACAACCACAACTTTCTGAGGAAATCTCCCAAGCATATATCAACACTATGCGCTGGTACTATCTGCACAACTTCACGCGATACAGGACTGCACTGGAGAAGCTGAACGTCCACATCATCGATCAGACAGAAACCATTGCAGCTGATAGTGGAGTGAAGCGAGGCCTCAAGAGTGCTGCACCTCATGATGCATTCTCGCTTGGTCGTCGAAAAGACATCTTGCGCAGTGGCAACGACTCTGCCTTGCCTTCCTTCGCAGCAGAAGATGACAAAGGCACGCACTATCTGGAAGTGCCATTTCGAACTTTGAACTTGGCTCTGATCGACAACGCTTGTGCCGAGTACTCATTCCTCACTGAGTTCTTCTACAAGCAGCCCTTCCAAGCCAATAATCGGAGGTTTAATGAAATATTCCAACCTACATTCGACCTCGGTCTGTCTCTGACGAAACAGCTGATTGAAAGTTCCTTTGACGCCCTGGGTGTGCTGACCTGCGTCCGTCTATCTCAACATTTCGCCTTCGAATTGCAACGCCGAAAAGTCCCAGTCGCCGAAACCTATGTCAACGGCACCAGCATGCTACTGTGGCCACGCTTCCAACAAATCATCGACGCCCACTGCGACTCAATTCGCAAAACCACAGCTTCACTCTCCGGCAAGCCTGCCGGGTCAGCGCTTAGCCTGACCAGCTCAGCTGGCACAGCACAAACTACAGCGCCTCACCCGATCACGCAACGCTTCGCCAACTTTCTGCAGGGCATTCTAGCGCTGAGCGGTGAAGCGGGCGACGATGAGCCACTTTCCAACAGTTTGGTCAGACTGCGGAATGAATACGAGACCTTCTTGGTGAAACTTAGCAAAGGCATTGCGGAGGCGAGGAAGCGGGAGAGGTTTTTGTATAACAATTACTCCCTGGTTTGTACGATTATTGGGGATACTGAGGGTAAACTAGCCGATGACATTAGGGAGCACTTCACGGATCTGAGAGATGCGTTGGGGATAGATACGTAGACATCAATTGGTCATACCGTGTCTGAAATTAGTGGCGAGCAGCTTCCTTCATTTTTGTTCCTTTCACCTTGTGGGTCCAAGAGGGCGCTGAACAGCAGACACAAACCGAGTTGTGATCATGGCGGAATACACTAGCTCATCTTCAGGTTTCAGCGACTGACGCAAGATTGGGCTTGACCTCTGGAAGCAAAGTCCATATGGTGGTCAGTCATCCTTTGATTGATTTCTATGGAGATCCACATAATCCGCACGATGCATCCCTGGCCTCGAATCTCTCTTCCTTGAACATGATAGGATCGGGCAGCCAGATCATCAGCAAATCAGGTCACCACGCGGAGTGCCGTCTGCACTGCAGATGAGACCGATTCAAATATTTCATCCAATCGCTTCCTTAAAAGCCCTCCATGGTGGCGTCCTCATGCACTGTAGGCATCTCCACCGGCACGAGTATGAAACCGCCACTCCTTGAAATAACTCCGATCATCAGAGAGGCAGCCACATCATGGCGTCCACAACTCGTGAAGCACGCCCATGCTCGTAAATCAATCCTCGTGCTCATGTCGTGTACCTGAAATCCGGATGTCTGTAGCCCAAGCTACTAGGCGCCACACCCTGCAGTCTGTATTCTCGCCTACCACTCTGTCGGGCAGAATCTACATATACACGTTAGCGCTGCACTAAGATTTTCGATCATAGCCATTGAAACAGCTTCCAGAGATCAAGGTGGTGATACGTACTCTCCCAACGAATGTACAAAATGTTTCCGATTGTCAGAATCATGCTTAATCCGATGGCTCCGAGGTTTATGGCGTGGCCGGTGGTGTATTCTGGGCCGTCTTTGGCTAGGTACGTGAATGTAGCCACGAAAGCGCCTGGATCATGTCAGCCTTAATCACCACGCCCAGCTCGCTTTACGAGGCGGATCTTGAAACATAATCATACCGCAATTTCCGATGGCGACTTGGAAGCCCAGACCAGTGGCTTTCGTGGTGTGCGGAGCCAGATTGTTGGAAAGCCATGCCAAAACGAGTGGTGAGCAGGGGAAAGCTCCCACAGCCACGAAGAAGGTCCCTGCGTATTTGACTGCGTTCTCGTCACTTGCGAGCTGCATAATATACCCGACAGCTGCAAGCAAAAGTCCGACACCAATCAGTGGTCCTCGCATCTTGATTCGATCGGATGTCCAAGCGAAGGCGATGACCGAGAGGAAGGCGAGGAAGTTCGGTGGCACGGTGAATAGCTGTGCTGTCACATTCGTGTAGCCCAGGCCCTTGATGATCGTTGGTAGGAAGAGGGAGTACGAGTAGATCGGGACGAGGATGAGGAAGAAATTCAGCGACATGAAAATCGTGTTGACGTTCAACAGCGCAAATTTGACCTTTTCAAAAGTCAGTAATTCGTGCCAAAGTGTGCAGACGTAGACTAATCTCACCTCTGACCAGTTGAAGTGTTCTTCGTCGACCTTCGCAGAAGTCGAACCTCCAAGGTCCTGACTAATCATGCTTGCAGCGATATACTGCTCTTCTGAGCTCAAGAACTTGGCCGTGCTAGGTGTATTCGGTAGGAAGAAGAATGCCACCATGGCAACCAGTATGGTTATTGAACCTTCAACAAAGAAGATCCATGGCCAGCTCTTGTAGGAGCCGTACTCAATCTGCGCCAGACCAGTCGCCAGTAGACCACCAAAGGCTCCAGAGAGGGGCGCTGCACAGTAGAAAACTCCAAGACGGAACATGAGTTCGTGTCTAGACAAAAGGCAGAACATTAGTATCTCTCTCGACCACGAGACATTTTCGTAGGATACTCACCGGCGGTAGAACATGCTCAAGTACAAAATAATTCCTCCAAACATTCCGCCTTCGCATGCTCCCAACAGCATGCGGCATACTATCAAGCCAGCATAACTTTTGACTGCGCCCATGCAGGTGCCGACAATGCCCCATGCTATCGCGAGCAGCGGCAGATACCTGCCGCCACCAACAATCTTGAGGAGCCAATTTGAGGGTATATCAATGAGGACGTATAGGATGTAGAACACTGTCAAGCTGACATTGTACCTGTTGCCAGTAAGATTCAGGTCGTCGACAAGGCCGTCGATCTTTGCGTTTCCTAGAACTTTGTGAGCCAGGAAGCCTCTTTGGCCATTTTCATCTCCGCCTACCAATATTGCTGCGATCAATGAACGCCAGCAGCCAGAGCAGGAAAATCCATGGCAGAATGTGCAGGTCAAGCTTCCTGACAAGCCGTTTCTCAATCACGGGATCTCCAATGTATGTTCCAGTCAAGTGCGAATCCGCCTTCTCTTCCAGCTGCTCGGAGGTGGCTTTGCCGTCAACTGAACCCATGGTAGGTCGGAGTATTTGGTGACAATGGAATGGGATGACAAAAAACAGACAAGAAAATCACCAGAGGTCTTAGTATGATGCTTGACTCCCACCACCGGCAAGCTTAACCCTCGGATGGGCACGCCACCATGCGCCATCGTCGTTGAGGTCGCACGGCTATCAAGCCAGCCGTCCCGCACGATCCTTCGTAGGCGAGCCTGCACACATCGCGAGACCAGGTCTGGAAAGCCGGTCCGCGACAGGGTCGTTGATTCGGTCAATTTCCCCGCGAATGCATGTCAACTCGCGTGGTCGACGACCACATTGCCAGTGGGACTAGGTCGGGGACATCGTTGGCTAGGGTCGAGGCGAGTTGGTTCTAGTTTGTGAGGTCATTCAGCCTATTACAATATTGATTTTGCTGATGACACAGTTGAGGTAGCGGAGAGTGACACGGTTCCCCAAGAAACTCCGCAGACTCGGCGCGTGCTTGTGGGGTGCCAAGACGAGCTTGGTCGAGCTTTCTGCGCTGTTGAGCGCCGACTATCCGGTCGGGCAAGAACTTCCTCCGCACTTCTTAAACTCCATGCTTACCTCCAACAACGGATACGAAGAATGGATCAGGCTCCTGATACGATAACGATGATCCAGTAGTACCCTGTGAAATGCCAATCAAAGATTGGAGACTACACTGCGGGGCTGCCATGAGGCGATAACCGCGAAGAAGCAGGCCCATAAACGGCAATGGAAAGACAGTTCTTTCGGCAGAGAAGTCTTCAGTCCAAGCGTTCAGTCGGGCCTGATTCTCACAATACGCCTTAGGTGAAAGTATGATCGCAATCATGGAAAAGTCGAGCAGTACGGCCGTGACCAGGTCGTCTGTATGGCCAGTCATGACGACGCGTATAGCAGCAATGATCTTCAGGTCGCATCATTGAGCCCAGAATCAGAAACATCCGCAAGAACTACATACAGGAGCAAACATTGGTTGCAATATGTCGCCTGTGGGGCAATGAACTTCGGGCATGCAGATGGCTGACCTATCGAGGCTTTGAAGTACACTGTCTAATTCTCTACACACTAACGAACAGTACAGAGAGGGCGGCGAATCTCCCATTAACGAAGGTAATTGGCTCAAGGGAAGAATATGCGAGAATCTTGATCAAGAGCTGTCATACAGTGAACGCACGCACGTTCTTTTTTGTTTGGATTAGGCACTGCTAAGCAACAGGTTCGGACGCAGAGAAAATATCCCCATCGCCGCTGCAAGACTGCATGCTATCGGAACAGACTTCCATGATCAAGAAGACGTGAATGGGGTCAGAATTGATACAGAATCGTCATCACCATCATCAGTCTCTGAGAAGCTCCTTACCTCAAGGCTGGGCCGACACCCTCCGCCTGGATGCCATCCAATGCTGTAAGAGAATTAGAGTCCTTGCCTTCTTCCCCAACACCAACATCAACAACCCCAACAGTCTCCACTACAGGATGTTCCGGCCTTTCGTCGGCTTTGCTTTCATTGTCAGCATTGCGGTCATGATCAGGAACGTCGATACAGCTTGCCTCGTGCGAAGATGAGATCGTCCTCTCCTGCTCTAGAGCCGGCGCCCCCGAATCTGCGCTCGCAACTTCTGGCTCGCTTTCGACTCGAATCGATTCTTTGAGTGAGTCAAGCTCAGCTAGAAGCAACTGTTGGTCGGTCTTGGAAAGCCGGTCTCCATACTCGATGAAAGCCTTCTCGTACTCCAATTTACAGGCCTCCAAGGTCTCCAAAACCTCGCGCACAGAGTACTGAGAGCTTCCTTGCTGCCGACTCCTCAGGATAGCGCGGAGTTTGTCGAAGCAAACCAGATCAACTTCAATTGAATGCAAGTCCATCGCTTTGTCTTGTGTGGCCATCTTTCCACACGAGCAGTACTGGTATCAGTGACTTTAGTGTCGATCGGATCAAATTGCGCTTTTGGAATCAGTCGAGAGGGCGTGGCTGTATACGTAGCTATGTCACTCTATCATGCGGCATTGCATGTTTGTCCCCATTTATATGGTGGTCAGCAAACATGTGTCATTCACGCCATTCACTCGCACTAAAATTGTTGGAGGTCCATTCACGTGGAACAATGGCATTCACTCATTCACACACAGCAGTTTTACACCGCAGATTTGGCGTACAGGATCTTTCGCGAATACTCTCACCCGAAGGATACATTGACGCCGGAACCAGTACTTGCAAGGAGAGGGTGGTGTCGCTCGTCCACCAAGCCGCTTCTTTGTTGCGCCTCTAGCAATGGCATTGTCGTGATTCTTGATCGCGAGCCAAGCACAAAGACTTTGTTCTGTCGAGATCTTGTTCGACCTCGCCCAGTGGATATATCTTTGGATTCATGTGCCTGTACAGCATCTTCAAAACCTCTTCGAAACCTCTTCCTCCCTCTCAGCCAAAAGCAAAGAACTTCTGCGACTCGACTCGAATCACGCATCAAATTCCTACACGTTCGTCACAAAATGGAGCGAAACAACGACAGTCTCTTCGGGCGGCGCGGTCCTGGAGGCCGGCCTGCCGCACCAGAAGATTACCAGGCTACACTCGAAGCGATCATCGCGTGGTGCACTACTCTGGCAGTAACAGCAATCACGCGAGAGAACGAGCTTAGAGGGCTGCCTCCACCGACGTCACGCATATTTGCTCCTCTCCATCGTATGCTGGTCAAGCGACAGATTCGAAAACTTCGTCGCCGTGTTGCCCGCGAACTTGGCATACTGAACGACGAACTCGCCAGATTGAGCAACGAACACACTACGGCAGGGTTTGTAGAACGTCTTGCTCAATCCCTGGAAGAGTTCTACGACAATGTTCCAACCGGTTTCTCAAAATCCGTCATCGACTCGATCCCACAGCGAGCCATCGGCGCCTCGGACATGGACGAGAATGGTGAGGCACAATGCTCAATCTGTTTTGAGGCTGTCGAGCAGGAAGAACAGGTAACCGAACTTCCTTGCAAGCACTGGTTCCATCACGAGTGTGTCAGTCTTTGGTTGATCAAGCGGAACACTTGCCCAATTTGTCGAAAGCGATATACTGCTGAACAGATTGTGAGTGAAAATGGTAGGAATGACAACAAGGACAACTCGAACGGCAATGATGAGTCTACAGCTCCATCGGGATCTGGCGCAGCAACTGAAGACAAGTCTTCTGCTGTGGAATAGTCTTCAAAACTGCACAAATGATTCTGGCAACGAAGAACAGCTTAGCCACACCTCACGAGCTTTGGCAACAGCTATTAAGCAGTCGAAGTACGCGGCTGGATTTTGTTCGAGTATGAGTAGCCGGACGGCAGGTTCATGGTACGTTTGACTTTGTCGTAGCATACAATAGATTCGGGATCAAGGTTACATTAATCATATGCCTCTACTTACCTTCTCTGATGTTTCTTACCCTCGTATATGATCAGAAGCAATTTTCAATTCTTGTTCTACGTGTGAGTACTCTTGAACTGATGTAAGGTGGAATATGATAAGGAAATATGCAAGCTGCCTGCCCTCACGACGGTGTTCTCCATAATCGATGACTTTCCACATGGAACTATCCACTCTGGTACCTGAGTCTTTATCTCTACCGAATGCATAGCTTCAAGTCACTGCGAGCATACGTGAGCCTCGAATCCGCCCTTTGTTCAGAGAGGAACAAGCAGATCATTGACCCAAGGTGACCTCCACACACTCAAAGAGCTCCTTTCACAGAACAGAGCAAGTCTCAGATAAACAAAGCAGCATGTCCCAGAGTAGGCATATCCTTTGTGGTAGTACGAAATGGCTCTTGTTTGCTCTTCTCTATTCAATCTTCTCAATAGTGAACAACACACGTGTATTGTGTGAACGAAAGCCTTGTCAGCTCTTCACTTGCTGATGGGAGATTAACTCGACACAATGCCCCACACAGTCGCTCTATACTTTCATCCATACCTTATAAGCACTTGCTGATCTTCAAATCTTTCTCTCACCAAAAATCACACCTCGAACTTTGCAGGAGAATATCAACTCGCTGCAACCACCACATCACAACACCACACGATCACACGATCACACACTTACACACCAATCAACACATCAACCAACACGCAATCATGTTTCCAATCATGGTTCTCTTCCTGGCCTTCGCAGGCCTACTGGCCCAGGCAGCCGCGCTGCCGTTCCTCAACTCAACGACTATCCACAACTGTTCCGAGGCCGCTTCAACTCACTCCATCCATGCTCGCGCAGACCTCAAGGTCTCCGATAGGGGACTTTGTGGTGGCACGACTGGCCAAACCTGTAAGGACAGCCTCTTCGGTGATGCCTGCGGACAGTGGGGCTACTGTGGCTCTTACTACGATGCCGCCTACGCTGGCGTCGGCTGTCAACCTGAGTTCGGAGTCTGTTCACCAGACTTTAACAACCCTGTCCCTTCTGGTAACACCACTGCACTCATTGCCAACACAACCAACATCTCGTCGCCAGCTCCGTCGTCGATAAGCTCCGGAATCTCGTTGTCGGCTAACTTGTCTTCGGCTTCGACTCTGACTTCAACTCTTGCGCCCACCGGGGTGGTCATCACACCTATCTCTGTCATCACCGTGCCACTTACAACCACCGTTGAGGTCATCAAGACTGTCACGGTTGAAAAGGCCCAGGCATCCGGATCCTAAGGGAGGTGTACGGACATGATCTCGAGTGATTCCCGCAATTTATGACAGCCTCATAAAGTCTCGCAGGCGTGACTAGGCCATCTGTCAGACGCAGTGTAATCTGAGCGCAATAAGACGATTCTCGAACCAATTCCCCACCTGTCTTTTCTTCTTGTACAATAAGTTTTGTCTCTTGCCACATATTCGTGATATCATTGGTATGAAATCGAGTTCAGCAAGGAATGGCCACATAGTTTTGTGGATCAATTTTTTCTCCAGGACACGTTGATGAACTTGCAGCGTCAGACAGCAGCCAATCCCCATCGATAGAGTTCCCATCTGCTCCAGCTAGGTAATCTCTTGGTTCGGACGCAATACTTGCGGTACTTGGTATTGAATATTCAGATCCCGCGCGAGCGCCCCCGCTTTGCTGCGCCGAGACTAAATTCTCGATGCTTTGTTCCGATTCAAATCGTTGCACGTACTCGCTCAGCGTGCATCCCATAGTCTTCTTGAAAGTGCGACATAGATAGCTAGGCGTTACCGATAACTCGTCTGCTAGTCCCTTCATACTGCGTTTCTTGGAACCATCGTTCTTGTTGTCCCAGATCAGACCGAGTGTCTTCAACACGAGCTCATCCTTGTGGCCAATAAATGATTCGTGAGGCTTGCATTTCACACAAGGTCTGAAGCCTTCAGCTTCTGCCGACTCTTGTGTATCGAAGTATACAACGTTAGCTCGGCGAGCCACCCGTGCAGTGCACGTTGGGCGGCAGTATATCTTTGTAGTCCGAACTCCGTAGAGGAAACTGAAGTGGGCTTCGGGGTCTCGGGCTGTGATTGCTCGCCAGCGGGAGCTGTTTTGGTCGATGGCGGTCATGCTAGCTAAGTGGAATGGGTTCACGATGTGACCTGCTTGCGTTCGTGGGCCCAAGAGTTCTCCGCGACAGAAGCTGTGATATTTTGCTGTATATCAGCCTGGCTCTTCTCAGCACGCCGGGAGACTCATTGCAGCTCGGCGATAAGCTCTTCAATATCTGATTGGTATTTTACAGGATGCTATCGGATCATCAATGTCGTATCAAAGACACGATTCGTTCCAGTCTCCTTCTTGACAGTCGGTCGCGTGCTTCTTGAGGAGTTGTTACATACGTGAGGTGGAGGCAGTCGAGAGCTCCGCGTCAGTGACGTTGGCTTGATGGTCTCATCCCACGACTTTTGCGATTCTGTCTTCAATCGTCCTCACAACTTCGCAATGAACGTCGCCCCTTCTCCCATTTATTGTCTTCCAGAACTGCACGCTGTATCCACTTCTGCCATTTTCGACAATACAGTCTCTGAGTATCTACAATGGAAGATCTTCGCTCAATCTCTATTGTGCCCATTGCTCAATCACATCAGCTCAATCCACCGCACGCGACAATGTGTTCATCACAAAGAAACCCAGATCCGGCATCAGCACTGCTGGGTTTGATTGTGCCAGATGCGGTCGACGACGACAATTCTTTCTTTGAGCTAGGTGTTTCTGTCTTCTTCTTTTCCTTCATGCCTTCTGTCCGTGTGTCATATTCTCCTTCACCTCCTTCACAATTCACAATCTCGGTTTCAAGAAAGCACATTCGATCAAGATGGTTTTCAGCTGGTTGGCATCGTGGGTGTTCGGACCTGTGGAAGAACCGCCCAGGCTGGTCCCCAGGCCACTTGGGAACCTCAACGAATTAGCTGCACGTGCAAACACTGCTGCTGCGGCCACTATCGATACTACTGCTGCTGCGACCGACATAGCAGGACGACAAAGATTGAAGCCATTTGTGCGTAAAAGTCAGCCTCAGCAAGAACCTCAGCAAGAACCTCAGCAAGATCTTCAGCAAGAGCCTCAGCAATACAGTAGAAGTGATTATGCTACCATGTTCATCGACCTTTCAGCAAAGGTTAGGGAGCTAGAAGGAGAGGTCAGGGGCCTAGAAGGAGAGGTGGAAGAGAAGGACGATCTCCTAGCGGAGCTAAGCGAGGAGAACGCTCTTCTGGCTGCTACAGCGAAAGCGAAGGCACCGGAGCAGAAAGAGACTGGGACCCAAATGTCTTCACCACTTGGAAGCAAACGTCGCTCGCCTTCCCATTCTCCTGGTCCTTCCAAGCCTCGAAAAAAGGCCAAGCTCACGGAGAGGCAGATTGCCTCGCTGGTGAAATATGACGGCAAACACAGGCGAACTGGCCAAATCATCAACCCTGAAGGAGTGGTAGGAGGCATCATTTCCAGTCAATTTCCGACAACGCTCAAGAATTGGGAGTCGAAAGGTCTTCGCAATACTTCAGGTGCTGATTGCTATCGGAACGCCGCTCTCCAGGCTCTGCTCCACGTGCCGGCCGTCTACCATTTGCTGGGAAACATGCACCGCGATTGCAAAAAGAAGTTGGACAAGTGCGTTACGTGTGCATTGCAAGATGTGTTTCAACGCTACTGGAGCACTGAAAGACCTCAAAAAAAGAACGAGTATTTCCAGTACAAGGATTTGGACAAGGCCGTGCTTGCGAATATTCCTAAGGAACCAGCACCTGGCTCAAGTGCAGAAAGCCTCGTTGAGATGCGTGCCAACCGACAATTGGATGCCTTGAACTATGTGCAGTTTCTTTTGGAACATCTCAGCAAGCTCTCTGACAACGATCTCCCCGAGAGCGTGGAGCAGGTCTTCGGTATGCTGTCATGGTCTTGGTGGCGGTGTGAAAACTGCGGAGAAAACCATGTAACCGAAGTTGGGTCGTCATCACGTATTCTTTCAGTGTTTGTTGACCAGTCGAAAGGACAGAAGACAATTGTAAACGCTGTGCGCAAAGAGTTAATCAACGAGGGCCTTGAAATTAGGTGTGAAACTGACGCCTGTGAACAGGCTCGAATTGATGCCGAAGAGGAGGAGGAAGAACCTCTGCGGACGAGGAAGTTCGAGCTCATCAGGACACCAGAAGTCTTGATTGTGCAGCAAAAGCGCTTCTCCATGACTAAAACCGGTGCCACGAAGAAGCTCATGGACAAAGTCGACTGTGAAGAATATCTCAATCTCGGTCCATACACAGGAGACGGCAGTGATGTCATCTACCGATTGGACGCTGTTGTTGCGCATATGGGAAAGGGTATTAGGGAAGGCCATTACGTTACTACTGTGCGGCGACAGGATGGTGACGGATTTGAGACGCTGAGTGACGAGGAAGTCTTACCAACAGACGACATTCAGCGCTTTTATTATCCTCAACTCCGAAGGAGCAAGTTGCAACCATATATCCTCTTCTACTCCAAGGTCAGGAGTGCCGTGGACGTTGCTCCTGGGAAGAATTGATCGACAGGTGCCCTGTTCAACTCATAGACCCTCGTGTACAATAGAATTTTTCTTGATCCAGGACGTATAATGTTCTTTGAATGCTGTGTCTATAATATGAGGCGCCTGCGCTCTCCCCCATGCTCCAAACCCCAAGAAATGCCACCAAGCCAAGCAAGATCCACCATTACCCATCAAAGACGTTCATGACCTCCTGCCCTTCTTCACCGGCGCGTCGTGAACACCATTCCACGAATCAACCGCGTATTTCAGCGCAAAAGGCCAACCAAAAAAGAAAATCACAGCTGGAACATAAAACCTTGTCGTTCGCGCCAATTGTGCCGTGTTTTTCTCCCATGCTACGCTGTGAGGTCGGAGTGTAGCTGCAGTGCGTTCGAAAGGGTGGGGTTCTTGAGATAGTTTGCGGGCTGCGCGGGCGGAGCGGATGAATGCTGGCTGTAGAGGGACGAGGAATTTAGCATATGAGTTTGCGGATGATGGGGGAGGAAGGGTAGATATCTACCTCTGTGCTAGCAGCAGATGCTACTGCTGACGCTGGATTTATGGTGGCCATTTGGAGTGATGTGGGAATGGTGATTGTTATGAGAAGTGCTTCGCTCGTGAAGGCGTTGGTGAGGTGTTTTCTGGATGAAAATCTATGTTGCTCGATCTGACTTGGGCCCAAAGGTGCTTGAAAGTAAGCTTCGATGTGTTGCTGTTATATGTGATGCAGATGAATCTCGTCGCGTACTCATCTTGCATTTATACATGAGTCCATAAGGCTGCATGTGTCATTCCGAATACGGAATCTGGACATGGCAAAGCTGCAGCATCCGGGACCGTGATGTTGCCGTGTGAAGAAGTCTCTGCATGATTGACCGTGCATGGCAGTCATGAGAACTGTGCCACTTCCAGACGTACGTAGGAGAAAAGGGCACATAGGCAGGGGTCGTAGGGCAGAGCAGGGATTATAGGGCTCGGGTAGGGATTGTGGTTGAAGAAGAGGACGAATGTCATAGCCAGCTCTCGTCATGTCTCTCGCCACTGGCCCATAGTGCCATCGGAGTACGCCAGCAGTAGGATGCTGACTGATCCAAAGTAATGTCTGTGCCGTTGGAAGGAAGGAAGAAGTCGGGAGTGAGAGCGAGTCTTGGCATCGGCGAGAAATCCGAAGGAAGCCACCTCACACCACCACTCGCACGACTTCGCTTCACTGCACTGGCTTCACGGAGCTCCGCAGCACGATTGTTTACCGCTCTTCCAGCACACTGAGACTGTCATTTCTCGGCTGCCGGATCTGTCAAGCGCTCAATGTCGCAGCCGAAACAGCATGCCATCACGCAGCTCCTGCACACGTCGACGGCAAGGCGAAGCTACAGGACAACTCACTCATCTTGAAGACCACGGAGGGCCGTCACGACTTGACCCAGAATGTGTTAAAACGGATAAAATACGCCTGAAGTGCCCAAAGCTGGCCGGACAGGTGCTCAGGTCAGCGTCTTTCGTCCGCAAGATCGCTTCTGATCGCCTCAATTCTCGATATCGCCATTGACGCGAAGCAAGAGTCATGGGCTATTCACGAAGCACAAGACCACGAAGGAAAAATTCTCGAAAGCTGAGTCGCTAAGTAGTGATATTGTTACAGCAAGTGCCAATCTGGGTTTGTCCTCAGCTATGCCTACACGCTATTTGATATCAGAAACAAACTCTCTGCTACTCGCCTGCGGGTCACAGTTTAGTGTACATGAGTATAAAGGCCTCCCCTTTCCATCCCTGCGAGGTCGGCTTCAGCATCTCCTGGAAGTCGCCGCCTCTGGAAACAGCAATCTCGTCGCTGTCGTCGACGACCAAGAAGCCGTCTTCATCAATTCGTCTCACAGCAGCTACATAGTGTCCGCTGTCAATGTCAGATCCTTTGTGAGCGACCACCGAATCTAGACGATAGATACACTCCTCGTCCACAAGGCCCGGCTCACGGTGCGCGTTCAGATCAAGGAATTCAGGATACCTGATCTCCGTGAATATCTTGTTCGCCAGATTGTCGAAGCGGCCGAATTGTATGAACAGTACTTCTGGAGCTTGTGTGATCGTTGTCACGACCTGCCTTTCCGGACCGTCTGAATGTTGCTCGGTTGAAGCTGTGTTGGCTATGCAGAAAGCACTGTCGCATCTGATGCGGAAAGTACTTGCAAAATTCGATTCGAGGCACGATTTCAGCGTCCTTCCATCTTCCAGGCCTTCTTGATTGAGTGGCACGTACAGGCCCAGCTGCATTGTCTTGGACTTGTCGGATTTCGTTCTGCCGCAATCGGTACATGTCCAAGCCTGTTGTGTTTCGAGCTCGAACATGTCGTCGAAAGAAATTCCATCGCCATCGCTCTTTTTGGACTGGATCTGCTCGCGAATGAGGTATCCCAGGAATTCCCGCGCGTCGCTCTGCGCGTTCAAAAGGATATCGTTCTTCAAATCCTCAAAGTCCGCCGGAAGGTTCGCTTCCAGCGCTTGATGGAATTCGTCATACAAAGACTGGTCAACGGCGTGGACGCCTGATGGGATCATGGCCCACTCGTCGTCCACAGAAATCCCCTCATATGCCCAATAAACATGGCATATGTCCTGAATACAACACACCAGGCATCCGCTCGAATGAGTCGTGCAATTTCTGTGGATCACACCCATGTAGCGATAGAACGCTGGCAAGTGCAAGAGAGCTTGAAGTACGGCGCTCCGATAACAGTCGTTCCCTCGGTTGTATAGACCTTTCGATGCCGGGAACCAGACGTCTGGAAACTCACTCCATCTACCTTCCATTCCTTGGTCGGGCTGGACCTGGCGGCCTAGCTGGCCATCCTCTGTAACGAGGAAGCCGTCCCACTTGTAAAACTCTGCATCTGATGAATGTTGCTGGTCTGTGGGCGACGGTGTGCCTGGCGACGATAGTGATGAAGATAATGAAGGTGTTCGCATTCTCCTTGGACTCGATGCCTCTGGTAGCCATGCCCAGTCTTCGACGGGAGACCTTTTGGCAGGCGACTCGACTATCGGCGGTGTTTGGGTTCTATCGACCATCGGCGACGTCAAGAAATTTCCGGCCATAATGTCAAACGATGATAGTCTCTGGCGCTTGGGCGATGGACTTGGAGTTCTAGCCTGCTGACTCCGTGGACTTTTTGTCATTGCTGCGTCGGTGAATAAGTCGTGCTAATAAATGAAACTAGGGTGAATACTTGTCGTCAGCGACTTTTATACTTTGGGTTGATAGTGCGTATTCTGAGCAGAAACAAAGCGGTGAGAGCATTTGACCGGACGACTGGAGGGTTGTTATAAGTCTATCGTTTGTTACCACTCCGGACATGGACAATGCCTCTTTGTTCCCTTTCTTGGCATTGTTTCTTTGACTGAGACGGGAATCCCGATCAGTCTCTCGACGGGCCATTCGAAAGCTTCGATGAAGTCTACATCATGCTGAAGCAGGATCGAGAAGCTCTAGAGTTTCAACAGAAAAGATTGCAATTTACAAGCGGCTATATATACACACAAAAGGCGAGAAGGCGGCTTTCTCGACGTTTCCGGACTTGTTGAAGGTCTCCATCGTCTTGAAGTTGCCCGACGACAGTATCTCTCTCATGTCGTTCAAAACTTCATACCGGCTAGATAAATCACGTGCGGCCGCAATGTAGTGGCCCTTTCTGGTCGTTTTCCCCCGGTGGCCCACCACTCCGTCCAGTCGATACACGCAATCTTGCTTCAAGTTTTGGCCACGATACGCATTCAAGTTCAGAAACTCAGGATACCTTACACGCTGCTCGATCTTCGACACTGTGCCTTCCTCGGTAAACTTGAAGCGCGCAATGCGTACCACCAAGACTTCAGGTGCCCGTGTGATACGTCGCGTGAGGAGTCTTCGAGGTCCATCTATGGCCTCGCTGGTATCTCTGCGCTCCTGGCACTCATCGCTATCGCACCAGACTGTGACTTTCTCGTAGAAGAAGCCGTTGTGAATGTACCACGGAACGCCGTGACCTTTCTCCTTATCGGAAAATTCAACGGTCAAGCCGAGCTGTCCAGTCTTCTCGTCTTGAATGCGTGATTCATTGCCACAATGTCGGCATGTCCAACTCCGCTCACATTCCAGCTCGAAGAAATCTCTCAAAAGCGATGCATCCATACCGGGGACCTCGGCGAGACATTCTCTGACGAGATAGTCTATGAACATGAAGGCATCACTTTGACGATCCTTTTCGACCTCTCTCGCTGTTTGTAGGTCTCGCGGCGGACTCTTCTTGCATGCCGCTGTGAAGACTTCAAGCCTGCCGCCAGAGACTTCAGTCACGCCAGAATTGCCAGGTTGAACCCCTGGTGCGTTCCAATAGCGCCATATGAGTTCCTGCAGCGCGCAGACGACACAGTATTCCGACGTTACGTAACAGTCCTGGTGGACTTTGCCCAGGAATTGATAGAATTGTGGTGAATGGAAGAGTGCTTGCAAGCTTGCGTTCCGGTAGCAGAGATTGTTGGGATTGTGCATTGCCTTCGATTGCGGATGTCTGACCCTGGGAAACGCTGTTCTGGAGATTTCGTCCTCGTAGTATGGCCCAACACGTGCGTTGCCCTCAACTTTGTTCTTGCTCTTCACCTGAGGTGGAAAGATTGGAGTTGTAAGAGGGGAAGGAGTACTAGCAGGGGGCGTGCGTACTCGTGGACGCTTAGCCGCAGGAGGGGGGGCATCGTCCTGGGCAGTTCGCTTTTGGCCTTGGCCAACTACCTTGAGAGGGTATCGATATTGTCTACGGGCCATTATAGGTGATTGTGAAAGTGCGATATTCTCTTGCAGGATCGAACTTCATGTTCGCTGTTACTTGTTCTCCTTAGCTCTGCGGGAACAAAGAGACCTGCTTACAGTATCGCCGGAAAGGGACGAATGTATCCTTGACATGCCACACCGATCAGAACAAAGGAGATCCGAAACGACGATGATCGATAAGACGATCGTGCGGGCATCGGAGTACCATGGGATGCGCCTGTGAAGAAGAGCAGGAGGTCGTGACTCGGCTGACAAGAGAAGAAAGATTGTTTTTCTTGAAGCATGGAGCATGGTAAGTCGGGCTTGGTCTTGGTGTTAGTGCTCCTAGACGGACGGGCGTAGACTCTTACCTTTTCGTCAGTGGGAATACTGAATTAATCTCATGAATTATTCGTATTCTGCAACGATACTTTGATGCATTCCTGGCACTATGCCTGCTCAACGTGCACAACATGTCCGACCTCGTCCAAAGCGACCTTGGTCTTCTTCGTCGAAGCCTTGCGCGGGTTATCTGCCTCGAAAATCTCCTTAAGCTCTTCCAAAGTCTTTCCTGCTGTCTCCACGAAGAACTGCATAGTATGTCAGATTTTGTCCCGGGTTCACAACGCTGATCACAACTTACGAAGTAAATAACGACCAATTCTACGCAAATCCAGCCAATGTAGACGAGGTAGAGTTTCCATCCGATCTTCTCAATACCAACACTGATTCCGTAGGTGTTGACCATGATGGCAACGTTCAGGAAGAGGAAGTTGAGACCGCTACCCTTGGCGCGAGTACGGTTCTCGAGACATTCAACGGCGTAGAGAGTTTGCAGTGGAGTCCAACCCTGCAAAGTGTTAGTATGATCACCGCTGTGTACTCCTGTTTCTCCTTCCACGTACCCATGCAAAGCAAATGCCGAACAGGTAGATGCTGACAATAGTGCCGTAAGACAAATCTCTGTTGGTCTCTGATGCCGCGGTGAACGCAGTCAGGAGCACATAAGAGAAAAGACCACCAGCCAAACCAATCAGCAACATCGGCCGTCTTCCCAGTCGATCGAGCAGAGTGGCACCGTAGAGGGCTCCCAGGAAACTGAAGATTGGATTGATCGCGTTGATAAGCAATTGAGTGCTCGCGCTTCCGATTCCGGCCTGCTTCACCATTTGGGGCATGAAATACGAGACCACGTTGTTACCGGACCATTGACCGAAGAAGGACATGGCGATAACCATGAAGAGTCGGTATCGGGCGGCCTTGGTGTTGAAGAGCTCGCGGAAGTCCCACCATGGGTTCTCGTTTCGGGTAGCGCTCATGTCTCCGACAATTTGTTCGACTTGCAGGGTGACGAGAGGTGATGATGGGTTGCCGTCTCCATGGTATTTTGCCATAACAGCGATCGCGTCTTCTCTTCGATCGTGCCTGAAATAGTTAGCTGTGGGCGCATCTCAGAGCTGGCACATATGCTTACATGATCAGCCATCTGGGAGATTCCGGGAAGAACATGATAAAGCACATGACAATAGCAGGCATAATGCACTGAACGACGGTGGGTGTTCGCCACGCCCAAGAGGAGTCTGGCATGTGCTTCTCTGTTCCGTATGTTGTCCATCCTGCAATGATATTTCCGAGCCACCAGAAGTTGTTGTACATTCCTGCCATGGTACCACGGTATGCTGGGTGTGCGAGTTCGACCGTGTATGCTGGACCGGCTGCTGAGGCGATACTGGCTCCGAAGCCCAAAACGAAACGTCCCGCAATGAAGTGGCCCTGAGTATTCGCTGTCGTCTGAATAGCAGTACCTGGAATTGTGTCAACTATGGTTTTGCGCTCTCTCCTGTCATGAGCACATACCGACGAGGACAAGGAAACATCCAATGAAGATACAAATCCTTCTTCCGTATCCATCTGCAAGCAGACCACAGAATGGGAATGCAGCAATCTGGCCGAGCTGGTAGATGATGAAAATGATACCAGTCGAGCTACCGGCGCCGCTCAGTCCGAAGGTCTGCTGGTAGGCGGGCATAGCGTTGATAGCTCCCATCAAACTCGAATCGAAACCGTTCATTGCTACGCAGACTCAGCTTTGTTCCAGGACTCAAACCGCTGAGTCGACTTACTGGAGACAAGATATCCGATTGACATGATCATGTAGAGCTGAACCATTCCACGACTCCATAGATTGGGCTTGTGAGCTTCCACAGCTGCCGCCAGGGCTACTGAGTGGACAGCAGCCTCCTTGACCACCGGACCTTTCTGAATGTCATCTTCGACATCAGTGACATGCTGTGTCGACTGCAAATCTCTCTTCTCATCGGCGGTATCCATAGTGCTGCGGCGGGTGAAGCGACACTGCCGGGAAATGGTATTGAAAGAGACACACAAAAATCCGGACTTGCTCAAACCCGGGCAAGCACCAGATCTATATCAAGTTCTGGCAAGGATGCATATGAGATTTAGCCCGTGGTGGTCGCCACGGGCCCCCAGGTCCTCCACACTCGCGTGGCTTGGGGTAGCAAGGACCATCAATTCCTGTTTCGGGCCTTGGCTGCGGTTGTACAAACGAGACCTACGTGCTGCCGAGATGCTAGACTGCTTTAAGCTGCAGCTGTACAGTGGCACAAGAGCTTGGTATGGGTCAGGATGGGCCGAGGACGAGACTTGTCACCCGGCGGTGGCGTTTTTACTGAGAGCTTGCACTGTCTTCTTGCATGCGCGTTCGTTCGGCCGTCATTCGGGCTGCTCCTGCATGTTGCGTGGCCTGCCTACTAGCTGTATGGTAGGCGTGGTGCGAGACATGACAGGACATCCGCCGCTATGGTACGACGACCGGTCTAGGTTTTCATTGTGCCGACCATTGCCGACGATGCCTGCCGCGCATCACCCTCGTGCATGGAGATGAGGAGATGTTGCGGAGTTCGCCCTCCGACCGACAGCAACATCTGTACAGTGTGCAATGGTATAGAGGCTGTTGCGCCACAGTAGCAGCATAGTCGACGACAGCTTTGTGCTCGGTGCGAATCGGTTCGAGGTGAAGGATTTGGGAGGTGAGGAGAAGCGCAAAAGCGAGGTTGGTGGAAGAACTCTGGCAGAATCGTGCTCGGCTCCTGCCAGCCAGTCGCCGACCGTCTGACTTGCCCATTTCTCGTCAATGGCCCATGTCCCTGAACAGACCAAGTCCGTCTGCACACTTGACTCGCTTTGGATGACTTTCCGGATCACATGACAGAGCATTCGTTGACTTGGACGTGGAAGTCGGAATGTGGAGGAGCAGACGAGAGTTTGGGAGAACATCAGAGATTCAGAGTTTCTCGAAAGACTTGGCCGAGATCGTGCCGACACGGACGAGTATACCGATTTCGTCTTCAAGACACAGAAATGTCAAAGGCATGCAGATACCGAGATGTGCTTCATGATTCATCGGACTACGCACGAGAAGGTGGTACCAAACCTTCAGCCACAACTCATCAAGATCTGTTCACTAATCAAGCTCCATCTTTTGTTGTTGAGCTGCTCCATGTTGGAACTCGGTCCAATCCACCTTCTTGCCTTCGCCTGAGACTTTCGCATGCCTTTCCAACACCTCGTTCAGTCCTTGTCGCTGGATGCAATTCTCAAACGCGAAACTCTTCGCGATCTCGTCCAGCTCCTCTAGGCTCAGGTCTTTGAAGAGCTCTGCAAATTCGTCGCTCAAACATCCGCTCATCCAAAGCTGATTGACCAGCCTTGTGATTTGACGTTCCGTGTTCCATGGCGTGGGATACATTTCCTTACTCTGCGGGATGTGCTTGTCAATGAAATCAACAAGAGGAAAGATAACATCCTCGACTTCCTTAGAGGGCCGACGACCCCACGCGTCAAGTTGCAATTGGCGTTTCTTCTCCAGGAATCCAGCGATACGCTTCATATAAGGCGATTCCGGATTCAAGTGGACCATTCCCTGCAGTCCAATATCTTTGAACAGCCAGATCGACCAATGGATTTGGTACTTGTCATAGATCTCTAATTGCTTGCTCAATAAGTTCGTCCGGGCAGCGTTGATGGCTTCATGGTCTTCATCCAGCTTCGGATCAGCATAGACAGGTCCAAACTCTCCATTCCAGACCGGAGAACCATGTTGCCTCATGAACTCCGCCTTTCTCAGGAACTGGCTCTCCAACTGATGATCTTGCTCTTGCGCTCCAGTATACGTCTTGCCTTTCGGGAAGCCCATCATACTGTAGTCATGCAAACCATACACAGTATTTGGAAGCACATGTTCGAAACACTTCCATTCCATCGCAAAGGTATTCCCATCCAACCACAGAATGTGCTCTGGATCAATCTTCCTCACTTCCTTTTCGATCCGATCATAGAAAGTTGGTAAGCGCCAATGTTCCGGATCACAAGGCTCATTGATCAGATTATATCCCGCGACCCACGGATTGTCCTTATAGCGCTTAGCGATCTCGCTCCAGAGCCAAATGACACGATCTTGGAAGTCTTTGTGTTCCCAGAAGGCAGCCCAGTTGGTCACATTGTCGGAATGCCAATCGCAATTCTGTCCTCCTGGCAGAGCGTGCAGATCCAAGATCGTGTAGATACCCTCTTTTGCACACAGCTCTACGACTCTGTCCAAGTGCTTGAAACCGCTTTCTTTGAGGACCCTCGGATCCATGTCGTCCTCGAAGTGGTGGTAGTTGAACGGTAGTCGAAGACAGTTCAATCCCTTCGAAGCGAAGAACTTCGCATCGGATTCTTGAAAGAAGTACGTAAGGAACATGTCGAAGAAACGTTCGTATTTCTCTTTTCCGAGGACTTTAAGCATTGATTTGCGATGCTGGGATTCGTGGCCTGGGTAGCCAGTGATGAACTAGGTAACTTCAGATAAGCCCATATTCCTCGGAACCGACTGCTTGAGACTTCGTTGTGATGAAGTGATCGATGATGTAGGACATACATTTTCCATATTCATCCACCCACCCAATGCTGCGCCTCTGAGCACCACGGATTTCCCATCATTGCTTCCTACCACTTGATCGCCTTGAACTTTCAAAATTCCAGTAGACATTGTTGTGTCGCGTGAGGTCCAATGCCTAGCTCGATAAATTCTTGGGTCAATCGGTGTCTCGCATAGAAGGGCCAAATAATATGACGCGAGCAATGTTGCGATAGAACGAGAGTTAAGTGAGTACTTATCCTCGGTCTGGCAGCAATACTGCCTATAATTCTGGAGTTCACATGATGCAAATGCTCGAAATGCCGCGAAACAGCCTGTTCAATTGCAGTGCTGCAAAGATGAAAGGCGGAGAGCCGCTGTCTTGTAGTGGATTCCCCAAGCTCTTGGATGTGGGAAAGATGGGGTGCGACTTCAGGCTAAAATGGTGCTCCAGTGTGGCGGATGATCTTTCTACCACCCACAAATCCAAGCATACCAGCCCGTGTTGCCAGTATCGGGCGATGCGGTGATACTTGCTATGGATTGTTGCAAGCCCGGATGGATGCTGCTTTGGGTCAGTCGTCAATGCTGCCTTCGAGCGCTCCTTCCTCTCCATGATCGGACGGGCTCTCTTCTCCGCTTGCCTCGACTTCATCATGGTCTTCAATATGAGCATGAGTCGCATCAACGCCCAGAGCCTGGCCTAGATTCAATCGCTCGCGGACCTTCGTCTCAATCACTTGCCTGCGTTTGCGACGAGCTCGGCCTTCGACATCAGTTGCGCGGAAGTCTTCGCGGGTTGGGATCCCGCTCTCAGACTCCCATTCTGCCTGTATTTCGACTGAGTTGCGCCAATCTGCCTGCATCGTGCTGACAGCAGCTCCAGCCGGTATGGAGGGTGGCGGAACTTTCATAGTGCTCGTTTGTGCGAGACTCTCTGGCGGTGTCAAGCGAAGCAACTCCCAGAGTCGTCTCTGTTCACTTGCAGAATGCTGTAGGTCTACTGCGTCGGCATGCTCATCCTGAAGGTGAGAATAAACATCAGGACTGAGGGCGCGTTTGCGCTTCCGCGAGGAGCTGGATAGTGCCGATTTCTGCTTCGAGTCTTTGGACCGGCTCATCTCAGAGTCGCCGGATTGATCATGATCGTCTGTAAAAGCGTCGCTGTTGGCCATGAACTCGTCGATCTCCTCCTCGAAAACTTCCTGCTCGTCGACTTCGATGTCCGGCTGTACAATTTTGCCCTTATCACCAAGCTCGGCCTCTACCTCGTCATAGGTCAAGGCGTGTCCCGCTTTTGTACCAGGGCGGCCGTCATTATACTTCTTCGAGTCACTGTAGACGATCACGCGAGACCTACGCGGAATGAAAGCCCAATATTGCCGCCAATTTGGCCGCAGTCCAAGAACCTCAATTGCTGTGCGAACGTCGGTCTCCCTCACAGCAGGCAAAGGTGTCCATTCGGTCCGGGTTGAGTCGTGGGCTCTAAGTCGCGTCATGGCCTGGAAGATGCTGACCTGCACTAGTCGACGTGTCAAGCTAATGGCTATGGCTTGCAAATCGCCAAGAGCCCTCCTGAAAATGGCTGGTTCGTCGGCCACGTCTGTTACCAGATTAACATGGTGCCAGCTGAGATCTTCCTGCTCACCGTTGTTCATGAAGAGATTTCTGGATAGTTGGAGAAAAGCAGCTTGCCGGAGCAAAAAGGCTTGGTCTGAGCTTATAGAGTCGGCAGCATCAGTGTTAGATACATCATTGTTGGTCTCCGCCGCGTCTGCGATTGCCTGCTCATAATTTTGTTCTTCCTGTTCGGCTGCTTCTGCATCGACTAACCAGTTTTCGTTGTACTTTTCGTGCTCCGCAGTTTGTTCATGCTTCTCAACGCGGGATGATAGGGTATCGGCAGCATTCTCCAATGCCGTTTCACAGTCAATTGAAATCTCTGCCGCAGCTGAGATGTCACCCAAAATGGCAGTTTTTCGTGGATCAGCTTTGTGCTGCACCGCAAGACCCTCTCGGAGCAACGAAGTGTAAAGTTGTATCTCAAACTGGCTTTTCGTATGCACGGAACGAGCCAGGCGAGGGAGATCACCAGAGCCGTGACGTTCAAGAGCTCGAAAAAGGGCATTCTTCTCACGCGCAGACCAAAAAGAAGCTTCGATCTGACTGCCGGTCAGAGCAAACTCAGAATTTGTCTCACGGCCACGTGCATCTGCGATCATATCATTGAGCAGATCGCGATACTCTGTTGTAAGCGAGCCGCCTACTTCTGATCGCGAGGATTGCGACTGCCAGTCTGGATCTCCGCTGCTTCGCCTACTGCTGGCCTGTCTTGAACGAGGTTGCTTCTGGCGGGGCTGCCTTGGGCGGGGTTGCCTCTCGCGGGACTGCCCTGTGCAGGCCTCGACCACGGTGTCTGGTTCTTGGGTGAGTCCGCGTGACGAGGCGCCTGATCGTTCTTGTGGGTCGACATTCTGTCGAGTCCCGCGTTCAGCTTGGTGATCTCTGCTGCTTTGCGTGTGGGCAGGAGTGCCTTGTCTTTCGCTGCCTGAGTCTGCGGAGTCGGAGTTCTGCTCGCTGTCGATATACTCGTCTTCTGATGTGTCGGCCGCCATCGCGGAGATGTCGCCACCGTCGTCTCAGCTCACATGGCGAGGACGATGTGCTGTGAGAATGGAAAGTTGTGCAACAGTCGGGCCCGACTTCTGTGATCCGACGCTGCCAAGACGGCGAAAGTCGTGGCGGATGAAGTCCAATCCCATCTCACTCTTCACGTCATGTTGTTGGTCTCTTGCAACATCAACATGATGAACACGAACATCAACACGAAGTGCACGGTCAACTACAGGCGAACGCGAACATGGTAAGATGCCGCTATCACAGTGCGTCTGCACATGGCAGTTGCTCTCAAGCGATGCAGCCAATCGCAACATCATCCGCAAGCATGAGCACCTGCCATTGTTTGCCCGGCTGCTTCTCGTAACTTTCTGAGTACAGCGTACCCCACGAACATCGAGCATCAGTCCACAATCGAAACTGCCGCTCTATTCTTTCTCGAGCACCCAAGCGAAGCCGGCATGGGTGGGCGCATTCCCAGCAATCGCGTGAACTGCACGTGGAAACCGCCAAATCAACTGCCTCACTGCGTCATCACAATAGGTGCCGCACAATTGCACGACCGCCAACACAAGAAAGTTACGATAGTACCCTAGGGCTACACAGGGCAGAACATCGCTTCATGCCACCGTACAGCCACTCTCCTGGGGAATTTCTCCATATCCGGATCGTGGGCCTTCTGATTTTCCTGTTCAGGTGATCCGCCGAGAGTTATGCTTTGACAAGACGCTGGTATTCCTACACAGCCTTGAGTCGGCCCAACTTTCGGCGCAATTGCTTTCGCTACTCCGCTCTCGAATTCATTTTACGGACATCGACAGATGTGCGCGAGGTCGGGCACGTACTGATGCTGCTCGAAGAGCGGTACGCCTTTGCCGAAGCGGAACATCAGGAGTCATAGCAATCATAACCGGTTGACACATTCTCAGCGCCCTTCCGCGGAAATCAGTACGCCACACTGCCAACTACCACGCCGCTTCCGATGACTGAACCCTCAGCTTCGTGGAGTGTACCCAATCAATTTCCTCATGCGGTTCAATTGTCAAAAGTTTAAAATCATGCTGTTGCCACTGACCGATCCATGTGTTACTTCTTCATCCCTGGACTGTTTGTTCATCGGCCTGAGTAGACTTGCATCTACGCGAGCAAGATCGAGCATTTACTGCATGTCGCCTTGTCGGAATTAAGCTTCCGCCGAAGCTTGAGCACCGTCAAAAAGCGCATCTATCTGGGAACCCTTGCCCACAGCAGGAACAGGTTCTTGTATGTTGTGGAGCTCACTAAGTATCAGATGACTAATGGTCAGTGAGTAACATTCCCATCCACTGAGATGGACCAAATGGAAGACGAAGAACGAGATTAGCGCGGAGTGCCACAGCCTCAATAAAGTCATTCATAGGGATCAAAGTGAACGATAATGGCTTGGCTATGAAAAGATAACAAATCCCACTCGGTTGCGGTGGAGAGGTGTTGCTGCAGTGGTGTTATACTTCCTGGCATTAGGCAAATATCGACCCCGAACAGTGACCGGCCACGAAGAGCCAGTAAAAAAATGCGAAGGCGCAGCCGAACAACATGCGCTCATCCTGCAATCACCTGGCTTGGGCCGGCAGTACAAGCAGTACGTAACGAATATTCCAGACTCTGTTCATGGGGCTAGCATGGCTACCATACATGCTTGGCAATAGTTGGTTCGACGAGAGCACTGAGCACCCCATGGTATAAAGGAAGCAAACCGTCCTGCTGTTGAACGAGCCTTCGAACTTGCAAGATCACCAACAGCTCCGAAGCACCTCAATTACTGTCTGCTGTTCCACGATGCATCTCAAGGCAGTTGTCTCAGTTGGGCTCAGTATGCTGCTGGCCCAGGCGATGGCCTTGCCTCAGCCTCATCTTCAGAATGTATGTACATGCATCGACATCGACAATCATGACGCAGTTCACTGACGATAATGCTCAGGGTATCCTCTTGAGCACTCGTGACGACACAGTCGCTGCACAACCCGCGCAAGATCAAGCCCAAAATCAACAAGCTGAAGCAAACGTTCAAGCTGCTCAGGCACAGCAGGCGGATTCGAACAAGCAAGTCGATCAAACTGAGGCCACCGCACAGAACGCCCAAGCTGATGCAGCAAAGGCTGCCGCCCCTGCTGCAGATGCAGCCCAGAATCAGCCGCAACAGAATGACGCAGCGCAGCCAGGTATCAGTAATCTCTTCGGCTCATTCTTGGGCGGAAACGGAGCCAAAGGTGGCGGAAGTGGAATCTCCATCCCTTTCCTTGGATCATCATCGGGCATGGGGTCCGGCGGGAAACCAGCATCATCACCATCACAGTCATTCTTCGGCGGTCTTTCGGGCTTGGTAGATGCAGCAAGTAAGATCAAACCTCCTGATAATAAACCAGACGACTCCTGGAAAAAAGCTATTGAGGACTGGGAGAAAGCGTTGCAAGGCAAGAAAGACGACGATAAAGATGCCTGGACGAAATGGTACGAAGACTATCAGAAGCAGTGGAAGGACTATTACGACAAGCTGTATGGCAAGAAAGACGACGACGACAAGAACCCCTACGAAGATTATGAGAAAGCCTTCAAGGCCTGGAAGAAAGCGTACGAGGGCGGCGGCGACGACGATGAAGGCGGCAGCATTGATGGCAACACTTTGAAGTTCAAGATTAAAGATCTCGAGTTTTCGTGCTATTGGTATGTGCCGTATCCGGGCAATGCTCAGCTGAACTGCAACTACTACTACAACTACACGTAGTGCGAAGGAATCTGCAGATGGCCTCTAGCACAGGGTGGGTTCTTGGCATGAAGATGAAGGGATTTTCATTTTTGCATTGCATCGTCATGTCGAACGAAACAATGGGCACTGTCGTTTGCATCGGGTTAGACACAGCACATTCGTTTGCAGTGGGATGTACGCAGCACAGTCGTTAGAGTATATATGATGATGAACATAATGATTGACGAGATGAGTTGCAAAATTGAGTTGCTCTGGAAGATCACGTTGGAGTTCGTAAATTGCTTCGCGAAGGTGGCAAAAGTCGTGTCTGGTGACAGCCTCGCACTTGCCTCTGCTGCATCAGCTTCTGTCACGTCGTCCAACATACTCCTTGTTCTGTCATTGCAACCTTCGTTTTAGGCTGCGCCTTTCATCACTTGGCCGATGCGTATCGCGCGGTGTACAGTTCGAAATATACATCTAGGACTTCTAAGACGAACATCGCCCGTTCCACGATACATCCTTCTCCAGTTCTCGCAAACGCCTCCTCACTCAACAAGATGGGCTAGGCATTTCGCGTCCTCATCGCGAAGATGGCAGACGCAACCGCAAAAGGTGCAGCTCCGGCCGTATCAACAGGAGAGCATCCAGTCTGTCCTGGAGTACATTGCCAAAGGCGAAAAAAGGCTGGCAATCTCGCTAGCCACAGGGAGTGGCAAGACGGTATGCAAGTATGGAAGCATTGAAGCTTCATCACTGACTATGTTTACCAGGTCATCTTCAGTCACTTGATAGCCCAAGTCCCGTCTCCCACCACTGATGCGACGCAGACTCTCATCCTTGCTCACAGGCGGGAGCTTGTCGAGCAAGCAGCGCGCCACTGCCAGAACTTATACTCGGACAAGACAGTCGAGATCGAAATGGCGAATAGACACGCCTCCGGTCTCGCGGATATTACTGTCGCGTCCGTTCAGAGTTTGACGCGAGGTGCAAGGTTAATGAACTACGACCCGGATCGGTTCAAACTCGTGTTGGTCGACGAGGCTCATCACATCGTGGCGTCCGGATATATGGATGTTCTTCGACATTTTCGCCTCGCGGATGCTGCTGAATATGGACCTGCTTGCCTTGTTGGAGTATCGGCGACGCTCTCACGACACGATGGAATGCGGCTTGGCGCGGCGATAGATCACATTGTCTACCACAAAGATTATCTGGATATGATCGAGGATCAATGGCTGTCGAATTTGCTTTTCACGACTGTCCAGTCTGAAGCCAAGCTCGATAATGTCAAGACGCAATCACATGGCGACTTTCAGACTGGAGCTCTTTCCAAGGCTGTCAACAATGATGTTACCAACTCTATCACAGTCCGCGCGTGGATGACCAAGGCAAAGGATCGAAAGTCTACTCTCGTATTCTGCGTGGACCTTGCGCACGTCGCAGCCTTGACAGCGACGTTTCGCGCACATGGTATAGATGCTCGTTTCGTCACAAGCGACACGCCCACCAAAGTTCGGGACGAGCGGCTGGAAGCGTTCAAGAATGGCGAGTTTCCCGTACTCTTGAACTGCGGCATCTACACTGAAGGAACTGACATCCAGAACATTGACTGCATCGTCCTCGCACGACCTACTCAATCACGCAACTTGCTCATGCAAATGATTGGACGAGGCCTGAGGTTACATCCAGACAAGGAGAATTGTCATGTGATTGACATGGTAGCCTCACTGGAGACGGGCATCGTATCTTCACCAACCTTATTCGGGTTGGATTCGGATGCACTACTGAACGAAGCTCAGGGCAAGGATCTCAAAGCTGCTAAAGAGCGTCGGCAGAAGGAACGGGAACGCGAAGACCAGGCAGCGACGGCGACTGCCAATAATCAGTTGATCGAGCTACAGGGCAATGTCACGTTTACGGATTATGACAATGTCAATGACTTGATTGACGACACTGCAGGAGAACGCCACGTTCGACAGCTCTCGAGAAATGCTTGGGTGCAGATCAGTGATGAGAAGTATATCCTTTCGAACCAGGACGGAAGCTTCATCAGGATCCAACGAGGAGATGGAGACGCAGATGCGGACCACTTTGTCGTGACATATACCAGGAAAGTCGCAGGATCCGAAGGCACTAATAGCAAGATCCTCGCTCGGCCAAGAAATATCGCAAAAGCCTCGACATTTGAAGATGCGGTTCGTGCGGCCGACACGTTTGTCAGCAAGATCTTCCCGTTTGAGTTCATTGCGCACTCTGCTCGATGGAGGAGAGCGCCGGCATCGAGTGGGCAGATTGATTTCTTGAACAAATACCGCTCGAAGGACGAAAAGTTGGAATATGGTTCGATCACGAAAGGGAGGGCTGGAGACCGGATTACCAAGTTGAGGCATGGTGCAAAGGGAAGCTTTAATCGACATGTTGCGCGGAAGAGGAGTGCCGTGAAGGTGCAGAAGAAGAAGGCGGCGTGGAAGGAGAGGCTTGACAAGAGTCAAGTAAGAGTTGGGAAGGTGATCAATTGACGGGTGTACGCTTTGTGCACGATGTAATGATGTGCACACAGGGTATCTTACGCGTACAGTGCGTTCAGTAATCTTTCTGGTCGTCCATCGGAACGAATTCGAAGGACGCAGCGGCAGTTTCTGGCTGAAGCACAGTGTTGCACAACGCGAGTTTGCCAATGCCAGACACGTTGTACAAAGATCTGCCAAGTAAAGTTTTGATGGTCGCAAGCTGTGCAAGCCTTTTGGACAATTCCTTGATTTTTCGACGCGTTTTCTGCACGACATGCATCCTGGAAACCATTGGCGCGGTGACTGGCTCCGGTGAATGTTTGCATTAGCCGCGAACGATATCTCTTGCTGCTCGCAGCAAACTGCAATACGTTTCTGAAGACTCGACAACGACAGTATGGCCGTATACTAGCGTCCCTTGCGTGAATTGGTGAGACCGATGCGCCGCAAAACGTGCATCGACGGTGGCTGAACGGCTGCCATACATAGATGGCTTAGACTTTCGGCGTGCATTGCGGCTCATAGCTCCCACAGCTGGCCTGGGGATAGCTCCTGTACCTTTCCCATGAGAGCTGACGCGTTGCAGCTTGGCGCGAAGATCGCGCGCGTGAACGATCACCAGAATGTCTGGAGCCCATTGGCGTCAGTAACCCCGGTGTAGGGGTGGAGCGGCGGAACGCGGTGTGGGAGGAGGAGGAAGGAGAAGCGGAGGTTTCGCGAACGAACCGTGGATCGGTCGGCGATCTGAGCATAAGTTTTTAAAGAAATTAGCTCTCCGCGTGCACTTACCGTGCATTTGGGCCAGCACCAGCAGCAGAAGCTCCCGCGGTGCACAATTCGTGAGAGCTTCTGCGCAACGCCATATGTGACAGCGTCGTGCAACATCGGTCTCATGATAAGACATTCAAACAGCATCGATTCCTGCCAACACGACCAGCATTTTCATGTCGCCATCGACGCCGTTGCGGAGCCGAAGGTGATTCGGACAAGCAACTATCGAATGCACGGTGGATCTGTGACGGACTTGCGGCGCTACCTTCCCTCTCTTAGCGAGAACGCCTCCCCTGCCTCTTGCGATTCCTCCTCGCGATAGAGAGTCCACCACGCCGCACCCCAACACCACCACCACACCTCGTCTGTCGTTACAGAGCCCTCTGCCGGACCACGGGACCCCGTGTGCACGAATGCGACGCTGACCTGCAGCCGGCGGAGCTTTCAATGAGGAGGCGCTCGAGCGAGGGAAGCGAAGATGAGGCTCGCGACAGGCCGCACGTCAGCACCGGCAGCAGCAAGAAGGGCAGGGCGGAGGTGATGGCTCGGGAATCAGCACAACCCGTCCGCGCGACAACGCGGCACATGTCTGCGCAACAACAGCAACAGCAACGAAAAGCAGCCACCAAGGAAGCCAGTGTGCTGCTCACAGAAAAGGCGCCATGGCCGCGGACAACGCCCATACCGAACCCGCCGCTCGAACCCGGCACTCTCGACGAACCCGTCCCTTCCAAATCGCGCGCCGAATACGTTGCCGACCATTTACGAAAACATGCAGAAAGACGACGGAGTCCATGGAGATGTTCCTTCCTCACGCTGGCGACGAGCATCGGTGCCATCGTCATCCTGTTGACCGTGGTCCACTCGTTCCTGAACCGACAGCAGGACCCGAAAGGATGCGCCATGTCTTACATGCGGCCGCGCTTCGACCGATTTCCCGACTTCGATACAGAACATACGCGCTTCGCGAGCAAATACTCATTATACCTCTATCGCGAAGGCGGCGTGGATGAGGATATCAGAGTCAAAGGGATACCGGTGTTGTTCATCCCTGGCAACGCTGGGAGCTACAAGCAAGTGCGACCCATCGCTGCAGAGGCGGCAGTGTATTTTCACGATGTATTACGACAGGATGGAGACGCGCAGGGAGAGGGCAAGCGACCGCTGGACTTCTTCACTGTCGACTTCAACGAGGAGCTCATTGCATTTCATGGCCAAACTTTACTCGACCAGGCCGAGTACCTGAACGAGGCCATCGCATACATTCTGGCACTGTATCATAATCCTCAGCGATCCGCTCGCGAACCGGGGCTGCCAGACCCCAAATCTGTGATCATGCTCGGTCATTCCATGGGAGGTGTAGTCGCCCGGACGATGCTTCGAATGCCGAATTACCAGGAGAACACGATCAACACTATTTTGACACTATCAGCGCCCCATGCGCGACCCCCGATCTCATTTGATGCCGCGATGGTCTCTACATACAACGACATCAACACGTACTGGAGGAGGTCTTTCTCCGGCTCGGCCGCAAAGAATCCACTGGACGATGTGACTTTGGTGTCCGTGGCAGGAGGTGGCCTCGACACCATGATTCCGTCAGAATACACAAGTTTGACATCACTTGTGCCTGATACACATGGTTTTACAGTCTTCACGTCGAGCATCCCTAATGTTTGGACAGGCATGGATCATCTGGCCATCATGTGGTGCGATCAATTCCGCAAAGCATTGGTCAAGGCAATCTATGATGTGATCGATGTACGCCGACCTTCACAGACAAGACCACGCCCAGAGCGGATACGCGCGTTCCGGAAAAGACTGCTCACCGGCATGGAACCAGTCGTCGAAAAGGGTCTTCTGGAGCAGGAGCCTACGACATACCTGACACTTGAACACAGCTCGACAGGTATTATGTCGCACGGTGAGCGACTAGTGTTGCGATCGCTTGGTGATACAGGGACCACGAAAGCGCATGTGATGCCTATCCCAGCACAGCCATTCGTGGAAGGCAGCAAGTTCACGCTCCTCACGGATCAGAAACTCGATTCGGAAGAAGATGACGGGACAATGTCGGTCCTGCTATGCAGCGTCTTCCCTCCACCCGCAGGGTTCTCAGTACTCTCGTACGCCATCAATTTGGACCCCTCGAACAGTGCGGGTGGATCTACGAGGCTTGCCTGCAAGAATGCCGTTTCTGATGTATCGTTGCTGCCCGCATCGAATAAAGATTCAGTCAACGCGTTCGATGGCACTCATCCGTTCTCGTATCTGCAGTATGAGCTGTCAAGCATTGCTGATTACCAATTCATTGCCGTGGTTGAGAAGGCGAAAGAGCGAATGCCTGGGTGGGTCATCGCTGAATTCAGCAATGCTGCAGAGTCTTCGATCAAGGTCAGCAAAGGCCACCACCAACTGCTGCTCAGCGGCGCCACTGTCCGACTGCCTGCAAAACGGCCAATGATGACGGAGCTCAAGATCCCAGAAGTGCACTCGACTCTGTTCGCGTATTCGCTCGAGGTGGATAGAAAGCCATGCCGGAAGCACGAGGAAAGCTTCGCTCCTCTCATGCGACAGTACATCGCGGAACCATACGAGTCCAAGTACTTTGTCAATACCAAAGGCGGCAACATCAACGTGCACGGTCTATCGCCGTATATGCCTCCGCGATTGAGCGCTGGACCAGTGACCGAAGGGCTGTCGCTGCAATTCTGGACGGATCCTACGTGCAATTCGACTGTCGAAATTTCGTTCAAAGTAGATGTACTGGGCAGTGCTGGCAAGCTTGTCATGAGGTACCGGACCGTCTTTGCAGCATTCCCGATTCTGGTTGTCGCGCTTGTACTTCGCAAGCAATTCAAAGTGTACGACACGACGGGAGTGTTCATCAGCTTCACACAGAGTATGGATCAGTGCATCCGCACTTCTCTGCCGGCAATATTCATTGCTTTGACGTTCTTCGCCATTGCGGTCTCCAAGTCCAGCCATAACTTATGGACGCGACACTGGCTGAGCAAGTCGACTGGAACATCTGAACAGGCGATCGACTTCACAGTCAACGATCTGATGCTCGGCACTTCGGATCCTTTTTTCTGGTTTCTGGTTCCGCTGTTTGCGATCATCTGCGTGGGAATCTGTATTGTCATGAACTATGTCGTCCTTGTCCTGACACACACGATTGCTCTGGGTGTTGCGAAGGTTCTGAGATGGGCGCAGGGGCCTCCAGAGGAATCACGGTATGTGCATCTTAAACAGGTAGAAGCAACTGATACTGACTGGGTGCGTAGCAGAGCACAACTACCCAACACTGGACTGCTCAATCGTCGCAACCTCACGATCGCAGTTTTATTACTGCTAGTGGTCACGATCATACCCTACCAGTTCGCATACGCAGTCCTCTGCCTGGTTCAAGCAGTAACCTGCATCCGAGCAATCAAGACCGCACAGGAATCTCAAACTCCACAGAGCTACCACTTCTACAACTACGCACACTCCGTCCTGTTACTCATGCTTTGGATCTTACCAATCAATGCCCCCGTACTGGTCGTTTGGATACACAACCTCACGGTACATTGGTTGACGCCCTTTTCGACTCATCATAATCTTCTCTCCGTGCTCGGATACATCTTGCTGGTCGAGACGATGAGCACGAACAACATGATACCGCGTGTGACGAGTCGGTAAGTGGAAGCCTTTGTTGTTTGAATGTACTGCGTACGGATTTGCTGACACTGGCATGCCACAGAGTACGCTACTTCACCAATACCTTAATGTTTGCATTAGCACTCTACGCCGCGGTATATGGCGTCACCTACGCCTACCGGATGCATTACCTCGTCAATGCGCTCTGTTGCTGGCTCTTCGTCATCCATCTATCGAATTCCGGCTCGCTGGCGAGTTTGGCGAGGCATTTGTCCGGCAGTAGTAGCAGTGTCACGCCATCCACTGCGCCTCCGGCCTTAGGATCAACAGTACCGCCCGTTCGCGGCAAGAAACGACCGTGATCGTTATTCTGCAGTAGTTTGCGATCATTTTACATTTTACGACGATGAACAAAAATTATACCCAGGGCTTTGTTTTTATTACCAGACGTATGGTGTTGCGGAGGAAGTCCGCGAGGGACGGAGAGAGGGATTTAGAAGGCCGTCTTCTGTCTGACTGTGAGCGTGACCTTCATTGAGGGCGGGGAAAAATGAAAGCCATTCGAGGAGACGTAAGCATACTTGAGTCGATCATGATGAGCACGAGGAAGCAGCAACAATTACAACAATCACAAACACCGCCGCCACAACAACACCTACCTGTCATCAGAAACCGCATTGGGAAGCATATTCTTGGGTTTGTTGGGAGCGTTCATGTGTTCGTGTAGCGGTTTTTTCCCTTTGCCCTCGTTTCTGAGGGAGTTTTCAATGTATATACGACAACAAGGCTAGAGACAGAGAGTGTGGAGAGTTCCTGGCGATGAAGCAAGGCTTCGACAGAGAGCGAGTATATATATAATGAGTAATATGTCCTTGAAATCTTCAATGATACTGGTGTCTTGTGTCCTGAGGCATGTCCGGAGGGAGGAAGCTTCGGCCGAGCGTGCCGAAGAGAAGGCGTTCATCTCACAGTGAACTCCGCTGCAGCATTTTCCGGGGTTGCTTGGCTGGAGCCTTCCTTCTGCAAGGCGCGTTCACTCGTTTGCTCTCTGCATCCTTCCCCGACTTGCAAGGCGCGCAACCGCATGATGCCATCCATCCTGTTGTAAGGCGCGAAACAATCTACCAAGATCACCTCGACTGCAGGGCGCGTGTCTTTCTCCGCTCGTCGCGTTGCATTCGCGAAATCCGAAGTTACGACTGGTGGCTGCAGATGTCGAAATGGAGTCACCGCAAGCCACATTCTGCTTAGTGGGCCATACAACTTACTACGGTTCCTGCCGCTACCACTTCAATGGAGCTCGCTTGCGTGGTGATCAGGTCAGCATACTGTGTTTTGTAGGCGGCAAGATGGACGTGAACACCGCTTTGCACGCGTTTTTGGCGGCGTGGTTTGCTGGAGGCGCGTTTTCGCGATTTGGTGCCTGCTGGAGGGATGTTAGTTGGCGGCTGTGGGAGGTGTTATTGGTTCGCTTGGGGTTTGTGTGCTATCACGGGAGGTGAATGGGCTGATTACGCTAGCAGGTTTGGATTGAGTCAATGGGTGTAGGGCGGTGTTCACCTGCAGGTATGCGGGCGGGCTTTTTGCTTAGGTATCAATGGTGAGTGACATGGTATGACTGTGATGGTTGGGGATATATCATCGTGGTCCCGGGCCATTTGTTCTCGGAGTTCTTGTCTCATCACCAGGCTGAAGAATTACTACTCTTGCTTCGCAGACAGACATACCACCGCTACGATCTGACCCTCGGAGCTATCGATCATCGTACGAAAAGAGGCAGCATAAGCACCTCATCGTTCCTTCAAGTCCGAGCTACGCAACTCAGTGCTCCACTTGACTCACATCCATCCCTATACCACATAAGAACTCCGACACAATGTCTATTCTCTGGGATCAACTCTACACCTCTCACACGCAAATCCCATCGAACCCGGCTAGCAAAGCTTTCCAGCAGACAACGATGTATCAAGCAGCGAACGGAACATCAACATCGACCTCGACCTCTTCGTCAGCAACTTCAGCAAGTTCGACCAGGTCGTCAAAGTCTGATTACGATAAGATGTCATCGGACTCTGCTTCGATGATGAGCTACTCAAGTACGGCTTCTACGATCGCTTTGATTAAGGACAAGTTCAGGACTTCGAGTTCGTCGAAGAAGACTCCTGCGCAGAAGCAGGCGGAGAAGAGGGCTACGAGGATGGATAATGTGACGCTGGGGACGGTGTTCGCGTTGAAGTGAGCGGCCCTGAGAGCTGAAGGACTTGGACGAAAGGCGGTTGATACCCGGGGGCGATGATCATTTTATTGTTGGAAATTAGAATGTCTGCACCAATGCACTTCGACATGAAGCGTATCTTTGGTTGCTGTAAGGCGTCTGGGAGAGGCGGGTACAATTGATTTTGGCGTTGGGCAGGAAAGGAAAAGGACCTCTAGATTGATCATGGTCTTAGGACTTGTATTTCGATATTATTGTATGATGAGCTTACAAATCTGAATGTAAGATGCCTCCTATGAGCAATGTATGTCTCACTCGTCTTTTCTCGTCGAATCATCTCGTTGGAAGGCTTGCGGCTTGTCCTCAAAAATGCAAACCTAAGGACAGCCTTGCAGGACCCACTTGCCGCTTTGAGAAGGCGCAGCATGTGATTGAGTCATTAAATACTACGCGACACTTCGGCTTTCTTTCTCGCTCACGTCACTTCACTTCGACAGCAACATCCACCATGCCGCACAGCATCAGCGAGTCGCAAGGCGACGGCGACGAAACTCCTACCAGGCTGCCCTTTCCGCCAGTCACCAAGAAGCACATCCTCAACTGCTCATACCATTCCTGGCACCCGAAATATCGCACTCTCACACCAAAGACGCGCCTTGTGCCCCTCACAAGACCTTTCGTCGACTACCTACGCGCCGATGGAATCGTTCTACCAGAAGACGACGACCCACCAGCTCAGATGACCTCAGACACCGATAGCGCCTATGTTTCCGCCTCCGATAATCCCGATGCCAACGACGATGACGAGGACGAAGATCCTTCGGCTCAGTGGCGAGAGGTACACCGCGCGATTCGAGCAACGATTGAAGAGTTGGGCGGGGCTGTCATGCCAAAGTTAAATTGGTCTGCACCCAAAGACGCAACCTACATGAACGCCAACACAATGAAGTGTCACAAGCCAAGTGACATTTACCTCCTTCTCAAGAGTTCGGATTTCATTACACATGACCTAGAGCACGCCTATGATGACTGTGTGGATGCTTCAGAAGGGGAACAACTGAGTGAGGACGACATCCCATACCACCTCGTCCTCCGCAAGGCGAACCCACATTGGAACCCATCCGTCGAGTTTCGCTGTTTCGTCAGAGACAGAAAGCTGCTGTGCATCTCACAGCGGGACATGAATTACTACCAATTTCTTCACAAGATGCAGGACAAGATTCAGTCGTTGATCAGGGAATTCTTCGAAATCCGACTTCAAAACACATTCGAGGACGATAGCTTCGTGTTCGACGTCTACATCCCACAAACTTACGATCGCGTCTGGCTAGTTGACATCAATCCGTGGGCTTCAAGAACAGATCCGCTGCTGTACAGTTGGCAAGAGCTGCTTGAGATGGACGCGCCACTTGAGGAGCCCGAGGATGAACTTCTGCAAGGCGGCTTTGTCCGACTTTCCATCGATCCAGCGAAGCGACAGCAAATGATGGATATCCTTGCCAAACAGGAGGCCGAGATGCAGGCAAGTGAATCAGTCGAGCACGCCGAGGACAGCGAGGACGAAGACTCGGCCGAGGAAGACCTCTACCTCCCGGAGTTGCGTCTCGTACACCCAGAAGATCCAGAAGCCGCGATGTTCTCCAGTACCCAGTACAGCGCACACAAGATGCCGAAAGACGTTGTCGATGCCAGCCAGTCAGGTAATGGTCTGGCAGATTTTGCGAAGGAATGGGAGAAGATTTTGGCTGATCGTCAGCGCGCTGATGCTGCGTATGACAGTGGTGACGATGCTACTTGAACGAATTGACGAAGTTACGATATCATGGTAAGAAGACCCCTAGTTCCCTTTTTCTCTCTAGCGTTCGGCATTGCAAGGCGAAAGCATCAGGGCGGCGGCGGCAGAGGTTTCAGAGTTTGAAGTGGGCAATACATAGCTGGAGGCGACTCAAAGGGTTGGAATCGCACGATGTCGCTCGACCCACGACCAAGAACAGGCTGAGGCATACGCATATTGGTGGCACATTGGCAAGAGCTCTGCGTCTCAGCTCTTACAGCAAATTGGAAGGGAGACGTGATGGCTCAGTAGAGCAATGCAGCAGGCCGCGGAGCCAAGGCAGGCGCAATATGGCAAAAGCTCTAATGAATGAACGCAGTCCATTCGAGCGCTGTCATCTTCTCTCGTCCTCCCTGACGGCGCTACCCCTAGACTTTGGACCTCTGTTCGGTCCTCTCGAAGCACCTATGGTCGTATCACCTCACTTCGCTTGACCGACGTTGACACTAGCAGGCGCGTCCTGCATCTCGAATGCACGCGCAGCATAACGCGCATCGCCAAGCAAACCAAACAGAATGAACGCATTGTTTGCTGCTCCGTGCATATGTTGCTGTTGCTGCTGTTTGATCGCCAAGCAACCTTGTTTGTCGCGACTGTATATTTGCAAATGACACAGATTGACTATAGCCAGTGACAAATCCTCCATTGGAGACATGTCGGACGACGGTGCTAACGAGTTGGTTGGATCTCTTCAGCGTTGCTCCCTGCGCGCGGAGGATCTCAATGACTCGGAGAGGTAAGATGTGAAGTTCAGGATGTCGGCGGTTGCTAATTGCAGTCAGGACTACGACCCCAGCTGCTGACCACTGTGAGAGCGAGGGCGATAGCGAGTTCGACGACTCCGACTACAGCGAGAATGACAGCCTCGATGAGCTTGCACCGCCCACTGAGGTCTCCAAAGACAACAAGTGAGTTGCCCAAGTTCTGGAGAGAAGTCTTGCAGCTGACGATGTACATCAGCGCAACGAGCACAGCCACTAGCGATGGATCCCAGGGCGCTGTCGAGAACGACAAGACCAAATCTGAGATCCCAAAAGAGCTCCTCGAAAATCGCGACCTCGTCTTCAAGCCTGCACAGCCTGACCACGGACTGAAGATCATTCTCGGCAACGCCGGACGCTTCCAGAACGTACATTTCGTCAACTGCACCTTCGAGCACACGACGATCTTCGAGAATTGTGCGCTGTTCAACGTCACCTTCACTCGCTGCCATTTCAACGGCACTCAATTCGTGAACTCGGTGATCTCGAGACTGAAAAGCAGAATCCCCAAGGACAGCGAGCTGGAGATCATCGACATCATTGACATGCAGTTCGACGGATTCCTGTGCACCAATACCTTGTTTCGAGACGAATGGCAGCTAACTCAGAAGGTTCAAGACCGCGGCCCTTCCCTCGGAGAAACCCTTCCAGGAGCACTAAGCAGACCAGAAGAGGAGGATTGGTGGATTGACAGCGATGCTGACGAGGATTCTGACGAGACACCGGAGGAACATGCTCAAGGCTTTGGAGGCATGCCCGAAGGTGTCGAAACGTACGAGCAAAGAATGCTTCGATATGCAAAAGCCCACGGAACTTCCTCCTTCGACGTCACGTTCAAAGGTTGTAAAGACGACAGTCTCAGGTTCAAGGAGGGTTCTAATGAGCTTTACACTGCTGTGCAGTTTCACAACTGCGTTCTGGATGAGGTCGTCTTTGAGAATTGCGTTGTGTATGGGGTCTCCTTTCAGAACTGCAACTTCAGAAGAGTGCATTTCAAAGACACTGTTCTGATCGACTGTGTTTTCCGGAACTGCACAGCGGATGGACTGCGTTGGGAGGGTGCGCGGCAGGTCAGTGTCATGAATCTTGGAACTAGATTCGGACCACAAGACAATGAGTGCAACGGGGTGAGACCGAAGGAGCTTTCCGACAGATCGTGGATCTCGTCCTTTGCTCCCACCGATCCTTCGGCTGGATCAGAGTCTTGAGGATGCTGGAAACCGAAGCTGGTATCACAAATCGAATGCCATTGCTCGGTAGGCTAGGCTTCATCGTGGATCGACAGGGGCTTTGAGATGCTCGAGGTTGCGGCAGTAGCAATAGTGGCTATACATTGAGGCTCATAGCACTTTCAAGTCCTCGAATTATGCGTCTGTAGCTGAATGCGAACCTATCTGCGAACGGGAATCAATGACGGAACTCTTTTCCTACTCTTCTTCACAAAAGGATCTTTCCGAAGATATACCAAGCGAATTTGCTTAAGATGTACTGCCTTGAGAGTTTGAACGTTTGCAGGATCTTGTGCACGACAACATATATGACGAAAGAAAAGACGTCTGCCCTGTGGTGAAAGCCTCCTGAGCATTGTAGCAGTAGCGGTCAAGTGAGTGAGCTATTCTGAGACGATCCCTGTCGATTTCCGAGACTGTTCCTTTTCGGGCTAGCGTGCACCTGCCGCGTCGCGAAAGCTCCCAGTTGTCATCTCGACGAGCAGCTTCACAAGCATCCGCGATCGTCGCAAACAGACACAATGGCTGGCCGAGGGGGATATGATGTCGTCGTCGACGTCGATGCAGAGGTAGTGCCATCACTACCTCCCGCAGCGATTCTGCCAAAGCTGACGAAACACAGGGCGACTTGGGGCATACCGATCTGAACGACGACCTCGAATTCCACAATTCCAGTATGCCTCTCTGGAATCATGATCGCTAAATCACCGACTAATGCACCGAATAGCGTTCGATCAGAATAATTCTCGCAACAAGATCCAACCTGACGCAAATCAATCCGGTGGATTCTCCTCGTCGAGCGCCGGTCCATCATCCTCCAAACGCTACCTCTGGTCAATCCAGTTCTATCAACAATTCTTCGATGTCGACACCACATCCGTCCTCTACCGATGCCGTAACGCGCTCTACCCTCGCACGAACTTCCTCGATGTGCTCGAAGGCAACCCAGATCTGTACGGTCCCTTTTGGATCGCAACGACTGTGGTTGTGATCTTGTTCCTCACGGGCACGATAAGTCAATACCTGGCATATCAAGGCAAAGGACACTTTGCATATGACTTCAGACTGCTCTCAGGAGCCGCAGGATTAGTCTATGGATACACGATATTTGTGCCTCTGGCACTGTGGGGAGTGCTGAAATGGAGCGGTAGCGAGAGCGCGAATTTGATGGAGTGCTGGGCACTCTATGGATACGCCAATCTGATCTGGATTCTCGTGGCGCTTGTCAGTTGGAGTCCTTTGACTGGTGAGTTGGAAGGCAGCAAGCTTGCGATGAGAGATTTGTGTGCTAACTTTGAACAGCTCTGAATTACGCTTTCACTGCAGTCGGCCTTGCCTTCTCAGCTGTCTTCTTGACACGCAACCTGTTCCCGATTGTATCTGCGATCGACGCGAAGAGGTCAAAAGTGCTACTCATAGTCGTCCTGGCCTTGCATGCAGGTTTTGCGATTGCGATCAAGATTTTGTTCTTTGCAACTGGTAGCCCGGTCTCTAACGCGGGAGACGCGCCAAAGGATGGCGGTGACGCAAAGGGGGATGCAGCTGAGCAGATGGCACGTTTGCTGTTCCGATCCTAAAGACTGCATCCAAGGTCTAATGATACCATGAAAAGCGTTGAGAGATGCCCGCGGCAGAGAAGATGCTCAGCTTTCCATTTCTGATTTCTCCACTCGTTTGATTTGAGCAACCATATGCACTGGTGCGTTGTGAAAGAACTGCGGATTGCGATTGTCCTCCAACACATGCTCGCAGCCAAGAAATCGGAGTGACGCACTAACGATGACCCCCGCCATCCACCTGCTCCGTCCCCACCGTGAAAATCATCTCGCCGCGATTGCACCTGCTGCTGCCAGCGAACCGCTCCGCTCTCTGCACTTCACTTGACTGCACCAACGAGTGCACATCCATCACTCTTCTCGCATCCACATTAGCATGCGAGCGCGAGACGACTTTCTTAATCCCGACCCACCTCCCGAGTTTGCAGGAGGCAAAACACTTCCGCACAGCACTAACAGCTGAATACCATCACATTTCCACATCCTGCAATTTGCCACATAGACCACAGTCTATCACACACCTCATCCACTAACGATCTGTCCACATCTGTCAAGATGGCACCAAAAGGCAAGAAGGGCAAGAAGGGCGGCGATGACTGGGACGAAGGTCTCGGTGAGAGCGCCGATCCGATAGCACAAGCAGAGCAAGAGGCCAAGGCTGCTGAGGCCGGCGAGGAGGAAGAAGGTGGCGGTGGTGGCTTCATGGCCATGCTCAAGAAGAACCGAGAAAAGCGCAAGAAGAAGGGCAAGGTTGCTGACAACGATTTCCTGGAAGGCGAGGACCCCACGCAAGAGCAAGACGCTGATGGCATCCCTGCAGCTCCAGCTGTGGATCTTGCAGCAAAGGCGCCTGAGGAGGCTACCATGGACGATGAGGATATCTTCGCACAGCCAGCCAAGGGCAAGAAGGGCGGCAAGGCAGCACAGCAGAAGAAGGCCGAGCCAGAGCCAGAAGAGGACGCTGAAGAGGGTGGCGGTGGCGTGAAGACCAAGGCACAGAAGGAGAAGGAGAAAAAGGAGCGAGAGAAGCAGCGAAAGAAAGAGCAAGCTGCGGCTAAGAAGAAGGCTGCTCCAGCACAACCAAAGGCAGAAGAGAAGAAAGTCGAGGCTGCGGCTCCGGCTCCGTCACTCGAGCCTCCTGCTGCCGGAGGAAAGAAGAAAAAGCTCAGTCCTGCGCTTGCAGCACTGCAGAAGCAGCAAGAAGAGCTTCGCAAACGACAAGAAGAGGAGCAGCGCGAGAGGGAAGAGCTTGCTAAGCGCGATGAAGAGGAGCGAAAGCGTATGGAAGAGGAAGAGAAGGCAAAGGAGGAAGCCAAAGCGGCCAAGAAGGCTAAGGAGAAGGCGAAGATTGAGGAGATGAAGAAGGCTGGCACATACAAGACGGAGAAGCAGCGGAAAGAAGAGGCACGCCAGAAGGAACGACTGCAGCAAATGCTGGAGTCTGGTGTGAAAGTTGCTGCGCTTGAAGGTGACACGGAGCCTAAGAAGCCGTCTTCTGTGAAGGATCAACGCAAGAAGAACCCTCGCAAGGAGGCCGAGGAGCGCAAGAAGGCCGAGCAACAGGCTCGCGAAGAGGAGGAGGCGAGAGAGCGTTTGGAAGAATTGAAGTTGAAGGAGGAGCAGGAGAAGAAGCTTGCTGAAGAGGCCGAGAAGGCCAGACTCAACGCCGAAGCCAAGAAGGACGAAGAGGACGAGCTCGAAGACTGGGAGGCAATGGCGGAAGCAGAGGAGAATGGTGTCAAGGATAGCTGGGACGCGGAGTCTGGGGATGAGAAGGCCAAGCCTGCGGCCAACGGAAAGGCGCCTGCTCAAGCGAACGGCAAAGACGACGACTCAAGTTCAGAAGAGGAGGATTCTGACTCCGATGATTCCTCCGAAGACGAGGCAGCCCTCACGGCGGCCAAGAGACAGGCAGAGCAGAGACGTCGACAGGCCCAGGAGAAGCGCGAAAAGGAGCGTGAAGCTGCTCTCGCTGCCGCGTCCAAGGACAACCTTCGTTCACCCATCTGTTGTATTCTTGGTCACGTCGATACCGGAAAGACGAAGCTGCTCGACAAGGTCCGTCAGACCAACGTCCAGGAAGGCGAAGCAGGTGGTATCACACAACAGATTGGTGCCACTTACTTCCCAGTCGAGGCTCTGCAGAAGAAGACGAACATTGTCAACCAGGATGGTGCTTTCGAATTCAAGGTGCCCGGTCTCCTTGTCATTGATACACCTGGTCACGAGTCCTTCACCAACCTCCGATCTCGTGGTTCGTCGCTTTGTAACATTGCCATTCTCGTGGTCGATATCATGCACGGTCTTGAGCCTCAGACGCTGGAATCTATGAAGCTGCTGCGCGACCGCAAGACACCTTTCATCGTCGCGTTGAACAAGATCGACCGTCTCTATGGCTGGAAGCCTATCGCCAACAACGGCTTCCGCGACTCTCTCAGCCTGCAGAAGTCCAGTGTGCAAGGTGAATTCCACGACAGACTTGAGAAGACTAAGCTCGCATTTGCTGAGCAAGGTTTCAACGCGGAGCTGTTTTACGAGAACAAGTCCATGGCGAAGTTTGTCTCGCTCGTGCCAACATCAGCGCATACTGGAGAGGGTATTCCAGACATGCTCAAGCTTCTCATCACCCTTACGCAAGAACGCATGACCAAGCAGCTCATGTATCTGACCGAAGTCGAGGCCACCATTCTCGAAGTCAAGGTCATTGAAGGTCTTGGTACTACTATCGACGTGGTTCTGTCGAACGGTATCCTCAACGAGGGTGACAGGATTGTGCTCTGCGGTACAGATGGACCTATCACTACTGATATCAGGGCTCTTCTCACCCCGGCTGAGATGAAGGAACTGCGTATCAAGTCACAATACGTTCACAACAAGCAAGTGAAGGCTGCCATCGGTGTCAAGATTGCTGCCAACGGTCTAGACACAGCCATCGCTGGCTCGCGACTGTTGGTCATGAAGGACAAGAACGACGAGGATGAGCAAGAAGAGCTCGAAGACGAAGTCATGGGCGATCTGGAGAACCTCATGTCGCGCATTTCCAAGACTGGTCGTGGTGTCACTGTGCAGGCTTCCACTCTCGGTTCTCTCGAAGCTCTTCTGGAGTTCTTGCGTGTCTCGAAGATTCCTGTTGCCAACATCTCTATCGGCCCTGTGCACAAACGTGATGTCATCACTGCGTCTACTATGCTGGAGAAGGCCAAAGAATACGCTGTCATGCTGTGCTTCGATGTCAAGGTCGACAAAGAGGCACACGAGATGGCTGAGCAAATGGGCGTCAAGATCTTCATGGCAGACATCATCTACCACCTCTTCGACAGCTTCACGGATCACATGAGCAAGCTGGCAGCGCAGAAGAAGGAAGAGAGCAAGATGCTTGCGGTCTTCCCCTGCGTACTCCGGCCGGTTGCTGTCTTCAACAAGAAGGACCCTATCGTTGTTGGTGTGGATGTCGTGGAAGGCAATCTGCGTCTGCACACACCTATTGCCGTTGTCAAGCAGAATTCAGTCACTGGCGTGAAGGACATTTTCACACTTGGAAGAGTGGTATCGATCGAACGCGACCACAAGCAATTAGACATTTGCAAAAAGGGTCAGCCTTCGGTGGCTGTCAAGATCGAGGGTAGCAACCAGCCTGGATATGGAAGGCAGCTGGAAGACAAGGATGTGCTCTACTCGCATATCTCGAGAGCTTCGATTGATACGCTGAAGCAGTTCTACCGAGATGAAGTCACCAAGGACGAGTGGGCACTCATCGCCAAGCACTTGAAGGGGCTGTTCGATGTCAATTAAACTCGAGCATTATGATTTGGAGAGGGGGCAAAAATTCACATAATCATTCGGCGTGTCATGGGTATATAGTATTTGCTTCCACAACAGCTTCACTGTGAGTATGCTATGTGAGGGATCTCTACTTCTGCAAACTCTCCAGGAGTCCATCTCCATCTTTTTTCGTCTCCACGGCCTTAAAGGCATCTCCAATGACATCGATACCTTTCTCTGCTCGCTCAAACGCTTCGGCGCTGCGGTCCGTCAAAATGGCCAAATCTTTGTCGCTGAGCAGTCCCTTTCCATCTGCGACATCTATCCTTTCGCCATCGTCTTTACTCAACAGTTTCTGTAACTCTGCAAAATCCGCCCCGCCGGAAGAGCTCGCTCCGCCCAGACTCCTGAATCGTCCCTTTTGAATCACCAACTTCTCCAATCTTCGTTTACTATCCGCTTTCTCTAGCAGCATTTGCTCCACGGTCCCTTTCGTCGCGAAGCGATATACAATTACAGGTCTCGTCTGCCCGATTCTATGCGCTCGATCTTGCGCTTGTAAATCTTGCTGAGGATTCCAGTCGCTGTCAAAAAGAAGGACTGTATCGGCTGCTGCGAGGTTGATGCCTTGTCCTCCTGCACGTGTTGACAGGAGGAAGATGTTTGTATCGCTTTCGGGGTCGTTGAAGTCGAGTATTTGTTCTTGGCGGTCGGTTTGGGCTACTGAGCCGTCGATGCGGGATGTGGGCCAGTCGCGGAGTTGTGTGCAGTAGGTTTCGAGGAGGTCGAGTTGGGTTTTGAATTGCGAGAAGATGAGGACTTTGTGGCCTCGGTCTAGGAGTTCTGGGAGGAGGCGGTCGAGGAGGAGCATTTTGCCGGATTCGGTGATGAGGGTTTCGTCGACTGGGGTGTTGTCGTCTAGGTCGAAGGGGTAGTAGAAGTTGTGGGGTGAGTTGCAGCATTGTCGGAGTTGCATGATGGGGTTTTGGAGTTTTTTGTTGGCGAGTTCTCTTTTGGCGAGGGCGAGTGTTTTTGCGCGTTCGGCTTCTTCTTCGTCTGCTGTGTCTTCTGTTTCTTCTGGTTGCGATTCTGGCTCTTCTTCGAGCTGTTTGAAGTATTGTGTATCCGAGACCTCCTCGTATTGCTGCTTCTTCTTGGCTTTTCTCGATCTCGGACCAGTGCTGGCATTCGTGGCTGGTGTTGATGCTCGGCTCGATTTTGCACTCTTGTTCGGTGTTGTCGTATCGTTGCCTGCCTTGCGCTTCAGACTGCGGCTCCTTGCGCTGGCGGGAGTTGACGCGCCGCTCAAGCTCTCAACGACTTTGTTCTCCAAATAGGCCCTGCTATTGCCTTCCAGAATCTGCTGATACAGCTCGCGTTGTGTCTGAGTCAATGGAGCGTAGAGAACATATTCGCGCTTCTTCGGCAACGAAGTCTCTACATCAGCCTTCACACGTCGCAACAGGAATGGTTTCAAGATGGCGTGCAGACTTGACACCAAGCTCTTCTGTCGGTCTTTGGACAGGATCTCCTCATACCCGCCTTTTCTCTCCAAAGCGCTGAAGTCGAACCAGGACTCAAAGGATTCAAGTTTGTCGAAAATGCTAGGCATCAGGAAGTGTAGCAGCGACCAGAGCTCGGTGAGATTGTTCTGCAATGGCGTTCCGGTAATCAAGAGTCGGTTCGCCGATTGGTATGATTGCAGTTCGCGAATCAAGCGACAGTTGAGATTTTTCAGACGATGCCCCTCATCAATGATGATAAACTTCCAGCCAAAATGGGCAAGATGTTTACGATCATTCATGCAAATCTCATAGCTGGTGCAGACAACTGGAAAGTCTTCTCTCCCAGGATTGCGAAGCTTTTTGCGCCGAATCTCTTCTCGCTCTTGCTTGCTGCCGTGATACAGCACGACTGGTATGCTGGGCGTCCATTTTTTGAACTCGGCAACCCAGTTGCTCGTTGTGCTCAGTGGAGCAGCGATAAGGAATGGTCCATTCACGCCCTTTTCTCGGAGAAATGCTAGGAAAGAAATGGTCTGAATCGTTTTGCCTAGCCCCATCTCGTCCGCTAGGATTCCATTCAATCCGTTCTCATACAGCGAGGTTAGCCAATCCAAGCCCTCCAGCTGATACGTTCTCATCAGGCCGCCAGTGACCAATTCGGGCTGCTTGGCTGATCGCAAATCTTGCATGCCAATATCTCCTGGTTTGATATCTGCATCTTTGGTCTCCTCAGCAAGAGCCTCAGTGATAGATGTCTGTCCAGCTTTTGCTTGCACATCTTCCTTCTTCATATAATCCGAAATCTTGTTTCCACTATTCGTCTTCTTCGCAGGACGTCCTCTTCGTGGCAGCTCTTTCTTGTCCCCATTTGCCACCGCCTCAGACGTGGCTGACGCCCGCGTCGCCCTCGTCTGCTGGGCCTGTGCGGCTTTCTCTGCTGTTTCCTCCCGCTTCAATGCACGTTTCCTGCTCTTCTCGTCTTTCGCCTCTTCTGCTTCTTCTTGCTGTGTCATCTGCTGAAGCATGATAGTGCTGTACAACTTGCTCTGGCTCAAGAGATATTCCAATGCCTTGTACTTCGTGTCTACGCCTTCACTGCCGCCTTTGAGATCTTTCTCTCGCTCTGCAGCCAGTTTCTTCTCGCGTTTCTCGTCTTCTTTGCGACGCAGCTCCGCCATGCGCGCCTCCTCCTTATGCATGGCTTCTGTCGGTCCATCGTCATCGGGCGAGGTGGGCGGCGTTGACTTCGCCGACGTCTCTGCTTCTGAAGACATAGTAAGAAATGCGGCCAATCTTAAACCAAGAAACAATGCAATCCTCGCGCAAATTCTAGCAAGGCATGTGCAGGGGCAAGAGAAACAAAGATGGTTTTTGCGCCAGCGACACGGTATGCGGTCATCGAAGACTCGGAAGTCAAATTGACGCGTCTCAAAGACCCTTGTACGCGTTCCTGCACGATCGAGACACCAGATCGGCGCTAAGATCTGACGCCAAGACTTCACAACACCTGCATCAACACTTTCTTGAGAGCGTTAGATACACAAATGAATACCAGTCTTGCCTTCTCGCCATCCTCTCTGTCTGACCTCTTGCAGAAATCTTGAAGACACCATCAGAGCCCTCATAATCAGTCCGTGAAGCATCAAGGCCCCCGTGACACCTAATTCCTTGCCTCTTAAAGTCAACAAAATGGACCCAAAATTCGATCTCACTATGATAAATTCGCCATGAATGTCAGGCATATTGGCGCGAGAGCACATAACACACGTTCCATCCGATCATTTGCCTTATCGTTGCTTGAGGCAGAGATGTTGGCAATTGCGCCACAGCCGGCATATATGACAGAAGCGCCAGGGGGTCGATTGCAAACTTGCTCGTGCCATACTGCACCGCGTCCGATCTCTGTAGTCTAGACACGACCATAGTAAAAGAGTAGAGTCGCAAGATGGATGGCTGAGCGCTGCTTCTTTCAAAAAGTCGATCGGCACTTACTCGATAGTACATGTGGCCTTATAGCAATGGAAACTGCTCAAGATGGAAGTCAGTCGCAGTGCGCCTGACTGTGTACTTCAGTCGTGACGACTTCGCCAGATATTCAGCAAAGCGGCAACTTCGCGCTTGCCTTTCGGGCCATATGCGAAATTCCCGCCAAAGCGTAACAGCGGGATGACTCTGGAAATCGAAAAGTTCGCTGACCTTCGCCAGCGGTATCGATTGGACCGCCAGCCATGACACACTAAAGTGCATAATTAGACTTTCAGAGAGAACCGCGGAATATCATCATTCGAAATGGACTCAGAAGCATCCGAGTAAGCTTGTAGAGTTGAGGCCGCGGGCAATACTGACACCTGTCTTCGTAGCTTTTCTGGGTCGCGCAGAAAAAGAACAAAAACTGTGCGATTTGCCGAATCTGAACAACAAGGATTCGTCACTGGACAGAACTTGAACAACGCCTTTCAGAGTCCTGCAGCTAGCCCCACGATGGCTACGACGCCTACTGAGCGAGCTGCAAAGCGCCAGAAGCGCGCAGAGAACAACAACCGCGATGGCGACGGCAAGACCGAAAAAGACAAGGGCGCCAACAGCAGTGGCCCACGAGGTGCGAGGAATGGGATGATTCTGCCCAGCTTCTCGCCCGAGAATTTCCTGATCGGCCGATGGAATCCTCCTGCGATGGACTTCTCGAGTTTTCCAGATATCTCTAGGGCTCGCCTCGCAGAAAAGGTTCGCAGGGATGACCTCGAGCGCCGGGTACACGTCGACGATGGCTCGGACGATTGGTATGGCTTTGAGGGCAGGGTGGCTTCATACACTGAACCGTGGGGGAAGGATAACGGCCAGATGGCCAGAGCGATTGCATCAAATTTCATGAACCGTGCCAAAGTCGCGCACTGGGCATCGCGCAAGTGGGCAGATTTCGAGGATGACGAGTTGACCATCCGGACACAAGCAGCGGCGCATGCTGAACCTGACCCAGTGAAGCGTATGGAGCTTCTTGCCGATTCTCTGTGCGAGGTGTCCAGACTCGAAGTATTCGAATTGATCAAGGAGCGGCTGTGCAATGAGATCTTCCTCGAGGTGTACGACCACAAGCGTCTTGCATTAGAGCGCGACAGGGAGGACAGTGTCTTGTATGCTATCGCGCATCCCGGACGCACACGAGTCTTGCCGCAAGCCCAGCGCCAACAAATTCCTGAGGGAGAGAAGACGGTGAGGACCTTTCAGCCCCAGCCCCAGTCGACAACTGGGACCTTTTCCGCCTCTGATAGGGATCGCAGAGCAGCAAAGCATCGTCTACCGAACTTCACGGCCCAGTATAGAGATGCTGAAGAACAGGCAGAGGGGTCTGCCAGGAAAACTTCGTGGTTCTCAAGATTCGTGAGTGACGATAATTCTTCTGTGTTGTAGCATCCTGCTGACAGATTGCGTAGTGCCGCAATTGCGGAGAAGACCTAAATGATGGACGCTGTCCAAGGTGTAAATTTGTTGAGGGCATGGACGACGACGAGCCAGAGTTCATCTTGTGATGAGATGAACAGCTTCATCGGCGGCAGCTCGCTGCGAAAGGCGTTACATTGTATTGCTGGCTGCGACAGGTGATGATTAATACTGCTGGCTGCAACAGGCGTTTATGGGTACTGCTGGCTGTCATGGTTGGTGGAAAGGTATAGCAGGTGTGCTACGAGACGCGTTCACCATAGGCTGTAGCTCTTGCAATTGGTACCAGGGTATTATGATCGGCTTCTTGTACTTCTCTTCGGCAATGTGGCCATGTGCGCAACTGTGCTTGAAACTTCCTGTTCCGTGCCGGAGGTGGTCAACCGGCTAAGGGCGTGTTGTGTGGGCTCTGGCAAAATCTGACAGAGCGCTAGTCGTACTGCCGGGTGAAGTTCGTGCAGGTGACAAGTGAAATGATTGAGAGATGAAGTGCAGGGATGGGAGACGCTGGTTCCAGAGATGCAGCGCAGGAGTGCGGAGAAGGTGACATCGTTCAGGCACACCCGCACCCAAGCTGCTCCACGAAGCACTTCGTTTGGTGCTTGTCTCCCCACCAGCACATCCGCACGGAGCCGTGCAGTATTTGCATTACGCCGATGAAAGAGCTATGGTACAGTAGGAAAAAGCCTGAATGGGCAATGGACAGCAAGAAAACGCGATATGAGACCAGCTTACGGGTCCAGAACAAGATGAAGCGCGTGGGCGACATGGGACATCCACGCCCACGGCTCATTGCCCGGAAGTCCTGCTCGTGTCCACGGGCACAGCATGCTACCTTACCACCAAGCGCTGCACGAGCGCGTCGATCACTCATCGTCATGTAGGGCAAGCTGAGGGCATATTCTTTCCTGCGCATACATACTGCCCACCTTCCGACTTGTCTTCCACCTCACCTTCCCTCTCCCCTTCAATGCCCACCATGGCGCTCAAGTATATCCTTTCCAGCGTCTCCTACCTGACTGCTGTCCTCGCAGCCGAGAACTTGACCTGTCCAGACTATTCGGTATACGCGAAAGAACGACATGAGCCATACTCTGAAGGCACATACCAGCTCTCCTACCAGCGACCCGTGACGCGATGTCGAACATTCAACTCTTCCGTTGTGGAAGAGGCTATTGAGCGGATACAAGGCGAAATCGCTGATCCGGACTTGAAGAGGTTGTTTGAGAATGCGTTTCCCAACACATTGGACACTGCAGTCAAGTGGAAGGGCACAGCTGCTGGGTCGGATGAGGAGTTGACATTCCTGATCACGGGTGACATTGATGCGATGTGGTTGCGAGACTCAGGTATTTGCAGATATGATGGAAGTCTTGAGAGAACATCAAGCGGCTGACTTGGAACATAGCCAACCAGGTGCAGTCCTATCTGCCACTTCTCGAGGCGTCGAGTGAGAGCAACTCCCTGGCATCTCTCTTCCGTGGTGTCATCAATCTCCAGGCTCGCTACCTACTCTTTGACCCTTACTGTAACTCGTTTCAGCCTCCAGTGGAATCCGGGCTCAACGCGAGCTTCAACGAATATGCGGCCGAAGATATTGTGTTGCCAAAATATGACAACACTACTGTGTTTGAATGCAAATATGAGCTTGACTCGCTTGCTGCATTCCTGCAAGTCTCGTAAGTAGTGACCGGGCATGAAAATCTGCCTTCGCTCACATGAAGTAGATACGATTACTACAAAGCCACCCAGGACGCTGAGTTCTTTGGCAAATATCAATGGATGAAGGCAGTAGAGGCCGTGCTCAAGACTGCGGAGGAGCAGATGGTCGGCTCATACGAGCCAGATGGGCGAGTATACAACTTGACATACCAATTCCAAAGACCGACGACCAGATCCACCGAGACACAGGCCAACAACGGCTTAGCCAACCCCTTCAACAACGGTACTGGTCTCGTGAGATCTGCCTTCAGACCAGCCGACGATGCAACAATTTACCAAGGCCTGATCCCGAGCAACATGCAGTTCTCGCGCTACCTAGCTGCAACCGCGGATATTGCTGCCAAGATCAGCGGCCAGGAAGCTCTTGCTCAGAAGATGCGCGATTTATCCGAGAGCATCAGAAACGCGATCTCAAACTATGGCATTGTCGAAATTCCAGGCTTCGGAAAGGTGTATGCATTCGAGGTCGATGGCTACTGGGGACAAAACATCATGGATGACGCCAACATCCCATCGCTGCTGTCCGCGCCCTTCCTGGGTTATCTGAATGCCAGCGATGAGGTTTATCAAAATACCAGGAAGCTCATCTTGAGTTCGGCGAATCCATACTTCATGCGCGGACCTGTCATCAACGGCATCGGTGGCCCACACGTTGGCCCAGGCTATGCTTGGCCGATGGCATCGATTGTGCGAATCTTGACGAGCAGTGACGATGCAGAAATCACAGAGCAGCTGCGAGAGATTGTGAGCAGCACGGATAGACTGGGACTGATACACGAGAGTATCAATACCTTCAATGCGAGCGATTGGACAAGACAATGGTAAGTGAAACTTGCGAGTGAATTGTCAGCATTGTTACTAACACGATGCAGGTTCTCATGGGCAAACGGACTCTTCGGTCAAGCCATTCTGGACTTGAGCGACCGCAAGGCAGATATTTTGAAGCAGAGCTTCCAGCAAAAAGAAACCTATCGTAGTTAAAAACAGATGCTGAACAGGTTTCCTGCGTTGAAACAAGCCCAATAGTTGAACGTAAAACCCTTTCCTATTCGAACTTCTCCTTTCAGTCGTCCTACGTGTGCGGCGAGTAGCATCGAGGCCCGTGAAAAGTGTATGCACATCTATAAAAGCATGAGCAGATCCAAGCTCGGGTCGTCCCGCGTGCCGAAGTGATTACTTGCAGCCCCTCTTTCCTTTCCTCGCGTCCATCTCGTTCCTTTCTGACACGACTTGGAGCATCACGACAAAAGGCATGGACCAGGCTGACAGTAGAGATGGGCGGCACTCGCCCAACAAACGCAAAAGATCGTTCGTCGCAAGAAACGTGCATCTTGCGAACATCCCAGTGGCGATAAGGCACTGACGCCTCACGCAGGCTTGTCAAGCATGCCGCGCCAAGAAGACCAAATGTGATGAGGACTCGCCTTGCAGACAATGTCGTACGCTTGGTATTGACTGCATCTACAACGAGAGTCGAGCTTTCAAGTGAGTGTGCCTGACCGAACATCTCTGCCAGGTGGCTTATACTATATTTTGCAGGCACGAATCCTCGCTCAGCGTTATCCTGGCCGCCATCAAACGCATCGAGACGAAGATTGATACTGGGCCCGATATATCCAACAGGAGACCAGGTCCCGAGCAGGTCCAGTCGAACGATGCCAGAACTCCTCAAAGGCGACAGGAGCCGTACGCATCACCTCTCAGCGAATCGCAGTCGGTAAATACATGTGCTGAAAGCGATCGTGTGAAACTATCATTCAGTGCGCACCGTATCATTGACTTCGCTTTGCAGACATCCGAGCCTGAAATATCTGATGACAGACTGCATCTGGAGTCCGAGCGATCTATTCTGCCACCCTGTAGTGCAGTTGGCCATAACAATGACACTTCGACTTGGCTGGCAGACTTGAGCCTTTCAAAGGTGAAACGACTCTGCGATCTGTATTTCGAAACCTTCAACCGAATCGCGCCGATACTGGACTATGAGTCTTTCTCACGGACGCTTGGTGTCGCAGTGGAAAGTGGGTTTGGGGTCAACCAGGAATCCTGCTTGCTGCTGAATGTGCTTTGTCTTGGTAGCTTGGCTCAATACGCATGGGCAGAGGGAGGTTTCAACTCAGTCAGTGGATCAAGGCATCGTGAGCCGCTGGATCCAGAGCCTGGTGTTGAGCATCCATCTCCTCAGGAGAACGCCGATGCGCTGCGATTCTTCGACGAAGGGCGAACACGAATTGGCTACCTCCTTGCCGAGCAAGATTTGGAGACATGCCAGTACTTTCTCCTCTCTGCGACTGTTTATGCGGTGCTACTACGACCACTCGAGGAATGGGCTATGATCAGACAGGCCTGCATGATCAGTGCCTCGTTTTGGTCATCAAACCATGATACTTCGGACAGCTACTGCGTTGATATGCAACGCAGGATCTTCTGGAATGCGCTCATGAGAGAGACGATCATCACAGACGAGCTAGAACTGCCTCGAAGCCCTCTCCAAGACCTTGAAGGACTCGTCTCCCTTCCAAAGTTCGTCCCATACAGCGACAAAAGAGCAGACCAAGGTAGCCCGGATGAGTACTACCACTGCCACTATCTCGCTCAAATTGCAGTACGAATCATCATGACGCGTATCCGAGACGAGCTCTTCTACAACAATCCATCAGTCTATCTGGCCGAAGAACTGCATCATCAGCTCGAACAGTGGCGCTCGAGTCTCCCGCGATCAATTCGCGATGACTTTGACAGTGATTCGAGTTCTCACGAGCACCCCTCGCATACTGTTGCCGTCGCAATGCTGCAGACTCGCTACTGGGTGTCAATGTACCATATCGGCAGGCCATTTCTGTACAAGGCCATCACAAATCCGGCTGAACTTACCTCTAAGGATCTTGAAATCTGCAAACGCTCTATGAATGCTGCTGTTGCATGGTTCGCGGCTTATCGGCGAGCTCTCACGATGCGCAGCTATACGCACCTGATCTTCTTTGTGTGCAGCCAGTAGGTGCGGCATGGACATCGATTTTGCACTGAGACTGACAACGAGCTAGGTTGTTCGGACAACTGCTCTTAACTCATCGTCTGAGATCGGTCACAGACGATAGAGTTCGAAGCATTGCGCCCGAAGGAGTGGACGACTGGCTACATGAGGCCTTCGCTTTCATGAAGACTACTGCACCTTACAATCCCACTATTGCCAGAGATGTGAGGGTGCTCTCTAAGCTGTTTAGCTCGGCATCGCTCTGAGAAGGAACGCTCACGACATAACCTGGATCCACTCGATGGAACATCCTTACTCCATCCATCGGTGGCCATATCCTTGACGTACCACTTTCTTATTCAGCCCACGATAGTAAAAGTACAAGACGAAGCTCAGAGAGCAAGCGAGCGCAGTAAAGCAAGCATTGACGCCGTGTCCAAGGCGATACAGAGGCGCATCTTGAGATCGGTATATCCATACGCCAGCGATCTGACCTGGTCCGGAGAAGGCGACGTTGCACGCAAAGACCAAGGACATGGCAGTTGTGTTAGTCGCATTGTCACCCACCCACGCATTGAGAGACGGAAGTGCTGCGAATACACCACTCGTTGCGAAGATGAGCAGCACATAACGCCCTGTGAATCGTTCTCCAGGGAGCACAGCTGCAGAACGTCAGCACCACTGGTCAATCTGTCTCTGCTATGTACTTACCCAAGACGATGAAGCATAGAGTGCTACAAGCCAACGAAGTACCAGCAATGAGGCCGCGCATCTGGTAACGATCCGAAGCGTATGCTGCGAGCATAGTGCACACGTATGCTACTGCATATGGCGGTACGGTGAACAGCTGAGCATGAAGACCACGATAACCCAGACCTTGTATGATTGTCGGTGCGAACAAGGACAGTGACGCCACTCCGCAGCCAATACCAGTGTACGCTAGGTAATGGCCATACATCCTCAAGTCGAGGAGTGTCGCTTTCGCATCCTTCCAGTTGATCTTCTGCTGACTGTGTCTATCAGTACCGACTCGTCGGAACAATGCTGAACCGACCTTTGATTCCGTTGCCTTCCCAGTCTCAGCTGTTGGACACTTTGTTCCTCTGCTGTCAGCCAGGACACATCTTCAGGATAGCTCGGCAGGAAGAAGATTAGACATATGCCGAGGAAGACTGCAGAACCGCCAACACTGTTCAATCACCATGCTGAGTCGACCAACCCGTTGGAGCTCCCTCAACAATGAAAAGCCACCGCCATGCCTGCAGGCCAAGGGCTCCATTCATATGACCAACCCCATATGCGATGCAACTAGTCACCATAAGCACGAGTACGCCCTCCTGGCATGAACTAGGACCTCACCCTCCAAAAGCGCCCGCCAAGGTGGCGCTGCATAAGAAGCAAGCGATACGGAACGCGCGCTCGCTGGGCTTGTACCAGAAGGTGAAGTAATACATCAGCCCAGGGAATACGCCGGCCTCAGCCGCCCCCAGAAAGAAGCGTAGCACGGTCAGACTTGTAGCATCTTGCACACCACCAATGCCAGTGCAGAAGGACCCAAACGCGATGACCAGGAAACTGATCCATTTTGCCGGACTGATAATCTTGAGAGCAAGATTGCTAGGTACTTCGAACACGGAGTATGCGACCAGGAATACCATCAACGCCACCACGTAGGCATGGTTGCTCAAGCTCAGCGTCTGCAAAATGTCGTCGCCGGAATCCGAATTGAGTATCTTGGCGTTTCCTAAAACCCGTCAGTGGAACGCTTGACATTCTCGTTGGTATCACTTACCAATGTTCGAACGATCCAAATAGCAGAGAAGATAGATGAGGATCGTTACCGGGATGAATCTGATATCAATCTTGCGGACGAGTCTATTGCAGAAGAGCGTCAACACACATGATCACGTTGTGAGGACGCGGAAGAATGTACGATTTCTCGACCTCGCGCTCATGTTCGGTCAGCTCAGAAGTGTTCTCGATGCTCTCGATCACTTCGATCGCTTTGTCGTCGTTCATGTTCTAGGATCTGCAATGAGAGGGAGTTACGTTCTGCTCAACCAGGGCTTCCGTTCCTAGGTCTCAAAAGCGCTGGACAACTACAATCGGGATAGAAGAGAAGTTCTGTTCTCACCCACAGCATCGTAACATCGTTTGCTTAACATTTGAAGAACGATCCTGGAGCACACATGCGGGGAAGTGCATGCACCCCGGAGACTCAACTGGCGGTTTTTCTTGGCCACTTGCCTTCGCCGGGGAGAATTTGCCAACTCCGGCGAGGGTCTGTTCGAGGGATCACCGACTCAAGAGCGCGCATCATACTCGCCTGCGCTATGCGATGGCGTCGGCCATTATCGCACTTGCGAACTGCAAGATTGTCGTCACCGTATGATCTAGTTTACTCAATTCCTGCTGTTTCGCATCGTACTGCTCGGAACTCAAATTTTGCTTATTGGACCTTCTGTCTAACGACAACTTGCGATCGAAAGGCCTCGCAACAATGACTGGGAATGACAATTCGAGCAGCGCTCGAGGATTCTTTGCTGGAGCTTTCAGCGGAGTTGCAAAAGTGAGCAGTAAGCAGCGCTCCCAAGGACGACAATTGCCCACAACAGCAGACTAACACCCACAAGCTGGCCATCCGTTTGACACAATAAAGGTACGACTGCAAACTACAGAGATGTCTCGTTTCAATGGACCTTGGTCGTGTCTTCGCCAGACGCTGTCTCAAGAAGGCATGAGAGGACTCTACAAAGGCTTCACGCCACCCTTGGCTGGTTTCGTCGTCATGGACTCTCTGCTGCTCGGCTCTTTTTCGATGTACAGGGACTTCCTAAATCGCAGTTTGAATCTCAGATCTCCCAGAAATACTGGCGAGGATCGACACACGATCCCGGCTAATCGATCTTCTGTAATGGTTAGCTTTCTCTCGGGTGGACTCGCTGGCTGGACAGTGAGCTTCATTGCTGCACCCATCGAACATGTCAAGGCACGTTTACAAGTTCAATACCACACGAAGATCTACTCAGGCCCTATCGACTGCGTCCGGAAAATATATCGGGACCATGGCGTTTATGGGGTATATCGCGGACTACCCGCGACAATCATATTTCGGAGCTTCTTTGCTGTCTTCTGGGCAAGCTACGATGTGTTCAATCGCCGGATGCAAGTTTCTACTGACCTGAGTCTACCACTTATCAACTTCATGGCTGCTGGGGTAGCTGCTCAGCTGTATTGGCTCACCGGCTATCCCACCGACGTGATTAAGCAACGGGTGATGACTGAGCCTCTGGGAATTAGAGGATCGCATCATCGCACAAGGTGGATCGGTATTGCAAACAAAATATACCAGGAGTCTGGGTGGAAAGGATTCTGGAGAGGATTTGTGCCGTGCTTCCTCAGAGCTTTTCCCGCAAATGCCATGTCAATTATGACATTTGAGGCAGTAATGCGCGCTACGGCTCGGAAGGAGCACCTCAAAAATTTCGACGAAGAGAATTAGACTACCAAGGTTCAAGTCCCAGTCGGAACGGCCAGTCCGTCATCAATCACCAGCGAGTGTCCTGTGATGCACTTCGCTGCAGCACTGGCCAGGAAGGCAACAGCGTCTGCCACATCGAATGGACTTCCTAGCTGGTCAAAGAACAGATTGTGCTGCATCCTCTTCCCAAAAATATCTCCGATCGCATCACCTCGACTGTGCGTCCCTTCTTTCACCAATGGCATAGATATCGACCCGGGCACCACGCAATTCAGGCGTACTCCATCCTTGGCAAATATGGCTGCCATCGCTCGTGTAAAGTGTACAACGGCGGCTTTGGCAGCGCTGTAGCCATTTTGAGGCTTTCCTCGGTACTCAACACCCGCATTGAGGGCGCAGTTGATGATCGAACCATGGTCTTGTGCTCTCATAATCGGCATGACCTTATGGCACGCAAGGTAAATATTACCAAGATGAATGCGAAGCTGAGATTCCCACCCTTCTTCGCTCATGCTTACGGCTTCTCCGGATGATGCTCTGCCGACGTTGTTGACGAGTATGTCGATATGGCCATACATGGACATACAGGCGTCCACGACTTTGGAGACATCGCTTGCAGATGTGACGTCTGCCGCCATGACAGTACACGGACCCGGAAGACCAGATTTCGTGTACTCTGCTGCGGTAAGATCCAGATCGCAGCCAAAGACGATCGCATGGTTTTGCGACAGTCTCAATGCAACGGCTGCTCCATTATCCCACGCACTGGGGTTATCGCTCGCAGTCTGTCCGATGCCCATGACCAGGGCGACTTTGTTGTGCAGATCCGGGTAGTTGACGCATTCTTCCATGCTTCATAATCGGCGACAACACGTGAGCCTTGACAACTCCAATTGGCTCGGTATAGTGGACTTCTGGCCTGGTGAATTACGCAGAAATTTCCCAGGCACTGCGAAGCTCCTTCAAACTTTCCTATATAGGCAAGAGACTTGTTCCTGGTACTTCACCCGGGGAGACTAGTCCAACTCCGAGCTTACTCATGCGAACCCCACTCCTGCCCCCTCTCTTTCCAATCTCTTGGTCACTGTACTACCGTCTAGGTTCAGCAACATTCTCGGATCTCCAATACCGACCCATTGATTTAAATGGATCTTGCCCAGCGCAAGCAAGGTAGGGCCCGCCTGGACTTTTCGCATCACGTCAGACGCTCACGATGTTGTTCAGAGCTTTTTTCATAAAGACGCTGCTTACAACGTTGGCTTTAGTACTTTCTCTCGCATATGCCTCGACTGTCGGCACCGTTACAACATCAGATGGGGTCAAGTTAGCATATATTCAGGCTGGACCCGCTGCCGGCCAAAAGCTTCTTTTCATTCCGGGTTGGAGGCAGACTGCCGCAGAATGGAGGAAACAAATCGAATACTTCTCAGGAGCAGGCTATCAGGTGACAGCGTACGACCATCGCGGACACGGAGACTCCGAAAAGCCCAGCTTTGGCTATCGACTGTCCCGACTCGGCGCTGACCTCAACGATGTGATCAACACGCTCGGTCTGTCCAATGTGAGCATCATCGGACATTCAATGGGCTCCTCAGTGACTTGGGCTCTGTGGGATCAGTACCCAGAACAGCATTCTCGTATTCACAAATTCGTCATCGTCGACCAGTCCTCTGTCCTCGTACAAGATCCAACTTGGACGCAAGCTCAACGCGATACGTGGTCCGCTGCGCTTTTCACGCCTGCTCAGACATACACATTCAGCGCTAATTTGTCGAATGAACTGGTACCATTCGTTACAAGCATGTTCACGAAAGAAATCTCAGCTGAAGACCTAGACTGGGCGATTGCGCAGAATCTGAAAATGAGCGATGAGAATGCTGCGACGTTGCTGATTAATCATGCTTTCATGGATTGGCGGGATGTTCTTCCGAGAATTGACGTGCCGACTTTGGTGCTTTCGGGAGATGCGAGTTTGAATAATGCTACGGGGATCAATTGGGCTGCTACACAGATCCCAGGAGCCAGGTCTTATACGTTCACGAAGGAGGAGCGAGGAAGTCATTTTGTGTTTTGGGAGAGTCCTGAGCGTTTTAATCAGGTTGTTCGGGATTTTGTTACTCCTACAGGATGATCGCCATACAACCAAGTGCTACTCCTTCATCGGTCCCGACATCCAGGTTGGAGAGGAATGGGGACGGGAGAAATGGATGTCTCGCAACTTGACGACTCGTTGCAAGATATGCTCAGCAAGCAATGATAATGTCTGTTCGTGTGCTTTAACGTGTATAAATTTTACTCACAGAAGGAAGCCATATCTAATTCACGCTCGTAGTTCTGCAAACCTGAAGCCCTCGAAGCTAGTGCACAATGATTTGAAAAAGAGGACGCGGCTCCGAATTACGACAGGCTGCATGCCGTGCAACCTTTCGAATGCCGTTCAGCAATTCTACAATTGACTTTTAGGAAAATAAGGGACGAATGAACTACTTGACGTCAAGCACACCTAAATTCCGTTAACTCCAGTTGCTTTCTCAATGACGATATATGGCCACAACCACAACATAAAATATAGCAATAGCTCTCAACGAGCGCAATTCCGCACTCTCCAACAAAAATTCCTACAACCATGGCACCACACGTTTTCTTCATCACTGGAACCAGCACGGGCTTCGGCCAAGAGCTCGTTAAGAAGGCCTTACAAGAAGGCGACAAGGTCGTTGCAACAGCGAGAAACAGTTCCAAGCTCAGCTTTGATGGCACAACGAAGGATAATTACTTGGCTGTCGACCTCGATGTCACCGATAAGAGCTCCGTGGACAAGGCTTTTGACGCTGCATTAAAGCAATTCGGACGCATCGATGTAGTCGTCAACAATGCTGGCTACGGATTGTCTGGAGAATTTGAGTCTGTTTCTGATGAGCAGGCTAGAACTCAGATGGAGGTAAGAAAGAGCTTCCTCTTTTGAGTCGCTTGTAAAGAGGAACTCCACTAACCACTTTCAATCTCTACTATACAGGTCAACTTCTTCGGCCTCCTCCACGTAACCCGCCGCGCCCTCAAAATAATGCGCGAAACCAACTCCCCTCCCGGCGGCAAAATCCAACAAATCACCTCCATCGGCGGCCAAATCGGAGTTCCAACTTTCAGCATCTACTGTGCATCCAAATGGGCCGTCGAAGGTTTCACCGAAACAGTTTCCAAAGAACTAAAACCCGAATGGAATATCCAACTCACATGCATCGAACCTGGTGGATTCCGAACAGATTGGGCTGGAAGGAGTATGGTTTTTGCAGAGCAAAAGGAAGCGGCGTATGATCATATTGATGCGGAGAAACAGATGGGGAAGGTTAATGGAAGTCAGGGAGGGGATCCTGTGAAGGGGGCGAGGGCGATGTGGGAGGTTGCGAAGATGGAAAGCCCGCCGTTGAGGGTTGTGTTGGGGTCGGATGCTTATGAGAAGGTTAATCAGAAGATTAAGGAGTATGGGGAGCTTTATCCGAAGTATGAGAAGTTGAGCAGTAAGTTTCTTGTTGCCGCGATGCTTGGCAGAAAGTGAAGCTAATTAGTTTGTGCAGAGAGTACGGATGTGGATGAGTAAGGACGATTGAGCAATGCGACCTTGGACGTTGGGCGATCGCTCTGGGAGATGAATATGTTGATCTATCCTTGCTGATATCTAACTGTACACGTGAAGCTGGCGAGTGCAGATCCTTAGATCGACAGACTCCAAGGAATCGTTTCCGGATCCAAAGCTTTCCATAAGAATGGCATACCTTGGCTGTAACCTTCTTCATCAAATGCCCTGCTTCTGACCACCTCACTGCGTGCCCTCATTGTCTTCATAAATTCGGAGTTTGCGTCTCTTGTAGCCTTATTCATTCGCGACAGCATCGATTCGTCATTGAACATGTGCACCAATGTTCTGTCCGTGCCAACAAGCAGTGGTCGAGCAAAATTCGCTTCCACGGCGATGAGACCAAGGCACTTTTCAAGTGGTGGAAGGTATGAAGCCACATCAGTCACGCCCTTCGCGGCGGGAATTGGCTTGTAAAAAGCAGTGGGGTGGAAAGGCAAGGTTCCGGCCGTGGTGATGAGCGAATTTAGGTTGACGGAATGGTGCGCTGATGTCGACAGATGAGCCATGTGTGTCAGGACGTCAGCAAGGTCAGATGGCGTCCTGAGAGTCTCTCTGGTAGGGAAGTCGATTGCCTGAGCTGGACCTGAAGCTTCCGCAAGCCATGCTTGAAGCTCGTTGTCTTCGGCAATCGCGGCAGAATCTGCATAGTATGAGTCCACAAAAGCTGCCATGAAGGTCCGAGTGGCATTGTAGATAGGCAAAGCATCTTCGTAGAATGGAAAGTGCTTCAACGCAGGTCCGTCGCTGTCAAGGAGACCTCTCTTTTGAAGATTCTTGGTGAAATAGTTTGACTGAAAAGCTCCTGCGTATCCATTGCTGTAGAATTCGTTTGAGTACTGGCCGGCCGAAGCACCCGTGTAGGCAAAGAATTGGTCAACTGCAGCTCCCGGCGCAAACAATGTTAGTGCCGCAGAACCGCGAATACCAAGAGTTCCATACATAAGTCGAGACAAGAGGGCCATGACTGGATGATTTTCACTCAAGGTTCTGATCGCTGCCTGGTATGCAATTTCAGTCACATAGTGTGTGTTCGCGAGATGATGGAACTGTGACATGAAGAAGTCGGCAGTGTTGAACATCATTTTCGCGAGCAGCCAGTCTTCTGACGAGTCTTCCCGTGTGTAGATCAGACTGTGTTCCGTATTTGTGCGTATCGCTAGGGGCAAAAAGTCCCCAGAGGCTTCCGAAATGTAGAAGTAGGCGTCGCATGGAGCTGAGTATCTCCCATCGATAGGTGACAGATCTGCCTGTGCGCGATGGTCTACGTAGAAGAGCCGGGCAGACTCGTGTAGCTGTGTGAGAGATTGGCCAGAGATCGCGCGTGATATTTCGTCCTCCAGGTTGAAGGGGAGCGATTCTTGAGGCTCAAGTCGGCGAACAGCAAAAGGCTGGAACGACAGCCGCTCCATGGAGAACAGCAGGTCTTGTGTGTAGTTTGTAAGCAGCCCAGGAAGGATACCAGTAGGAGCTGTACTCTCGACCCATTCATCGTCATACAAGCTCACATAGTCGTCCAAAGTCTTCAAGTCATTGTATCGGCTTGTGTCTGTCACAGCAGACACATTGTCGGCAGTAGTGATTTTGAGCTGATCAGCTCCTTCCTGATGGTAAATTGCGGCATCCCTCTTGACCATTGCATCTCCCAAGGTACCGGAAGGGGAAAAAGGGCCACCACCAACGCCAGGACCATATGTGAACGTAGATCTCTTGTCCGACACGCCAGATAATCGTACCTCCCAAGCATGGTGCGCAGGATCCGGTAAGCTGTATGACAAAGATAATTTCGCAACGCTTTGGTCTGGTTGCAGTCGATACAGAGGCGAAGCCACGCTCTGGCGGCTTTCTAAGTGAACGACATATGATATGCCAGCCAAAGAGGTGGCAATGAATATTTGGCCAAATGAGATTTTGTACATTGTGATCAAGCCAATGAATGTTGTGTAAAGTGAAACCTAGACCAACCGGGGCCTAGCATCTTATACTTCATACGAGCATTTGATCCGGACCGCTGCGCCTGAGGATGACAGAGCGATCCGGCAGTGACGGCATGTTCGTCTACACAGCCAGCTTTGCGTAGTCGATGCCTTGCCTGCGAACGTGTTGAAGGATGCCCACGAGGCTCGGCGACGGCGGCCGCCCTCTATCAAGACTCAAGCTAGCTTAGGCGGGAGGGCGAATCATGTTCGAGGGCAGATATGGTTGGCATCTGGGCATATCGAGACCGGTGAACTACGAGCGTAGCGCAGTGAGATGACGGGCTCTGAGCAATCTGCAGGAGCTGCTATAGTTAGCGGAGTGTCAGTGGTGTGCGAATGAGGGTCGGCCATCTCCATGACATTAGCGGAGGGATTCCTTCGCGTGGGTGCATAGGGCTGAAGCCCACCAACACCAACGACCCGTTCGCAGATTGTGGGTGGCGCAATACGAAATGCATTTGAGATGCATCCTTCGCCAAGCACAAATCTCATGCGAACCGCTGCTCAGGCTTCTTGATGTCGCTGGACTTCTGCCTTTGCAACGGCCGCACCCACTTGAGCAAGATACCCTCTATGCAGGAGGGCGGCGTAGGCAGCAGAAGCGAAGGTATTCATGGAGGGAGACGTCAGCTCCGTGTTGATTTCGTGACGAGTGCGGTCGCCCTCGTCCAATCATCTTCCGCGAGTCGTCATGTTCCTGTCGGCAACCACGGCGAGCACCATGACAGTCGGCGACCTTCCCTGTCTTGCCTGCAGAATGGTATGGGCATATTGTCCATCACAGGCAAAAGGTGCTGGCGGCCTCAGCGCGTTGTTGCGGCGGCGAGTGCAGCTGGCTCCACCCCACGAGGCTGAGCACAGTCAGCTCGCCCTCAGAAATCCTCCGCGCCGAGGCGGGACGCCATAAGACGACGGCGCTAGTCCACTGACGGAATACGACAGTCGAGGCCTCGATGAGAAATGTATTGCGCTGACAAGAAAAGAGCATGTGAAAGGGAAATTGAAGGTGAGGTGAGCATTGGCATGGTCGGACACCAAAATGTCCTGGGACGCACGCGCTTGTCATCAGTCATACATCGTCATTATGGCATATCCTCTCTACACGACCTCAGAATCTCCTTTCTGTGATCTGACAGAGATCGCGACATCGTTTTTCCCGGACTCAAACGACCCGGAGCCATCCGCCTTGTACTCGACGCCGTTCAGCACACGATCATCGTGAATCGACTCTTCCAGCAACGTCTCCCGGGCAGGGAAGAAATATGACAGCGACCAGTATACGAAAGCCGCAGAGAAGAGACCCCATATGTAATTCACATCGTACAGATGCTGGATGCCGGGACCAATTTGCACACTTGGATTGACTGCGTGGGCGAGGCCAGGGACGTTGGGTACCAGAGAGATCAGGAAGGCTGCAGCAGCTCTCCAGTTGATGCCCTTCCAGTACCAGTAGCGAGCATGTTTCCGATACAAGCTCGGAACATCGACGTGCCGCTTCTTAACGAACCAGTAGTCGGCAGCAGTAATCGCTGCTATTGGTGCAAGGAAGATGGCCAGGCCAGCCATGAAAGTGAGAAGTGACTGAGCAGAATGGACGATTTTCCAGGGGACCATGATCCAGCCTGCGGTGACTGTTGCGAATATCGCACCTCGCCTAATCGAGATGTACTTTGGGAATAGGCTGACCTGAAGGCCAGTCAGCAGCGTTGCACAAATTACACAGAGTGAATGCTTACCATATCATTGGCAAACGAGATTACGTTCGCAGACAAATTAGTACCAATCTGAGCCACCATCCAGCAGAAGCCGACAAAGAAAGCTCCACACCGACCAGATGGCCCCTCCCACTTCGAAGCAAGAACGAGGGGATCCCAAATGTACTCATCGTACAACACCTTCGAAGCAGAGCAGCTGATGATGCCAAACAGTCCAAGCATCAGACTGATCATGGGAAGAAAGAAACCTTGCCAATATACACCACGCGAAGACTTGAGGTACCTGGTGAAATCAGGAACATTCGTCGCCATGGTAGCCCAGCCTGAGGACTGCGACATCATGCTCGCCATTATCATCCAGCGACGCTCAGATCCCGAGACTCTGTACTCCTGGTTCCAGATGTCGCCTGTACCGCCAGCCATTTGGGTCATGGCGATTACGACTGCCACGCTGACCGTGACAGTGACCACGACCTTGAAGACAAAAAACCACTTGAGCTTGTGCGGCGGGATCAGTAGGAACGGGAATTGTATTGACCAGAAAAGGAAGTGGCTTAGAAGCTGCTGTGTCGTGATGCCGGCAGATTCTGGAAGGTGATTCGGAATGTCGAGATACGAAGGCCAGATGGCTCGAATGCATTGCGTGATCGCTGTCGAACCTGTATATGTCTGGATGGCATGCCAGAAAAGGGCAGTGATCATACGAGTGACGACTGCGAATCTGGCGAACATGATGCCGAAACTTGAACGTGCTGCGATGGGGAACGGGACGTGCAAATGAGCTCCTACACAGTGGTCAGTCTACATGCGTCACCCGTATGGTTGTGCACAATGTACCTATGGCACCGTTCATCACCAGAGGAATGGCCGTGATGGAGAGACCAAGAATGATGCAGTACACGGCCTCTCTCCACTAGAAGTCGTTGATAGAAGGTAAGCATCCATCACAGAATTCTGTGCTCAAAATGATGACCATGTGTCTTCGAGCCCAAAGATGGACATGGAGGAAAAATCGCACTGTAGCGGTGGCACTTACAGTCAGTCCCAGAGCAATGATGGCAGCGGGTGACATCCATCCTTGAGCATTCATGGCATCGCTCATCCAAAACCCAAAGATGGTAAGTGAGGTCCATGTCCGCCGCTCCACAGGCGTAACATCTTGATCAATATTCGACCAGCTATCTTTGTCCGCGAACGACGACTCTTGCTTTGGTAGAACCCATCCAGAGACCCTTCTCTTCGCCTTGAGATTGGCGGACGCCGAGTGTATTCGTGCACTAAAGCCAGAAGACATGGCGGCACACTTGGTGTTGCTGCTGAAGTAAACGCGGAGGTCAACCGCACAGACAGGCGCCGTCTGTCGACATACTTATGGTCATTGCGACATTGTAAGCGTACCTGCCAACGTTATCGTGCTTGCTATCAGCATTGAACATGTGGAAGCCACGAGCTTGCCATCAGCCCCACGATGGCCCCAGTCATTTGCAACGGGTCAGAGCTTATCAAAGTTTGTCCATGGAAGTTGGGGTTGCTGGGTCTGGGCGCGGCGCCGCCGCCGGCTATCACCTTAAAACTAGTGTGGGAACGACCAGATAGGCGGAAAGCTGCAGCACTACGGCGAACTATACAGTAGTGTTTGGTTGACTTTGTGTTCTATAGTGAAGTCTTTCCTGCGAGCACACGCGTGGCGTTGAGCTGGCAAAGTTTCGTCCTTGGTCGTCGCAGGATCCAAGAGAAGGCGCGGGGAAGGAGCGATCAAGCTGGTCTCTCGATGGCAGAAGTGAGTCGCAAGTTCTGAAAATTGACTCGCTCTGAATGAATCTGTTGATAGTTCACGTCATTCTCTGGTCGAAAGCGACAACTCGCTGGCAATGGAGTTCGCAAGGCAGAGTTTGACGAGATCCCGACGATTTCTCTGGCGCAACCCGAACAAGACATCATCGAACAGCTTCGCGATGCTTGCACTCGAGTGGGCTTTTTCTACATCAAGGTATGTCTGTTCATCATCCTTGACGCTACTGCATGCATGAGTTGATGGTGTCGAGGACCACGATGTGTCGCAAGAAGCAGTAGATGGCATCTTTGAGACAGCGAAGCGATTCTTCGACCAGCCGCTGGAGACGAAGAGCGAGATTCATTACAAGTTGTCGAAAGTGTTGCACGGATATGAGCCCATCAGTGAAGTCCGCACAGATGAAGCCAAGCGCGCAGATTTGAACGAAGCATTCAACTGTGGATACGAGCCAGACCTAGATCCTGTCCCTCACGATGCAGAAGCTGGTGAGTGCAGCTGTGTCCGAAGTAGCGCTCAGCTAACAGAAGCTTAGCTATGCACGAGGAGAGTGCGATGGACGGGCCAAATGCCTGGCCGCGAATGCCTGGCTTCAAGCAGAAAGTGACCGCGTATTATGCTCAGGTGCTTATGTTGGCGAGACGCCTTGTCCGGTTGTTCGCCAAAGTGCTCGGCCTGCCCGAAACTTATTTCGACTCTGCCGTGATTCGACCTGGCGCTATGCTGCGACTCTTGAAGTATCCGGCACAAGACCCAAAAGACCCCGACGCTCTGGGCATTGGCGCGCACACAGACATCGAGGCTTTCACAATCCTGTGCCAGGGAAGTCAACCCGCATTGCAGATACTGAATGTGCATGGGCAGTGGATAGAGGCGCCGCCTATCCCAGGCACATTTGTTGTGAATATCGGCGATATGTTGGCAAGGTGGAGCAACGACGTCTTCATCTCGACAGTGCATCGGGTGCACAATTGCACAGGTCAGGAGCGATACTCTGTGCCATTCTTCTTCGGCCCAAGCTATAACACCATGCTCCGCACGTTGCCCACCTGTGTGCCAGAGGGCGAGACAGCAGGATATCAGCCCATCCTCGCAGGAGACTATGTTTGGAAGAGGTTGGCGCAGAGCAGACTGACCGAAGCTGAGCAGCAAACCTTCGCTTAGTTTCGCGAGGCTGCATACGGTGTGCTGTAGGTTCCGTAGCTCCAGTGCTCATTGTACCTTCCTCATTCATCGGCTTCCAGCCCTCAACCTCTTCCTTCGTCCTCTGTAGACACTCTGGACATCGACGCTCGAGGTCCGGGATCGGGGCCAATAGTTCTAGCTCAAGTGGTAGCTTCTTCACTGCGGCGATCAAGAGTGACGTAGGTCGTGCGAGTGATTCGAACGGCAGGCATAAGGCAATGAGGTTCGGGCATTGATAAGGAGGGCCTTGCCCGTGCGACTTCTTCGAAGTGGTCCAATTTTCGCTGCATCGGTTGGTGGTGTTCAGTTGCAGGAAGCGAGATCCGCAATCGAGAAGCTGCAACTTCGTCGTGTCTTGGCTGGCGGCCGTTCTTGCCCTGCGGCCCACCGGCCGGCCAAACTCTCGTTTCTTGAGCTTGAAGCCCTCCTTCATGATGTTTGACAAGGACCAGGCCGTCGGCATCCTTATCTATGCTGCGCGACGCGGCGTGAAGAGCGATGCGACCGCAAGTTTCGGCCAACGTGTTGCACGCCGCGTCCAACGACTACGGCAAAAGAACGCTGCTGAATCGGGACCCCACGGTCTTTTGCTGGCAGTCTGCATGGCAGCCACGAGGTCTAGAAGTATCGTGGCACGCCCGTCCAAAGCGGCCGGCGGCGCGCGTGCGCTGTCCAGCTCTTATAGCTCAAGCACATCCTGTCTCTACCGCTTCCTACTGTGTCGCAGTGTCTAACAAGCAGCAGCATGGCGGACGGTGTCATGGAATTGCGCTCAGCGCGTCCATACCCGTACAAGTTCCGGGCGGAGTCGACAGCACTGGTCATTATTGATATGCAACGAGACTTTGTCGACTTCAACGGCTTCGGACAGATCCAATGTGGCAACGATGATATTTTCAAGAAAGTCAGGAACATTGTACCCAGGACGCAAAAAGCATTAGAAGCAGCACGAAGCCTGGGATTGTATGTGGTGCACACTCGAGAAGGGCATACACCTGATCTTTCTGATCTTCCACCATCGAAGAAATTGCGCCAGGTATCTGCACCCTCCGGCCATCATACCATGGGAATAGGCGATCAAGGCCCAATGGGAAGACTTCTCGTGCGTGGTGAGTACGGCCACGATATTATAGACGAACTCAGACCAATTCCTGGCGAACCTGTCATCGACAAGCCTGGTAAAGGCTCCATGTGGGATACAAATCTGCACCGCACTCTCCTGGCTCGTGGCATTACGCATTTACTGTTCGCTGGCGTCACGACCGAGTGTTGCGTAAATACAACGGCGCGGGAGTGCGCCGATCGTGGCTTCGAGACGTGCATCTTATCCGACTGTACAGATGGCTTCGACGAAGGTTTCTACACCAGCACACTGGATATGTTGTGCAGCTACGATGGACTCTTCGGCTTTGTTGGCAGTTCCACTGAGCTGCTGAAATACGCTCCTGCGCTGACACAAACCCCTCCAACCACGCCTCCGGGTTTCTCAGGCGATGTCTCGATTGCTGGACTTCGCAAGCAATATACTAGCGGCCAACTCAGACCTCCAGACGTGGCCAAGGAAATAAGTGCTCGACTTCTTAGTTACAAAGACAAGGACTCAGCTGTGTGGATACAGGTGCAGGACCCGGCTGAGCTTCTCAAGGCTGCACAGGCTGTCGAGGATCGGTTCGCCGGTAGACCCCTTCCTGAGCTCTACGGCACATTTTTTGCAGTGAAGGATAATATCGATGTTGCGAACATCACAACAACAGCCGGCTGCGAAGCCTACGCTTACGTTCCAAAGGAAAATGCTGAAGTGGTGAAGGCCATGATCGATGCAGGAGCAATCTTCGTTGGCAAGAGCAATCTCGATCAACTGGCTACTGGCCTCTCTGGCTGTCGGTCGCCATATGGAACGCCGCATAGCGTCTTCAGCAGCCAGCATATCTCAGGTGGCTCCTCATCAGGGTCTGCCATTGCCGTTGGTGCTGGGCTTGTGTCGTTCGCCCTTGGAACAGACACAGCTGGCTCAGGGCGAGTGCCTGCCGCTTACAATGGTATCGTTGGGCACAAGCCCACAAAAGGGACACTGAGTGCCCGTGGTGTAGTGCCTGCTTGTAAGAGCCTCGACACCGTGACGGTCTTCGCTACTTCAGTCGAAGAAGCACGCAGAATCTGGCTGGTAGCAGATCAAGGCCCGGACGAGGCTGATCCTTATGCCAAGTCGCAGCAGTCACTCGCTTTGTGGCATGCAGATTTCCGTGGCGTCAAGACTGGTGGTTTCACCTTTGGCGTGCCTCCGTCTACCGCACTCCAACAATGTGACGAGTCCTCTCAAAAGCTGTTCGCCAAATCTGTCGCGAGACTGGAACGAGCAGGTGGAACGTCACGAGAGGTGGAATGGAAATCATTCGAAGGTGGGAGCAATATCTTGTACGAGGCGTCGCTGGTCCAAGAGCGAATAGCATGCATCGGCCCAGAGTTCATTGAAGAGAATATTGAGACATTGCACCCGACCACAAGAGAACTGCTCTCAGCAACGACAAACAGTACAATCAAGCCATGGGAAGTCTTCAGAGACCAGCACCTTCAAGCTCTGTACACTCGGGACGCTGCGAAGATATTCCAAGAAATTGATGTCCTGCTCGTACCCACAACTCCCTGCCACCCAACAATTGCTGAAATGGAGGAAGATCCTATTGGACTCAACGCAAAGCTGGGCTACTTCACACACCTCGCCAATGTACTTGACCTGTGTGGCATTGCCGTACCCGCTGGAACGTATCAGGACCAGAGTGGACTCACGCTGCCTTTTGGTGTGACTTTGTTGGGGGCTTCGGGCAAGGATGGGCGGATATTTGACATCGCGAGAGAATTTGAGCGCACCACGTAGCAATGTCCATCATTGAACTCGCATCTTTGCATGTAATCCAGCCAAATATATTTCCAACGTGATTCATAGTTGTTCGCTGTTACGGTGTATTCGATGTGATGAGAGCCTTGTCGCGCCAAGCCCATCTCGATCGCGCTTCACGCGAGGCGAGGCGAGACGCGTCTTCCGACCGAACCGAACTCTTCGGCTGCATCTGAACAACCATGGACTCGTCCAGTCCCAACAGAGAGCCAACTTCGGATGAGCTCGCCGAGATATACGCCTCGTCTACGAACTTGCATAGTTCTGAGACAGCACCGACCGAATTTGACGACGATCTCGAAGCACTGCAGCAAATCGAAGCGTCAGCCAAACGCGTCAAAGTCGCGAACCGCGAAGTGATCCACCACCGCACCTGGAAAACAAACGAGGTCTTCCACAGCGAACCGAAAGAACCACACACATCGAGTCCAATCCAGATAGCGAATATGACCTCTTCGCCGCCGCTCTCGCCCTCTCCGCAAAAGAGGAAGCGCAAGCTCGATCAGCTTGACTTTGGCAAAAGCAGCTTGGGGACGTCGCGTCCCGTCAAAGCGCAAAAGTACTACTACGGCATCGATATACACCGCCTCCTAGCAGATGCAGAAGCTGAGGACAGCCTACCGAAGCCTGCGCCGGCAACAGCGCTCCCAACGCCTCCAGCAGAACAAGCAGCACCGAAGGGCAAGAAAGGATCTCTGCTGTGGACTGAAAAGTATCGGGCAAAGAAGTATGCGGATCTCATCGGTGACGAGAGGACGCATCGCAATGTCATGCATTGGCTCAAACGATGGGATCAAATCGTCTTTCCTGGCTCTGCTCGACCGAAGCCGAAGAAGAAGTTTGGCGATGAGAATGACTTCGTGGAGCGTCCCCACCGCAAGGTCCTGCTGCTGACTGGGCCACCGGGCTTAGGAAAGACGACCATGGCACATGTATGTGCGAAGCAGGCAGGCTATGAGGTGCAGGAGATCAATGCCAGTGACGAGAGAAGCAGCAACGTTGTGAAAGGACGCATCAGAGATATGGTGGGCACCGAAAATGTCAAAAATGTGGAGGACAAGAAGACTGCAGATGGAATGGCGAGAAAAGCTGCGAAGCCCGTTTGCGTGATTGTGGATGAGGTAGACGGAGTGGTGGGAGGCAGTGGAAGTGGTGGCGAAGGTGGATTTGTCAAGGCTCTGATTGATCTGATCATGCTGGACCAGAAGAACTCAAGCGCATTGGGGACAATGTCGCAAGCTCCTGTGAAGAAGAAGAGGAAAGGCGATCGGTTCCGCTTACTGAGGCCATTGATACTGGTGTGCAACGACGTCTACCATCCCTCCCTGCGACCATTACGACAAAGCAATCTGGCGGAAATAATCCATGTGCGGAAAGCGCCAGTACAGAGCGTTGCAACACGACTACAAACAGTCTTTGACAAAGAAGGGGTACCCTGTGACAGTGACGGTGTGCGAAGACTTTGCGAAGCAGCTTGGGGCGTGAGCAACCGGAAAGAAGACAAGAATGGGAATGGTGCTGGAGAAGGTGATATGCGAGGTATCATGGTGGTGGGCGAATGGGTCGCAGGCAAGCTGCGTGCTAGTGGAGACTGCAATGCACGTCTAACGCGGAGATGGGTTGAAGAAAACGTCCTTCAAGATCTGACGCACGGTGGCGGCGGTGCTCGTGGAATGGGAAGAGGCGGCCCAAAAGACATTGTCGACCGTGTCTTCAAAGAAGGCGCGGGCTTCCCCCGACAGGCTGCTTTGGCTACTCCAGTCAATCACGCCGGCAGTGATGGTGTCAAAGGAGTGGCTGAGGGACTACGGAGAACAGCGACCGAACGACTTCGCGAATTGATCGATACCCATGGCGACAGTGACCGGATTATGACTGACTGTTTCTCGACCTATCCCGAACACCCTTTTCAGGACGACACCTACCTTTCGAAACCCGACGCTGCGTACGAATGGCTACATTTCCACGACCGCTTGAGCGGTGCGGTCTTCAGCAGCAACGAATGGGAACTTGCACCGTACCTCAGCACTCCCATTCTTGGCTTCCACCATCTGTTCGCCTCTGCCACCACACGACAATATTTCGAGAAAGATGCCAAGAAAGATGGCGACGATCCTGATGCTGAGCCGATGCACGCCTTCTCGGGGCCGCAAGCCTCGTGGGCTGCTCACGAAGCCACGAAGCAGAACGAAGCCCATCTCGATGCCCTACAATCTTCGCTCGCTCCACCTTTGAAGCGGCTGTTCAGCAGTCCAGCAGATATTGCAACAGACCTCCAGCCATACCTTCTTCGTATGCTCACGCCAAATGTCAACCCAATTGTTGTCGGGGGCAGCGGGAAGGACAAGAGCACTGCTTCCGTCCGCAAGGCATCAGAACAAACGCTGGTCCGCAGAGCTGTAAACGCCATGGGCGCCTCAGGAGTTCGGTTCGATCGTGTGCGATTAGACGACGGTGCAACTTTCGGCAACACACAATGGATCTACCGCATGGAGCCACCCCTCGACACTCTCTGCACCTTCGAAACAGGCGGCCGAGGCTTCGGCGATGCAGGCGCGAAGACAAGATACGCTGTACGCCAAGTCATCGAGCAAGAATGGAAGAAAGAGGAAGCTCGTATCAACGAAGAAAACCGATTGGCACGCTTTGGTCTAACAAACGCTTCCTACGTTGATCAGACGACCGGCCAAGTGAAGAAGAAGACCGTGGAAGATCTCGATGCCGAAGGAAAGAAAGTCGTGCGAGACTTTTTTGGTAGACCGGTCTTGGTGCCTGTTGGCGAATCTGAAGCGCAGAAGAATAAGAGGGAAGGGAAGACGAGGAAGCATTTGGGGGCTTTTATTAAGTTTCAGGATGGATATTCGAATGCGGTGAGGAAGCCGATTACGCTGGCGGAGTTTATGAAGGATTTGTAGTTGGATAACTTGGTTTGATGACATTATGACATTCTTGTACGGCCTGTCTCTACCATCCTAAACCTGCGCTGTGGCGCGCAATGATGATTTTCACAGTGACTTGTTGCCGACAGCAGTATGGAGATCTGCCTAGCTTCTACAGACAGATTGCCTTTGACACGCTGCACAAGGCAGAGATACGAGTGCGAAGAATCGGAGACGATCGGTTAGAGAACACAGTATTACAGGTGTTGACCCGTTCCTACTCTGCCTCTACCGGCGGTGTGAGCCTCTATACCGTTCCGAGCCATTCCACATTCTCCCCACCCGACGTATATCTGTTCCCAATGTCTCTGCCCAAGCCACTGTCTTTATGCCCACTGATGTACACAAGACATGGTCGCTAGTATTATGTGGCCTCCGTCTCGTCGCCATGCAGCCTGAAGTCGAATGTTCCAGAGAGACTCATTCTCATTGGTCCGCGTATTCACGCGCACTGGATACGGCTTCCATATCATCTGCTCGGCTGTGCACGACGTAGACTCGTACAGCTGATCCATATCTTCTTTTACCGCAATGCGTTCGTGCCATTTTACATTCACTTCGCAAGTTCCATCTGCTGCGGCGCAGGCACATATTCGTACTCGATGTTCTGTTTCGGCCCCTTCGAACCCTTCTTGCGCTTCTCTGGTTTCGACGGGGGCGCCGAAGGTCGTTTCCGTTTGAGCGATTCGAGTTTCTTCTTGAGCGCTGCAGTGTCTTCGTCTTCGTCTTCCTCATCCGCATCACTGTCTGCTGACTCGTCCTCGTCCTCACTAGCTCCAGCTTCCTCGTCTCCACTCTGACCGCCTAGCCAGTCGGTGAAATCTTCCATGTCGTCTTCATCGTCGGACTCTTCGAGGTCGCTCACGAATTCGACATCGCGATCTTCGCCTTCGCGCTCGTACTCCAGTTCTTCCTCGTCCTCCTCTTCGATACCTTCGTCAAGATCCTCATCGACAACGCCTTCCTGTGTTCGTTCAAGTCCACGCATGACCTTCCGCCACACCGACTCTTCCACATTCAGTGGTCGGTCCCCGTATGCTCCACTTCGCAGTCTCTCTACCAGCTCTCGCTCAATCGCTCTTTCAATCTTCGCAGCTGCCTCTGCTTTCCTCTCTCGTGTCTCTTCCCTCCTGCGCACCTTCGGCGCAAGCTTTGCAACAGTCGTCTCACCCAACCTCTCTTCCTCCTTCGCCAATCGCTGCGCTCGTACACGAACTTGTGTAAGTCTCGTCAGACGCTGCTTACACTTGTGCACCAAGAACTTCGGCCAATAGATCAATCGCTCGTCAACTTGTTGCAGAGCTTTCGTGTAGTTGCCGCTCAATCGAATCTTTTCCCACCATTTCGACGGTAGATGTGCACGCTCGACAGTCTTCATGTAAAGATACAATCTCCCATTCGATGGATCGGCGCGTATTGTGGCATAGCGGGAGTTCGCGAGAGGACATGACTGGCGATTGCAGAGGCCAGTAACATTGTGTTCGTCGCGGCAGAAGGTCGATTTGGTGGATTTTTGGTTCTTGCCCGTGTTGCCAGGCAGGACGAGACGTTTTGAGCAAAAGTCGTGTCCGATGATGGACCAGACGAGTTCGTCGGAAGCCATTGTCGAGTTGTCAGACAATGTAGATTGGCGAAAAGTGGTCGGCTGGCGGATGTTCTGGAGGTCTTCGAAATTTTGGCAGTGCAAGGGTCTGCGAGGTCAGCAAAATCGGCACGAACGGCCCGAACTCCGCTGCTGGACAGGTCCGCTGCACTTCACTCCAGTTGCCTTTTGCTTACAGACTCACATTCGCGAGCGAGAGTCTCCTCTTAAGATATGTGTCCAGGAAGTCCGCCGATCTATTCGCGCGATGGCCTCGGGCGCATCGGATAGCCAGAGAATCCAAGCATTACTGACTTGGTTCGAATAGCAGGCTTCACGAACCACCTCCCGCAATCTCGCGTCGCGACAGCTCTGAGTGGGCAGAATACGCAGAAACATTTTCAAAAAGACACGACGCCCGCTTTCTTCCAACCATGTCGTGCATGGCGGGCTTCGATCTTGAGCGGCATACAGAAATTCTCGTTCGCCCCATCTAAGTACGAATTAATAATTGTACATTCTCACACGAGGCTGCAGGTGGGGAAGAGGCTATTGTAGCTCCAGATGCTGTTGCATCCAGTGCGGTTACAAGCATTCAAATCCTGGAGTCAGTCGCCTGAGCGTAGAATCGAATCGCGATATATTACGGTAGCAGTATACTTTCATCGCCCGCATATGCCTGCACTAACTCCGCGATTCGCGGCGTATAAGATCCACCTGCTGTGGAAGTAACGGCAGAAGGACTTTCTGTTCGTTCGGAAGAGTATGTGCGAAAGACTCAGTATCTCTGCTTTCTTGCTGACCTCGAAGCTGTTTCGGCTAGAAACAGATGAGGCAGGGCATATTCGGATTCTCGAGAAAAGACATCAGTCCCGCCCCTTGACTCTGTGCACACAACTTACTCAAAGCTACCGCGATCAAAGACTGCTAGCAAGGGCATTTCGACCTCTAATCCGAGACACTTGAGAACCGCGTCCTCGCAAGCGTCCTCTCAACTTCATCGACCATATGATCCGGCTCCCTCTCAGATCTCGCATGTTTCCTAACAGCAGAGGAATAACATTTGGGCTGTCTTTGCCATCTAAATCCATTAGCATGTCCGCGGGAGTCTTCTGATCCAATTGGCATATGGACGCCTAATATGCCACGTGCGAACACAATTTGTGAGAAGACCTCATTGGCTCCCGTTCGGACAACGCGCTCTACAGTCCGTGTCACCGATTTCTCCACTTGGCGTACTTCTTGTATGCTACTAGAACTCAAGACGAGGACCGACCTGAAGAGTATTGAAACACCGAGAGCTGCGACTTGGGCTTTTGTCTCCTTTGGCCATGATTCCGTTCTGCCAATACAGCTCCAGAAACACAACGAGCCTGACTGCGCGAGTTTCCAGAGAGCTTCAACCTGGGCTCCGGTATTCCCTTTCCCCATGATAGCCTTCTGCCACCTCAGCTCCGGATACACAAAGAGAGCCGGGGTGGTACTTGAGAAGGTTCTTCCCTAGCATGGCTGCACCTGCCAAGGTGCGACAAAACCCTGGCAGCACCTTGGTTTGACTGTTTTGAGATGTACATAGAAACTGAATTAACAAACTTTACCCCTCTAATTTGCCTGTCTTTGTGTCTTGTTCTTTCCCTGTCTTTTCTCACAACGAGCCTGACTGTGCGAACTTCCAGAGAGTCCCAGTTGAGTCCCCATGCCTCTAACTCCACGTTTTGCTTCAATGCCCTCGATTTTTCCGAAGAACGAAATCGAGACGCTCGGAATTCTTGGAAAGAACGCTTCAGTCCACCCTCGCTCTAATATTCTCGATCGCTCTAGGAGGTATGCTCACGACACTAGATAAGTTGTGCGTCTTGCCACTTCTCGGCTGGAGAGGCTGCGTACAAAGACTTGTCTCTCGAATGTCAGCCCGCGTTGGCGGCCACTAGAATTCCAAATTTCACAGAGGGGAAAGACAGAGTTTAGCAGAGGCGCTGGCATTCAGCCCGGCGAGCTCTGCTACGCGCCGCTCGATCTGCTCGTCACTGGGAAGGATGCAGGTACAACGATCGGACGCCACGTTGTACCGCACCCGCACCACAAGTACACGATGACACATCAGGGCCTTGGGTTCAGCTTGCGGCTAGCGAGTATTTTGGTCCCTCTCCAGGTCCCGCGCTGATCCGAGGGCGATACTTGGTATAATTTTTGGCGCCTTCTCGTCTGAAAGCCAAGCTGATGCAGACTTCCTCATGAATAGATCCGTCTTGCACATACTGCAACAGTAGACAATACATGCTTCCATGAGTAAAGAACTTGAATGAGCGGTGATGGAGCTCAACGTACAACTGACGTCGCAACCCCCAACTTGCTTCTTCACAAGCTTCCACGCTAAACCCCATCGAGCAGTCCTGTGGAGAATGCCAGCAATGTCGTGCAGCAGATTCTCGGCTCCGAACCTTCTCCTCAACCTAACCTAGAAAAATACTCGCGACGCGCTTGCAGCGGCTTGGTGACTGTGCCTCTGACAAGCATGGCACACGAAACAGGGCCGTAGAAATTGATGAATCGCAAGAGCGCTAGCAGCCTGCGGCATCCTTCACGCAAACGATTGGCAAGTTTCTTCGTCGCACTACTGGAAGTCCGCCTTAGGTCGGTTTTAGCCAGTGAAGCGGTGTCTCGTCAAAAGTAGACGGTGTTGTTAGCTATAGATTCGTGACCAAGGTGTCGGGAACTGGTGCACACGCGGATTTGCGGCACAGCGGGTCGTTTGGTCCATTTTCTATATACGGAATGTGTGGTCTCCACGCGAAGAACGTGCTGTTGTGTCACTTGCACGAGATGGTTGATTCGTAGCCTTGTTTGTCGAGCTAATGGTTGTATGCAGTAGTTGGTGTCTAGTTCGTTTGGTTGACAGCGGTTCCTGATCCTTTTGATTCATAGCATCCAGACATTGCATCGTGCTGCGTGCTGTGGGGCGCGGAGTGCGAATGCTGGTGCGCAGGTCTTTCTGCGAGCACGCTGGAATAAATCGCGAAGCAACATCTTCAGTTTGGACTGGGCTTTGAGCCGTGAATATCTATCATCCACAATACTGGCACCTCTCTATATCCCAACGCCACGCTAAAATACGGTATGCCAATCGCAACAGCATCAAGGTTGGTGAGCACGGTCTCTCTCCTTGGTCTCTCTGAGCATAGTCAACTTCTCCTGTCGAATGCACCATAAGCACCATACCACGCCGACAGCCGAGCTAACGAGTGTGATCCAATATGCTGTGGCGTAGCACTCTTTCCCGTCTCGACAAATCATCTCGCCATTGGCCCCATCTGGACCAACTTCGAACACGGAATGGCTGTCAAGGGTACTTCCATAGATCAGGTTGAAAGTGTTGCCACTCACCACAGGCGCCCAAGTCATGTAGCCCCAGTTGAGACCCAGGCCGCTCGCGCCAAAGGCATCTGCTACGAGCGCTGGATACACACCGAACAAAGTCCCGTATGCAAGACCTGTGCAACCCGAAAGCCAGAATAGATGGTTCGGATCTTCCAATGTGAGGGCTATGCATTGTGCACCAACGAAAATTGAAGCGCTGGCTACTAGTGTCCAGAAGCGTGAGCTGTGGTGGTGTACAAGCCAGTCGGATCCAATGCCGGAAGCCAGACGTCCGAGAAAGGAGCAGACCGAGAGGATGGAAACATGCATGAGCTGCCTCTTGGAAATAAACTCTTTGCTGGCGGAATCGTCGTAGTGCTTCCACAAGCTTCGCGCGTCGTTTCCAATGTTGTTGATCGTCATGAGACCCACACCACAAAGAAGCGCGAGCAAAATGAACAGCTGCCAGAACTTTGGTTCATAGACCAGCGCCCAGCCGGTCAGCTCTGTTGTGTCGTGATGGTGCGCATTTTTGCTTGCCAGTATATCGTCGTGAATGTCGCCAGGCTCGCTCGAATTCGACGACGTCACGAGAGACTCGGTCTCATCCTCATTGCTGACCATGCTCGTCACTCGGTGATGCTTGCCACTACGAACACTCTTAGAGCTCGTGCGGTGCATACGATTGCTGTCGCGGCGTTTGGTAGGCTCTGGGTCTTCCACAGGAACCACTCCGTAGGCTGCAACATGATCCCGGTCTTTTGTCACATCGACTATGCGCAAAAACAGCATTCCAATAAAGGTCATAGCAGTGGTGCCATAGGCCAGGAGTTTGAGATATCCACTAGTATCTCCCGGGAACAGAAAAGTCGCCAATGTAGTGTAGAAGAAAGCGCTAAGTCCAAAAGCACTCAACGGAAAGGCTGTCGCTGTGCCTCGATGTGAGGGCCAATTGCTCGCCGATGCCTTGATGGCCGCCGAGAAGGCTGTACAGCTGCCTGAGCCACTGAATAAGGCGAACAGGCACAGCAATGGCACGCCTGTGCTGCCCGGTCCATTGTCATATGCGCTCTTGAGCCCGAAATATCCTATGGCGAGGCAGACGCAGCCCAGAGCCACTCCCCATCTAGGCCCTCTTGAATCGATCAATATTCCGCCCGGAATTCCCATTGCGTACATCCCAATGTTTCCTGCATTCCCTATGAGGTTCGTTTGAGTCGCTGTGAGTTGTAGGCGGGTCGCAAATTGTGGTGCCCATGCTGAGAAGCCGTAATTCGTTCCTGAAGTGCATCAGCGGCCTATCGTAGTATGCTGGGGAAATGTGGATTTCTACGTACCGCAGCTGAGGGCAATGGTAGTCGCAGCGATTGAGGAAAGGATACGGGCAGTCCGATGCGCGGACTCGGCGCCCTGCTTCGGCCTTGACATTTTAGATTGTGTGATCGCTTGGTCGTCCTGCTGGCTCCGTGAGGCCGATCTGGTGGAAGGAAAGGTTTCGTATCAGGTGGTATCGCAATCGTGTGGTCCTCCTGAGTGATAGGGTGACGCGAGTCACAAAGGACGCGCCACGCGAAGAGTAATGAAGGTGGGAAGCCGAGAGGAAGGAGGGACGAAGGTCAGTGGATATCAGGAACGGCGGGTCTCCAGGTGGTCGTCATCGCGATGAATGCACACGCCCGCGCAGCATACCGGCGAGGAGGAGAAGCGTCGGGCAAGCCAGCAAGCAGGCAAAGCTCGTTTCAATGCCTTATCGACATTATCTCGCCGACGTGTCGGAACGATCGGCACGTCGGCATCTGCTTGCCGGCGCCATGAGACGAGACGGCGCGTGGCGCGTGCAATCGCTTGTGCACTTGTCCACCAACCGACTTGGTGAAATACTGCTCAGCTGCCTTCGATGGCAAAGAAATACAACACAGAATGCCAAACCATGAGCTCTATCAGCATTACTGTCCGGACGGGCAGGCTGATAAGCAAAGCACGGAGCTGCTGCGGATGATCCGCGGACGACTGGAGCATGAGTCTATCGCCCACCGTATACAGGCATCTGGGGGAAAGCATTTCACGTAGCATGCTCGACTGGCCGCAGCTCACCATCAAGCAAACAGTGATTTCGCATCATCATCCGGCCCGTCGAGACTATGGGAAGCATCGCAGAACCTCACGTAGATACCGTCGCGCACCTCGAAAGCATATGTGCTGGCTTTCTGAATGCACTCAACGAACGTCGACTGGATCCGAACGATGCGGAGTGGCAGCGCATGTCAAAGCACATCCGAATAGCATTAGACCATGCTTTTCGACAGGACCTTCCAGGTCTGAACGACCCAGAACGACTCGTAACCTTGTCCGAGTGGCTAGACTCATGGAAAAAGATCTTCGATCGCCTGCCCACCTATAGGTACCGACTCTTGGATATGGCCACTGTTCTCGATTCTAAGGGCGGCCATGCCATCGTCTATATGAACAAGGAAATGACCGGTGACCCAGAAGGCGTTATCACACAGAACTTCGGCATCTGCGAATTTATGTACAAAGCCGCAGAGAAAAAGTGGCTTTGCACGAATGTCAGGTGCGTTCGCGGCCTTCGCGAATACGATCCTGCTCCTGCCCTTGACGATATCGATTCACCTTCGCATTGTGCTGCCGTGCTTACGGCCAAGGGAACAAGAAGCAGGCTTGAGCGCCAGCTGGTGGAACAGTCGTGACGCTCAGCAAACGATTTCTCCGCAAAAGGTGGAGCCGAAGATCGGCATACAGCACAGCTCAATGGACATCCTTTCGGTGTAAATCAGTGCGAAGACGAAGTTATATGGCTGGAATGTGCACCAATGGACTTGATGATCATTATTGGATAGCCTGTGCAGAAGATGCTGCTGTCACTCTGGACGTCGCTCGTTCTCCCATGCAGCATAGCTGCCCGTCCATCACGTCTGGAACCAGATGCGCCGCTATACGAGGAGAACATTGAAGCTAGAATCTGGCGAACAGCCCTGAGAGGCGCTCCCGCGGAGGGTGCCAATGGCTGGCCTATGTATACCTATGGAGCACACAACAACACTCCTGCACTAGCTGATGACCCAAATCACCTACCTGGTACATATGTGAACACATCTGCGTCAGGCTGGACTGCTGGCTTTTTCCCCGATAGTCTGTGGCAACTATACCACCGAAAAGAGCTGTCAAAGACACGACCTGGTCGCCATCGCGGCCACGGGCCAGATCTACATGCATGGTTGGCCATGGCTCAATCGTGGACTGATCCTCTGATCACGAACCGGAACTTGACCAACACCCATGACATTGGCTTCCTGGCATTTCCCTTCGAGTCGGCGCTAGAGTACAACAATGAGACAAAATGGCAAGCGGTACTCGCACAAATGGCTGGGAATCTGGCCTCCCGTTTCGTCGCAGGCGCAGGCGTGATCAGATCATGGGACAACCGAAACAGTTCTGTTAGTCAGAATGCTTCCCATGCTGACTCAGTCCTCGTCATCATTGACAATATGATGAATCTTCCCTTACTGGCGCGAGCAGCAAGCCGTTACTCCGGCAACCAGACCTTGCTGGACATCGCTATCAGCCATGCAGACAAGAGTATGGCACACCACATTCGACCTGATGGTTCGACATACCACGTGTGCGACTACAGCGCCACGACTGGGGAAGTCTATCTCTGTCGGACTGCGCAGGGTCTCGCCGACAACAGTACTTGGGCCAGAGGTCAAGCGTGGGCCATTCATGGATTCGCTGAGATGTATCAGATCACTGGTGAACGCAGATATCTCGACGCAACTGAGCTGGTGGCGAACTGGTTCCTGGATCATCTGCCGGAAGATGGTGTGCCATTCTGGGATTTCAGTGTGCCAGAACCCGAGGCTGGAGTGACGCCTAGGGATACGAGCGCTGCAACTATCGCAGCCAGCGGTCTACTGTTGCTGCAGGATGCAATCGATGAGCGGCAAGCAAATTGCGAGCGCGATTATCGTGAAAGTGCGGTTCAGCTATTGCGCGACACTATCAACCTCGGCTTGGCGGGAAGCATATCTTATTCCGACATAGATGAGCAAAATCCGGAGGCCGGTCTGGGCGCTGCAACAGATGTGTCAACGCCAGCCAATACCAACATCTCTAGAGGATTCGAAGCTATCCTCATGCATGCTACAGCGAACAACAATCCTCGTGCTGGCGACGAGCGCAGCTATGATCACGGGCTGGTGTATGGCGACTATTATCTTATCAAAGCAGGGAACCGATTGCTAGAATGGTACAAGAAGCGCAGACATGAGTGAAGTTGATCGATGAGGGTTGAGCCGCGATATGGGGATCCCAATACTTTCGCGGTTCAACCGGCCAGTGCCTTGGGCTGTCTTCCATCCGCACTTTATATTCGCGATACTTGTGCAACGGGACGGGTGGGAGGTACAAATTGACATGCGTCACTTGTGAAGCTATCAATAAACTCCCCACGGACCCCAATCTCCAAACCTCCTCCTGCCAGGGGTTTCTACAAGGATATCGTAGCCTGACAAACTCTTTTATGCAGACTTCATAATGCAGTTCATCTTGACAGCTGCACCCCACTTTTGCGCATTTTCCCACGATCTCACTGCAGAAGCGTTCGTTTGCGGAGAAGATGAGTCTCGCTGAACGTGCCATGTCGTTTCACTACCACGACGAGAAGCATCCTCTTGGCGAATGGCATTTCAATGCACTACCCTCACCACCCACGTCCGAAGAGTATGATAGAACGAACAGGAGGAGATTGGCTGAGTACCCTCCAAGATGGGATTCGTTTCGCAATCGAATAATGAGTAAGTTGAGTGCAGCGGACCCCACTCAAAACTCGACAGTCTTCACCCAGACATTACCATATCGCATTCGGAGACTCTGGTCTTGTACAATCTGTTTTAACACATCGCAAAGCCATTGACTGATAAATCGTAGCCGACGAACAAGCAGCTCAAAAAGTCCGAGACGACGCCGCAGCAGCAGCAGCAAAACAAAGAAGGAAAAATCGCTGGAACTCAAAATACTACTCCAAAGATCTCACACATGTCTCCGGCCTCGCAGGACCAGTAATCGATCTCATGAATCCACAACCCACAGATACAATTCTTGATGTCGGTTGCGGAGATGGTTCTGTCACGATCGCTCTGGCGAATAAAGTCCCCAACGGATTGGTCGTAGGTCTCGACGATGCCTCAGCAACAATCGAACATGCGAACTACAAATCACCGTACGGGAACTTAACATTTATCGAACATGATTTATCGAAATTGGAGCAAACGCCAGGGTACCTGATACGATGGGAGGGATCGTGGGATTGGGTATTCAGTAAATCGACATTACATCGACTACTTCGCATTCCGGAGAACCGAACGATTTTGTTTGAGAATATATATCGACTCTTGAAACCTGGAGGAAAATTAGTTTTTGAATGTGGAGCGGCGGGGACGGTTCCGGAGGCGATTACGGCGTTGACAGCTGCGATGGCGATTTATGGTATGTCTTCTGATGAACGACGGGATGCGAATCCTTGGTTTTGTCCGAGTGCGGAGTGGATGCGAGAGGCGTTGGAGGCTGTGGGGTTTGATGTTTTGGAGTGTAGGACGCATCATGAGCCTAGTAAAGTTTCGAGGCATGATGGGAGTTTGGAGGGGTGGGTGAGGAAACTTGGGAAGGAGTTTTTGGATGTTATTGAGCCGGCGGAAGGGGAGAGGAGGGATGAGATTGTGAAGTGGGTGTGTGATGTTTTGAATGATAGTATTGAGCGGAAAGAAGATGGGACGAGGTGGTTGAGTTATGTGAAGTTGAGGGTTGTGGCGAGGAAGAAGAAGACGGATACGCCGAATGTTATTAGGAGGATGTGTGAAGCCGGTGCTTTGTTGCCGGGACGAATGAGTAACAGAGGGACCTCGTTTTCGTTCATCTGAATACTAGTCGATTTCCTCATGGCTCTTGGTTCAGCTTTGCATCATGTCCGCTCTGGCCTTTGACGATTGCGGCGACTTCACCGCCCTTGGACGCATCGATATAGGTCTCCTCCCAGCCGATAGTGATCTTAGAAGTGGCAAATTTCCAGAACGACTTCTCATCTGGTGCGACGACCTCCGCATAATATGGATCTACAAATTGGCCAAGAATGTCAGCGGCTAAGCATCCACACAACCGAGAAACGAACCATTCATGGCATTCTCAAAACAACTCAGCTCTGGCATTCGAAGCTCAACGAAGCCGTCATAATCCACGACGTTCTCGACAGTAAAATCGCCTAGCGTTGGAAGTTGGCTTCTTGCTTCTGCTCGAAGCCATGACGGAGTGTGGTACTGGGTTGGATCAGCAATTGCAGAACAACCAGTCTATACGTGAGTCCAAATTACTTGAGTATAGCCAACTATTCCATGCTTCCGTAAATGTTCGCTGACTTTTGGAGCATGACTATTCGTCCAATGTCTGTGAAATTCTTCTTCAGACATGCCATCTTTCCGGTAGGCCAAGATCGTGACCCGATATAGACCTTTCCGTTGTGGCCTGTCATCTTGTGGAACGTTCGACTCCATTGTTGGTCTTAGCGTGCGATCAGGATTGTTGGTATATTCCTGGACATACTGGAATTCAGGGTCGTGCTTGCAGCACGTCTGCAAGACGTCACCACTTGGGAGCTTTGATCAAGACATGTATTTCGGTAAACGTTCAATTTTCTTACAACAAAGGAGCAAAAACGAAATGAGACCGAAAATTGAACCTGTATTCGTATGGACTCTCAGCAGTCTGCGCTTTCCGAAACTCGATACGGTGTCTATTTCCTCAGCTAGTCTGGAGAAGCTGCCGCTGCACATGCTACAGTGCACAGCAAACACTAGTCTGGCAGGTGCTCTTTCTGGATCAGGAAGTCTTCGACGTGTATATCGGGCGTAATCTCTTTCAGCAGACCATACTTCACGAGTCTGTCGAACTGGTCGCCGTACTTCATGGTCCAGAGATTGTGGTCCATCTGCTTGCACAAGTCTAGTGCGTTCGATCGACTCCCAGTGAGGTCCTCGAGTCTTTTGAAGTCCCGAACACCTTCGTCCGGCTTGAAGTACATCTGAGGAGCGACAATGGGATCCCAGATGTAGAGACGCTGACCATGAACGTCGGGAAACTTCCAATTGCCATATGCTTCAAACATTGCTTCGATCAGGTCATCGGCGGTGACGCCCTTAGCGTTCTTGCAGTTCTTGAAATCGCCATTTTCGAATGTGGAGTCCTCGCTGAACCAGTTGGTGAACTGAAGCTCAGTAACTGGTGGTTGAGACAAGAACATGCCGCACCAAGACGGCTTGAAGTTCTTATCTGTTGGCTTCTTGTTGCGCAGCGCCGCAATTATGGATGAGTCCTCGTCTTCGTCCATGGAGATAGGGCTGTAGCCGTCGACGAAAGGGTCAAGTCCTTCACGGTCGCTGTCTTGAATCAAAAATGTGAAGCTTCCATTTTCAGGCACAACGCATTCGGAGTCGCGCCTGTAGTGGAGGAGTAACTCGTTGGCGCGACCCATGACGACTTGGCGATGCCAATCACTGCTCTCTGCATCTTTGTTGACTTGCGGACCCACAGCCTCGAGAACTAACGCTCCTGATACGTACTCGATTTCATACCAGTCGATTGCCGTCCATGTCTCTGTGTCGTAGTCCGGTCGATAGAAGAGCGCTTGCTGCAGCTTCGGCGAGTTCTTGACCAGCTCCTTCCAGAACTTCGAGACGCGTTGATCGAGAAGGATGTCTTTCATCGGCAGCGACAACAAGATTCGCTCGAGCAGCTCCGCGACATTGAGTGCGCGTTCGGCGGCGGTCGCCATCTTGTCTGCGGGCAGTGATGAAGGGCGCAATGCTGGTGTCGAGGTTGGAATCAGGATCGGATGGAGGAGGTGGAAGTGAAGCCGCGACGCTAGTTCTAGCCACCTCTTGCATGGGAAGGCGCGACTTCCAACACACTTCAGCTGTTACGTCTCTTCAACGCGTTCTCGTTTCAAGAACGTCAAACAGCGCACCACGTCGATAGACACACGCGCGGCCCGAAGGCAGATGCTTCACCTCAAGCAATCGTCAAAATGCATCCCCTTCTCTTCGACCACGTCAACCACGAAACGGCAAGCCGCACGAAACATTGGAAGAGAATACACTAATAGGCTACAACCGCCAGTCGCAGAAATCGATAGGCCAGAGTAGCCCTCATGATGCACCGCAGCCTTGATAGAGTCCTGGCCGCCTTCGCATCCGGACCTCGTACGAACCAGAAAAGGCAACATGCAGACGGAGAAGCACGATTTCAGCTACCGCATACACTGAGAGGTCGCCATAACCGCAAGGAGCTCCACCTACTTGGTACATCTGGGATGGAATGCAGATCGTTCCGTACTCCGGCCAAGCAAGGATGGATTCAACCTCGATGATTATGATTAGCAATCGAGACTCGAGAGACTAGTTATATATATGCTGCTTCATGCTCGGGTGCTCAAGGCTCCAATGGTGCGCGGGAATGGATTGCCTTCAATCCGGAATGCACTGGACCAGAACTTCGTTAACGAGTGGCTTGACAATGATCAATATCCACACAGCATGCCTTTCTCTGAGCATATAGCTTTTTCTCTGCTCTCAGAGATGGCCATGCCAAGGGGCTCGTAGCAATGGACTGCCTGGAGTACTATACCCTTTACGATAAGCAATCGCGAACAGATTGGCTCCCTCTCAGTGGACGCAAGCTATCTCCTGCTTCTTATCCTGGCGAAGTGGCAGAGCAGCGCAGCAAACAGCTATCTGAGACTCGATCACTGATAGCTCTTTCTCACGAGTCTAAACAAAGACTCAGCCTCAACACGTGGATCAGTACAGTCTGTACAGTTGTTTAGTCGGCTGCGTTCTGTCTGGCCATGATGGACAGGAACTTCATGTCGCAACGATCAGGACAAAGTCCGCCTCGCCAATTGTTGGAAAGCGAAGCAGAAGCGAGAGGCACTGCGTCCTCTGCCCGAACATGTGGTCCGCATTTCAATCCTATTATCTCTGCCCTGCGCAACCAAGCTGAGCCATTCCGTCTTCGAAAGTGAGGCAGGCCTTGCACTGAGATCGTGGCGGGAGGGCTTTATCGATAGTCGTATCTCTGCCGTGCAGAGCCATTCTGAGGCACTCAGTGTCGAGAAGCGAGGCAAGCATGAGTTTAGGAGCGCGAAGAGGGGCCTCGAAGTGTGCATGTCTTTCCGCTCCAATTTTGCTGTCTGCAAGCGATCACCTGACGAACCATAGCTCAACCTCACTCAGCATCTGGGTCAGCAAAATCATCGAAACGCGTGAGACTAGTCATCTCTGTGATAAGTCGATCGGCTGTGTTCTCTTCGGCCATTGCGAGATCGAGGCCGAGATTCGCAACAAGGCAAGAAAGAATTGCATTACCAACAACGAAGAGAACGAGGGCTTCTGCGAAGACCACAAGGCTGAGTCCCTCCAAGGCTGCCGCCTGTCACTGCAGGATGAGACACTCGAGAGCTTGGTCGGGAGGCCGCCGAAATTCAGGCCCATCGATAGCGAGTAGTCAGGGCAGGTCTGCGGGCATCGCGGCTGTGAGGACTCCTTTCAAGATGCGAATGAGCGTCGTCTGCATTGGTTTCACTGCCACAGTACGTACGCATTGACAGCAATGGGGGAGACGAAGTTCGACAATTTTGACTTCCAATGAGTCGTGCAATAGGCGGAGCAGAAGAAGGATGAGAGGCGGCGAAGACCGCAGCACATGAAGCGGGTAAGGCTATTTGCTGTAATATGATGAACATCTGTTGCTATTGCAGTACTGAGGCGGACTCGCACTCTGTCCCGGAGATGTTGATTCAAATTACGAGACTGGCGCAGCAATTGCGAAGTGGGCAGTTGTCAGATCAAGCGTGCGTGCTTCGTCCACACTTCGCGCAGTAGAGTCCATGCTTCGTGTTGAGCCGCTTTCAAGCTACGTCTGCTACCGAGACTTTGGCTTGGTCAGCGCCCCGTTCATATAGTCATGTGAATGCAATTGTAGTACTTATACGAAATCGCGCTCTCTCCTTGACCTACTAGTCCCAATCGCCAGATGCGAGGAACTTGGTAGCCTGCGCGCTAGTCACCAATCTCCAGCTCTTTGACGGCTACCGTTTGATCGACACGACGTGTGGAGCGAATAAACTTCTGCAGACAAGCAGATGTTCTCTAGGCGTTCGTCGTCGGAATGGCCTGGGTCGTCGTCAAAGTCTTCTGCCATGATCGGTGGCGAGTCGGGGGAAATCCGCGGGCATCGCGGCCGTGACGATCCGTTCCAAGACGCACACGATCGTCGGTGCCACTGGTTGAACAGCACAGCACCTAGGCGAAGACGGCAGTTGGAGGAGCGAAATTCGATAAATTTAGTTTCCAGTGAACCGCGCGTACCTGCTCCCATCCTCCGTTGTCTTCAAGCTCAGGAGGCTCGACGACGTAGGCAACTGGGCCACAGTCAGACTTGTAGTGGCCGTACTGTAGGCAGCGGCGGCACTGGACATTGGCGGTGCTACGCTCCTTCGTGCAGTTCGAGGGTCTGTGGCCGATCTCATTGCATTTGTTGCAGGTCATGTGCTTGTCCTTATCAGCCTGCTCTCCAGCGAGCGTTCTGTTGACCTGCATGTCGATGATGGCGAGGATGCGAGCCTTCGCCTCGTCGCTGAGCTTGGCCAAGACAGTGGTACCCTCGTCCTGCTCGCCACTCTCGCTCTGATATTGCTCGAGGGCCTCGCGCTCGAGTTCGATCAGAAGGTCTCGCGGAGAATCGAGAATGTCGAAATCGCTGGACGGGTCGACACTGTACGCATAGTCTCCCTGTGAAGCGTGGGAATTGTACTGAGCGCTGGGAACGCTGCCAGTACCGATCTCACGTGGCTGCTCCTCCTCCAGTCGGCCGTACGAGAGCTTCTCGAATTCGCCGACGAGGACCCAAATAGCCTTGATGCCACGGGTCAGAAGCACACAGTTGCGGCGGTTGTCCTTCATGTGGCCCATGTCCTCCTTTGTCCGTTGTCAGCCAGCAAATGGTCGACCTCGCTTCCCATGGCGTTGTCAGTGGCTCGAAGAGCCGGTAGCTGCTGACGCGTATACTTGCCATCAGTGACGAGATTGCTGAACTTCTCCTCGTACAGCTCAAACTGACGACGCCACGGCACAACGATGCAGACTGATTCCTCCATCTTGTCGCCGTAGACAGGATGCAGAGCTTCAGTGATGACTTGCATGACCTTGGCGACGAGAGCTGGGTTCGCTTTGGACTTCGTAGCGGATGCACGTGTGAAGTCTCCTTTGACTTTGCAAAACATCATACGCTCCTTAACATCGGTAAGCTGGGGACGGAGGGCTTCAGGATCAGCTTCAAGAGCTCGAGCGTAGGCATCGTGGTATCCATCTGGCAGAGCGAACTTCTCGTTGTTAGGCTCGAGGACAGTCTTGACTTTGCCTCCGTAGAAGTAGTCGTTGGCGGGATTGAACAAGACGAGATGCTGGCGAGCCTGAGAGTCCAACGTAACAATCGGGAAACCAGCTCTCGACAGGCGCTCCATGAGTGATCGCAACATCTGAGCGTGGAATTCGTTGAAGAGTGGCTCACCCATGATGATTGGCCCAAGCTGCTTTAATTGTCGTTCTCCTCAAGGAAGAAATTGTTGTGCCATTGCTAATCCCGCACATACACTTTCATGATGCACATCGAGTGCAAGATATCGGGATATCTGATGGCTTTGATGGCTTCGGTGAACCAGAGAGGACGAAGCTTGTTCCATTTCCTCCGGGAATCCAGCGTGTCTCCGCCCCTGCGCTGATGCTCATCTGGTGGCTTCGATGGCTTCGTGGAATCAGAGAGAATGAGACATGTTCCGTTTTCTCTGGAAATGCGGCATTTTTATGTCCTTGCGCTAATGCTCATCTGGTGGCTTCGATGGCTTCGGTAAATTGGAGAAAATAGCACTTGATCCATTTTCTCCGGAAATCCAGCGTGCCTCCGCTCCTGCGCTGATTTTAATCCGATAGCTTCGATAGCTTCGTGGAATCAGAGAAGATGGGAGATGTTCCATCTTCTCCAGAAATCCAGCGTGTCTCCGTCCCTGCGCTGATGCTCATCTAGTGGCTCTCCAATCCATCGGAACTGAGAGTACCGGCCCCTTTGCATCCCTCTGAGTATCCGCAATCTCTCCATTGCATATAACCCGAATAGCAAGCAGCAGCAAAGTAATGATTGAAGCAGAGCGATGAAGGGCATATTTTCGTCATCTTTGCAGATCCGATGTTATTACCTCGTCGTCTATCCCCAGACTGCTGCGCTTCCAAAGATGCATATATGCAGAGATGCAAGCAGATCGCGTGCATCGCTCCTTGAATCCTTGACCTCGGCATTGCATATAGTGCGAACAACGAGCAGCATTCAAGAAGCAACTCGGGGCAGAGCTAGGACATGAAAATATCCACAGAGCGTCGCTCACCAAGTACAACGCCGGCCTCTGCATCCATCTCTGGTCGCTTGCAGCCTTGGAACTCAACCAGCTTTGGGTAGAACTTAGGCTTCGTCAGTAGATTTGATGGCCAACAGACAGTGCGTTGAGTGAAAGACCTGTTCAAAATGTCGAGGAAGGTCGGTCGGTCCGAAGTCCTCAAGCTTCGGCTCAAATTGTGCAAGGATCTTGTGCATCGCCGGTAAAAGGACTTTCGCTCGCCATGTTGTATCATAGAAGAGCTGCGTGGCGGCAAGCATACGATCTGGGTCGCTCAAATTGGTGAGTGGCCCTGTCTCCTTGATGGTCGTCGGCATAGGCAGCGGGCTTCTCAGCTCAGTCATGACAGCCGTAATGCCCTGTGTGGCATAGATATCTTTGTACTCCTGAGCTGCTCTCGTGTGAGTGGCATTCCCAGAGTCAATGCGGCCTGCTTGGTGAATAAACCGAAGAATTCCGCGTCATGAGGGTTGAACGTCACGTCGTGCTGCTCCTCGAGGTGCTCACAGAGAGCGTCATCATCTGGAAAGTCTGCTAAACAGAGGACGTTCTTGTCGTCGCTCATGACCAACAATGGACAGACCAGGTTGTTCTGCGCGGGTCTGTCTTTGTCGAAAATGTTGTCCCTTGGGAATTGCGGCATACCGGCTTGCCGCTCTCTCTTTGACATGGGGAGCAGGCGGTCGCCTGCAGATGCATCGGTGCTCGTGCTGTCGCTGTCGTCCTCAACGACAATGGGGTCATGTTTGTTGTTGCAGGCAGGCACGGGCTGGGTTGGAGTGGACTCTTCCTTTTGGGTGTGCCCTCTACCTCGAAACCCTTCCCTAGATCCGCCAACTCCTCCACAATTCCTTTGTATCGGCCTTCTTCGACCGGTTCTGTTCCCTTTTTTGCTGAGGGCTACTCGTCGAGCGGTACCTCGACGAGTGATGCCGTGTCGAGCGGTGGCAGGTCTGATATCGCGCGTTCGTGATGCCGCTTCATTGGATGTTGTCAGTGTCGATTCGATGTGGCCGTTATTGTCGATGTTGATGTCGGAGTCAAGGTAGTTCAGCGAAGAGAAAGTGAAGTGGAGGCGGGCCTTGGCAACCGTCGATGCTAGTAAGTTCTTCCATGTTATGGAAAGGTGCGATTGCAAGACTTCACTTCATTTTTCACAAGCCTTTGAGATCTGGTTGCACAATGAGATGTTCGGAAGTCACAATTGCATTCCAACACATGTGGACTTGAAGGGCTAGTGGTATCCATCACGTCGATGTGGCGACGGCTGCTCCCCGACTGACGAATCGCGCTCTGTCCTTGACCCACTGGTCCCAATCGGCAAATGCGAGGAATGTGGTAGTGTCGCCGCCGAATCTGCGCGCCAGTCCCCAGTCTCCAGCTCTTTCACTGCTATCGTTCGATCAATGCGACGTGTGGTGCGGATGAACTTCGTCGTAGAGCAGATGTTCTCTAGAAGTTCGTCGTCGGAATAGCTTGCGTCGTCGTCGGAATCTTCTGGCACGACATCACTCGTGCAGTGGCCGAAATCAGGACCAGGGGTATCGCTGTCGTCGATCGCCTTGAGGAAGAAATCTTTGTGCCACTGCTCAGCCACCTCGTGCACCTCCACGATACACTTCGGGTGCAATATCTTTGCCAACGCTTCGAAGTGACCCCTGAAACTGTAGAAAGATTGTCTGAACTGAGGCGGATCTAGACAAGGTTAGCACTTCTACCCGGAAGAGGTGAACTTTTGATCAGTCTTACTGTACTCGTTTCGCACAGTGTACTTTGCCCAGCGGATGGCAAAACGACGGATCTTTTGCAACTCTTGTGGCGAGACGTGGAAGGATTTCTCTAGGGTAGCCGAAATGCTGTCGTCGGGCCCTTCTGGTGCTTCCATGGCTTTCGTGCCGGGCGGAGGGAGGACGTATCGCTTGCCGGGAGTGAAGGTGAGCAGAGGTGGCAATTGCGCCCTTGCTGCAGCATAAAACGCGCGATTGACAAATGCCGCTGATGGAAACATGCGATGCAGGAGGATGGTGTAGTTGTCCGGCGGTGGACTCTCGTCCATGCTGGCTGGACCCCAGAACTTCAGGATCTCGACCATCGATACCTGGCAGAGGTGAATTCCCGATCTGTCTTACCGAAATTGGTAGCCTCATATCTTCATTCGTTTGGATATACCATGGCTTCGACAAAACAGCTCATCTGGTATAGCTTTGCCGACAATTTCTTCAGCGCGCTGCAAGGCCTTCTTGCACTTGTCGAGCAGGGGATCTGGCTCGCCGAAAGCGGCGTGGGAATCCCGCTTGATCGTCATTGCCGGTATCGCAGAGTGAGCAGCGAGGCAGCAGGTGAGGAAAAGGTAGCTTCAGCAGACCCAGATAGAATCGGCGCTGAGTGAGATCCAGACTGGAGAGATGAAGACACAGCAGGAGGCAGGCAGTCGCGTCGTGAGCGCACTGGAGGAAGTCCATCGTGGGCGCGCTGGAGGTGCTTTGAGGAGTTGCGATGGCAGTACTACCAATTAAGGTGACCGCGGATCAAAGAGTATGTGTCGACGCATGTCGCATACGTTGTCAGGGACGCAAAGCCGGATGTGGTGATCGAATAGGCGATGTGGCGAATCGCTTGACCAAGAAAAAGATTCAGAGCGGCGTCAGAAGTTGATATCAGCTCGCGGCGTCGCGCGGCGGACGCGGACGCGTGCTGCCGGACGGGACCGGAGCCCAGTCCGCAGCCAATGGAAAGCGTGCAGACCTAACAACATACTGATGTGATCCGATCAATGTCAATTGAGTACTGTCTCGCCTCAGTATATCTTTCGATACATGTCTTATCTGCCATGCATGCAAGCAAGCATCAAGCTTTGCTATTCATCTAAGGAGTGTCATTACATCATGTTGTTCTTCAACATCGTGTCAAGTCATCAGATCATTGCCCATCCCAATGTCATTATAAACATATCCCGTCAACCCGTTTTGAATCGTTCCTCGCTCACATCATATTTTCTGCATCAGTCGTAATAAATGCCTCACAGAGGTCCAACATGCAGGTAGCCAACTCAACAAGATCTTCTCAGTCCCCTCACTGCAGGAAGGTGAAAAGAGACGACGTCTAGTATGGCTTTGGTTCATATCCGTTGTTGCATTTGGTAACAGTCTCGGTCTTAGTTTGATACTTTGGAACATACTTGGTCTCGTACTATCAAAGGCAAGTCAGTGGAGAGTAACGAGTATGTCTGAGAGAAATTTGTGCTGATTGGGAGTGATGCGTTGGAGCGACCATGCTTACCTTTGTCTCGTATTTAGTGACATATGTTGGCTTGTGCTCGGTTTTCGTCTCATATTTCGTGACATACTGTCCAACAAAGTCAGTGGAAGCTCCGAACAGGTCTGAGAGATCTTTCCGCGGAGTGGGAACGCCTCTCTTCGCGATTTCACTTACCTTTGTCTCGTATTTAGTAACGTATGTTGGTTTGTACTCCGTCTTGGTCTCTGTTTTGGTCTGATACTTTGTCTCGTACTATCAAGAAAGTCAGTGGAAAGTAACGAGCATGTCTGAGGGGGGTTTTGCGGATTTGAGATGCCTCTTCGCGACTAGGCTTACCTTTGTCTCGTACTTAGTAACATATGTTGGCTTGTACTCGGTCTTGGTCTCTGTCTTGGTTTCCTTCTTGGTTGTGGGCACGGTTATGGTCTCCTTCTTGGTCTCTTTCTTCGTAATTGTTGTTGGGACAGTTATAGTCTCCTTCTTGGTCTCTTTCTGAGTGATGGTCTCCTTCTTAGTCTCCTTCTTCGTGACATATTTCGTTTCAGTCTTATATTTCGGGACGTATTTAGTCTCGTATTTAGTCTTGTACTTGTAGTCGGTGACAGTCTTCGTCTTGTAAACGTTCTTGAGATGGACGTTAGCTACACTCATCGACAATTGATCGTCGTAGGGCATCGACGTACCTTGTATACTGTCTTCGGTTTGCACTCGCCATAGTTGTTTGGGATGGCATTGGCGGCAACGAGGCCAACGAGGGCCAAGATGGAGAAGAACTTCATGTTGATTGATGTCGAACGATAGTGGTATCAAAGCGAGAGGAGTAAGGAGGCCGAGGCAGATGGCGATGAGGCGAGGATGGGCTGGGAGACTCTCGAAAGGTGCTTCTGGTCAGAGAGAGTGTATACTTCACCCAGCACTCAGACGCTATATACCTCTCTATTCCACAACTCAGCCTTGTGACAGCTATCCCGCGGACTTCTGACCGAATCGCCTTCTACCAGCCTTCTCACATTGTTCTACGGACCGAGACAGTCCGCCCATGGGATTGATCTGGTCTAGCCCTGTCATGCAGCATTCCAATATTCTTCCTTCGACGTGCATCGCGACGATTGGAGTGCATCGCTAGGACAGAGTGCAATCCACGACTTGGCGGTTTCTCCCTTTGAAGCCTGTGGCGGTCTTGGGAGCAGAAGTACGGCATAGTCATGCTCGTATTTGGTATGGCCTGCCAGCGAGCTCGTGGGTGATCGATTCATGCACATGTAGAACTACGCGAGCGGCACGGCGGTATTCCAGACCGGAGGATTTCCAAGCTGTCCTATAAGCTTCTTTTTCTTCCACGGCGCGGAAAGCATGTCGACCAACCTGAGCACGGCATGTCTCGGAACTTGGGACAGTAAGTGAATGGTTCCGGCGATTCAGTGTCGGCGCCCTGGCATCATATCTGGAAGTGAGTGTGTGTTTCTATCCAACCAACGTGGCCGCTCCAGAATTGATTCACGTTGACCATGGTATGCTCCTAAGCCTATACGTCAACCGGCAGCATAGATTCGAAGCTCGCAGCCCTCTACCGTCTCTACGACCAACTATTTTCAGAGCCATACTAAATATGTCATAGGAATGTCGTATAACTCCTGCGGGCCGTGTCTGTGGCTTGCCGTACGTGCAGAAAAGCCTTGGCAGACAGCTGAAAAGAGCTTAATAGAGGGGTAAGGACTGCCACAAAAAGACTGCATAGTAAGTTGATGCGAGGACCCAGGCCCGATGAAGTGTAGCCTATTGGCCGCACGTGGCGTGCATGTGCATGCTTCTCCAAATAGAGACGTTGTGGAAGGCTGGTTCAGCCCGCCTACCACGCAGGATACCAATCAGATTGTTCGAGCACCTTTCATTCCTTTGTCGATTACTCCACCGCATAGCTGGGGAGAATTGTTTCTGCATGCAGGTTTGGACCAATGTGTCACGGCCGCATGTCCAGTCTACAATCTCTGCCAGCCATAGACATCAGGGCTGAACGCCTATGGATCTCTCATGGCTAAGCGATTGGGCCATGGTCGCGTCATGTCGTACCACGTGTCAGGCGTGAAGACAACCAGCATCATGTTGCATGAACCTGGCCGGAAGTCGAGTTGAGGTTCTGCAGACCATAAGGTGTAAGCACTTGACCAAGGTACTTGAATGTAAGGCCTTTGGCCAGGCCCCGTTCATGCTTCTTGTATCGATTCTTTCCAGGTGGAGTAGTGCAATCGATGATGACCATCTGGTGTAGGATCCGTGGACTCAGTACGGCAGCTGGCGATTGACCGGTCTGGCCTGCTGTGGGTTACTGAAGGATTTGGCAAAGACGGCATGTCTCACGTAACGGCTTGGTCCTAGGATCGGCCTGCAGGAGCTGCGTCCGGATCTGATAGATAGTCCCGAGAAGCGCGCTGCGGGACAGGTACCGCAACAATAAAGTCAATCGCTCGAAGAGTGTGTTCGGCTGGGCGCGTTCATGTGTGCTGTGCCGCTAGCTAGTCTAGGCCTCAATTTAGCCCACCTCAAGGCTCAAGCCTCTATGCATTGCTGACATGTTGTACTTTCTTTTCTGCCTGCGTCGCGTAAGCTGCAACACATCCAACAGAATGGTCGACAGTTGACATAATACGAACAGGGTACTTGTTCTGGCCACTGGACACAGGCGAATGCGGGGTGCATGAAAGTGCGGTTGCCAAGTTGCAGGAGCTGCCGGCACTCCAAAAATGGGTCTCGGTTAGGCACATTCAAGGCTCGTATAAGCACTCCGCGCTGCAGTGCGACTGTGCGAGAGGCACAGAAATATTGAACGCAATCTGTCAAAAGCGAGGAGCAAGTTTGAGTCACAGGTGCGTTCGCGCATTGCTGCGTCTGGCGTTTAAAGCCGTGCGCCACCAGAACTGCATGCTTGGAAGATGGATTGGGTTTCTGGTGCCACGAAATTCGTCCGCGGCCTTGTTCGTACGAGACTCTATCACTATGATCGACTGCTGTCCACAGCTGACATCTCATTGCGGTAGATTGAGAATATAGCGATGAACAGAGCTCGCTCCCTTCGCGCTGATGCCGCAATGGACTGGCGCTATCGTCCGAAGCTGAACCAGCCTTTCTTTTGTGGCTGCTGCTGCTGCACGGGTTCTTCCGGAGCGCTGTTTGCCACAGGAGCCTGTTCTGCCACGATAGCTTGCGCCTTTCTGCCAGGGTAGTCGATGTAGTTGAAGGCGACATCCAGAAACAATGGTTTCACAGGTACTGGCTCAATCTTCGGAGGATATCTCACCAGGTTGGTCAAATCGACCTGTGTGCCAGGCGTAGGATAGTCGTTCAGGCGTTCGACAACCGGCTCGGCCGAGGTCATGTTCTTCTTGACTGCGAGTGCTGAGTTGGCTTCCAACGTCTGCATCTCCACGATTGCATGCATACGAGAAGCGAGTGAGTTGACATGGGTTTTCAGACGAGACGCTTCTGCAGCGTGAACATCCAATGTTGGCGGCGCATTGCTGTGCTGAGCGTCTGCCGAGGAAGCGAATTTTGCAACCAAGTCTTGAGCTCTTTTCAATAGCGCCAAAGCATTGAGATGGTTGTCAAGCAGAGAATGTGAATACGAGATGTTGAGGCACTTCAGTGCACGGAAATAGCTGGCCTTGCCATCCAGCTCGGCAACGAAGCTCTCGTCCCTCATAGCTCCGCGGAGCTCCTTGATTGAGTTGATGCTTTGGATTATGGCATCATAAAGCACAACACGCTCGCGAAGTCGCGCAAGCTGTCGACCTCGTGGCTCTTCCTTGTCGGGATGCTCCTTGCCATCCTTGCGCGCGTGTCGGGGTTTCTTCTGGAGTTGTGCACCGAAAGACAGCCCATCGTCCTTGCCGATCAGGATGCGATACCTGCCAACTCGCCAGGATACGAGGTCGTAGTTCACTGACAAGCTCGTCACACGCAGGTCCTGCATTCGCGCATCGCTCTCCTCAACGCGCTCTTTTTCAAGCTCATCGATGGCTCGCTTTGTCGCATCCGCAGCATCTTGAGAGGCGATGAGAACGTCGTCATAAGCGTTGGCCTGATCCCGTGAGGAAGCTGATGGGTTCGAGGATAAGTATGAACGTAGCCTTTGCTCAGCAGCAGTCACGCTCGCGAGTGCCTGACCGATGGAAGCGTCCACAATGTTTGCGGTGCGGCCGCGCCAGGAGACACTGTTCGGAACTTCCTGTGGTGCTGTCTGGCCTTCATCCGTTGACTTGGGTGCTGGTGTGTCCTGCAATGCATTCGCATCGAGCTTCTCGACAGCAGTAACCAGCTCCTGGTCATCTTTAGGAAAATAGCGCTTCGCAACAGTGGAAATGGCTATCGTTCGTGACAGGCGTGCTTGATATGCCGCGTATCGAATAGTCGGGTCCACGGTGTCTGCTAGAATAGTCCTGTACACGTCTTTCTTCTCCTTCTCCAGGAGTGCAGCATAAATGACTCGTGCTTCCGAGTAATGCCGCAGACACAACTTCCAGCCTTTCTGCAACTCTTCATCGGACTTGTGTCCGCCTGAGTGTTTCTCGAATTCCTCAGACCCAGCCAGAGTCGCCAAATATGCCCTGGCCTCAATTCTGTCCTGCTCTGTTGCATTCGAAGCGCTGTCCTTGAGCGATCCCACGAAATTCCGAGCAATTTTCGCAGCTTTGCTTAGCCGGGAAATGAGATGGCTCCGTGTCGTGCCTGTAATGCCTCGCCCACTGGCGTCGTCTGTATGGGTTGTCTTGATGTGCATCGCATGCGCCCACGCTCGCTCTGAGGTGAGCAATACCAGCCGTGCAAACTCATGATTGCTGCCAATGTCCTCCGCGCTGACTGGCTTTACCGCGAACTTCTCTCTCTTATTCGTGGCTCGGCCGAGTCTTCTTCGAGTTGCCAGGATCTGGCGCGAAAGCTGGGCGCGGTAGGTATTGTAGTCGCCGATTAGCAGAGCCTCGCGGTGGCTGGCGACGAACTGTGTGATCTCCATGGCGGTGGCGGTGTGCAGGGTGGTGTAGTGGGCGACATTGGCTGGTTGAGACAGATATGGCGGATCTCTGGTGGGGCATTTGGTTGCCAAGAGTTTGACGCTCACTTCACGTCTTGCGATGCCAACATTTGGAAGTAGAAGCATCTATCATCATCAAGCGATATCGCCCAGCCTCAAGAGCAGCCAGATCTGTGCGGAATACATTGCTAGCTGATTGAGGCACCAGCTCACATTCTCTGGAGTGGCAGCTTCCCATCAAGCCATCTACGAGGAGCATTGAAGCTACGATATGGCCATAGTCATACTACTCAGGAAAAGAAAACCATGCAAGAAACCATTCAGCTAATGATCATGGTCTGACCTTTGCTAGTCGATTTGCACTCGTTCGATACTTTCGCGTTCATTGTGTCCACGTGCCGACCGAACAACAGCAGACCCGGAACAGTATGCGTCAACTAGTCTTCAACTTGGCCTTCTTCCTCGTCCTCATTCTCCGCAAGCACATTTTCGTCTTCGTCCTCATCTTCTGTCTCCTCTTCCTTTTCTTCGTCCCCCTCCTGGTTGTTCTCATCGTCATAGTTTGGGCCGTTTCCGCTGACACCAGCTTTGTTATCCAGCGTGCCAGCCCGATCCCGGAGCTCAGGCGCCTGGTAAACAATGCTCCCAGTAATGGACCAATTGGATGAATACTTTGGCAGGATGTGTATCTCAACATATAACCGGCGGTCTCCTTTCTCCCAGGATTTTTTGTGCAAGAATCTGGAGAGTGCAATTGACTCTTGTTGCCCTTCTGCTTCAGAAAACCTATACATCCTTCGGGCGTCGTTTGGGACGTCGAACATTTGGGGACAGATCCACAACTCTGCTACCCATGTGCCTGCGAGTGGCTTATGGTAGAGTGCAGCTGAAGAATAAATCGCCCTGCTGCGGCTGCTTGTCTCATTCAGGAGGGGAACTGTGCCGGGGGGCTTGAACTGTCTCAGCCTGGACTCGATCGAAATGCGCACGTTTCGTGTGGTACTGGTTGCCGCCATTTCAAGCTTCAGCCCTTCTGGGAACGCCATTAGGTCGGTGACAGTGCCAAGGTCATTGACGTATCTGATGTGCCCTACGCAGCGCACATACACTTTCACTTCCTGGTCCGAAGCGAGGAATGCGTTCTTGATACCGAAGTCTGTCTCGTGAAAGTTACTGTTATCGATCTGGTTGAAGCAGTAAGGTGGAATGAAAGGCGCTCCGGATCCGATTTGGGGCGGCAATTCTTGATTGAGGAAAACTGCAATGGCCCAATACAGCTGCTCCTTATTCTCCACTTTGCCGAAGGGGCCGAGAAGATCATGTCTGGAAAAGTCGAAGTCGCAGTGGGCCTGAACGGACAGACCATCTCCAATACAAAAATCCCCAAAGTCGAATGCGTGGATGCTATGTAGGGTTGGTGTCTGGATCGCTCCCTCACGCCGAGCATAGTAAGGTCTATCTGGATCTCCGACATCGTGCTGGCCTTTCATCCTCTTCTTCGAGGTAGCATGCACTACATTGCCCAGTCGAACGAGCTGAGGCTGCAACGGCGTCTGCCAAATGGGTTGAACGTCCTCCTTCAACGATTGTCTGAAAAGTTTGATGTCAAAGACCACGTGTACGTGCAAGATGAGTACATGGTTCGGGTGGACGAGGAGGTCTTGGATCGTCCGGACATTAAATTTGCCATCAGAAACAGACACCCATACCCCTGGCCGCTGTATTAACTGTGTCGTTGCCCAGAACGGTGCTTGCAATTTGCGCCGTTCACCTGCAGCGCGTAGATGCTCGTTTCCGTCGATTTTTTTCTTGATAATACTCTTGATGATCTCTTCCAGGTCGCTGAATAGAGTATTCCTCCGGGCCATGAGACAGCATGATGCCCATGAGATCTCATCTCTCTCTGCGGGTGACGCGTCTTGCCATACGTCGTTCTTCACCCACTTCTGACGCTCGAACGTGAAATTGATACAGGAGTCATCATGAGGATCAGATCCGGTCGAATCAACGATGTTTTTACTTCGAGGCGCGGATATGTCAGACTTGCCGTGCTTTTGTGCAGATTTTGGTATGTCTCTGCTCAATGGTTGATTCGATGCATCCTCAGTTTCGCTGGTTGCTGGTGCTACAGTCGTGGACGCTCGCTTTTGCTTGTCAGTTTGCCGAGACACTGAGTTGACCATGTACAGTGAGGCATCCGAATCGCTTTTCTCGTCAGAATCGGACAAGGCGGGTCCGACATGCATACAAAGTGTCCTGTCCATTGATGCTACTTCATGAAGGTCCAAGTCACTCCATCGCCTCAGCGATTGTTCGTTACAACTCTCACCCTCATAGTGCACCAAGACTTCCGCTAATGCTTCTTGCTGTAAGCCAATTCCCTCCCGAATCATCTCCATGAGGCCCTGGAAATGGTCAAAACATACCATTTTCTCCCAATCTCATGCAATTCAATGCAGACGTACCTGTGCTACGTCGACCTGGTCCCACCGAACAGCATCGACAAGGTAATCAGAAAGCTGCCCCGAGTAGCCACAGATCCGAATCCTGATCTCAGGCTGTTGTCCCTCGGCTTCTTCGTCACTCTCATTTCGTTCCATGATGCAATTGACCTTGAGCAAACGATAATTGATAGTCAGAGAAGTTGCGGAGGGCAAGAGTTCTTGTATCAAAAGTTGAACTGTTTGCGTGTCCAGATTGCTTGAATCACAAAATCATGGAAAGACCGGGCAGCTTTCAAACGTAAGTGTCGTTGCCGTGGATAGATCTATATTTCCTCCGTCGGTGTTAGTCAAGTAAACATGTAGGCATCGTATTCGGATACAACTTGAAGAGGATAACGTCCGCCATCCTATTACAAAAGAAAAGCTCCAATTGGCGATGACTTTCTTCTTTGCGGCAGAGTTACACTTCTTTGCTTTGTAGAACTCCGGTCTTTTCGGATCCTTGAAGACTTGGACCAATGCAAAGGCCTACTGCATCTCGCCTTCCGCCTGTCCATCCTCCTCGTCATCCTCGATCTCCTCCTCCTCCTCCTCCTCCTCAATTTGCGCCTCTTCGCCGCTTTTCCCAGTCATCTCCTCATCAAGATTGTCCTCTTCTTCGCCGGCATTTGCTCCACGATTCGCCGTGCTGGCTTGTCCCGGAAGAGGCGGCGCCTTGCCCACAATCGTTCCAGTGACTGGCCATCCCCCTAGTCGCTTCGGCAGAAAATGGACCTCAGCGTACAAGCGGTGATCGCCACCGTTCCACAGACGTCTATTCAAGAACCTGGACAGCGGGATTGGCAATTCGCCTTCCTCTGCTTTGGCGTTGGCGAACAAATACATCCTGCGATCTTGTTCTTTAGCATTCCTCAACTGCGGCGATACCCACAGCTGCTTGTTCCATGTATCCTCGAATGGTTCCTGCCAAAGCGCAGCCGATGCGTAAAGCTTCTTCTTGTCTTTGCGGGTCGAGTCAAGAAACCCAACAAATTTGGTCGAATCTTTCGCTTGGAGTTCGTCTGCGATCGCCTTCCAGACTTCTTCCATCTCGTTGTGAGGAGCAGCCTTAACCGACATGCTTTCCGGGAAGTCGATAAAGTCTGTCCGCTCGCCAAATTCTTCCGGCGATGGAAGATGGTTGACGCAGCGCACAAAGATTTCCACTTCAGACTCGTCTTCAAGTATACTATCTTCAATGCCGAATTTGGTTCCATCGAAATTGCTCGCGTCGACATTGTTGAAGCAATATGATGGAATGAAAGGCACTCCGGAACCGACTTTTGGAAGCGGCTCCTGCTTGAGATACCTTTTGATAGCCTGCTGGAACTCCTTGCACGTCTTGATACCATCGAATGGCTTCAGGAACGTGCGACGACAACCGAAATTCTCTTCCTCGAAGACATACAAGGAATCAGCGTCACCAATACAGTATTTCCCGAAGTCGTAAGCATGCATGCTGAACAACTCCATGTCGATATTTTTTCCTGCACAACGCCAAGCAAGGAGCGGCCTCTCTGGATCGATCTCATCCGCCGCCTTGGGCTTTTCGGCCTTCTTGGCCTTCTTCTTGTTGCCCACGCGAACGACTTCAAACGGCTTGTATAATGGTTGCCAGATTCCCCGTTCATGTGAATCTTTGGGAAGTCGTTTTGACATCTGAACGTCGAAAATAACGTGTACTCGCAGGTCGTACGCTTGTGAGAGGTCGCGGAAAAGGTCTCGCAGTTGACGAACGTTGAATCTGTCATCAGACAGTGACACCCACATGTCTAATGCATTTGGAGCCTCGATGGATGCACGAAACGGGACACTCAGGCGTCCAGTCTTGGCAGCTTCGACTAGTTCTTCGTTCCTGTTGATTCTTCGTTGGAGGATATTCCGACAGGTTAGGATCAAGTCGCTGACCAGATCGGTGAAATCAAAAGGAAGACGCCGACCTGAGCACGAAATCTGAGTCTCCGCCATATTCGAACTTCCTCTCCATCGTTTCTCTTCTCTCGACCACTTTCGGCCCTTGAACGTGAAATCGACAAATGGTCTGTGCCCGTCATCAGAGCCTGCTTCAACCTCATCGTTGCCAGTGTCCGGTGCGGGTTCTTCGTCTCCGCTGCTATTCTCGACGCTCTCAGAAGTATGATTTTCCGCCCCAGACCCAGACCCAGTTGCTGGAGCCTCGATTGCTGCGGCACTGAGACCTTTCCCTCTATTTGAGGTCTGTACAGAGCGACGATTGGTGGCATGTTGAGAAGGTCCTGCGTCAGCAGCCTGAGCGATACTGCTAGTTTCGGGGTCAACGTGTAACATGATCGTTTTGCCGATAAGGGCATTTCCCATGCGGACCAACTCGTGAACCGGTTCAAGCATCCGCTGACTGCAAAGTTGGTCGCCGAGATGTGCCGTCATGTTGCGAACGGCTGTACGATCCATTTGCAGGATTGGGAAGAGCTTCTCGATGACATCCTATATCTGGTCAGGTTGGGCATCTTTTGGTAGCTTGGTCTGGTGCATGTACTTTTACCATGTGGTCAGGGTTTCGAGAACCAGCTTCAGAAAGCTGGTACTCCAGAACGACATCATCGTTCTGTCTTGAGTTCTGCCCATTGGCATATCTGCAAATTCGAAACGTAATCGGTCGATTGCCTGTGTGTTTTGTTCTCGCCATGTTGTAGGAATCTCTGGGAGGCAGTCTTCGCTGAAACTATGCTTAACTGAAGACGATCATCTTATTGCCTGGTGAAACTGTTTGTCTCCATTGGGAGCAAACTTCAAATGCATTCCAGACGGCTCTACAGAGTGATGGGAAGTAATAATGTTTTCTATGGACGTGGCCGGAGAAAACATGCATTCCAAATAGTTCCTTCACGTGTCAAATAGCCTGTAAAATCGAGCAGGCGCCATTTCCGAAGGATGGTTTCATCGAACTGCAACCAAAAGTCTTCAGGTTAGAGTGTCCAAGATCAGAGAAGCTAGCTGGTTGATGAAGACTTTCACATGTGATCTGCGGGTACAATCTGAGCTTCGACATAGAGCCGCTTGTCATCCTGACGAACCGTGATTGCCGGACTCAGAAATTGAAGAAGATTCCCGGAATGGTACTGATACATCTTGCGTTGGTTGGTCTGTGGCATGATCCAAAGCTTCACTTTCCACTTCCCCCTATGCTCAGCACGAAACAACCGCGCAGAATTGAAGTAGGTTCCATGTTCCCAGCCTTGCCGATTGATCTCTTGTAGCAGACATTCGATGACATCTTCCAATGAGTCTTTTTCCTCCACAATGATGCGGATATCTTGCGGGAACTTGAGGTTTCGGACACCTCCATATCTGTCGACAAAAGTTGCAGCAACATCGATCCCACGCTTCGGCCAGGACAGCAAGCCCAAGCCATGTTGAGCAGGCCGAAATTTGTTGTAGCAGTATGTCGGCAAAAGGGGAATGCCACTGCCCATCTGGGCGTCTTCATCCTCATCGTGTAGCGACTGCTCCAAGAGCTGTACAAAATCCTCTTTCGACCCTTGCCGGCATTGCACGTTTTGGAGACGACCGAGAAAGTAGTCTCTGTTGCTGAATGCTCTTTGATTCCACTGAGTGTCCTCGAACGCATTTCCAATACAAAAATCGTCGAAGTCGAAAGCGTGGCATCTTCTGAGATGGAGTCCTCCAGACTTGCGATCCATCCAGACCGTGAGGGCTTGCATGTAAGCGATCCCTTCACGTCGATGGTCGCAAACTTTCTCTGCCATTTCAGCCTCATCTCCGTTACGAAGAGGCACGGAGCCGATTCGAAGTATCCGATAGTCATCGGTCACATCGTGCCACCTTGGGTGTTGGATTTGCTCGTCTGTGGGGCCGCTCCCTTGACAATTTTGCAGTATGGTCAACTTGACACGTGCGATGAGAATAAGCTCGGGAGCTCTTGAGTCCTGAAAGAGATCACTGAGTAGCTCGATTCGCGGGTCTTCGTCGAGAGATACGATGACGTTGCTGCAGACCCCGAGCTGTACAATATTGCTCGAAAGCTTCAGTACGTGCTGCCCACTGAGCAACATCTGGCTGAGATACACGTCCTTACTGCTTCTTTGCTGAACCAAAGCCTCAAACAGGAATGGCAGTGATCTCAGGGGCTCGATTGCGGAGAGACGAAAAGCGTGAGGTGCCCATAAATGCTTGTCCCATTTGTCGAAGTTGATGTTGTCGAAAGTAACGCGAATGGTAGTGGTAGTGGTCGTCTTAGGACACTTTGGAAGAACGCGGCTTGCGTGTTGACGTCGAGGTCCTTTGCTGATGCCCGTAGAGAGATGCCTGTTCTTGCTGGGAAATCTAAATCGTCTTCTTGCCGATACAAGCGCCATTTAGAAGATCACGAAATGGATGAACTTGACGCGGACTGCTTCAGAATTAGCAGGCAGAGAGCAAAACCCGAATCTCGAAACGTCCAGACAGCCCTTCGGGGTTCCTGATATGACTCGAGTTGGCTAGAAGCAAATGTTTATTCCCGTGAGAAAGCACAATGGAATCGACACTGGGATCTGCGCTCCTAGCGACGAGGAGGCGAATCGTTGCAAGTCTTCTCTTCCAATATTGGAGCGCGCACAGATACCTTGCATCTGAAAGATTACCTTTCGAGACACTGAAACAGCCATGGGACAAGGCTGTCTCACGGGTGTCATTCAGGCCGCCTGGAACGATGGCGATTGCTGTCACCGTCTCTGCTAGAGCTCACACATGCAGAACAACAGTAATGGCGAAATTGTCGTCACCCATATGATGCCACAATGAATCTGCAGAACTTGATGCGAATTGCTTAAAGCAAAAGATCAAAAGGAGGGCCGATGTTTGATGGTGACTCTCTGCGTGGCAAGGTCAAGCTCCAGACATTTTAGCTCGCGTCGTCTGCTGCTCTTGGACACTCATTGGCGTAGTGATCATTACCTGGTGCAGAGAGTGTCGATGTTGGCACCTAATCTCTGGCAAAATGCAGGCTCGCCTGCCACTAGTGATGGAGATCTCGTAACAGAGCAGAATGTACCATCAGCTGTAGTGGCACAGAAAAACAATGCGGTCGAGGTGAGCGAAGTACACATTTCGATCTCCTGGCACAGTGAACCACGAAGCATCGAGCTGGTGATTACATGCGTCGGCTTGGAGCACATCCAATTCCCGGAGATGGAAAGAAATCGAAGTCATCGCTCTTCCATTCGACGGCGCCTCGGATCCCAATATTCTCACACAAAGGAGCACCGAAACCAGGACAATTTTCGAGACATCGGCAGAGACAGCAGAGGTAAAATTCTTTAACGCTAGCATGTGCACGACTCGATTTAACTCTCTGCTTATCATAGAGCTGGCTATGCAGCCTGCACTCTGAAATTGACGCTGTGCGCCCAGCTGGCCTGTGTGAGAACGATTTCCTGAGCGCGTGTTTGGTCTTCTTCACACCATAATCCTGTTCGGACTGTCTGTCGGGGCTGGCGAGCACTTCCGAGGGCCAGCAAGCAGTGTCCATATCGTAGGCGTTCTTGGAATGCTGTGCAAGGGCATCTGGTCGGACGTTTTCGAGCTTTGGCTCGAACTGCGCGAGGATGCCGTGGATGGCTGGGAGAAGCGTCTTCTTTCCCCATTGCTTGTCCTTGAAAATGCGTACAGCGACACGTACGAGATCCGTCTGCTGTAACTTGGTGTGCGAGGTCGGGGATCCCACGCAGTCCGGCATGCGACGGCGCTCTTTTAGCGTGTCCATGACAGCTCCGATGCCTTGTTCGTAGTAGACGTCGTTCAATTTGGCCATTTCTTCCTGTTTGAGTGCCATGCCAAGTATCAGGGCTGACGTCTGCTTGAAGAGCGCAAAGAATTCGGTTCCGCGACTGTTGTGGGTGACCTTGTGCAGTCCACGGATGTGCTTGAAGAAGTTTCCGGAATGTGCCTCTACGAACTCGGTTGCACACATGACTGCTTTGCCGCCCTTGACGACAATCATGGGGCAGATGAGCTTGTCAGTTCTTGGTGACTTTGCGAAGATGTTGTCGTTGGGGAAGTCTGGCATATCAGCCCTACGCTGAGCCAAAGTGAGAAAAGAGCCAGCAGAAATGTCGTAATCAGTGCCAATATCATCAGTGTCAGAGTCGATGGGGTCGTGTTGAGAGGGCTCGTCGTGCTGTCGTGGAGGTGTTTGTGTGCGAGGCTCTGGGATCGATTCATCGGTATCGTAGAGAACGATGGGATCATCTTCATTGCTGAATTTGCTGATTGCCGTGACAGTCTCTGAGCTTCCTCCAGCGTGATCATCTTCGTTGCTGGATTCCGTGATCGTTGTGATAGTCTCTGGGCTTCTCTCAGCGCGAGCAATCGTGGTATTTGGACGCTTTACTTCTGCGCGCATGGTTGCTGCCGGTTCTGCAATCCATTCGTAGACAATATCGACAGGATCTGTATTCTGGGACAGTCGAAGGAATCTTCCCAACACATTGCGTTCTTGTCTGTCGCATGCTCCGGCCCAGAAGCGATGGCAGAGAGCTTCGACTCTGTCTTGAGCTTGGCGTTCGGCAAGATGAGCAGCACAGAGTATCGTTATTGGCATATATTTCGAGGAATCTGGATTTTTCGTCTGCTCTCTCAGAATCTGCTTTGGCATTGCAGAGTCGACAATTTCCTCTGCAGGTTGGAATGAGCTCTTGCAGGTTTCGCGCAGCTCATCTGGCTCGCCGGGTGCTTGAGAAGCAGTGAACGCCTCGTCGAACTCTCGCTTTGGCTTTGGTGACATCTTCGAAGTCGGACAAGCAGTGCTCGGGAGAGAGAGATAGGACTGTAGGAGGATCCAAACTGTAGAGCTGAGGAGGAACTTGCGGAGAAAAGTGGCAAGGCAGCAGATGCCGGCCATAGAGGGAAGGCAGATCTAGTAGGGAAGTGCCCTTGCCTTAGGCACGCGCGCTGGAGGAAGTCGTATCGCACATTGATGTCGTTGTTTCTGTACCCCAGGTGTAGAGAATGTCGACGGGGTCTACCCATATACTTCATCGCAGCCGGATTCTTCAGTTGCTCCTCCAGAGTCTGCTCCAGTTTGACAAAGTCCCCAAAGTCGTGAGCAGGCTGCACATGTCCGTGTCTAGAACTCTCTCTGCGGCGCTTTTGCGTTGCTTTGCCAGGCTGAGCGGCATAGAGCCCTTGCTATCTTTGAGAGAGCAGCCATCACTCAAGATTGCTTGTCCCACAGGTAAGTAGATCTCCAGCAGTCCCTTCTGGCGCGATTTTAGCCTTAGCCACGCACGGGAGCAGGGGAGGCTCTGTCTGCTCAGAGAGAGGTATGCGTGCTGGCGATTGCTCTGGCATAATGTCGAGGAATACGCCCTCTGTCCTCTGCGATGTTGAAATCCACTTCTCGCGCAATCGATGACTTGGCTCACAAGTTACTCAGTCAAATGTGCCATTCTCGACTAGTCTTCGTCATTCTCGTAGCGCTGAAATCCCACGTCATCGTCCTCTTCCTCTGCGTCGCTCATATCGTCGCCCGTGTCCGCGGTCTCCGGAAGAAGGCCAAGGGCCGACGTGTTGACTTGATTCGGAGTGCGTCCTGCCTTGAGAATGGTGTCCTGTACGAGGTCGGCATATTTCTTCGGGAAAGTCCTAAGCTCGTTGAAGTACACGAAGAGTTCGTCTGCGCTCTTTGCGACAAGATCCGATTCATTGCAGCAGATGTGCCTGTACATGACCTCGTCCATTTGCTCGGTGTACTCGTTGAAGCCATTCCAGAAGACTGCATTGTGGTCAGTAATTGATCATATCAGCGCAACAAAGCACAGATTGCGCACCGTTGTGAAGTTCTTTGTGTTGTTCAATTTTCTTCTCCCACTTGGTCACTTTCTCGAGCGCTTCGGTCACGGCAAGCTCCGCTGTCTTCAACTGCTCATCGAGATCGCCCCGTGGAACGAACAGATTGTCGTCGTCGTCCACGCTGATGGCTCTGGTGGCTCTGGTCTTCCTGAGTTGTTTGGCGGCCTTCGTAGACATTGTGCGGTCCGCAACCATGGCCTTGAGTATGCTTCTGACCTCTGCCTCTCGGTGGCGCAGTTTCTCCATCGCTTGGATCAGCTTTTTGTCCATTTGGATGAGGTCGAATCGAATCTAGGTCAGTGCGTGGGATTGTCCGGTGACAATCACGACCTCATTGCGTATTTATCGAGCCGCATGAACGGTCAGTCAACTCGACAGTGGACGAAGCCCACAATTCGACTCGGTGTCCTTTTCGGCCCTTAGCGTTGTGGTAATAGAAACAAAGTTTCACTTTGCACAGGTGTACGCAAGTGAGGGTTGTCCGCTTCTGTAGGTGAGCAACTAAGTGACCAAATGAGTCAATGAAGAAGTGACAAAGCATGTGGAGGAACGAGTGAGAATAAGTAAGTGGACTTTCAGATGGAGAAGCATGTGAAGACTCAAATGAAGGAACAAGTGAGCAAGTGAATGCGTTTGCAGATCCAGTATTTGAAGCGGCCACGATTCCAATCAGTCTTTTGCAAAGGCACTTCGATCCAACATAACTTTGGCTGTTCACATGGGAGCCCGCGACTCGAGCGGCACTTTTACAGCGTTGTTCGGAAGGCTCATCGCTTGGACAGCTCCGCCATGGCGCAGGCTTTTCCGAATCTTGTAAACTGGCCCCGGGAAGTTCCAGACCTTTCGTATGCGGTGGGAAAGGATAGCTTCAGTAGCGTGGCTGTCGAACAAACTTGTACTCTCCATATTCCTGATAAATTCGTGCGGTTCCATCGGTGTCACTGTTGGCGTGGATCGTCCCAGAATCGACAGAATGCGCTTCTGAGCTATGGAGCAATACGTCCGTCATGTATGGTAGGTAGTTTTCTGTAGAGCTGCTCAAACAGGCGACGCCTCTGGGCAAGTGTGGTCTTCTCCCTAGTTGTGTATCAGCTCAACGTGGATTGCGACAGCAGGAGTGGGACTGCACACCATGTGTCTGCACCGAGAAGATAGAACAAGCGAAACGTAGCCGTAAAGATTACGTCGCATGTGAGCTTCTGGGCTGTCGTGGATTCGTGCATAACATCAGTCTGGAGCTCGTGTCTCGTGCTCTCCTGACTAAACGGGGCGATAATTGTCTCGACGTCTGTACCGTCAATGTACCCGTGCAGATACGTGTAGAAGTGCGTAATGGCGCGCCGAATTTTGTCCAGATGGTAGAGGGCGTGGCGATCATGCTGCGTTGTTTCTGCGTTAGCTGACAGTTTAGGCTCGAGTGTTAACACTAGCTTTTCCGTCTTTTCTGCAAGTTTGAACTCCGTGTCCTTATGAACTGTCATCGCTTGAGACTCTTTGTCTTTCAATTCCTTGTTGTGGTATGTGTTCCTGGCAAACGGCAATCTCGAAGGCAGGCGAAGTGGGGTCTCTGTGACCGCTCGAATGGATTGACGCTGCGCGTCGAGTCCTACTTCGTGGGCTTTCGCAAATGTCGTGACTGGTGGTCGCTTGTGTTTCCATGGTCGTGCTGGAAGTACGCGGCTCGTCTTTATATATGCTTGCAGTGTCACCAGAGTGCTGCGCTGAAAGATATCCGCGAAGACTTCATTGGCTTGTGCCTGTTGCGCCGTGCTTTGTGACGATGCGCGAGATGCGCGCTGTCCAGTCCACGAGAGAGGCTATGCGCCGACATTGAAGTGTTGGAGGCGTCGTCAGGTGAACTCGAACGGTGTGGTTGGAAGAGGTCGTGGACTGTCGTCGAAATGCTGTCGCTAGAAAGATTGGCGCAGTGTCGCGTGGTCAACAGCAGCCTTAAATCCGCAAGCGCAACTTCGTCGATCTCTAGCCAGACATAAACCTGACCCTGCCATGTGCCAGGGCCTCGCTCGCCAACAAGCCCTTAGCGAGAACCGGAGCCATGGCCAGTGGGAGTGCCTCTACTGAGTCGCAGCCTGAAGGTTGGTTCCAAGATTGCGCGACACCTTCATAGCGTTATGCGGAACGTTCGTTGCTAGAGCAGCTCCGTCGTGGCGGAAGCTCTCACAGATCTTGTTTCATACCTTCTGTATACGGTAGTAAAGCGTAGCTTCAGTTGCCGCAGTGTAAAAAGCACTCTTCACCGACGCCGCTGGCGGAAAGATGCGATGCAGGAATCAGCATCCTTGTCTGACGGCGGGCCCTCGTCCATGCTGGCTGCATCCGAGTACTTCAGGATCTCAATTGTCGGCGGCCTTTGTGCGTACTGCTGCCATTGTGAATGATAGTGGGAGGTGCGTGCGCTGTGTTTTGTCGTGGCGGATATCTGTTGCCGAAAGTGTGCGTGGGCAACACAGTGATGTCGTGGGGGTGTCTATCGTGCAAACTTTTGCAAATCCAAAGTCGTCTTCAGAAGGCAGTGGCGCTAGTGGCGCTAAACACGCTAAGTTGAAGTTGCACGTCTGCAGTCTCCGCAGCGCCAGTCATGTCAACCTCTGCGTATGCAGCGAGGAGATGGAGGCTGACGCCCGATGTCTGGACCTGGCCTTGCACCTTGATCTGGCCTGGCGTCCTTCCAGCCTTCAGAATCGTCTTGTCAACCAACTCGGCGTGCTCGTCCGGAAACGCTGGGAGAGTCGCAAAGTACTCTTCTATCTGCTTTTCGTCCATATTGCTCAGCTCTGCTTCGTCAGAGTGAATGTCGTCATACACCTCATGGTCGACTCGCTTGGTGTAATCTTTGAAACCGTCGTTGAGCACTGAGATTCAGTCAGTTGATGAGTAGGAGCCTTCGCGGGCTTCTGAAGAGCTGCAACGACCTCTTCGAGCATCTTGTTGATGTCCAACTCTTTGGTGCGCAGATGTTTTTGCGCAGCGGTCAGTTTTCTCTCCTTTCTGATGAGGCCGAACCGCATCTCGTCTAGTGCGTGTGCTTGTCCGGTCACAATCACGACCTCGTTGCAAATTCGCAAATTCTCCACTGTCGCGTCTCTACCTCGCTGTACAGTTCATGTTTCTTCAAAATGCCGTCGTTAGGGGTGCTTCCATGCACATCTGACGAGCTTCACTCACTTCTCGGACGTATCGTGATGCTTGTCGGTGTGTGCGGTGTATTGCAAAGGCTGTCGCGACGCATGCATTGTGATTGCGGAGTCGCATTCCTGTTGATCACAGGGTCATGCGAACGAAGTTGCTCACCTGGGTCGGTAAGCAAGGGAAACCGCAAGTAAGCGAGCAACTACGGAAGTGAAGGAGCATGTGAAAAAGCATATGAAGAAGCATATGAGCAAGTCGAGTAAAGAGGTGAGAGAACAAGTGAGTGTACTTGCGAGCCAGCATCCCAGGCGTCCGTGGCGCCCAATAGTCTTTCGCGAGGGCACTTCTCTCGCCCAACACAGACCTTGGCGCTGCCACCGGGCAGGGCTTCGCCTACAACAAGCCTCCGGAGCAAGGACAGAGCCAATGTCGGATTATTGCTAGAGGGATTGCTCCTCTTGAGTCGCGGCCGATGACTCAGTCCGACGAATGGTGATCATGGCGCTGTTTGCCCAAGATGCTTACTGGCACAGCGTTCGAAAGTTGTCGGCCGCGTCATGCTCTGTTACTGGCCGGTGAATGGCCCCTTCTCCATCGCTTCAATGATCTCATCTCTGTAGTTCTCGCTGGTTCATTCGACTTGTGACGTTCAAGCATCATGGCGCATGTGAGCTATAGTACCTTTGTATTGGAGGTGAGGCAGAAGTGTGTACATGGCGCTGTGGCTGGCTGAAAGCATGCGACTTGTCTGAGGGTATGGGCTGCTCCAAAATTGGGCGACACCTCCACTCGAGTATGCAAGGAAGCATACGAGTGTCTGGGCAGCGGCGGCCTGTTCCTGGCGCCGCCCGCTTTGGGATTCCCGTCCTTCACCAACACTTGGCTTCTGCTTGACTCGCTTGCGAGACCAGTGGGCGATGCTTGCTGACCGCATTTGTCCATTTCGCGCTGCATCCAGCGCATGACTGGAGCCACCCTGCAGCATGGCGGAACAGGAAGGCCACGCAATAGTCCGCCGAACGACAGTGGAGCGGAGAGTGCTGATCGGTCGGGCGCGAAGGATGCCTCCACGCGCTCGCCTACTGCCATCTCTCATCAGCCTCAAGGGCTACATATGGGGCGCATCCTGACGCCCTCCTTGTGAGATGGAATATCTCACAGCCTCATCCTGTGCGACGTACAATAGAGTCACGCATACCCGCGCCATGGCGTCTATGTCCTGCTTGTACAGTCATATATTGAACAGGCGTCCCAGATTCAGCAACACTACCTCAAGCTTCTGTTCTCTAATCATTGCAGCTCCACACACAAGGAAATCGTGAAAGCTGATAGATTACACAAGGTCTTGGCAGATATCTGTATGAGCCCACGCCGGGGAACTTTCCGCGTGGTAGGCACATCGACACCTGCTTTCATTCCCGCCATAGGCTAGAAGCCCTGATCAGACAGCCTACTTGGATATACGGCACAAGTCAAAAATGGAGCATCGACACTCTGTCGCCGACCAGGCAGCAAGACACCAACCGAGAATGCCCAAGAAATTGATCATCTGTTGTGATGGAACCTGGATGGACAGAGACAACGGCTACAAGAATGGGAAACTTCAGAATCCTTCCAACGTGACGCGCATAGCACGAGCGATGATGTCCGAAGATGATGCCAAGCATCCTCAAATCGTCTACTATCAATCCGGTATTGGAACTGGCATTGGCCTATACGACCAGATGGTTGGAGGCGGCACTGGCTTAGGCCTGAGCGAAGCATTACGCGAAGCCTACGGGTTCCTGGGCACCAACTATTCCGAAGACGATCATCTCAGCGGGCCTGATTCCATATTCCTGATCGGCTTTTCGCGTGGTGCTTTCACCGCTCGCAGTCTAGGCGGATTCATCACCGCAGTTGGCATCCTCACGAGGAAAGCCATGCCGTTCTTCTACGAATGTTTTCTTGATTGGGAGAATGTTGGCCGAGAAGGCTATGTGCCAAGATTCTTTGACGCTTATTGCGCTGCACACCCTGAGGACGAATTGGACCCGAGACTGAATCAGCCTGATCCAGCGATAGCAAGGTCTAAGAAGCCTCGTGCTATTGATGGATATATGGAACAGTACAAGAAGCACCTTCTTGCTCTCGGCCTTACACAAGACGCCAAAATCAAATGCATCGGAGTCTGGGATACAGTGGGAGCGCTCGGTATCCCGGTAAATCCTTTGATACAACGGACCCTGGGGATGCCTGCTTTCATCAAGGAATATAGGTGGTACGACACAAGGCTGAACGACTCTGTGGAGAATGCTTTCCATGCGCTGGCTTTAGACGAACACCGATTCCCATTCTCGCCCGCAGTGTGGGAGCTTGATGAAGGAGGAAAGACTCGCATGAAGCAGGTATGGTTTCCGGGCGCACATTCGAATGTTGGAGGCTCGTACGACGACTACGGAATCGCAAACATCACTCTGGCCTGGATGATGGACCAGTTGAGCGGCAATACACGCGATCCGAGCAAGAAGTTCGATCCTCTCGACTGGATCAAATTCGATGACGAGTTCATCGACTCATGTTTCCGCCAGACGAGCAACTACTACACCACAGCGAGAGCTGGCGACGATTACAAAGGTTGGGCAATGGGGAAAGTATACGATAGCAACACTTTCCCTCAAAGCCTTACTGGCGCCAAAGTGCGCACTCCTGGTCGTTACGAGAAGACGAATTACGACACCGGCAAAGAGACCGGGCAGCCTCTTCAACACACCAACGAGTACATCCACTCCTCCGTACGAGCACGAATAGACCTTGCAGGCCGCGGCGTCGAAGCTCAAGTCTGGTATCAACGTATCATATCTATCATCTACCGCCTCATCACATTCTCCAAAGCCGCGAAGCTATACAACCCTCAACGCGCACGGGGGTGGATCGCAGCAGGAGGCCCGCTGATAGGTTGGAATCTGATTGATGGCCATGCTTCACATGCCGAGCCTAACATGTCGATCGACATGTCACCTGGCGGAATAAAAGAAGTGCACTGGGAGTACAAGGGAAAGGGCGACAGTAGCGCGCAGAAGATGAAAGAGGACGTCTTTGCTGAGAGGGGATATGAAGAAAGATTGTTGTTGCATGATCAGGAAGTGGCGAACAAGATCATCTATTCTAATAATAAGTGGCAGTGGTTCAAGAAGCCGAAGCCGGCGTGGCATTTGTCGAAGACGTTTTGAAGACATGACTGACTTGCATAGCGAAGCATAATTCATGCAGTACATCGTATCTAGCGACCAAAAGAAACTCAGCGAGAGTTGCCTTCCCATCACGCCCATCAAACGAAACTCGTCTCAGTCTTTGCTCATCCCCACAGTAATCGTACACCAATCTTCATCCTCATCGAGAGACATCAACACAAAAGCAAATCTGCCGCCCAACCCAGCCTTCTATCCCAAAACGCCATGAATTAATCCACGTTGACCCTACATCGAAGTTTTCCTCCCCTCACACCCCGCCACCTCCCTCCCTCAACAACATCGTCAACTTCATAACCTTCCACGAATACTGATGTAAATCCACCCTCAACCCCACAACCGCACTCCTCGTCCAAGCCTCATCCCCACCAATTCCACCACCACCACCACCACATTCATACTCATCCACCATGCTGACAGTAGTACTCCTCGCCATTTCCAAGTACCCAACTAACCATTTCGCCATGGCTACAAGATTCTCTAACAGTGAATCGATCCCTTTTCTGTAGGATTTGCAGGTTGTGGGACCGTAGGCTTCCATGTAGCGGAGGAGGTTGTCGAGGGTGGAGATTCCGTTGCGGAAGCGTTGGCGGGTGGTGTCGAAGAGGGTTGTGGTGGGGTTTTGGAAGGGGGTGGTGGGGGAGAGGGTTGGGTTTGTGAGGGGGAGGTTTTCGTTGTTGTTGGGGGTTTTGGTTGTTGAATCGTTTTCGGGGTATTTGGATGTCCATGTGGTATCGGTGGGTGAGGCGTTGTCGATTACGATGAGGGGAGAGTGGGTTTCGTCTGTTGGGGTGGGGACTTCGGAGGCGGAGATTGTGGTTGAGCAGGAGGCTGAGTGGCAGGAGTATTTTGATGGAGATGAGGTGACTGAGTCGGTACGTTGGTCGCTGGTAGGAGTTCGAGGGACTTTGGATGTTGAGGCGGATCTTTGGTGGCGGTCTTTGAATGTGGTTCGGAGAGGTGTCATGCTGAGGAGTGCATCGAGACGACTGGCAACTACTTGGTGTCAGCAACGTGAGCTTTCTGCGCATCCTGTCTGACTTGTGACATGTGCATTTGCCGACGCGGTCTGCTGCTATATGCCATATGAGTGGTCACATACCTCTATCGTTCGCCATGTTGTAGACTGGTGCCAACAGTATATTCTCGTTCGTATGCCACAACCAAAAGAGTACCAACGTGGAAAAAGACAATAAGAAGTACGACGGATACTATCAACCTTTGTCGAAGGTCGTAGGATGCCATGACCAGTGTCTGCTACCCGAAATCGGGTTGCACCTTGTCAGTCGCCGGCCGGGTTCCGCAAACACAATGCTCACTTTATCGGCAAGATAGCGAGAGGGAGAGAGACGTTTGCAGAGAGAGATTTGGATCCGTCTTTCTGGGAACATTCTTTTTGCCAGAATTCTGTAAGGCAAGTTTTACAAACCTCCAGACTTCGAAACTTGGAAGTTGGGAAGACATTTGGCAGCCGTTGTTTGAAAAAGTCAATAGACTCTGTGGACCGGGTGTCTTGACTCGAGTGGCTTCTGGACACGGCACACAAGACAGGTTGAAGACAGGAATAGATCGAGATGAACTTCTTGCTGCCATGATTTCCATCGCATCGCTGGCATATTCGAGGATAGAGTGGTGCGATTTTGTGGTCACGCACTCTTTCGTGACGCAACATGTTGCCTACGACGTGGTCCTGCCGTGTGTTGGCATGCCCTCAATTGGTGAACAAATGTCTCCATCGTCATCGTCCGATCTTTCTCGATGCAGTTTGCAGCAACCACGCATGCCTGTCTTGCTTCTTGTCCAGTTGTGGTTTCAAGTTCGAGGACGCGGTGTTTCAGGAAAGTCAAGCTCACGGAAGGCACGGTAGAACTGTACTTCTCATTGCCAAGACCGGCAGATCGACCTTCTCTCGCGTCGTTCAAGTCATTACTCATGTCATCTATGTTACAATGTCTATACAAATACCGCCAGATCCGAGATATGCGGATTACGCTGGAACGCCGGAGATTTCTTATGACTTCACGGCCATCGACTGGCCGCCGCTTTTCATGAAAGGACTTCGCTCCCGCAATTTCCTGCCTTGCCAGATGAAGAGCAAGGGAATTATGCTCAGTAACAGCGCGATAAAGCCCAGGAGGGAGCTCGCCCATTGGAAACCTAGATTGGTATACATGCTGGCTTCGGTCAGAGGAAGTGCTGCTGCAACGATTTGCTCGCCAACAACTACGGCAGCGATGGCAGAACCGGCATAATCTGACGCGGCATAGAGATCGACAACGTAGTCCGCAATGACGCAGACGACAATTTGGATGCCAAACCCAACCATTGTCAAACCTATCGCTGGAGCAATCCAAGGGATGTAGTCGAAGGACGTCCAAGCATAGACAAACATCCCACCTGTAATGCCCAAGAAGGAACCCAAAACACTGACATACAGTCGTGCTTCGGGGATTGGTTGACCGGGCTCTTCAGTATTCCTCTTAGCGGACTTCAGGTGCAGGCTGGTCCCGTAAATGGTGATGGGCCAGCCGAGGAGTTCTCCAATCACAACGGCGCCCTGGATGTAACCACACTGCCAAGAGTTCCAGCCGTAGAGCTCTTGGAATACTTGCTCGCTGGACTGCGTGAATGCGAAGACAAGGCCGAGCGCGAAAGCAGACCAGATGGTGCTTGCAAGGAGGACAGGCTCTGTGGAAAGCAAGTACAACGGCCTCGTGACAGACTTGATGAGTCGTTGTCTGACTTGAAGTGCATGAGTCTCCTCAGCTGTGTATATCGGCTTCCCAGTTTCCTTGCGTATGCGCCGAGCTTCGTTGCCCAGAATGGTATGACCTCGCGTCTCCGGCAAGAAGATGAGATACACTGGAGCCATTGCGCCGTATACGATCAGCTGAATGTAGAAGATCCAGCGCCAATTTCCAATGAATTGCATGACGGGAGAGAATATCACAGGTCCTGCTGTGTTACCAGTAACATAAAGCAAGATGTAGAGACCGACAGGAACGCTACGAGCTTCGTCGGTTTCCCACATGTCCGGAATGGCACTCGCTATCGTGTTGGCGAGCACAGCCACGCTGCCGCCAGCGATTATCCTCGTTACGATCAACGTGGCAAAATTCTGTGCAACTGCCTGCGGTATCATCATTGCTAGGAAGAGGCCATAGAAGGACAGATATGGACGTCTGACGCCAAAGTCCTCGAGCAAAGGTAAGAAGAGCACGAAGAAAGCGCCACCCATGTTCCAGCTGAACACCATCCAGTATGTATTGCTAAAAGTAGCACTGTCCTCGATGTTGAACTCAGTGCTGATCTCCTCAGCTGCTATGGTAATAGCCGTGCCATTGAGAGTAAGGATAAATGTGCCAAAGAGAGTGAGAGCAGCGGTCATCCATTTGCGAGTGCTACTCCAGTTGTATGGACTTCGTGGATCATCGGGGCCATTCCAGTCGAGTATTGTGGTTTCATCTTGTTTAGATTGTGGTGAGGTGATCTTGGAGCTAGCTGGACTCGTCTCGGGTTCCAGTTTCGGTGGATCAGTATGTGGTCCTAAAGTGCTGTCTGCCTGTTGCCACTTTCGGCCACGGCCTTCTTCGAGAGTGCTCATGCTGAAGGAGAGTAAGGACAAGCACAGCGAAGCAAAGCAAAGACAACCCGGTCGTTTGTGACAAGAAAGATGCAAGCAATGTGGAATGTACTTGGTACCATTAGCCCGAAGAAGGAGAAATTTTACGACGTATTAGCAAATGGAAGACCGCCAAAGCAAGCAGTCGATGGCGACGGGAAATAGTGGAATCCTCAAACCATGTAGGCGTCTCCGGTCCCAAGACGCTAGTTTTGTTGCTTGTTCCATCACTTAATTCGCATTACCCACTCCGAACCAACAATCGTATTGGTTGCATGGACTTTTTGTCGTCTTTCAGCGTGTGTTCTTCCGCTTTGAACCGGCTGAATGCAGATGCGCCATTGCACGCCGCGTGGTGATGAGTACATATCGAGAGCTTCATGCCAACGTTGGGCCTTCAGAAAAATGTCGTCTATGGTGACCTGACAATGATGCGGGTGATGCGGTTGAGAAGAAATCGGGACAGACGTCACCATCTTCCGTTCGCGGAGGTGGGTCGTCCGCCAAGTCCGTGCACATGCCAAGCTCCAATGGATAAGCGACGAACGATAAGCAGTTGATGCTGCCAGTGCTTCACTGATACCGCATCTCATCTCGTGGTTCAACGAAGCAGACATAGCAGAAGATGGGAGCCAACTATGAGCACGCGAGAAAGCTCATCTACGACGCCCACAACGAAGATCCGAACAAAGTCACGCGCTCCGATGGCACGGAGGTCCCGTACGAAACTCATTACTCAGAGCAGATGGAGAGATATCTCCAGGCTCGTGCACCCGAAGCCTCAGAGGTCTTGAAGCTTGCGATATGCGGCCAGCACTTCCGCCGATGGGAGGTCCCTCGATCTCAATTCCCCATGACGAAGATAGGATACCACTCATGGAGGACACATCTCAAGAAACGTCAAGCCAAGCTTGTGGGAGAGATCCTTGAGCAGTCCAGCTACCCCAAGGCCGATGTGAAAAGATGCATCGCTTTGGTTGAAAAGGAGGGATTGAAACAAGGCGAACCTGAAGTACAAGTGCTGGAAGATGTTGCGTGCCTCGTATTCTTGGATGATCAATTCGATGAGTTCAAGGAGAAGCATGATGAGGACAAGATCGTTACAATTTTGAAGAAGACGTGGGTCAAGATGTCGGAAGAAGGACATCACCTGGCGCTGCAAATACCCATGACTGAAGAGTGCAAGGCTCTGGTGGGTAAGGCTCTCGAGTCTACTTGATGCGACTCTGATCCCATCCGCCATGACTCGCGCGGCTCGATGTCCGGCATGACATGCCGCGTTTTCATGCAATCAAGCGAAAGTCAAAAATCAGATCGCCGCACTCCCCGCCGGGTGCGGCTGACACTTCCCACGCACTCGCACGCCTGACCGCTACTACATAGCCTCGCGACGTCAACATATTCACCAGCATGACTTCGACGAACGTCCTCGTCTGACGGCAACGGGCACTATCGCAAGAGATCGTGCGATCCAGCAACAACCAGGTTGGCCACTACGGCTTCGGCATGCAGGTAGACGAGACGCCAAAATCAAGCGGCCCGGACTAGATCAAAGTATAAACCTGCTCGAGCATCTGCAGCTGCAAAATGGGTCACCACAGTGGCCACTCAGAGCTCAGATGTGGTTGAAGGTTCCTTGCACAGTGGTCTGTAACCAAACTCTCGAATTTTCTGTTACCCGCGCTGTGCGCGAAGAGCGCGCTCAGCGCGATAGCCGCCATTATGGACATTCAGTTGTCCTGAACGAAGACGAACAACTGCTATGTGGCCTCTCTCAACTGGACTACCGAGCCCGGCATGCACGTAGACGAAAGGTTATCCCACTTCAGCCAAGCAGGATCAGCGCTTTGAGCCTCCTTCCAGATGGCATGGTGCTCGACTGCTGGTTTCGAAGAGCGCCCTCAGCGCGTTAGCCGCCAGAATGGACATTCAGTTGTGCTTGACAAGGACAAACAACCAGAACTTTGTGTCTGCCATGCGGACTCGGTCTCTATACCGAGCCCGGCATGCACGTAAACGAAACGTTATCCCACTTCAGCCAAGAAGCACCAGCTCCTTCCAGATGGCAATATATCGCACACGCTGTCTACTGTGCCGCTACCCATCAGTATCAGGCAACACGATTGGCGACGTTCTGTCCGTTAGCATTATTCAGTAACCGTGCACAGCGCATTTGACGCATTAGCCGCCATTGTTCATGGGAAATCATCAGGCGCGGACTGATAACAATAACATCGGCTGGCTCACAGATGGCAGACCTTATCACGAGTAGGACCATTTACATTGACGTTCCTAGCTGCTGCCTTTCTTCGACAGTCGTGAACCTAGAGTTCTCTACCTCGTGCCAGTCGTGGTCCGTTGAAAACACCAAGAGCCGAATAGAATTATACATAGTAACACTCGGGTTACGAAGATGGGGATGGCAAAGTGTCGCCGGACACTGCACATTGCATTGATCTCCTTACTGCAGCAATCCTACTCATATCTCAACCCATGCACGAATGTTGCGAGGCCTGACGTGGGGGTGTGTCAACTTTCGCATTAACAGTGGTCTCCTTCACAAGCAGCGTGGGCGTGAGCGCCATAATTTCGAGCACGTGGCCTGCAGAACTGCGATCGTGCGTCGGGCAGGATCACTTCCTGTAGTACTGAATCATCACACCGACACGCACGATCAGCGAATCTACGTCGTGCATGACAAGTCTTGCAGTTTGGCTCCTTTGCACCCGGCTGTATCATCCACTCCCCACTACCACCCGCGGGCTTTTAAAAAGTCGCAAGGTCGATCAGTGTCAGGTCTATGGGTGAAGTGTAGAGTTACCCCTTTGATATATCTCCTCTCAAAGTCGGCGGCTAGAACGCCTATGCCGCAACACTCGGCGGCTGCGTTTGTTTGTGAACCTACTTCAATCTGCATGTGGGATTGCATATCCCACTGCCCTAGTACTCAGAAGCCATACAAATACGCCCACCCTCCCTCCCAAAGCAGCATTTCTCCCCTCTCACTCCGGCTTCCTCGGCTTCCTATCAGCCAAAACAGTAGCAAACATCGCCATCGCCTGCATGTTCACCTCCGCCGGAACAGGCTGATCCGGTTTCGCCAACTGACTCAACAATTTAAAATAATTTATATAAAAACTCGGGGTACTCGTGAAGAAAATTTTCGCTTCTTCATCATTCGGATTACTGAAAGTATGAGGAGCTCGAATTGGTACGACGATATAATCGCCGACTTTTGCGTCGATGATCTTTTTGTCGGAGCCTGAGGAGGTTGGGTCGGGGACGTGGAAGCGTACGCTGCCGGCTGTGATGTAGAATGTTTCGTCGTGCATTTCGTGCCAGTGAGGTGGCGGGCCGGGGGTTTTGGGGGGTAGTGTTAGTTCGGCTACGCCGATGCGGTTGTCTATGAGCGATGGTCATTAGCATGATTTACAGTCTTCTTCGCATTGTGAGAGCTGTACCTGTGTGAGAGCCATCTTCCAGCACGCGACATGTGATTGGACCGAGCTTGAAGACTTCACCTGCTTTTGCTTCGATGAATTCGATGTCTTTGTCGGGCACTGAGACTAATCCGGCCATCTTGGAGCTTTTCTTTGCACCTGCGGCTGGTGGGGTGAAGGTGAAGTCGATGAAGACGGACGCTGAAACACGAAATGCTGCAGAAATGGTCTGGTTGAGTTCGGACTTTGGTTATTCTTGGCTTCTTTAGGATCTCTCGAAGATCTCTTGTTGCGCAACTGTCTTCTGTGTGGCGCTCATTTTCGCTGTTCAGTGCTGTGATTTTTGGCAGAGCTTGGGGAAGGTGCAAAGCAGTGCTCGGTACCGAAATTTGTGTCACAATACATGTGATCGAATTCGGCTCTCCAACGAGTGAGCAATATGGCCCGAATGCGATGACATATCTGCCAGCTCGAGTAAATGTGGCGATGCACAGAACTTGCAAAGTATGGACAGCGAGAGGAGACTACATTTATACGACCATGTAATGTTGGGAAATGTGTGCCTCAGGCTTGATGACGAGCTCTCCTACTCCTACTGTCCTGCTACATGTATCTGCGTAGCAGTAAGGGCAGTCGTCGCTGCCTTGAGCGCTTATGGTCGCCATTGCAATTCAGAACCTCTTCCTTGATGTCTTCCCACCAGCATCATAACCGGCCTCGTCATCATGTTGGCCTGGAAATCCGATGGCAGATGCGCAGGACCAAGGATGGCGGGCAGCATATCGTACTCTTCGACTATGCTCTAAGTGTGCTTCCCAATCACTATAACATTTCTCGACATGGGGAGACTTCACGGGCCTCGTGACGCCTAGTCCAGTCAGAGCACCTCAGACGATGCTACGCTCATTGCAGTAGCCCAAATCCAGAGTACCGGATGGTAGTAGACGGCCAGCCTGAATTCGCTCATGTGCTCGTGAAAGCCTCACCAGAAACTTCGACCACGATCTTGCCCTTCGCCCTCCCAGTCTTCAACTTCTCAAAAGCTTTCGGCGCATCCTCAAACTTAAACTTCTCGTCAATGACAGGCTTGATCTGGCCATCTTGCATCCATTTGCCTATGGCCGCAAGGTCGTTCGAGTTGATGTCTGCCATGAGCGTGGTAATCTTTCGTTGGCCCCCACCGAGAAAGCCAGGCCAAAGTCTCATTGCGATCATGTGCCAAAAGGTTTTGAATGCGATTGGCGCTCCCACCATAACGTATACCGCTCCTGGATTGGTGTACTGATGCGCTTTATAGAACAGCTCTGGGCTTGAGCCGACATTGTCGACTACATGGTCGTACTTTCGCCCGTTCGAGATGAGAGTCTGCAGGATGTTGGATTGCTTGTAGTCAATGACTTCGTCGGCTCCAAGACTCTTGCACAGATCAACGTTGGCGGTTGAGCAAGTGGTAGTGACATAAGCACCACCAGCTTTTGCAATTTGAATCCCGAAGACGCCCGTACCGCCACTGCCACCATTGATGAAGATACTGCTGCCTGTCTTGACGTAGGGTATGATCGATTGATAAGCGGTGATGCCACAGATGGTCGCTGAGGCACCAGCGACTGGTGACACGCCTTCAGGTAACGCTGCTACACGCGAATCCATAGCAACGGTGTGTTCGCCTAAGGCGCCGCCTACAATGCCTCCAGCACCAGCGCCACCGAAGACGAGCTGACCTGGCTTGAACGTTGACCCATCTGCCGGCTCTATGATACGTCCAGCGAAGTCCACTGAAGGTGTAGCCGGGGTCTTGAGAGCTAAGGTGGTGAAGCCTGGTACTTCAGGCGCCTTGTAGTCGACCGGATTGAGTGCCGCAGCGAGGACCTGAACTAAGTGTTGATCGGGCTTGCGTCGTGGAAGTGGTACATCGGCATTAAGCTTTAGATTCTTCTCCAGGCCACCTTTGGTGCTGCTGAACTGCCTGCACGTGAGATTGTATCAGTAGTGTTGCCAGCGTTCAGGAGAAACTGAGCCTACCAGGCGCGAGATGTTTTAGTGTCAGACATGGTTTGGAGTGTGGAGTGGCAACCGCGATTAGACCCGCGTCAAGAACACGATGATGTGAAGGAAAAGAGAGTATGGATGAGGACGAGGCATGCGTCTTGACAGCTCAAGGTACCTCTTTTGAACATGTTGTGTCGTAGTCGTCATTGTATCACTGTCGCAAGATCCATGCTCTGTCTCGGCGAAAAATTGTCCCGCCGAACAAGTTTGCCTACCGCGAGTCCGGACATAACGCCCCAGGCTTCAACTTCTATCGTAGGCATCGCTGCTGGCGGGCAATTGTGTGTTCCTGCATCTCCTTTGGTGCTCTGCGGACGCGTCCTTGCGTGCAAACGGCGACGGACTTTGTTCAGGAGACCAGCATCCGGCCGCTGCCTGTCCTTGCTCTTACGCTGTAGCCTTCTCTGCTGTTCCAGCCGGATCCATCGATACGACGAACGCGACAAGGCTCCGAGCGTCCGGTGCTGAGGAATCAGTACGAGCAGTGAAATGTGTGCAAGCTGCTCGCTCGGCGAAGTCGAACAGCAATTCCCGTGCATTTGAAGCGTGTCGAAGTCGAAGTCAAAGCCGTCCGGCCGGACGAGCGAAATCTGCGAATCGTGCCTCAGGCCTGAAGCCGAATCGCCCGCCGAACTGCTGGCGACGATAGGGCTTTCGTTCCTTCATCCCTCTCACTTCCCTTTCCTTTTGGATGTCAAGAGGAACACAAATACAATTATGGCACAGACTGCGAGTGCGGCCTCAGGTTCTGTACGATAACCATATCACCGATCTGCCCGCAACATGGTACAGGCATCCCAAATGTCAAGTTCTATCGCAACGATAGACGCGTACCACAAGTTGTGTTTTCGCGAACTGGCTCAAGTCGACAAGAAATAGTTTGGTGGCCTCATGGTCCTGGATATGAATCACCAGGTCATCCGAAACGTGGCGAATATGGGAAGTTCGAACGCGCGAGAATGGTCATCACGACATGTCTGGTAGGTCCTTCAGGCGGTGTCCTCAAAAAGCTAAAAGCCTAAGTATTTTCACCTAACATATATACTACCGCTCTCAAACGTGTACTTCTCAACTCCACAGCAAGTAATCATGGCAGACACAGAGCCGATATTCTTCTGGCGGGAAAAAGAATCGAATGGCTACCTCTGCCAATACTACCCAGCAACTTTCTGCAACACCGACGACCCCAAAGAACAGCAACATGAGTTCAATTGCGCCGAGCAGTGGATGATGTACAACAAAGCGTTGATCCTGGCCACGCCCGATCCACCTGAAGCACCCAAAAAGCCCACGAAAGGTGCGACTAAATCAGCTCCAGCCCCATTTGACGAAGGTCGTCGAAAGCTGCCAGAAATGATCCTTGCGGAGAAGCAACCGGACAAGCAGAAATATATGGTGCAAATTGTGCCGTTCACGAAAGTGGGTAAGAAGAAATACGACGCTACGAAATTTCAAATAGTCGTGGCTGGCAATTATTACAAGTTCTCTCAGAATCCGGAACTCAAGAAACTGCTCATGGCCACAGGAGAACGAGAATTATTCGAAGCTGCGCCGAACGATCGGACTTGGGGCATTGGGTTCAAAGCAGAGGAAGCAAAGAGGCATACAGACAGAACTTCCTGGGGGTCCAACCTGCTCGGGAATGCTTTGATGACTGTTAGGGAGAGGTTGCGTGCTGAGGAGGCGGAAGAACAAGGAGATCCGAATGTTTGACGTTCGAGCAAGCGGCGAAGGCGAACGTCTAAGACTGTGATCCTGTTGTTGGCTCTTGTGTTTGCTTGCTGTTTCTTTCACATGCGCGAGATACACTACACTATTCAAAAAGCTGCCACAGAGCCAGCACGTTCCAATTCCTTCCTGGACGCATCCCGATCACGAGGAAGAAGGACAATAACAAGAGGAACACCTCCAACAACCACTCCTCCTTCTACATCCGGCAACAACAACACAAAAACTCAAACCGTGTCCAACCCAAGCAACCACCAAGTCGAAATCCGCATCGGCAGCCCACCCCGCAACGTCGAAACATCGCTCTACATCGGCATCCTCCCCCGCTCCGCCTTCCAACGCTTCACCCGCGCAACCTGGACCTTCCACCACGAATACAACAACAACACCTTCTGGCTCCCTTTAGGCACCGAACCTCACTCTGCTCAAACTCTCCTCCGCTGGATGTCCTGGAACATCAACCAACCCCAACCACTCCCCATCCATCTTCCCGAAACATTCGAAGAAGGGGTAGAACTGGCTTTTGCGGCGAAAATGTTCGAAATCAAGTGGCATTTTACGGAAATTTTGAAGGAGGGGTTGATGGGGTATATGAGAGGTGCGGCGTTGACGAGTGAGGAGTTTCGCTTGGGGTGGGAGAAGTTGGCGGAGGATGCTGATGTTGCGGGGGCGTTGGTCGGAGGGTTGAGGGAGAGGTATCGGGATGGGTTGAGGTGGGGGTTTGAGGGGGTGCCGGAGAGGAAGATGATTATGAAGTTTGCGGAAGTGAAGGGGATTTTGATTATGTGGTGAGAAGGGGCGAGGCAATGATCTGGGAAAGATTCTGTATGGCATGTCTTGAGACCGGGGCTCTGTGCACTGCTTCTTCGGATGCGGGCAGTGGATGTATTGGTGTTTTGAGAGCATTTTAACAGTGATATCATTTATGCGGCTTGACTTCGAAATTTGGACACCCTGTGTCTTGCAATTTCCTGCTCTAGCAGTCTCTCATTCTAACGCCTTGAAAGCGTCCGCATTCGCCGCACGACTTCGCCTGCACCCCAGCCTTCTCACTTATGTGAAGATGATTCCTCCATCAACGACTTGAGTTTGTCCAGTCACATAATCGCTGTCCGGGCTACCCAAGAAGCTCACCAACTTTGCAACATCCTATTGTGGAACCATTAGCACAGCCTTCCAGATTCCAGCCCCACATATCTACATGGACTTACCTCAGGTGTGCTAGTCCTCTTCATGGCAATCAATTCATTGGTATACTTCTTGATCGTGTCACCTTTCTTGACGCCTGACTTCTCGCCTAGCTTTTCATCGATGAGGTCCCACATGGCTGTTCCCACAATGCCTGGCGCATATGCGTTGACGGTGATGTGATGCTCGGCCATCTCCATCGCATAAGCTTGTGTCAGACCACGAACAGCCCATTTCGACGCGGAGTAGTGAGAGAGAAGAGCGAAGGGCTTGAAGGCGACGATCGAGGCGCACTACTCGTGATGATAGGTCAGTGCCGAAGGCAAGAGGTTCAAGGCTGCACAGGATGAGGACTGGTGAAGCTCACGCCAATAAGTTTCGCTGGGGCTTCAGCAGTCGCATTCCCTTGCTTGATGATCTGCTTTGCCGCAGCCTGGTAGCAGTTGTTCACTCCAAAGACATTGACGCGGAACATGTTCTCGAAGTCCTCTTCTGTCAAGTCGAGCAGTGCTTTGACTTGGGCAATGCCTGCATTCGCGACCATAGTATTCAGTGGTCCGAGCTCATTGACTGTATGCTGAATCATGTCCTCGACTTCTTTCAGCTTGGAGACATCTGCAATGGCGACTGTAGACTTTCGGCCCAGTCCTTGAATCTCTTTTGCAACTTCTTCGGCGCCGGACTTGTTGGCTGCGATATCGTTGACTGCTACATCGTAGCCGTCTTGAGCCAAGCGGAGAGCAACGGCGCGGCCAATGCCTCGAGATGAGCCTGTGACAATTGCTACTTTGCCCATGCTGGCGATTGAAGTTGGTTTATATTTCTTCGTATTTCAGCAGTGTCGCAGGTCAGTGAAGCAAATGTGTAAGAGCAATCTTGACTCCTTCTGTAGAAACAAGTACAACGACAATGGCGAGTAGGACGAAGCTTAAACTGAAGGGCATCTTGTTTGTTTTATACTTGCCAATGTAGGAGGATCGACCACAGCTGCACTTACTGGTCTCGGCCGCGATTAACGAGTGTTGGTACGCGTGAGGAGGTACTCCTCTTCTGCAACAAGAGGGACTCGTCCAACCGGTAGCTGTGGTTGCCTCGTTGAGAATTGCTCCGTTGCACCGAGATGTATACCCTTTGGGGGAACGCGGAGGAAAGCCGCATGAGGGCATCATGATGAGGAGTAGAGCTCGCAGCTGTCAAGTAGAGGAGCTGCAGGGTTTCGGGAGACGATATCCTGGGTCGTCTGACATAGCTCTCGCAGTAGGCAGGTCAGCCGAGCATACTTGAATTCTGGTGTTCTACGACCATTTCATCCTGGTGAGGTCAAGTTATAACAACATGCTTTGCATGCAGTGTCCGGACGATAACGGCTGCGCGACCATGATGTCCACTGTTCACGCCGGGACGAGCGTGAAGTATCGGAGCTTCTACTTTGCTGGTGACTCGGTGTCTGTTCGTGCCTTCTTCGCGTCTCAGCTGAGCTGGTACGATTGCAGTGAACTCTGACGACAGACAGTTGTATTCAGGCTTCAATCGTCGGCTGGCACTCAGTTTGAGTAAGTCGACATTGTGCGCTTACGCCGGATTTGTCTCTCCGATAATCAGGAACTCTGCCCGCACATCGCCAGCCAGCACTATAGGCAGCCCGTCAGGCTCTTTCAATGGCGCACGCTGTCCAGCCGGACTCATCACATCCTCTTTCCTACCATGCCACCACAAGGTGACCACATGGCCAACTTTCGGCTCCAGCCGATAGCGATGACCACGCGTCAGCACATGTTCGCCGTGGTGCTCTCTTTCGGCAAGATCAAAGCTACCCGTGAATACTGTAGTCTCGCCAGGCTCAAGGGTTTGAAAGTATACGTCGTCGCTGCCTTCCAGCTCGCTGCTGAAAGGTGCTCGTTTCTTCTTGGCTCGACAGACGCCAATGGTCGCGTTGGATGTGAGGTCTGTACATCTAAAGCCCTGCGTGTAAGCTAGATTTGTATCAAAGATCGTGCCCCAGATGAAGATGGTGACGGGACTGCTGTGACGGAGTGTTGCTGTGACTGTCAGACTGGCAGCTTCGCCAAGAACGAGATTCGAGGGTTCAACAGAGATCGTCGCTCGAATAAAGTGCTGCGCAGAGATGCTGTTTGACATGCTACCCGCCTTTTTACGCCGATACGATTTCCCGTAGAAAGGTCTTGAACGCTCGCGAGTGTTTTGTAGAAGGAAGAGTAGGGGAAGGTGTAGCGAAGCCAAGTGAATTGGAGGGGTTCGTGCAGGGCTCGGGATTTGTTTCTGGGCGCGTCCTCCACCACGCACGCGTCTTCCAGCTCTGTGGAAACCACATACCAGCCACCATGTCTCGACCAATCCTCACTCAGCCGCCACGAGGCTTGACACTTACAGAAGAGCTTGAGAAGCTAGAACAGCAAATCACCCTGACTTTGCAAGAAATCGACAGCAACTTCAGCAAAGCCCACCGCATCGTCACCAGCAGTATCCTGCCAATCGTTGAGGACTATGCGAAACACAGCAATGATGTCTGGGAGGGCTCCAAGGTACGCTATCAGGCACAATGCCAGTTCGTCGGCTGATTACAGCAAGTTCTGGAAACAATTCTTCGAGGCCTCGGCCAACGTCTCGCTGTCGGGATACGAAGAGAATGCCAACGAGGACAACACGCAGACCGACGCTACACAGTCCTTCCAAACGTCGACAGATCACGATGAGAGCACTATAACCGGAGCGAGCGCGCAAGATGACGAGGAGGAGTTCAGCACAGAATCGCCAACACAAATGACGGGCGTGCAGACAACACCCAAACTGCCAACTTCTGCGTCAAAGTCGGGCGGCAAGACAAGACAAGGAAGCAGGCCAGCATCTTCATACAGGTCACCATCTCCGCGAAAGTACACTGGTAGGAACCCGCGAGGCGGCAATACGCCAGGCACCGACCAGCCCAGCACGCCGCGCATGTCTACCGCGAACGATATGGACTCCTCTCCTTTCCAGCCTCAATCTGCTTTCGAACCACCATCTGCCTTCCGGACACAGCAGGAGAACCACGACCCTCTCATGCACCGCGTGCTGGACAAGAATTACCGCATCCAGGCGACACCCATGACCCAGCGTCGACAACATCAGTCTCAAGCCGCTTCAAAGCCTGCTCCAGCTCCGGCTACGGCTACCAAGAAACAGCTCTGGGACGACTCACCTCAGTCCTCGCCCGAAACGTCTGCGCCTCAACTACGAAGCGAGCTTTTCTCGCCCGCCAAACCAGCACCACGAACCCCCGGCGTATCTGTGCTCACTCCGGCAACTCGAAAGACAGGTCCTCCACCACCCACAACATCTACAGGGAAACAGCTCTTCTCCGCACAAGACAAAGCATACGCAGCGAGCAAAGACCGCACGCGTGCAAGTCATATGTTCGAGGACAGTGACGAGGATGAAGACTTCTTTGCCGATATCAGTCCGCCGAAGACGATGCAATTTCATGTCCCCCAGAGCAGACTCGTGCAGACGCCTGCAAGGGAGGCGAGCAAGAAGATTGTGGACGATCTGCTGTTGACTGCGGGAGCTGATGCGACGGATGACATTGAGGACGACTCTTTGGAGTTTGAAGTGCCTAGTCCGAGTGTGGTTAAGCAAGGGTGGCAGATAGATGACGATACGTTCTAGAGCGTGTCTGATTGTGCCACGGTGGTGGGCTCAGCTGCCATTTAGCAGCCTGCGACAGAGTCCGTATCGTTCCGATGTGCCTATATGTACAGTCTCGCTATACAATAATTGGCCAGCCTCTGCGCTCGTCGTTTGTTGTCCTTTCCATGCACATTGGCATATCGTACACAGCTTTCTATTCGCAGGATCGCGGAGTTATGGTCATCGCAGATCCATTTGCGTGACTTGTCCAGTCCCTGCTTTATCTCTTTGTTTCGACACTGTACAGTATGATACATCCCTTCATGGCCTTTCTCCCTCGATGCTCTTATTCGTCCAGTCTAGATGAGGTTCTTGACGGCGTCAACTGCGAACGGTGCTGCCATCCTTGTTAGTTTAATGTCGTGTCTGAGTTGCGATCAAGGTGATGCATACAGAAGTATAGCACAACACACATGCTGACCATGCCGAAGATGGTTTGTCTGGCAGCCGCTTCTTGCTGCGCGAGCTCTTCGGGTGTGGGTTGTGGTGGTGCTATAGGAAATTCGTCAGTTTCATACTCTTCCCGGTCGAATTCAAGAGCCGACTGACCGCCGAACATGTTTGCGATTGCTTGTGAACTGTGTTGAGAGTGATGAGAGTAATTGTCTGTGATTGTGGTGACGAGTGATGAAGTGAATCTTTTGGCCCGATTCGGCGCGACTTTTGCGGAGGCTCGTCAAAGGGAACGTCAACCGCGTCGCGACCAACTTCCATCACCACGACCACCTTCTCTCATCACCTCCAACACACATCTTGTTGCCGCCTGGAATCTATTTCATCCTTTCGGAGACCACTGGAAAGCGCGACGTTCACACCGCCACCATGGAGGATCTCGAGCAGCCAGAGACGCCGACCATCAACAGCCGCGAGGACGAGCCAGAGGGCAACAATGACCAAACCGACCCTCTGCGCCCGGAGATAGAAGAGGAGAACGATGCGGGAGGAACGCCCCCAATGGCTGATCCTACCGCCGACACCGAGGTGCAGGAGGAGCTGCCCACGAACGGCGCAGATGAGGCCGACGACGAAGCAGACGGCGGCAACCCAGCCAACACCGACCGGGCAGTCCAAGACGACGAAGATGACGATTCAGAACTAGAAGAGCTGGACGAACAGGAGTTCGCCGACTTTGACGCCACGGCGCTGAACATCCCAGATAAGCCGATTGATGTGGACGAGAGCAATGTTGCTCTACTGGGTGTGCACAAGCGCAAGCGAACGGCCGAAGAAGAGGCTGAGCGCGAGCGAAAGAAGAAGAAAAAAGAGAAGAAGAGAGACAAGCCAAGTCGGAGACGCAGAGGCGAGGATGAAGATGACTTTGAGGGCGGGCCAGAAATGGATGGCAAGCGCTCGAGAAAAGGCAAGGGATCAAAGCCGAGTGGCAGCTCAAAGAGGGAGAGGACGCCGATTGATCTTGACAGCCTGCCACCGGATGAGCGTGAGTACATGGAACTCCCGAGGTTGAACACATACTAACAGTTGCAGGCCGTCGTCGTGCACTCGATGCGAAGATTGATGAGGCTCTCAAGACACATCGTGTGTCTCGCCGCAAAGCCGCCCAGGACATGGAAGAGCGCGCCGACCAAGAACTTTCAGAAATGCGTACTCGCATCGCTAAAGCTTGTGAGGCTGATGCTCAGGCTCGACAGCGAGGCGAAGTCGCCGTTCAGAAGCTCAAGATTCTCCCCGAGGTCGTGGAGCTCATGAACCGCAACACCATTCAGTCGCAACTCGTTGATCCGGATATCAACATTCTCGAATCTGTCCGATTTATGCTCGAACCCGCCGATCAAGATGCGGCCTTGCCAAACTACCAGATCCAGCGTGAGCTCTTTGCTATCCTCTCAAAGCTCAACATTGGAAAGGAAGCACTCGTTGCTTCAGCTATCGGCAAAGTCGTGCTTTTCTATACCAAATCATCCCAACCACAACCAGACATCAAGAGACAAGCCGAACAACTCGTCGCAGAATGGACCCGCGTTATTCTGAACAAGGGCAAAGATGCTCGCTCCAAGCCTGTCGAGACGAGAGGCTACGACCCATTGGTTGCGGCTGCGAGCCAGAGAATGGGAGGTAGTCAAGTTGATCGTACTGCAGTGGCTGCAGAGAAGCGGAAGAGAGCACTCGAACTTCCTGGACCAGCGAACCGAGCGAGAGTATTGGGTGGTGTCGGAACGTACAGCATTGCGCCTGTCAGTAATTTGAGTAACGCTCAAGGTGTGAGTGCGCGAAAGACGCAGGGCGCGAACGACGAGGCATTTAGGAGAATTGCGGCGAGGAGTTCGCAGAAGGCTGGAAAGCGGTAGACATGTTAATGGAAATGGTTTTGAGGTGATTCACCAAGGGTGCAGCGAGGCGTAGGGAATGGCACAAGCGAACGTACGGCGTGTACTGCATTGAATAGAAGACAGGGCGGAATTACTTGGCTGCCAATGCCGAACAGAACAGCTTCAGATACTCGATGAACGGAAGGGATGAGCAATCTGTCCCTTCGATATCACTAGCAAGCTACACCATGGCCAATCGACCTTTGGCTCCGGCTTCTTTTTGACAAAGTGTGAAATCCAACATTTTGGCTATATAATCAACACGCCATGTTTCAACGCTATGCAAAGATAAAACAGCAGACAATCTACAAGATATACACGGGCATCCGACTCCCCATCAACCTCGGCGGCAAAATCAAAGCATCCTTCTCATCAAAATCATGCAACAACCACCACAAACTCATCCGGAACATCAACATCAACCAGATCTCCTCCCTCAGTGATCCCTTGCTGACTGAATGAATACTATTCGGCTTCGACACCATACCATTCGCATGCCCATTACCAAGCGCTCCTTTCTCATTATCAGGTGATAATAAAGCCGCAATATTTCCCGTCTTCTCCACAACTCTCTCCCTCACCGATGAGCCTTGAAAATTGATGACTTTCTCTCGGATGACGTGGAAGTAGTGGTACCAGATTTCCTCTTCAGTATCACAATCTCTCGAATGCAGGAATGATTTCGGATCGCTGATTTCTTCGAGTACGACGGAGACGTGGGCGCCAGCGATGAAGAGAATTTGGGTTTCGCCATAGGTATGCAAGAATTCGTTATCGATGGCTGAGATGGCGGATTGCACGGCGTCGCGCATATCGATGGAGATTTCGGAAGGGTTGGACTGCCAGACAGGTTTGAGACTTTCTTGCCAGATGGCATCGATCCAGTTGAGGCGGGCAAGGACGTTGGAAGGAGATTGTGCTTCGTGAATCATGCGGGCGATGTTGCCTTGGAATTCGGATTGGATTTTGCAGGCGCTGAGGTCGTTGAGCCAGGGGTCTGGAGTTGGATTGGGGAGGCGTTTGAAGTTTGTGCCGGGGATGCGGAAGACTTTGCTGAGCATGGCGATCATTTCGAAGGAGACTGTTTTGTTCATTCGTCAGTTCGTGATCTCGCAAAAGGCAGCCTGGAAGAGGGGGCCACTCACCTGATCGAATCACGCTATGCTCCTTCCTCGAGAAGTACCTCTCAATCGACTTTCGATCCAGCTTCAACGACCTCAGCGTCCGCTGCGTCACAAACATATCCTCCCAAGCAGCCTTCTTGGGCTCGAAATTCAGCTGCAAACCATCAAAGATCGTCTGAACAGACCCAAAAAGCATCTGCTTCACAGCCGGACAAGGAATCATCCTATTCTCTGCAAAACTCGCCTTCCCCGTCACAGCAAAAGACAAACTCACCCCCAATCCCCATACAGTCTGCGAAAGCAACATATACCCATTCCCCTCCGCCCTCAAATTCCACGTATCCTGATCAAACGTAACCCACTGCATTCCCAAAAGCGCCGCCATCTCCACGATATGGCTAATATTCGACGTCGCAAACGGCTTCCTCACCGCATCAGGCATCTGATCCCAACTCCTCTTCTTCTCCTGCACCTGCACAACCATCGTCGACGGAACCTCCCTCATCATCGACGAATCCCTCGCTGTCTTCTTCGAAGACCCCAAATCCCACTGCCTTCCCTCAACCTCAGCCTTCTGCAAAGCCTCCATAAAAACAACCCAACTCGCATGCTCATCATCAGCCGTATGAACTTTCATAGCTCCAGCTTTCGCATCATCTGCTTGCTGACTCGGAACTCTACAATGCGTTTCCTCATAACTTTTCAAAGATCCGGTAATATTATACACCGGTCGTTCAGGAACAGGGCCTCGAGTGTTATTTGGCGGAGCGACAAAAAGAATTGGAGTCCGCATCATGACTTTGAATCGGAATTCATTCCAGGTAAAAACTCGTTTGGTTTTTTTGCCCCAGAGGCCCATGATGCCTTCACCGCATAATCGATAACCTTCTGCGCTGGCGGCGAATTGTTGTAGTGCTTGTGCTGTTGCGATGATGAAGGCAACGATGGCGATGACGAGCGATACGATCGCTATTATTAATTCGTTGTCGGCCATGTTTTCATGCTTTTGAGGGTGTAGCTTGGCTGAATAGCACTGTTTGCTGTTAGGGCAATTTATGTCTTGGTTCAAGTCTTGGCCCGGAGAACAAGAAGTTATAGTAGAGATATATCAGCGGCTCTTGAGGAACACAAAGATTGATGCGAAAAGACCGGTGTACAGACCCACCGCCACATGTTTGTAGTTTGTTGGTCACTTTACCGCTGAGGTTCAGCTGAAGGTCCCCCTAGTTAATCTGGACTGCGCCATAGCCGCTGATCATGCATAACGCCGCAATCCTTCGTGTGGAGTCACGTGTAGGGCTCGGCCAATACTGCAGGCCGCCAAGTTCGATGACTGGTCGACATGCACTATTCCGCGAGCCGCGTCTCCATCAAACAACGAATTGAAGGAATGATCCAATCTCCTACTTGCACAGCTCACGGGAGCAGGCTAGATGTGAATCGATGCATTCTATCGTTCTGCATACAAACGCAAGGAAAAGCAAATTACTTATGAATAATCAAACCGATCAGGCATGATGATCGGTGCTGCGAGTGTCCATCCAAAAATGCCGTAGCATACCCACGCACACACGATCTTGACCCAACTTGCCCAGTACGTTCTGCCCACTGGCACAAAATCGCCCTTTTCGATGTTCTTATCACCTCCGATGTTTTGTGTCAAGAGTGTAGCAACCCAGGCAGTGGCCAGCATGAAGATGATGTGGTACAAGGAATAGTTGTACTGCGTGCGTTGCTTCTCATCGTCATTCTTGTGCTTAGCGCTTTCTTCGTCGTCTTCATCATCGCTCTCGTCCAGGGCAGAAGCAGGAAGTGCGCCGGATTCGACTGCTCTTCGCAATGCTTCCTGTCGCATGGCGCGGCGGGATTCAGGTTGAGTGTCGACCAAATCATGGCTATCGGCTTCGTTGTCGAGTGAGACATACCCCTTATTACCAGCGCCCATTGCGAGACCATATGTAGCCGCACGTGTGGTGGTGTAAGCACAAGTGACGAATGTGACAACCGCTCCCAGGACAATGCTGGCCTTGCGCGACCCGGCAGCTCTGACCAGTGGATTGCAGCTCTTGTCATCCGGCTCCATTGCTACCGCACTGAATGTGAGATAAGTGCAGTAAATAGCCACCACAGCAGCCTGAGCAAGTCCAGCGCGTGGGTTGTTCGCCTGAATGGTTGGGTGAATTGACATGACACTGATGCCAACCAGGAAGATCAAGTTCATCGTGATCGCGGCCTGATTCATGCCACATCCGCTGTTGGCGAAGAAAATGTACATGACAATCGTCAGGGCGATCGCTCCGAGATACATGCCCAAAGTCGAGCCGATAAGGATTCCGCGCCACAGTCCAGAATCCGTGTCCTCAATCTTGTCAATGCAGAACTCCGCAAAGCTATGCGCCAAATCGACCAGCAGGACCAGTCCGAGGAAGAGGAATAAGACTGCTCCGACCAGAGCCACATAATTGCCCCAGACCTCGAAGAACGTGTTCGGGATCAAAAAGCTGAGCGCAATCAAGCCCAACCAAACGATAATTTTCGGGCCCCAGAATCCATTTTGTATCGCCGCCCTCTTGTCCTTTGAACTGTTCACTCCAATCAACAACACGGCCAGTACACAATGAAACAGGCCCAGCGCAAAGTTGATGCGATGCACTGCCGCGAAACCGAAACATTCATGGCCCAGACAATCGACCGTGACGTAGTCCAGTAGAACCTTTTGCAGTTTCTTGACGGCCCAATCGGTGAGCATGACCCAGGAGAGAAGCGAGTTGAGAAGGAGGATGGCGGCGTAGGCGATTCGAGTTGCGATGCTGTTGTTGCATTTGCCGCAGGCAGAGCACACGGCGGAGCATGTTGCGGCACCGCAGCAGCTGGCGCCAAATGTGAGGAGGGTACCCATGCTGGGCACCGCCATCAGCGGCAGCGATAATAGCATGCCCATGATTGCTGATGTTGTGGGCGGTGTTTGGTGAGGTCGGTGGTTTGCGACTGATGACTGCCTGGCCGTCTCGTGTTCGAGAAGCCGCCGCCGAGGAGGACGTCACGGGACAGGGATGGCACGAGCCAAGTGTGCCTGACGGCCTGAGTTTGACTCGGCTTGAGTGATGTCAGTTCAAACCGAAGTACATCTATTGTGGTATACGCATATCATATCATACCCATCGTCCTAACTATTCTTATCTAGATTTCAAGAGTACTCCAGTTTCTCGATCATAGCAAGATCTTCATCGAAGCGTCGTTACCACAACAAGCCGAGCATCCGCCCTCCCTTCACCGTACTCTTCTTACCACCACACGATCCACGTCCAACAACAATGACCCTCCAACAAGAATTCAATTCATGGTGGGCACCGAAGTCCAACGAAGAAGCCCCAACCTCATCTGTCCCTCAAATCGGCTCTCAAGCTCCTCAGCCCGTTATTCTTGCCCTCCAGTCCAACCAACGCACAGTCCTCGCCTTCCTCCGCCATTGTGGGTGTCCGTAAGTTTGAAAAAGAAAAGCTCCAACGATTCCACTCATTTCGCGTTCAAAGATCTAATGAATAATCAACGTTCTCAGATTCGCCGAGAAGACTTACCTCCTCCTCCGCGAAGCAGCCAAGACCCACCGCGACATCGACTTCCTAGCAATCTCACACTCCGACCAAACTTCCACAGATAAATGGTTGAAATCGATTCCGCAATTCGGTAGTGAACCGGCGAATTTACGGATCATAGTCGATGCTGATAGGGTATGAGCCTTCAGCCTTCCCCCTTCTACATTTCGTTTCATATTCATGCTAATACGCATTGCCATTTCCTAGGAAGCCTACAACGCCTACGGCCTCAGCGTCTCCTCCTGGGGCCACGTCCTCTCAGCAGGAAGTATGTGGAACGTATGGAATTTAGCCAAGAATGAAGGGATCAGCAATCGACCGACGGAGAGTGGGAGTCGATGGCAGACGTCTGGGACTTTTGCGATAGGGGAGGATGGGAGGGTGAAGTGGGGTGGTGAGTTGAATTGCGTCTGCCCTTCCAGTGTGTTGTGCGCTTTGCTGATCTGTGATATCGGAATATAGGAGCTGCGAATCGTGCGGATGACATTCCGAATTTCGAAGAAGCTGTTAAAGCATTGGACAGTGGGAAAGTGGAGACAAAGTTGTGAAATTAACGGCGAGTGTCTTGGAGGACAGTACAAGTTCCAGTGTGAAGTAGCGAACGCGATGTATGAGAGATACCCATGAATTTGCGTAAAAATTAAAGCCTGGTTCAGGTTCGTGATTGAGATTAGTATACAAATCCCAGCACGTTGGTAGCACCACGTCTAGTATAGTGATGAGGACCGAAAGCTCAATATCAAATCCTTGGGACAACTCATCAATTTTCGTGGTCTTAGAGGAGGCAGAGGGAATAGCAGGGAACAATGAACATCAGGCACATGAATTGGAATATCATTGCTGTAATACACGATCTTGCAAGCATGTCGATACCACACGTGGACCATATGCCAAGCCAAAGCCTTCTGCAGCGGTCGTTTTGTGTGGCTCTCCAGCGTTGCAATTCTCTACTCATCATCGTTGACATCAATGACAGTCTCCTTCCATTTACGTGCTGGGATGCGACGCTTGAACATGATGTCAATCTCACGGTATGAGCGGTTCTTCATCTCAGGCAAGCCCCACCAGGCGACTGCGAGACAGACAAAAGCGGTACCACCCCTGAATTTCACAATTAGGACATGCTCTCGACATAGCAACGATTTCTGGGACTTACCACACGTAACCGCACTTTCCGGCCAAGTTGGCACCAGTTGGATTCAACATCCAGGAAGCCAAGAAGATACATGGAATCTCGACAATGTAGTAGGTAGCGCGACCCATACCTGTCGTCAGAGGCCTGAGGCGAATGGCAGAAGTCTCTCCAATGATGACCCAGGAAGCAGGAGCCGGTCCTAGGGTGAAGAAGACGGAGACGATCAGACCCAACGATGCCTGTGCCAGGTTGGCGGCGTGAGAGGCACCAAAGGAACCAGCGATACCCAGAGCGATCAGAAGGATAAAGTTGGCGAGGGATCCCCAGAGGTAGATAGAACGACGACCAAAGTATGTGGTCAAGATCCAGGAAAGCATGACGGCGATCCATTGAAGAGCGGAGGTGATCAGACCCAAGGCGAACGCCAGGTTCGAGTTCACACCTGCCTGTCGGAAGAAGTAGACTGCCTGATTGGCGATCAAATTACCCGTGAGGTTTTGCGCAGCGTAGACACCACAAACGATGAGAGTTCGGCGAAGGTCGGTTCCCTTGAACAGTTCGATGTGGTTGGGCTGGGTTTGGGTCTCCTCCATTTCGATGACACGGCGCATCATGGCAATGGTCTCTGGTGTCTTCATCTGATCCTTGCGTCCAAGACGCTCGACCGATTTCGCGGCATCTTCGAAACGTCCTTTGCGAACGAGCCACCAAGGACTTTCGGGCGAGAAGAAGATGAGGATGGCGAGTGGGGTGGGAAAGAGCCACTGAAGTGCAATCGGGATCCTGTTGACCTGCGTCAGTCAAGCTAGCGAAAGGGTAATGGTCAAAGACGTACCTGTAAGCGTCTTCCGTGGTGTTCTCGTTGTAGTGGAAGGCAACACCACCAACAATGATACTTCCAATAGCCCAGAACATCTGCAGCATTTGGGTCGCCGGAGCTCGCAGTTGGATCGGCACAATCTCACTGCAGTATGCGGGAGCATTGGCAATGAAAATACCCCATGGCAGACCCTCGAGGATTTGTGCGGCGAAATAGACGGGGAGCGAGTCTCCAAAGTAGAAGATGAAGATGAATGCATTGAGAGCCATCAAGCCAACGATGTTAGCCCAGCGGTATCCGATGCGACTGGTCAAAGGTCCGGCCAAGAAGACACCAATAAGAGCTCCGAGTTGTCCAGATACTTGGAGTGCTGACTGCCACTTTGTTGCAATGACCTTCTCCCCGGTAGCGGGATTGATCACACCGTAATCCTGGATGAACTATCAAGCTGTTAGCTTGATTGGCTGTTTGCTACTTGGTTTTAGGACACACCTTATCCAGAGCTACGAAATTGCCCATCAAGAAGACATCGTAGGACTCCATGATCTGTACAAATCAGCTTGACTCTTATGTTCCCCGGCTCAAGAAACGCTCACAATCGTGCAGGAGATGACAAAGGCCCAGAAGGAGGCCATAGGGTACGCCTTCAGAGCCTGCATAACCGTCATGTTATGCTCGGCGTCTTCAGCCTCGATGGCACCCGCTCGGTAGTCATCGATCTCGGCCTTGTGGGCGAAGGCCGCCTTCTGCTCGACCTCCGACGTATAGCTAGTCTTTTCGGGATCCATGGCTGCTGGTGTTGTTGCTGGTGAAGTACTCAGTCAACGCAGAAGGAGAAGTAAGGGCTGCAGTCTGCAGAGGACACGAGGTGAACGGGGACCAGGATAGCTTATGAACCACGATATATCAAGCTGACCCCGGGATGTGGACACGGTCGATGAAGCTGCAGGAATTCTGCCGTATAACCATGTGGCGTCGCAGCGGTGGAGCATGGCACATGCGCGCCAATGCCCGTTGCAGTATTGGCTCCTTTTAGCCAGGTGCTTGCAGCAGCTTGTGCACGGTGGTTATGGTGTGAGATCCTTGTTCGCAACAATTGATCAACACTTTTCCACCAATGGACGTTAATTGTGGCGGCGTCAGGTGCTGTGGGCAGGGTTGATCTTTACCCGAAGGTGGACAGTCCGGGGCCGAGCCCATGGGGTGTTTCGGCACAACGATGCCCCCAGACCAACGCGGTGGTTCCAACGCATCTCTGTGCATCACACGAACAGGTGCTCCACGTGTGAGGAGAGCGCATCCGTCTCAACCGAGAGATCGTGTCACTCCACCGGGCTCGCGGCATTGTGTATGAGTCTGATGGTGGTGGTTTTGGTGAAGGGCAGCTGAGATGTTGAAGGATGCCGTTCGCCGAACCTTGGGAGAATGCAGACCGAGGGATTGCAGTGGGCCGGAGGAGATGCCTGCTCTCTCCTCCACTCCGCTCCGGGGGAAGGATGTCTCGTGTGAATCGTGGCGTCTGGCGTGTCTGGCCCAAGTGCACGTGAACTCCCTCCAATAGTTGTCGCAGACTGGTGATGGGGAAGATTCTAATTGAAGTCTATTTGAGATGGAAGAAGTGTGAAGTGTGTGTTGCTGAAGCTAAGACTCGTGGCAAAAGTTTGGCAGGTGGGGCTTGGCCTGCTTGTCCACGACTTCGGATTCTTGTGTAGCGCCATCGTCTTGTCGCTGTCGAATTAGGGCAAGATGTTCAACATCCGCAGCTGGTATGTGGACGGAAAATTGAAAAACGTGGCGTGCAAGACGCGAAGCTCAGGTAGGTTCGAGGATGCCTGGTCGTCGATGCAGGTGCGACACAGACGCGTAAATTGGAATTTGCATTTGAGCGCGTCAAGGCGAGGTGCAGGTCTACAGGCGAATGGCAGACGAGCAACAATGAACATCAGCGTTGTGCGCTATCTTGTCTTCCTCTCCGCAACCATTGTACAATTGTATAGTCTCGTCGGGCGATGGATCGCTTTGGGCCAAACTCAATTCGATTCATTGGAAACACGATCTCAAGTACTATCTGGTATGATTCTCAAGCTGGACGTCTTGTCGACAAATGAAAATTCCAGCTGAGTCTGCCAGTGGGCCATATCGCTCGCTAATGGGGTATCTAAGTATGCATCGCTCATGCAAAGCTGCGTTCTCCAGACAGCTCGTCATCTCATATTCATTCAATCATGATTCGTTATGTCGTCTCTCGGGCGCTCCGGTGTCGACTTAAACCTTGGCATTCTCATCGAGCTTCTGTCTCTTAGTCTCGGGCTCGTCAGGCTGCGTGGGTTCCTTCGTTGGCACTTCTGGAAGTTCTGGGATGTCGGCCTTCTCTGCTGCTTCATCGGAAGCCGTATCTTTCCCCTCCAACTCCGCTGTTTCTACTGTCTTCAAATCTGCAGAAGCGGCAGGTGGGAAGTATATCGGGACCAACTCCTCGTACGCGTCCTGATCCTTGTCGAGGAACTGACAGAACACAACGCGTTCGATCTTCTCTGCGTATTCGTTCGTCTCGAGCCACTCTTTCACGGTACGCAGAGCCACATCAGCCGCCTCTTCGCTTGGGTAGCCATACACTCCTGTGCTGATCGCGCTGAACGCAACGCTTGTCAAGCCATGCTCAGCTGCCAGGTCCAAGCTCGTCTTGTAGCAGCCACGCAGCAATCTCTCATTGCTGCCGTTTCCACCATCTTCGACTGATACGCCTTTGCGCTTGTACACTGGTCCCACAGCGTGAATCACCTTCTTACAGGGCAGTCTGCCGTACGCATTTGTGATCTTTGCCGAGCCAGTATCGCATCCATCCAGCTCCCTGCACTCTTCGATAAGCTCGCGTCCGGCTGCGCGATGAATGGCGCCATCGACACCGCCGCCTCCGAGCAGGCTTTCGTTGGCCGCGTTGACTATTGCCGTTACTTGGAGCTTTGTGAGGTCGGTCTGGATCAGGGATATCTTGTCGTTGAACTTTGATGTCGCATTTGGTGCTGTTTCGGTAGCGGGAGTGATTTTGTTGAGCTTGTAGAGGAGGGTCAAGGTTGGTATCTCGTTGAGTGGAACTGTCGACGAAGCCATCTTGCGCAGGCAGCGATGTTTGATGCTGGACACGCTCGCAAGCGGGTGAGATTGAGGGCGAGGGCGGCACGCGTTTTGTGAGGCGCGTGAAAGGAGCGACGTTGAGATCGTGATTTTTCGAAATACGCTTGAGTAGAGTGTCAAGTGTCGCATGCGGAGGATGGTGTGAAGCTAAGAAGAAGAGCAGCAGCATGTGAAAGTCGACCAGGACCCCGCTGATGAAACGCCAAGCATTGTGATTCAGCATTGGGATCTTGACTCACTTCCTGAACATGGTTGACCTTCATTCCTGCACTGACCGCGCTCACCACTCATACACTCAGCATGGCCGACGCAGCACCACCAGCCGCGGACGGCGAGCCTAAGATATCCAAGCGCGCCGCGGAGAAAGAAGCGAAGAAAGCAGCAGCAAAAGCCGCCAAAGCTGCCTCGAAATCTGCCCCTCAGCCAGCATCAGGAAATGCTGCCTCGAGCAAAGCCACGCCAGCAGAAGCTGTAGACCCTTTCAAAACAGGATGGCTCAAGGGTGTCTACAACGAGAAGCCTGTGCCGCCCAACGAAGTCCAGACACGATTCCCACCTGAGCCTAATGGCTACTTGCACATCGGCCACGCCAAAGCCATCACTGTCAATTTTGGTTTCGCAAAGTCATATGGCGGCAAATGTAACCTTCGATTCGATGACACCAACCCTGCGAAAGAGGAAGAGCAGTTCTTCACCAGTATCAAGGACATGGTGCAGTGGCTGGGCTTCGAGCCGGCCAGAATCACACATTCGAGCGATGACTTTGACAGACTCTACAACTTGGCCGAAGAGTTGATTCGACGTGGCAAGGCATATGTATGCTTCTGTTCTGCAGCTGCTATCCAGGCTGGACGAGGTGGAAAGGACCACGGACCACGTTCAGTGTGCGAACACTGGAGCAAGGGCGTTGAGCAGAATTTGGAAGAGTTCCGAGGGATGCGAGACGGGAAATACGAAGCTGGACAGGCGTTGCTGAGGATGAAGCAGTATCTCGGTACGAAGTCTGAGGAATATGAAGCGGCAGAAGGTGATAGTGCAGAGGTCAAAAAGGAAAAGGATAAGCTGAGGAAACTGGCAAACAACCCGGCTCTTTGGGATGTGGCAGCATATCGCATCAAGAAGGAGAACTATCACCATCGGACAGGCAACAAATGGCGAATTTACCCGACCTATGAATTCACGCATTGCCTGTGTGATTCCTTCGAGGGCATCACCCACAGTCTGTGCACTGTGGAATTCGAGACACTGCGGCCCGCGTACGACTGGCTATGCGAGGCTCTGGACTTCAAACTACCCGGGTCGGATGAGAAGGGTCCGATGCAACGCGAATATGGTCGACTGAATGTAGAAGGCACGATCCTGTCGAAGCGGAGGATCGCGATGCTTGTCAATGGCACCACTGTCGGCGGCGATGCACCTGATCCGGTCGATGAAGCAGCAGATGGCGTGGACGAGATCAAACTGGAAGAGGAGGGTGACGAAGAGCCGGAGACAACGGCAGAGGTCAGCAAAGTGGTGACGGCTGGCACTGGTCGCAAGATCCCGCCTGTTGTACGTGACTGGAATGACCCTCGCTTATTCACACTCGTGGCTCTCCGTCGGCGTGGCGTGCCGCCAGGCGCTCTGAAGAAATTCGTCTTCGATCTCGGCGTCACGAAAAGCAACGCAAATACCATGACACATGTTCTCGATGCCACAATGCGGACGTACCTGGAGCGAACAGTTCCTCGTCTTATGCTTGTTCTCGACCCAATCAAAGTCACCTTCACGAATTTACCAGATGACTACGTTGAGGAGCGAGTGGTTCCGTTCGATCCAAAGGACAAAGAGAAGGGCGATCACAAAGTTCCCTTCACCAAGACCATATACATCGACCGAGATGATTTCCGTGAAGTGGACGACCAAGACTTTTTCCGCCTGTCGCCTGGTCAGAGCGTCGGCCTGCTCAACGCCGAGTTCCCCATCAAGGTCGTCTCTTTCTCGAAGAACGCAGAAGGCAAGGTGGATGAGATCAAAGCAGAATACGGCAAAGATGTACCAGCAGGCAAAGCGCGTATCCACTGGGTTGGCGAATCCAAAGCACATAACTCACCCATCAAAGCCGAATGCCGCATCTTCAACGCACTATTCAAGACCACGAAACCGAACGAGCTTGACTGGAAGAACGGCGGG